TTTGGTATTATTATTCGTGATTTCACACTTCAATTCATTGTTAGATTCGAAATAAATTCATTGATTAAATAATTAATTTATTGGGAAATATATAAAATATAAAAATGAAAAGAAATACTGATATGACCTAACTGCATTTTCCAATTAGGACACTTCCTGAATGTCGATTGGTCCCACTCTCAACACTAATGTAATGATATATTATATATATATATATTATAATTAAAAATATATATATATATATATTCCCAGGAGTATGATCCATCCGTGGATTAATATTATTAATATTATTATTATTTTTATATGTTGTATTTAATTTAATAAAAAGAATAAAATAAAGGAATCAAAAGGGTTGTATGTATTCTCTCTGTTCTTGAGAGTTGCGAGTGAGAATAATTCCATCATATATTAGATATACATACAATAAAGTTTAATGTAACGAATGGGATTGGTTGTGGTTTTTCTTGATTTCTTCTAAGTAGATATTGAGATTAATTAATTAAAAAAAAATATTTTGAGCATGCTTCATTTTTAGATTGAATATTTGAGTATTATTCTTAGATAATATTTGGTCTGATATTTTCATTAAAAAAAATATATTATTTTTTAAAAAGAAAAGCTGACGAAAAAAAAAATATATATATATATATATAATGAAAAGAAAATACACATTTGTAATTGAATTCTCCAGACATCCCTTACGTGACTTGAATGACGTAATTTAATTAAATTAAAGAGAAACCTAGCCACTAGCATTAAAAGTTAGGTCTGATTTGTGATATGTGTTGTATTGTAAATATTATATATTTATTATTATTTTTTTTTATGATGAAATAATGTATCTTTATTGAAATATATATATATAAAGCTAATGAAATTAAAAATGAGATAGAGATGACAAGATACCTAGCCAGCTATAGATATATGTAACACTAGTCTAAGATTTCTTTAGCCTCAACTCAACTCAACTGTATATATAGACTTTATAAAAGAATTAATTGCGCTGCTCATTTATTTTCCCCTCCTCTCATTTTTATTTTTTTTCCTATTATTATAAATATATCTACATTTTTGCAAATCTTCTTTCACTACTAAATAATAATAATATACTAATCACATAAATTTGCTGTATATTTAAATTGTACTATAATAATTTGATAACAATATTATTTTCCCTAAACCCTAAAACAATCGATCATTCGTAATCATACATATATATATACTTGTGCAAGAGTGAGAGTATATAATGTAACACTGTCACTCAACTCAATTATGTGAGATTTTCATGCATGCCACCCCAAATCTCTCTCTCTCTCTCTCTCTCTCTCTCTATATATATATATATATATATTAATATATATATGTATCATATTTTGGGTGTTGTGATAATTATTTGATGGTGGGCTCGATTTCCTCAACAATATTCAGACAGGAAAGCACACATGCACGATATATATATTAATGTATATCTGTAACAAAATCAACAAAATTAATTCTTACATATTTGATATATATATATATACATGTATATAGGTGGATGAATCCAAGCCGTACATGGTGTTACATCAACGGCATGGATCGATCTGGCTTCGAGGTCCAGGGACTCCACAAGAAAGCGGCGATCCAAGCAGCGTAGACAGGAAAATGACACAAGCAAAAGCAAGAATCAGTAGCCATCAAATTTAAAGCAAAGTGAAATTCACGGTCAACTGTTCCGATGTGCACCACGTGGCAGGACCACAGCCGTTGGATCAACCCATAGAATCCCCTCTACTTGTAGGGATGATATTTCATTACACACTCAAATAAATGGTCCTCCACACCATATTCTTCTTTTCTTTTTTTCACATCTTTCACCCAACTTTGTTTTTAATTCACTTTTCATAATTCAAACCAATAATGTAGCTTAGGCAGATCAATAATCAATTTAATTGAAAATAATAATAATAATGATAATAAAAGAGATTGACAAAAAAAATAGCCAGTTGAACAATTATGACACACATTGAATGAAAAATAATGGGGACATTGGTGATTAAGGTGGTTACGAGGGACCCGAAAGCAATTATTTCTTCAGAAACTTTCCATGTTATCTGAAACCTAATCCTGTCAGAAATAAACACCAACACTGCACCAAATAATTTAATTCAACAGGGCCACTCTACTACTTTTTATTTTGTTTTCTCTTTATTTTTAAAAGTATGTAATAAAAAGTTAACAGAATCCGATATTTTTGGGCTTTATGACAGATGGGCCATGGCCCACCAACTCTATAATTAATAGAATAATATATATATATTCCGATAAAAAAAAAAAATAGAATAATATATATATATATGTATGTATTATTGTGTACAATAAATAAATGTTTGGTATGGACATTTATTTGCTTCAGTGGTCCTTAGAAGATTCACACACACATGTATGTGTTTCAATAATAATAAAAATAATACTAATATTGATTTTATTTTATTATTATTATTATTATTATTTTTATTTTTTTCCACCAATGTCCTATATATTCGTGTGTATGTATATATTTTTCTTTTATATATATATATATTATAGGGTGAAAAAATAGTGTGTTCAGGGTGTTTCCTAGTATGTATGTGGGGACAGTGTTTGGGGAAAGAAAAGGACTGAACAGTGTAGATGATTGTTATTTACTATGTGTTTGATTATTATTATTATTATATAATAAAATCAATAATGTAAAAACAAGATTAAAAATGCGGACCAATATGCAATTGACATAAAAAATTAACAACAAAAATAATAATGATATTGGATTTTATATTATAAAGATTAATATTAAAGGTTGCATTTAATTATACATAGAACGAATTGATGGTATCATATACTTTTTCTATCATAAAAAATAAATTTATAACTTTTGACCATGAATTTTAATATAGTATATATTTTTTTGTTAATTATAATAATTAGTATATTTTCATGTAAAAAAAAATAGGAGTACTATAGTTTCTTTACTATAAAAATATTTTTAAATGCAAAAAAAATAATTATTTTCATGTAACAAACAGAGTACTATTTTCTGTTCATTTGATATATAAATTAAAAAATCATAATTTTATATTTCATAGATAGTATAAAAGTATATCAAGTAAAACACCATTGAAAAACCGTAGATAGGTCGTAAAATATAATAGTTGTATGTTGGTAAATATAAATGAAATGTAAATATATTTTATAAAAATCAATGAATATACATATATATATATATATATATTGATTGTGTCCGGCAAAAATAGTAAAGCTGATATATTAATTATAGACAGGTGATGTGTAATGTTGCAAAAATAAAAAATTAAATACATATCAACATATTGCAACATGCTTTTATGTCACGTTAGGACAGAACTATTGAAAGACAGTTTGATGACTTCACTTTAAAAGCTTTCGTGTGTGTTAGTGAAATGTCAAGAAAAAGACCAAACACAAGTAAATAAATTAAAGTATATCAAGTAAAGTAATTATATCGTAAACTACAATTATTTGGATTTTCTTTTTTAAAATGAGATCACTTCTTTACGAAATATTTATTTTAGTTGAGAATTTATTTTAAAATTTTATCTTAAGTACCCTTTATATGGAGTATTAGTAGTAATCTCAAAAGTTCCTACTTCTAACACCTAAAATATTTAACAAACCCAACCCGACCAAGGGTGTGTTTGTTTTTGTTTTAAAGCAAAAATTTATATTGTTCAAATCCCAAATAAAATACACTATTTTTTCTTAATGAAAATACTATTTAAACTAAAATTCAAATTTTCCATCAAAACCAAACCCCAAGTCAAGACTATAAAATGGGAAAATTATAGGACCGTAAAGAGTATATTTTTTTTTTAAGTACTAAAAAGCAAATGATGGTATCATTTCAGTCGGCCAATTGGGCTGAACCATATGTATGGTATCAAAACCAAACCCCAAGGCTCGCATGAATTGGCCCATTTAAACCCACGTTTTAATGGGCCTAGTAAGTTACAATATTATAAACTTTATTTAAAATACTACACAAAAGAAGAGTATGCTAAATATTACTTGTGGAGATGATATTTAACCATAATGCACAAGTAGTTTTGTCATGGACATATTCTTGAACCCAACATGGATAAGAAAGCAGTGAATTTGCTCAGAATCAAATTCCCAATTAGGTTTACCATCTCCCGAACACACACGACAACGGCCCAAATCCATCACCAAAGTTATTTGGGGCGCTGCCGTGTTCGAGAAATGATATGGGCCATAGGAAATGACACACCCCGTGTCATGTTACAAGATATAGCACAAGGGTTTTTACAAACCAAATTACAGATTCATTTGATTCAGTAAGCATAATATTGCCCTTACGTGAATTTAATAAAAGAATCAGATGTAAAAAACTATTTAACATAAATACTATTCATATGCAATTCTAGAATAAATTTTTTGATCAAAAATTCCTAATCGAGCAAGGAATGTTGAAGATCTCTTTAGTGACTATGGCGGACATGTCGAAACTCAACAAGCACCATAAACAAAGCTTGAAGACACTAAAAACAAGAACTAAAGATCCTTTAAGGACTTTATAGGATTATGCAGGTGATCATTTTTCCACAGTTGAAAAATCTTAAGTAAGACTAAAACAAGGATATGTCTACTTCAAGATAATGGTTGATCAAAAGATGCACACATTAATGGTTGATCTATATAAATTATTTTATGAACGACAACACAAAATCTAATATCTATATCCTAATAATGACAAACTGCTCAGTAACTTTACTACCTCCACTTTATTGGTAGAAAAATTATCATATGCAGAATAAAGATTCAAGAGTAATGCAAAGAATATCAAATTGACAATTTAACACGAACTTCAAACTGGTATGATTCAGGATTCTCAAACAAAAACAAACATATGATCCGCAAATAATGTTATAAAAACAAACAAAGATGAAACATCACTATGTATCCAATTCAAAATCAAAAGCAAATAATGAAAACGAAGATAAATAGATTCTATTTCATGAGCAACATGCCGAAAATTTCAACTGTAGAACAATAAATAAGGAAATCAGAACACAATCCATATCAAGTTCAAACAGAATTCAGATAGATATAATCCATAACGAGTAGCAAAATCATCTGAAAAATAAGAACAAAAGCTAACAAAAACAAGTCGGACAAAACGTACCGAAGAGATTTTCACCTCAGAACCTGAGCTTCGAGAAAAACCAACGGTTCTTCCCAGTCTTGAACCGCTCCTCGAATCTGGCCTTGATCTCCTTGCAAGCAGTCACTTTCTTGTCACGAGACACCAACGCGTCGCCGGACACGACATCCTTGAGATCGACATCGAGCGTGTAGCGTGTCGGCATGATGTGGTTGTAGTTGACAACCTTAATGAACGCCTTGACGCGCGATTTCTTCGCCTGCTTCTTGGCGGAATCCTTGCGGATCACCTTGCTAGGGTACTTGGCAACGCCGGCCACAAGGCAGTGTCCGTACGCCCTGTCCCTCGTGCCGTCATCAAAATTCTTCACGATTGTGGCCTTGTGCCCGGCAAATCGCCCCTGGAGGAGAATCACCGCCTTGTTTGGCTTCAGGAACTTCACCATTTTCGGTGCGTCGTCGGTCGGTGGGAGAGGATGCGCTCCGGATTAGGGTTTTGAAATGTAAATTAGGTTAATAATATATCAATTTTTGACCCAATTATTATTGGGCTTTCTTTAGGCCTACTTGTATGGGCCTAACATTTTTACCGAAATCGCACCGGGAAAAAAAATCGGTTTAGGTTGATCGCGGTCCCGTTTAAAACCGGAACCGTGAACCGCCGGTCGGTTCGAAAACGGTTGGGCAAGTACTTCCTCATAATTAGGACTCTCGTCGGAAGAACCCTAGCTCATATTCGTCGTTGTTGATCTAGGTCTGTAAAAAGGATTTGCTAAGATGTCGATTATGATAGTGACGAGCTTGGGTGACTTAGTGGTGGACCTTTTCACCGATCGCTGCCCCTTGACCTGCAAGAATTTTCTCAAGCTGTGCAAGTCCGTTTCTTTTTAGCTGATTGTGACCTTGTTGTGCGAGTATTAGGTTTCTTGTTAGTTTAACTTTGATTTGTATCAACGCTCCGTTTTTTTATATTTGCACTTCAGAATCAAGTATTACAATGGATGCCTCTTCCACACAGTGCAGAAGGATTTCACAGCACAGACTGGTGATCCAACTGGTACAGGATCTGGTGGTGATTCTGTATACAAGTAAGTGTTCTTTGTGTGTTAGTTGACTGGTGGTTTTTTTAAGGCTGGGATTCTTGTGGAAAACTTTATTTTAGTTTGCAACATTGCATTTTGTGATGAATGGTTGAGAAAATTTAATGTAGTTGTCTTGGATAAGTATTATCTTTGTACTCGCAATACATTTCATATTCAAATTTGTGGTTATTCTGGCATATTCCATCCTGTTTAGCTTTTGTATATCTCAACTCGTCTTTCCTTTATTGTTCATTCTGCAACCCGTGAATGCAGATTCTTATATGGTGATCAGGCTCGCTTTTTTGGCGATGAAATTCATTTGGATGTAAAACACTCGAAAGTTGGTACTGTAGCCATGGCAAGTGCTGGGGAAAATTTGAATGCTTCTCAGGTATTGCTTCTGTAGGACTTATTTGCTTATCATGAGCAATGCTTTTCTGATGCTCATTGGTAACCTTACCGACATTGAGAAGCTTTTCTCCACAATTCTGACCATGCTGTTGTCTCCAGTTCTATATCACTTTGCGTGATGATCTTGATTATCTGGATGGGAAGCATACTGTGAGTTTTCTAATCTAAATCTCCATTTATGACAGTTTCATGTCTACATGTATATGTATATATTATGTATTTAAGAACTAAATTAGATAAGAAAATTAAACTGTTGTGCACAAGCAGTGTGTTTATTTATTTACATATCCTAACCAGAAAAGTAGATAACCAAGCTAACAGTCCAGACAGATTCACAAAGAGTTATAAATCCATACCCTCTTTCCTAATAGGAATTTAAAAGACCCGATTTCTTAACCCTATGTCTGTTTTCTTAACTGTAAGTTAAAAATATGAGTTCTTACCCATTTTGTAAAGCCAAAAATAAAACACTGCTTATGCTAGCTATTAGTTACCCTTTCAAGATAACATTGGCTTGTTCTGAGGATGTGAAAATTGCTAGTTGGCAAATGTGATACTTTTACTTAATTTTTTAGGAAAGTATTGGCTAGTGCTTTCACTTCTTACTTAACTGTATACTTATTCATATGGCATGTGCTTGTCATAGTTGCACTGCTTTCCTACATTTTTTTTCCTTTCTTTTCCGGGAATAATTTGATGCATTCTAGTATTGACTAAATTTAGTTCTAATTATCTAAGTTTTCAACCCTTTTGATTGAAAGGTGTTTGGGGAAGTTGCAGAAGGGCTGGAGACGCTTATGAGAATAAATGAAGCTTATGTTGATGGAAAAAGCAGACCATATAAAAATATCAGGTCAATCTTTTTACTTACTAGTTTCCACCATTTTTTTCCTCCTTAACCACGTGAAAGCTCTTGGTTCAATATTTGTATTGATTATTACCTTTACTTTTTTGTATCGGTTTTCTTCTGCATTTTCCTACGTACTAACTATTCATCTATGCAGAATCAAGCACACTTACATATTGGATGATCCTTTTGAAGATCCTCCACAACTAGCAGAATTGATTCCTGATGCTTCACCTGAAGGAAAGCCAAAAGATGAGGTAATGCATTGATTTATAACTTGAATACTTGATTCTTGATGATTAATTTTTCTAAATGCCATTACTAATAACAGTTGGATTTTAATGTAGACGAGCACATGACTATTAATCATATCTTATCAATGTATTTGATATACATCATTGCTCTATAAGTAGGAGTCACCAAAATTGATTATCCAAATCTAGTAGTTTTTTTTTTGGCCTCAATGTTTGTTATATTCGTTATACATGTATCTCAAGCTTTCCTCTGTTAATAGATTGTTCTATGTTCTAATGAACTGAAGCAAAATATTGGCATACAGTGAATTTGATTTAATTGATTCTTTTGGTACTGGTTTAAATTTAGGTTGATGATGAAGTGAGACTGGAAGATGATTGGGTCCCAATGGATGAGCAACTTAATGCACATGAGCTTGAAGAAGTGTTACGAGCAAAGGATGCACATTCCCGCGCTGTAGTACTTGAAAGTGTAAGTAGTTAATGCATCAGTATCTTTGCCATTTCATGAATCACTGAGAACTAAAGTAGCTGGCCTGATCTAAAAAATGTGACACATTAGTTTTTATGTATAACAGATTGGGGATATTCCAGATGCTGAGATAAAGCCTCCAGATAATGTGTTGTTTGTATGTAAACTCAATCCTGTCACTGAAGTAAGTATGATCCCATGGAGAACTATTTTTCATAGGTGCAGATATTCAGTTTATTGATAACATCCAGGGCTTTTACTTTCTGAAAAAGTGATCCCCCGGGTTCTCATAACATTCCTTTATTCTATATGTAGGATGAAGATTTGAACACAATTTTTTCTCGCTTTGGAGTTGTAACTTCGTGAGTCCCTTAACTTTCAGGCCCTTTAATTTCTCTGTTATAGTGTTATCTCTTGACTTTCATCTAATGTTTCTCATTGTTTAATGAACTTTGCTAGTGCTGAAGTTATCCGAGATCATAAAACTGGGGACAGCTTGTGCTATGCATTTATTGGTGAGTGTATATTTGCTGCAAAGTTGCTTTCAAGAACTTTGTGCATCTTTTAAATGGAACAATTTAATTAAAATCTGCATCCTTCCAATTACAATAATATAATAGTTGTAGGAGCTTCATATTTGCCATCTCCTATCTAACAATTCTACAATTATGATTGAGCAATTTTATTATGTATTTGATTCTTTCTTTTGTATATATAATAAGGTGAGGATTTTGTTCATTCAAGTGGGAGCATTTAATTAGATGGCTTTTGAGGACATGAGGGCTTTTTTTATATTACATGGTTTGTTATGTTTTACCATACTTTTCATTACCTTGCTGCTTATGCGGATGTTTTCGGTTTATTCTTTTCAGAATTTGAGGACAAAGATGCCTGTGAACAAGCATATTTTAAGGTATATTTAGGTTGACATGTTTTCATAGTTCACAGGAAATAAGTGATGCTATAGTGTTTGAGGACACTTGAATGTTGAATCTTGATTTTCTAAAATTACTTTGATTATCTAAAGTTAATCACTGTGATTTTACTCGGAATAATTTCTGAATATTAATCTATGAATAGTCCATATTATCTTAACACTTGGTAGCAACAATATATGCAGCCTAGTATTGCTCTGCTGAGTTGGTTGAGTGTGTTAGTTCTGATCATTCTTACAAATTTTTGTATAGGATGCAGTATGTAACTTGCATTATGCAACATTTTTTCTCTTTATTTTATTGGTGAGGAAGGTGTATGCTAGTGGAAGATTTTAACAATCTGGTATAGTCTATGTTTTACCAGTTAATATGTATTGCAAAAGCACTCTACATCTGAAGCGTTTTTGTATAAAGAAAATGTAGAGTATATGCGGCAACAATAGCTCTTGAGAATCCAATGAGTATTTCTTCTTGAAAATTCCCTTCTTGAAAGGTGGTATATTAAACGATACATTCATATCCTATGATAGGCCCATGAAAGTTGGTTGTAAATTTAATTTGCCTTTTAGTTTCAATTCTATGTTTGTTTTAAGAAGGTCTTTTCGTCTTGCCAATGGGAGTGATATCCTCTATGGTAGTACAATCAACTTGCTAATGGTTTACTTATAGATTCCTTATAATTGCGACGTGATTGTTGATTTAATATTAAATCTGTTGCGGTGTGACAGTGGAGCTACATCAGCTTACTATCAATGCAATGCTAGCTTTAATCATGCTTTTACCTCCTATTTTGTAGATGGACAATGCTCTGATAGATGACAGAAGGATTCATGTTGATTTCAGTCAAAGTGTTGCAAAGCTTTGGTCTCAGTATAGACGCAAAGGGCAGTCAGGTAATGATTTAAACTGACTCTGTATTGACGTCCAGTAAAGTAATATTTTGTGCATATGCCAAATATTGTTAAAAATTGGTGTCAAATATGGTTCCAGAGTTCTTTAGGAAATTTGATGCAACCGAGTATCTGCTTATAACCAACTAGCATTCTACTACGACCATGGCTCTCTATGTTTTATTTTTTCAATCGAGCGTATTTCTTTACCTAAAATAGTCATCATGCCTTCACATTTTTATTTATGGCAGGTGGAGGTTGCTTCAAATGTGGTTCTCTTGATCACATAGCTAAGGACTGCACTGGAGATTCCAAACAACCACATTCGAAGTACGTCTTGAAAGACAACGAAACTCAACGCGGTGGTAATGGGAGCACAAGGTATTAATAATCTCGATTCAGTAGAAATCAATGTTTTCTATGCTGCCTCTAAAATATCTGGCAATCCGTTTAGGTATGAAATGGTTTTTGAAGAAGATGAGGACAGAAGTCACAGACATAGCAAGAAGAGAAGGGACAATGAAAATGAAGAACAGGACACAGAAAAACATAGCAAGCGGCATGATGACCGAAGAGGAAGCACACACGATTGGCAGAGACGAGACGAAAGGCGGGAGGAGCGGAGGGAACAACACGGGGGACATGCTCAAAGGCAGAGAAGTCCTCGTCGGGGTGGTACAAAAGAATACTCGGAGAAGGATCTAGCCGTTGAAAGGAAAAGCCGAGATGAGATTCGCGACAGAGACCACAAGAGAAGGCCTGGTGATGATGATACTAATGAGAGGGAGAGCAGAAAACGACACGGCAGTGATGGTAGCTACAAACACAGGAATGACGACAAGGGATTTGAAAAGAACTATAGAGCAGACGATGGCCATGGCTACAAACACGACAGAGACAGGAAATATGAAAATGAGACGAAAAGGAGGAGCGGGGATGAGGATAATCGAGGCAGTCGCAGAGATAGACATGATTTTGGCGAAGAATTATATTCGGATAAGAGAAGCTCAAGAAGCGATCATCATCATCGTCGAGACCATCGGGGTAGGAAATAACTCGAACGCCGGTAGGTAACATTTAACATTTGCAGTGATCTATGCTGTCGTCCCTGTAAGTCTATTGAGCTAATCTTTGCTTGCAGTGAGTGTGCCTTTTGAGAATCAACGTTTGTTCTCAGGCATTTGATGGCAGAAAAGGTGGACGTAAACACTACGGCCTGTGGGCAGGTATTAGATGTTCTTGTTTTTGTGTTTTGGAATTCTTTTACTTTGATATGGTTTTAGTGAAAATTTTATTCTTGGGTTATTTACTTGAGGGTTTTTTATTTATTTATATTTATTTTTAATATTGAGAGGATGAAATAATGATTAAAAATGTAATGTTAAATACGGAGGAAAAAATGCAGGGAATTTATGGGTTTGTTGGTTTTTCATTTTAAATATATTTCTAACACTATTTATTTCATACTATTCATTAATAATATATATTATTTTTTAATAAAACGTTATATTATAATATTATTTTGATACAAATTTTAAAATTCTTTTAATTTAAAATTTCATCATATTTTATTAAAATTATTTTAAAATATCATTAAAAAATAATAAAATCAATACTTAAAAAATGTAAAAGATATATAGCCTAAAGTATCTTAAATGGTGAGTGGTAGGTGACAGTGTATAGGTCAAAGTCATGTAGGGGATCTGCAGTATATCTTAAATGCGACATTAATGGAAAAATGAAATCGTGCTAGGCAAAGTAGGCCCCCCCGGCCCCCGGCACGTTTTCTTCTTCGAAACTCCACCGACGCAGTTTAACAAATATACTGGCAGTATAAATTTACTAGCATAGTCCAAGAAGTCTTTGAGATTTAATTTTTGTTTAGTAAAAAGCTTACTCTAATTGAGGCAATGCCCTTGTTTGTTTAGTATTTTGCGTTGAATTTATCTCGGTAATATAAAAAATAATATTTTATATTAAATGTTGATTTTTGTATCTCAATTTTTGTAGTTATTTTTATTTTAAGATCTCCTAGATATTTACAATTAGATATATATATATATTCAATTTTCTCCTAACGAATGTAGTAATATAAACAATAACTATGAATGAGCATATATATGTATATATATATATGTCCATTTTAAATTCATAATCAAGTATAAAAGGTGTTCCCAAACTAATTGTTAAGTAAACAATAACATTAGTAATATCTAAATAGCACAATTAAGTTTAATTTTTCCACACTACCATCGAGTAATTTTAAATTCTAAACAATAATTTTTCCACACTACAGTTATTTTAAATTCACCAACACTTATATACATATTCTTTTATTTGTAAATAATAAATTTGTCAAAAATTTCTTACACACTTTATTAATAATTTCTTTACTAATTAAAAGAAAAATGTATATATATCTTAGAGAAGATGAAGGAGGTCATTGCATATATATATAATGGAACATAAAAAGTAATTAATATAATTAAACCCATGCTGACATGCATATATATTTAACTAGTAATAAGAAATAACTTGTCATTTACTCATCAATTATAAAATTTGCAAAATTTCATATTATTCTTTTACACGTGAATATAACAGTAAATATATATATATATGACCCGAAGTTTGATTGGATCCTGGATCATCAGTAAACGTACAGTTCTGCAAGCTCTTCCAGGGAGTCCGACCCGAGACTCGGATCCGTATTATCGAGCATCCAGAGGAGATGATCGAAGAGGACGACCTCGCATTTGACGGACAGATCCGAATCCGAATCATGGGTATTTGTTTTGGATTTCCGGATTAGGGCATTGAGGAGAGGGTGGGTGAGGTGCTTGGAGGTGAGGACGTATCTTCTCCGGGAACTCCCCACCAAAACTGTCTCGTTGGATGAATCGTCGTCCGGCGGCGGCGGAATCTTCTCCGGCGAACGGCAGGACGAGAGCTCGGTGTAGTGCGAATGAGAGGTGGAGGACATGGACATGGATCTAATGAAGGTGGAGTAAGAGGAGGAGGAGGTCCTTCGAAGCTGCCTCGACAGCGTCTTGCATCTTCTCAGTATGGACTCCATCTTCTTCTTCATCTTCTACGATTAATCGATATATATATATATATGATGAACTCTGATCCGAATCCGATCGTGTCAATTGATTGACTGTTGAAGAATGAATTGCATATACACGCATATATATATATATATAGTGGATACAGACAGACGCAGTGCTGAGCTGAGCTGAGTGAGAGAGATATAGATATGATTGAAATTTTAATTTTAATTGAATTGGATTTGCTGTAATGGATATATATTGAGATTATTATTATTATCATTATCCATTCCTGTACAACAGTTCCTCACTCATTTAAATTTATAATTATTTTTTAAATTATAAAAAATATTCTCATAATTTTATAAAAAAAAAAAAACAAAAATACTCTTCTTCTCTATAGTATATTTTTTTCTAAACTTGGAGGTATTTGAAATTTGAACCAACGACCTCGTGATCATGAGTCCATCTTATAATTATCGGTCACCCTTTTTAAGGGACATTATTGACCAAATATTTGAGTAAGCTTTTAAATAATGAAGAGTGTAGTATACTCTCTCTCTATCTTTCAAATCTATGCTTATTTTTCTTTGGATTGTCATAAAAAAATATTTTCTTTTCTTTTCTAAATAAAAAGTTATTGTATTTTTGTATTATTTTTACTATAAAAAATAATTATTATTATTATTTACTTTTATTAAAATTCGTCCCTTGTCAAATGAGGACACGTTTGCACAACGGAGGGAATATAATTTTTTTTATTATTATCAATTAAAGCACAAAATATATATATATATTGAGTTTGACTATATTACACATTATAAATATCACTCAATTTATATTTATTTAAATTAAATTAAATACAAAGATTAAAAAAAAAAATTACCTATAAAAATATCCACCAAATACTATTTAAATATGTATAAAATTTTCTAAATTTTGCATTAAAGTACTTTTTTTTTATGACGTAAATATGTACTTTTTGAACATAACAGAGGGAGGGAAGAGTAAATTTTTTCAAAAATTAAAAAAAAAAAAAGAAAAAGAATAATAATAATAATAAATACTAAAAATAAAAGTAAATAAAAAAGAAAAGGAATAGGCAGTGTGTGCGGGTGAAGGGTCGTTGTTTTGGGCAGCCAGAATATTGGCTGTGACACGAACTTGCCATCTTCTTAATTTATCAAATTAAGGAATTATTATTAAACCAATTTCGATCAGCCAAAAACTACTTATTAGGCGTGTTTGGATAACTTTTTGTTGGGTTTTTATATTTTAAAATTGGAAGCTGTTTTGGATTTGAATGGATTCCTAAAGAGAATTGTTGGATGGTATTTGAAAACATACTCTTATTATTTAGAATATTTGATTAAAATATATATTAAAAATATCTTGAAAATTCTATTTCAATAAAATAATACCCCCTCCGTCCCGCATACACGTCCATGTTGCCGTTTTTTTCTGTCCCTCCCCATATTCTATGTCACTTTATTACACACTTTAATCTCATTTTAAAATTTTTTAATTTATTTTTTTTAATTAAACTAATTAGTTATCTTAATCTTAATTCATAATTATTTATATTATAGGATAATTATTTTCACTAATATATTTTTAATTATTTACTAATTGCATCCCTCATAAAATACCAGACACCGGACGAAGGGAATATTTTTTATTGGATTTTGTTTGAATATAAAAATTAAAAGTATTTAAATATAAAAATAGAACTAAAATTTTATGAAAAAATATTAAATAATTGATAAAAAAATATTTAAATAAATATAAAAATAATAATTAATTAATTAATTATTTACTAAAATAAATATAATTTTTGTCTATCATTAAAAAAAAAATTATTAATAAAAATTATTCTATTTTTTATTATTTTTTTTTATCTTTTTACTGTAAAAATACAAAGTACACAAATATTAAAATTCATACAAGAAATAAATGAGTTATATACATATATAACAAAATGATGAAGTAGTATAGTAATATGTCATTTTGTAGATAATAAAATTTTTAATATTTTTTAAAATTATTATATGAAAACAGTTAAAAGTATTCAATAAATTTTGGTATAATAATTTATAGTGAATATGAGTTTAAAATTTTAGTTGAGGTGGTACTAAGTAAATTTAGTTACACCAAATAAAGCAACTAGTTCCATGATACTTTCTGCAACCGACTTTGTTAAATATGTTTCTTCAGTGCTAATAAATTATCCATTCGGATCTTGCGTTGAATTGAAATATCCATTTTGCTGAATAATAATGTGTATATATTGATCTTTTAACAAATTTATATATACTATATGTTAATGTTTTTTATTATTATATTATATATATTAATATCGTAATTTAATGGTTAGGGATTATTTGGATTTACAATGGATGAGACCATGGAAGATTGAAGAAATAAATTTTTTATTCATTCTTTAAAAAATAAGTTAATTAATTATATTTAAACTAAATACACTCATGACTAAAATCATTTTTATCATATAAATATATATACAAATATCACACATTATTATTACACACAACAATAATTGTGTATAGTAAAAGTATATGCTATTTTTTTATTAATAACAAGTGTATTATACTCCATCGTCTCATTCTATATATCAATTTGTTTTTTTTGCACAGAATTTTAGATGTGATACAATAAAAATAAAAAGACTAAAGCAACCTTATTACATTTACAGACAAAGTGAGTATAAGAGTATGCTATGTGCTAAACATATAGTGTTAGTTCATATAATATGCATGAGGCTATAACATATGGTGTTAATTCATGTGCTATATATATATATATTATATTAACATATACATTGTATTTGTAGTAATATTGTATATTGTGTGTAGTATTACTGTGTGTTGTCATATGTTATTGAGATTATAGCATACAGTGTGCTGTCTATGTACTATCAAACCGCTATTGTTCAGCACAGTGCTGAATTTATAATTCCCGGCGCCATATATTATACTCCTTGCCCTTACTTTTTGAAGGATTTTAAAGAGTATGTTAGACTAATAATTAGGAGTAATATGGAAAAGTATGAATAATTTTGTTACAATTGTTTTGGGACGGAAGAAAATGAAAAAACAAGACAAATTTTTGGGACGGAGGGAGTATATCATATCAAGATATCTAAAGCACATAAGAATAAAAATATATTCATTTTCTATATAAAACATATATTTCAGCTATAAAAACAAAAATATTTTTGCTAAATTTCCCCACATTTTACTCTCTCACACACACATGCATATATATATATATACATATATACATACACATGCACGTTAGTATATAGTCTTAAGCTTTTTTAAGTATGACAGAAATGCATTGTATAAGCTAAAATGTGATTACCAGTTGATATGTGGCCTGTGCAAACTCCTCAACAACGGCAACTCAATTGATACCTCGAGCCTCAAATGAACAGACAGTCTGATCAAAATCACTGATACTTGCCAACTTGAGAAAGTCGAACCGACGCAGCGCGAACCATCTCGATAACACTGTTGTCCAAAGCATCAAGCTCGCCCGAGTTGCGCAACTGATGATACGACGGCGCCATATAATCAGCAGCTACTTGAGCCAGCTTCCACAGGGAGAAATCGGCAGCGATTTGAATTATTCTTGTCGATAAGAATCTCGATGAATCCAGGCAAGACGCGACAACTTCGTAACACTCTTTGTAGAGGTCCTCGACGAGCCAAAATTCAGCAAGCCAACAGAGCTCTAAATATGTGTGGACTTCTTGGAATTTCTTCTCCGGATCCATATTGTCCCATCGACAGTCGAATTCAGGTACAGGTAACTGATCGGAGTAGAACCAGTTAACCAATTTGGTAAGCGACTCCCAACTCACGGGGACCTTGATAGTTTGCAAATGGCTGGAAATAAAAGTTAAAAACATTTTGGAAAAGGAGGTCATTACACCGTCGTGATTTCTAATACCGCCATCAAATACATAATGTTGAATCAAATGTAACTTTTACGAAAGTACCTGTCTCGCATTCCTGAGTAAAATAAGGCCCGTAAATAATTGCAACTGGATGCTAATATAACTCTGTGAACATGTAGATGTGGAGCAGAAGCAGAACAGAAGCTGCATTTCCAATCTACGAGCTCTGTCGTGCTGGCTTCCAAGATAACGTCCCTGAACCATGAATCAAGAGAACAGAGAAATCACAACAAAATCGATCCAATTTACATAATTGTAAAGAGGGCAGTGACTAATAAGACAAACAAACACTATGTTAATGCCAAATTCTTTCCAAATAAAAACAAGGTATCAACAGCAAATAGATCTACTTAGATAAAACATCACATAAATGCTCAAGTACTCTAATAGGATGAAGAGGGTACTTACGAAAAGCAATATCCAGCTGCCCCGAGAGCCAGACTAAGATCAAAGATTGGTATAGAGGCGCCCCATTTCGGAACTTTTTTACAAAGCAACTGTACCAGAGATCCCAACTGACAATGCCTTGCAAGAATTTTCAGCTTCTTAACAAGATCTTCACTGGCCTGCAGATGCCCAAAGTAAACATATTCTAACAACTTCAACAAAATCTGGTGATCTACGTGAGCTGATAAACGTATTGCCTTCAAGGCTCTCCCCTGTGCCTCAAGTTTTACGCTAATCCCAGTGGATATCATCTCTTGAGAAGTAGATACTTGGGGAGGCAATAATGAAGGGCATCTTACAGTAAGAATTACTTCATGAACAAATACAGATTCCTCATCGACAATATCTAGCTTCAGATCAGAGTCCTCTCTCTCACCGAGTAATTCACCAATCCTGTTTCCCAATCGACTTGGAAAACCATATAATTCAAAATAGCTAAGCATATATGCAGCATACCATTTTGAACCTTGCGAGTTCTTGCTTCTGCAAATCTCCTGGAGATTTTGAATCAACTTAGCCTCAGAGAAGTCCAGCTGGCCATCAGAGAGATGGATTTTTAGATGAGGAGAATGATGCAGCAATTGCCCGAGGATCCACAAACTATAAAGCAAAAGCCCATTATCCCCTTCCCACTCGTCTGTGTCCGGGACGCAACAGCTCTTCTGACTGAATGCATCAACCAGATGAAGCACCGCACTCGCCCTTGTTGCACAGACAGGGTTCTGGAACCACCACACTATGAAGGCTACCACAGTCTTCAAACCTTGGAGTTTAATTATATGTTTGCCATATTCTGGTAAGCTACAGTAACATGCCAAACACACTAAGCTAATCACAGTTTGAAGGTTTCCTGGAAGCCCAAACTTGTTTCTCGTCAATCTTGCATTGACAATATCGAGTAAGTACTCAGTGTGATCCCTCGCATGCAACTTAAGTATTTCATGCAGTATTGACCTTGACAAGGATGCAATGTGCTTGCAAGGTGAATAAACCATCATAAGCACTGCCCTGCTTGCTGATTCACAATCAGACATGATTACGAGGCCATTTTGAGTAATTTGTCGCAATGTTCTGATTGAGTTGACGAAGGAAAAGCTGGGACATTATCGAGAAGAACAGAAAGAGAACCATGAGTTAAATTCAAGCTGTTTTAAACAAAATATATACAATCAGACAGATGGTAAACTAACAAGAAACTAGATCTGGAAAACCAGTGTCATGCAAACAAATGAATTACCATGCACTTATAATCAGGATATTTAGTCGAAGCTTATTCCCATGCATTTCATGGTTGATATTTTCTGAACAATTGGCTGCAAGTCCTCCAAGAATATCCCATATGAAGGGTCTATAAGAGAGCGGAAGAATTGAATTACGACACTCTCGTACAATTATTATCAGTTCATTCACTGATAACTCATGCCTCAATTGGTGAATTTTGTGATAATTGTCCAGGAGAAGATTAACAAGGACTCTATCCATGCCCATTCTCCAAAAGTACACATGATGATTACCTGCCCAGCGAGTTATTGAGGCTAAGCGGAGAGCCTCCTCGATGATAGGCCTTTGGCTCTTAGCTACTTCTTCAGGCTGTGAACTCCAGTTGCTCAATGTGCTAGTTAGAGCATTGACCAGGGGCTCACAGTAAATGTTCATCATATTAATACATCCTCTTCTTGTGAGCTGATAAATTTATAAAGCAGAAAATTCAGAGACAGGGATTGAAAGCTTCTTCAGAGTTTAAGTTTCAACTGAGAAAGACTACCACAAGGCATCGAGCAAGTTTAAATGCTTCAAAGCGAACTGAATCAGTATTAGATCGGTCCATGCAGCCCACTGTCATTTGAAGAAGTGATTCTCCATTTTCAAGAAGTTTATCTGCCCCATTGCCACAGAGTGCTGGCAAAAAAAAAGGATGAATAATTAATCACAATAAAAGCTACATAAATGAGAATAAGTGTGACTATTAGAGAACTCGTCAACGAAAGAGGAAGTACCTAAAGAAGAATATAACTGCAGGACAACAACTTTCACTGAATTTTCAGGCCTAAGTTTGACAGCATCCAAAACATCTAAGAATATAGGATCGTTCCATGCACAGAATCTAAAAGATGGCCACTGCCACAACATTTTACTTAAAAGAGAGGCCATCTCTTGAAAGTATTCAATCGGCTGATTTTTGGTGTAGAATAATTTAATATTTTGGACAAGATAGACAACTGCTTTGCTTTCCTTCAAAATTTGCCAAGCTTCTCTGTCTTGTCTAGAACTCAGTTTTGACAGGATGATATTCAATGTTGTTGCGCATGATATAACAACTTGAAGCTGCTGGTAAGACAGCAAATCTACTAAAGGGCAGATTAGATCCAAAACATGAGATTGAAGTGTTGAACTTGGTAAAATATTGACCATCTTCACCGCAATATCCAATGCCAGCTTCAATATAGATTGATTTTTGAACTGTATTATACTTTCCAACGCTCTCATAATTTGCACAACTGAATCCTGGAATCATATGAAACAAATAAAGCATTCTGTGATCAATAGTATTGTCTAACACTAACATGAATGTAATATCCAGTCAGCAAAGATAAATTATGACTTATAACAGCTTGAGTTAAATACTTTGGTATTTTTCATGAACTAGATTTTATATGGTTAGACTAGAAAATAATAGGCCAATTTCTTAAAATTCTATAAACAACATGACTGTTTAAAAAGAACCATAATCTGTACTAGGTAAAAAAATGAGCTGAATGGTGCTGTTAATGTAAAAGAAAACCATGAAATGATCAGCCAATGAAACAGTGCAGGTGACAACTGAAAATGTATTTGAAAATCAAATTTTTCTGTGTATAAGAATCTTATATTCTGATTAAAATATTGTACCTTAATAAGTGGGTATCTCAATGTCTCACTAGATATGCATTCAAGGAATGCATCAATTGAACGAAGAACCAGTCTCTGCACCTCAATGTCTGAGCAGTGCCATTTCCCTTTGTTCTCCCAGCTTCTGCAACCACACGTTGCAGTTACAAGGGAATTATAGCTACAACACGATCTAATTAAAGAAACTTACCGAAATTATTACTGCCAAGCGGTAGTTAAGAATCTAAAATTCAATTATCCATACTGTCAAATGTAACAATAAAGATCAGAAGCAAGCGGAATACACTAACTTCAAGTCAGTAAACTTACCTAAATTCTTACTACCAACCAGGAGCTTCGAATTTTGATATAACCATCATTGTAACCAAATACAACTAGACTATTCAGCTTAAAAGGACTACAAACACACAAAATTACCAAATTAAATAGGATCTTAAAAAAAAAAAAAAAAAAACAGCTCATCTGACTTAGATACGGATCCAAACGAGAATAAATGTCTGTCATCAATGCTCCAAAAATTTACAATGAAGTTATCGTAAGACTACACGATAAACAAACATACGGTACCCGAGGCTGAGAGCATGTTGAAGGCGTTGATGTAGGTTGAGGACGTGACTACTGATGCCACGGCTATTCTCCGCCGCACCGTGCTTCCCCGACGATCGCATCGGACTCTAATCCACGGCCGCGCCGCCCGGTTTCTAGTCGGCGACTCCCCTCCTATTTTTTCAGTTATTTTTTTAATACAATATCCTTGAAACAATCCAGACTCTATATATATATGTGTGGGCTTGCCAATATGCGTGGGCCCATCTACTGGACCGACTCAATAAATGGGCCTTACAATGTGGTGTGTCCTAGCCTTTATGGCCCAAATAAGCAGTAAGTTCGGGTCTGGTATTGTGAGTACTATTGGGATTTTATTATGGCCCTGGCCCATTTAAGTAAATTTTGTTGGGCCATTAAATATGAGCCGGATATACAATTAAGTTATTTTGACTTTCAATCCAATACAAATTACAAGGTCTAGCCCATTAAATATTGTAAGGGCGGAGGTTTATGCTCCCAAACCTAAACCTCAATTCTCTCTCCGACCAGCAGGGTGGGGCGAAAAAAATGATTACCGGCGGTAGGAGCTTCGTCTCGTCGCCGCCGGCGTTCTCGAATGACGCCAAGAGACTGCTTGTCTGCACCGGAAACACGGTTTCTGTTTTCAGCACCGCCACCGGTTTGCAGGTACTTCTTTTCTTCTGAATGTCATGGTTACTGTATGTATGTCTGTGTGTGATGTGTGTTCAAAACTTATAGAAGTTTTTGGCTTGCAGACTTGTGAACTGGAAGGTCATGAGGCGGAGGTGACATCGGTGATAGTTGTTCCTGCTTCCACTCCGGCGAGCAAAGTCTTGTGCTATTGCTGGACGGCTTCTCTTGATGGAAAAGTCAAGTACTGGGATTTTTCGTGTCCTGAATTGATGAAGACTATTGACGTCCGGTTGCCTATTCGCTCTATGGTAATTGGATATATATATCTAATAATTGTTACAGCAATGTTTTTGCAAAGTTGTATTCTATATACTTGATTTTTTATTTATTTTTTTTGCAAACGTGAATGGCGTATTCTGCTTCTTTGCTCTTATGCTTTGGCTAAGAATATGAAATGGAGAAGCTTAAATTGTATTGTCGTTTTTCTGTACTCGTGTACGTTGGATACTGTAGTTGAATAGGCTTTGTATTTTTATTGTAATTTTAGGTTATTCCAGGTTTTTTGAGACAGACATCTGAACCCAGTGGAAAGCTTCCTGATCTTCTCGCTTATGTCTGTACTGAGGACAGAACGAAAGAGCAACCAAATGCTGTATGGATGCAGATTCAGAAGTGTAATCTGACAAAGTCACGCCTAAACCCTGGAAATACTTTGGCCAAGGTTTACCCCAATTACCCTGATCTCCTTTGATCTAATTGCAAACTGAATTGTATTGGTATACCTCTGTTGGTACATAGTGGTATAGCCTAATAGGGAGAATGTTATGACAATGGTTTATATAGTAGTTTTTTTGGCTTCAATGGATGATTTTATAACATATAATATCTTTAGATAAGGGTAGATAATAATATTACTGATTCAACTATTTTCGTCAGCATGCCTTTTAACTTCTGGACTTCTCATTTTATAGAGTCGGGGACTGAGCAACATAATGATTAGTCCCTCGGGAAAATGCATTGGAATATACCAGAAGCGAAAGCTGCGCATATGGGAAAGTCCAGAGAAAGATTCTGAACATGCTGGTTTAAAAAAACTCAGTTTGCATCATACAAAATCATTTACTGCTATGGCTTTTCATCCAACTGAAAGGACGGTAGCAGCAGGCGATGATAGCGGGAGGATCTTAATATGGAGAGGTGTTGGTCGTCGAACATTTTCTGATAGCAATAAGTTAAACAATGATGATTTGAATATGGAAGACGAGGACAGACCCGGAGTACGGGATGACGATGATGCAGATTCTTGCACTACATGGCACTGGCATTCTGCACAAGTAAATGTTCTCTTCTTCTCCTCAGATGGTGCCTACTTGTACTCAGGTATTATGAATATACTGGAATTTTGTCTTTGATGTGGAAATAAGTTTTTTTGCTCTTGTAGGACCTAGCCTCTTGTTTTTACTTACGTAGGTGGTGGCTTTGTGCATGGTTTCCAACTATTTTGGGAATATATCCAACCACCCAACCCCACTCCTGTTATCCATTTGGTTGGTTAATTAATCTTCATTTCATGAGTGCAAACATGAAAAGTTTAATTTTCAGGTGGGAAAGAAGGTGTCCTAGTTGTTTGGCAGTTGGACACTGGAAAGAAAAAATTTCTTCCACGGATTGGATCTCCACTCCTGTATTTCACCAGTTCTCCTGACCCTTCATTGTCATGTGTAAGCGAAACTCGTACTTGAAGCAGCCATATCTTTCACTATAATCACTTGCTTCAATTAGATGAGTTCTTAATTGTGAGTTTCTTCAGATCTCCTGTGCAGATAATCAAATTCATTTGCTCAGAATGCCTTCAATGGAGAGTCTAAGGTCCATTTCTGGGATCAAGGTTTGTTTTGGAAATATCTGAGTTGTAATATTTGATAGGAAAGGACATTCATAGAAAAAGTACTTACTAATTATAAGATTTTATTACTATGTCACTAGCTTGCCTTATTGAATGCTTGCCCTAGTGAAGGAGAAGAGTATGTTGCATACACACCATGCATTCAATGTGATCTCATTCTGTAATATGCCCTAGAATTGCTGGGTACGCAGCATTAACTTGTGTTTGTTAATTTCTTCACAAGATACTTTTCTATAATTTCAGCTCCCAAGCTCCCAGATGGAAATATGCAAAGGACTTGGTAAAGGAGTTGTATTCAACCATGCTGCTGGCTTGGTTGCAGTACCAACTGAGAATTACCGTGTTCAGTTTTATAGTTTATTGGATGATCGTGAGATTTCAGAGGTGAACATGATCAACACTGAATTCTAAACTTTGATTGGTCCCTATATATCCCAATTCGTTGTATTTATGTTATAAATTCAGTTGTATTACATTACATACACCTGAGTTTTACATGAAATATTGTCTATGTTTAACTGGAAGATTTAACTTTAATCCCTTGCACAGTCTACTAATAATCATTTCCACTGTCCTTTAGAGGTGATTCCGTGTGTTTGTGTGTTTGCAGATTCAAATATATGAGAGAAATCATCACCCGGGGGATGAAATCACGGTATGCTTGAGAATCTGGATTCCAATGGACTCTAGCTATATCTAGATTTATTTATTAATTATTTCGCCCTAATGCAATTATGGCATTTTATGTTCGGACTTGGTATTATACAAAACATTGAAGTCAGCTCCTGTCCTATAATTCCACCTGTGTTGTCTTTTTTTGCTTTTCTTTTGTGTTGTTGCTTCTGTTTTCACCTCTTCGCATTTTCTTCTTCTTTTTCCTGCAATAATGCCTTCGATAACAATCTTCAGCTAGAGCTTGTGTTTAATATTTTATATTCTATATCTGTGTGTGGACTGTTTGTATTGATATATCTTGGGTGGTAAGTTTTTATTATTCTTTTATTTGAATTCATATGATTCAGGTGAAAGTGAATTTGGTATCAATCTCCCCAGATGGTTCCACCATGAGCACTGTTGAAACCAGACTCGCTGAAGAAGGAATTGGAGGCCTGGTGACTCTAAAGTTCTGGGAATGTGACTATCAGAGCAAACAATGTAGTTTGTCTACTGTCATATATGAACCACACAGGTTTGTCTTTTTCTTAGAAGTTTTGAACTCGTGTATGTTAGATGCTACTTTGTGGGTGCACTTATATTTTCAATTAGGCATATGAAAATTGAAGTTTATGATATGCTTCAATAAATGATACAGGGAAGCTGAGATCTCCTCGGTAGCTTTCCGTCCAACTAGTCACATGGCTGTGACTTCCTCCTATGGTGGCGACTTTAAGGTAGATGCTATTCTTTGATGGTTTATATTTCTTGTGAATTTCTCTTAGCAAGAAATCTTCTAATTGGCAGGTGTGGGTTAAAAGAACCGAGACAGCTCCAAATGATCAGACAAGGAAGAAAACGGCCTGGACATGCCATGCTGTTGGATCATACAAGTACTGTCTCTATACAATTTGTCAGCATTGCTGCATAGTACAATTTATTAAGCTTGCAGTTTTGTGCTCTATAATGTTTATAATTTATGTCAATGGCTCTTTATGTATTACAAGCATTGAACAGAAAAATCAAATGTTCTCTTTGACCCTCTATGGCAGGAAGAAGCCTATGACTGCTGCTGCATTTTCTGGCGATGGCACTGTTCTAGCTGTTGCTGCTGAAATCGTTATTACTCTGTGGGATCCAGACAGGAATACTATGCTAGGCGTACTTGGAGATAGTATTGAGGTTTCTACAATTCCTCTGTTGCTAATTTCATTACTATTCAGATTTTCCCTCACCGCACCCATAGTTCACAATTTGTAGCAGACATCTTTCCTTACGTCTGTTGTGATGATTTTCTTGCTATTAGTTTCCTTAACTCGTGTATTTGCTCATTGTCTCAGCGAATTACAGCTCTATCTTTTGTTGGGAAGTCACAGTATCTCGTGTCTGCAGCACGAGGTTCAAATCCACGGTTGATAGTATGGTGTTTGTCAAGTCTTTGTGTGTCTTGGTCCTACAGGATGGATGCTGAGGGTGGGCATTCTATTTCCTTCTGATACAATATTTTTTCCTTAACACTGCTATGTTTTTTCTTGCTCTCACACCATCAGAAATTAATCATACAAAGATGATAAATATAGTTTGTTTCTCAAATTGGCTTCATGCAGCAGCTGGTTGTGATTCAGTTACCAGTGTGTTCACGATATTAATTTGTATCATATGATTGTCATGTGCAGCCATTGCCTGTTCGGTGGACAATTCCACCTTCGCTGTTCTTGTTCCCACAAGGATGCCTAAGCAGAAAGATCCGCCTGAGGCTAAATGTAAGCAGCAGCCATCCGAATCCACAAACACAGAAGGGTTGATCTTACTGTTCAACGTAGAGAATCCAGTGCCCTTGTCGACATGGTTTGTTAACAAGGTGATTTCTTCCTACGATTTCATGGTCTTTGTGGTTATTGTATTTCTGTGGTTCTTACACATTTATTTTGCTTTCTACAATGCGAACTTGCACCTGTTTCTCATGGCTTAATGTCACCTTTTAGCGAAAATATTATTGTAAAGAAATTAAAGCAACACAAAAGAATAAAGGTGTCCCAATAATTGGCCGAAACCTAAATTCAAATTTCAATAATGGTCTATGGCCAATACAAGGCTAACCTAAGATTAGGACCTTAGCTGTAATGTTCTTACCCCTAATACTATGCTCCCTATTAACACCATTGATTCTTGAACATAACTTTTGAGATTAATCTTGCTTTATATGCTGTTAAACGTGAAAACTTAGTATGGCAACTTAGAGCCGAAAATTACTAACATAGGCCTTGGATAGTGATCGAGAAGGAAAATTTTAGGGTTGAGTTATTTATTGATTAGGAAATGAAACATTTCCTGTTGATAGAACAAATCTTGTGCGAGGAATCACATGTCTTACCAATTGCATTTCTGCAGGCCAAGGGTGGACGGCTTTCTTTCCTTAGCTCGAGTCCTAATACAAATGTTGATATTGAGGAAGCAAAAGAAGCCGATGAAATACTTGCTTACGTAAATGGAGCTCATGAATTTGTTCTCTTCGATCCGAGGGGCAAGCAGGAAAGTAATATCAGCCTTCCTCGTAGGAAATACGTGAATGCTGAGGAAACAGGTGAGATTTTCCATCATTGCAGACAAATGCACTTTTCAACTTACGTTATTGTAAAGTTGCTTGTTCATTTTCCATTTGTTTTACTAATGAAAAATATGGTGTGTGTACAGAAAGAGTTGGCTATGCATCTATCTACGGAGAATTGCCAGAATTCAGCTTGAAAAGAGACGCGACTCCGTTCCAAACAATGCCATCTGACAAAACATGGAAAACGATATTCAGCGGACCTTCCCACAGCCTTCCTCCTCTCACCAAGTTGTTGTCAGACTTCCTTGAATCGACGCTGGAGAAGAGGACTACTGCAGTGGAATGAGCCGTCGTTGTTCATGCCTCTTGGTCGAGTTTATATTCTTCCTGGGCGCAATTTTGCACGGTATGAATACGACCAGCCATTCGCAGTCAGGTAATGAAGTTTACGATGTTTGGCGGAGATGGATGGATTCTACATGTGTTGCTACAGCCATTTTTCTTCAAGGTATGCTCATGGCTTGCTGTTTACTGTGATAATTTAAGTTTATGTTGTAGTTAGACAGTTGTGAAATGGTTGGTTAGACGATGAGGAGATGCCTCGTTGTTTTTTATCTTTTTATATAATTAATTAAATATCTAGTGATTTTGTCACGGGGAGTTTTGTCTTTTTTATTATTATTATTGTGATGAGTATTGTTATATTTATTATCTAAACATTTTTAGTATAAAAATTTTGATAGCTTTATAAGGGACTCCCTAAGTTTTTATGTAATGGTTAATTTATGGTTGCAAATCTTGTGTTATAAAATAATATATTTTGTGTTATATGCATATATTTATAGAGTGCCAAATTATTCTCACATTTGAGTATTTTATTTTCGATTCCCTGGGAAAGGGTTTTTTTCGATGATAAGTGCAAATAGATTTTATGTATAAAAAGTTTCAACAAGCAAAATTTATTCTACTATAAATTGCATAGTAAAATACAAAATAAAAACCAAAACGTAGAGAAAAGCACTCTGAAAGTAAAATGTATTAAAGGTCAAGATGAACATGCCCTCCAAATATTTAAAACATCAGTCAGCCCAAAATAAGTCTAAACTTGACTGCAAAAACAGTAAGCAGAAAAACAAGTATTGCCTGCGTCTCCATTTTCTACTTGGACCTTTGTCTCATCTTTCTGCGCTTCCTCTTCAACCTCCTCATACGCTTCTTCTTCCACTGTAAAATGAAGATAAAGAACAAAAAAAGGTCTATGAAAAATGATGCTGAAGAATATAATACAATAACACATTGCTTGATTGTTCATCGAGCTTTAGTACTTGGGAAATTGGAACTGGAACAAGCATCATATTGTACTTGAATAAATGACCTTGACCATATGATCTTGCCGGTTAATTGACAAATAAGCAATGAAAACATCAAAACAAAGTACCATTTTAGGGATTTGAATGGATAAAACTAAATAAATGGAAATAAGAAAACAGCAAAACAAAAGGAGGATATTTCTTGTCATCGTTTTAAATAAACACCAAAGCAAATGTTGGATCTTTTTTTATCCATTGTTAAAGGTGCATGCTTGCCACGTTTATCTCTATATCCTTTTTTTAATTCTCTAAATTTCATTTCAGCTTGAATCATCAGACCTCAATTGTACAAATTTGTTGAGCAGTATCATCTAAACTCTGATTAAAAGAACCTCACAGCCAACCAAAAGGTATATATATATATATAAATGCATGTTGTTATAAGCTTTGGTTGAATTTCACTAGCTACTTTCTTTTCGTTTGGGAGATTAAAATCAAGTCAGCCATTATCAATAGTTCTCTACACCTCAAACTTCTTATTAACTGTCTGTGTCTGTATTTTCTTCTACTGTGCTTCATTCTATACACATAATGAGTAGATAATTGATACTGTGCACATTCTTGCCTTCACTCAAAGCGATCGGACATCAAAACTACTGCCAACTCTGCTCATGTTATCAAAGAAACACACAGATTCGGACAAAGAAAGGGCGATAAATTGCACAACTAGAATCTACAAACTAGACCATAAACAATGATACTGCGTGCTTCGATTTGCTTACTATATTCTGCAATACCTCAACCATTATATATTAAACAATTTCAACACGTCGCGCCAGCACTAACAATATCATAGCACAAATTCACAATCACAAAAAATACGAAGAAAATATTATTTTCAACGAATAGGAAAATTAGCACCTAACATATCGCATGGCTACCACGAGGAGGGAGATAGAAACAACAAATTATAAAAAAACAAAAATCCAGAATTAGCTAAAACAGAACCTCAGTAGTTCATAGCATTTGATATTGAAAACAAACTTGCGCAACATCCGATTATACTGTTTCAAATCGAATCAAGCGCCTAGATTAAAAGGATGGAAACTAGAATTACCTTCGCCCTCATCTCGCTCCGAAATCCTCACTGCCTCTTCTCTCTGCCGGCTAGTATGAGAATGATACAATGCGTGCCAGGTCCCTTTTATATCATGTTCGGCAACCCTAGATTTGAGGTGGAACGACCCGAACCCGATTATGTTTTCGGGTCAAAAACCCTACCCACCCTTTACTTGTCGTATGTGGGCTGTGGGCTGTGGGCTGTGGCCCACTTCTTGTAGCTTCAGTAATTGTTTTACGTAAACATTTGCATTTCAATTTTTTTTTTTAAATAATAATAATAATAATATTCAACACACATTATTAAAATATATTTTTATAATATACTTACATTAACAAACTATTTAAATTAAAATTAAATAAAATTCAAATACAACCAAAGAAACCCTTATATTTATATTTATTTATCATTTGTATATAGAAGGCAACACATCAAAAAGATGAAATATAATTTTAAATAGCTTTAATTTATGAATAATGAAATCATAATGTGGATCAATTAAATTAGATAATGGGCCAAAGTGTACCCTCTGCAGGCTTCAAAAGCATCAGTTGCTGCAGTTCATCTTTATATATTCAAATTTAATAAATTTGGTCAGTCGGTTCGGGCAGTGACCAACTCATCTTTAAAACTCTCTCCTTTAATAGATAAGTATGAATCTCTTACTCTTCATATTTTCAATTCCACCCCAAATTTTGATATTATTTCTCTTCAACCCCTTCCCTCTTCCAAAATTTCAGAATAATGTTCATCTGTTTATTTGACACGAAAAGAAAAAAGTGGAAGACATTTCTTTTCCTTTATATTGCATTATAGATATAAGTATGAAAGTAGTCATTTTAGAAAATATGCGTTTCTTTGCTAAAAGTTTGAAAAACATTTATTTTAATTTTTATATAAAAATAGTATTTGATGAAATATTTTGTGAGAAAAAAAAAATGTAATCTAAATAATAAAACTTAAAATATTTGTGTTAAAAAATACTCCCTACATCTCATGCAATTTGTTTCTATTTTCTATTTTGTCTGTGTCAATTAACTTGTCCTTTCTATTTTTTGAAATATAATTATACATTTTAAATCGCATTTTAAATTTTAAATTTTATAATTTTTAAAATTTTAATTAAACTATTTACTTATTTTAATCTATAATTATTTTTATTAAATACTCCCTCCATCATCCAATTGTGTGCTCATTTGATCGGACACGGATTTTAAGAAAAATATGTAAGAATATAAATTTTTATTCTTTTTGGTAAAAAAAAAAAAAGTGGTATTTTTTTACTAAAAATGAAACGGAAATAAATTTGGATGAACAAAAAAAAGAAAGTGAGAATAGATCTGAATGACTGATAGAGTAATAATTATTTTTACTAATACGCTTTTTAATTACATATTAATTATATTTTACCTAATTTTTCGTATAATAAGCCAAAAATATATGGGACGGAGGGAGTAATACACTTGTGCTTTGATGTAGACATACGTATATTAACTTTTTATTGAATATATACTACTTATTAAATGTCCTACATATATAAATTTTATGTATTAAAAATTATATTATATCTGTTGAGATATTTTATATATTCAGTTTTAAATTGAGTAGATTTATATATAGATTTGATCTTATTCATAGATTAGATTATTTGGATTTGAGTCTATCGAATTTGTTTTGTATTGTTTATATATAGGCTCCTTATTTTTTAATAAGACGTTATTTTCCCTCAAAATTTTAAACAATATCAAAAAAATATATTTTCAACTAAACTAGATTAGGTAGGAAAGTATGAAACTCCAATTGAATAAAGTTTAACATTTTGTTTGATTATATTTTCTTATTCCATTTTAATTGTAGTAAGATATTCATATTATAAATGTTATTATAGAGCTTTTTTTGTTTGTTTGTTTACAATACTATATTTAAAAACTCTACCATATTCATTTACAATCAATTTATTCATTTTATTGTTTTTGAGTTATTCATAATTAATTTATCATTTTTAAAATTTAATAAATATAATTTCTATACAAACAATAAACTAACGAAAACTAAGTATTCATTTACTTTTTGCATGTTGATATTTGGATATTAATTATTATATCAAAAAGTATTACGAATCAAGAAAAAAATGCAAAAATATTAATATTAGTGTCTTATAATACTAATATAATGACATTTGTATAAAAAATTATACAAATATAAAGATATTTTTAACGTTAAGTACAACGACTAAAAAGGTAAATGATACATTATTATGTGACGGAGGGTACTTTAATATAAAAATTAATTAAAAATGAATAAGAAATTAGCAGATGGAAAAATATATTGACAAATTGATTATTATTTGTTAAAGTAGAATAATAAAATTATTGAGTGAATAAAATATTTTATTATAAATAGATTGTGCATAAATTCAAAAGATAATAAAAAATATGATATAATTATGACGGATAAGGAATAATAACAATAATAATAATACATTCGTTTCAACTGAAAATACTTTTTTATCATTTTTATTTGTCTCATTCAAAATTATTAATATACTATCAGAGTAAAAAAATAATCACACATTAATATCAAAATATTTTTTAACTTTTACATAGATTATAAACATATTATTACATATACAAATGACAAAAATATTAAAATTATCTAACATACTTTTACTAATCTATAAAATATTACTCCCTCCATCCCTCATCTCATATCCATATTTTCATTTTTCGTTCGTTGCACTTATTTTGTCACATTTTTTTTTGGAAAAAAATTATACATTTTAATCTTATTTTAAAAATTTTTGTTTATAATTTTTTTTAATTCTAATTATACTAATCAATTATCTTAATCTTAATTTATAATTATTTACTAATTATATTCCTCATAAATTTTCGTATCTACAGACAAAATATTCGGGATTGAGGGAGTATTATTTATTAATTTATTTTAAAACTCTAAAATATCTCTTTTGGATTGAGATAGAGGTAACAACAACAATAATATTAATTGTTTCTAAAAAAATTATATATATACCCCCTCCAAATAGTCTCCAAAAAAGTACTTACATAGTAAAATGAGCCTTGTGTAAAACGAAAAATCAATAGTATTCTTAAATTTATGTATATTGCATAAACCACGTATAATGTAGATTATAAATATAAATGATCTACTTCAACTTTTTTTTGCCATGTTTAGTATGATATATTTTGAGATAATTCATTTATAAACTATTTTCTCCGTCCCAAATAATTTTTTTTTTTGGCATGTCCCAAGCATCATGCAATATTTTCAAAATAAAAAATAATTAATTACTTAATTTCTACTCCACACTTTATCCTCTCGTATCATCTAAATAAAAAAATAAAATATATATTTTTATCTTCATCATATCACCTAATTTCTAAATTATCCTACTTAATACTACCCATCTAAAAATTAGTGTCAAAAGTAAATGTTGCACCTTGTTTGGGACGGAGAGAGTATTAAATTCTGTCAAAATTTACTAAAAACGAATTTTAAAAATTAATAATGCAGCAAATTTCCACGTCACATATATATATATATATTTAAAAAGCTACTTAAATAGAGTAGGAGACTATTTAAAGCGAAAAGAATAGAGGAGGTATATAAAATTGATTTGAATCTATTTTGGAAATATACAAAACCGGCCCGGGTGGGTCAGACTCAGGTCATGTCATGTGTAAGTTCACCAGTAATTTAAACCCACCAGATGCTTCCAAGAACCAATATCCAGTCGTTCCTGGCTTTGACCATGTTGCCACGTGTTCGATTTCTATTGGACGAGAAAAAAGGGCCCCACCGCCACAATACTGTGCTTGCTATTTATATGCGCCCTTCACTATGCCCAGTGGGGCATAAACGTCTCCTCCGATCCCCAACTAACACCAAACCCTAGCTAGCTAAACAACTTCTTCTTTCCTCCGACCTGGTCTGGCCTACGTTTGGCGTTTTCCGTTGCTGTGGTTTAGGTGACGGTACAGTATTTTTTTGCTCTGCTTTTTGTGTGTGTTTCTGCAGTTGATCGAGTGTTTTAGGTGAAGTTTTGTGCTGTAAGGATACTAGTGAGTGGTTACATGATCATCGGTCATGGCATCCGCATGCGTGAACAACATTGGAAGGACGCCGGAGAGTTTTCTGGACTGTACTCCGGCGAAGTTTTCGTCGTACGGGTGGCTGAGTCCGAGAATCTCTATTAGCCGTGAGTTTCCGGAAAAGGAGGGAGTGAAAGGCTCCGTCACTATGCCTTCGCCGAAGAATCTATTGTTGCCTGACGATGTGGAGAAAAGTAAGCCGGAAGGAGCAGATCCGGAAAGCTCTGCTAAGGATTTTGTGGATTTTGAGTTCCGTCTCGAAGATCCGGTTACAATGCTCCCCGCCGATGAGCTCTTCTCCGATGGTAAACTTGTACCGTTGCAGTTTACGAACATGCGGAACACGATGACGCCAGCTTCCGCGTCTTCTGACGTTAGATCTCAGGTGACGCCTAAATTTCGCCATAGATGTGAAATATCGTCAACAGATCCGTACTTGTTCTCGCCAAAGGCACCGAGATGCTCGACTCGGTGGAAGGAGCTTCTAGGCTTGAAGAAGATGTACCAGACCAACAATTCAAAGCAGGAGGATCTGAAAATGGCGGTGGCATCATTATCCTCTCATCGGCATAACAGAAATGCAGCCAGAAGCCTGAAACATCTTCTGAACCGTAGCTCGAAATCCCCGTTAATTACATCCACCGATTCATCTTTAAGCCTTCCACTGTTACCTTTAAAGGACTCTGAGAATGAATCGGTATCAATATCCTCTAGACTTTCACTTTCGTCCTCTTCGTCCGGCCATGAGCACGACGATCTTCCTCGACTTTCACTCGATTCAGAAAAACCAAAATCCGTTGCTCGGAACACTCACCAAAACACTAATTCTATTTCCAGAGTTCGCTTATCCAAGCATAAGTCGACGAAATCGTCGGAAAACGCTACAGCCAACACTCGAGCTGGCCGGAGTCCGATTCGAAAAGCTCCTGAATCAACACTTCCTGTTCGAGGCGTTTCAGTGGATAGTCCTCGAATGAATTCCTCCGGAAAAATAGTGTTCTACGGCTTGGAAAGAAGCTCCAGCAGTCCGAGCTCTTTCAATGGCGGACCAAAGCATAGACATCGTGGAATGGAAAGATCGTATTCAGCTAACGTCCGAGTCACTCCAGTTCTCAACGTTCCAGTTTGTTCACTTCGAGGCTCGTCCAAATCTGGTGTTTTCGGTCTTCCTTTATTCTCTTCCCCGCAGAAGAAAGAATCCGGCGGTTGCGGTGGAGTCGGAACCAAAAACCAGTCCAATCATGGCAGAAACCGCACCTGAAAGTACTGTGAGTAGTAATTTCTTTACAACTGCAGTAATTAACTCGCTTTTTTCTTCCCTAAGGCCTACACACTGTGGATCCTAGAGTAATGTTCGTTTTCAAAGTTCTACGGCCTATAGCCTTTTCTTCTTTGAACAATATAATCGTTTTCTATTTACCACCATATGTACATATTCAATCATTTCTCCCCTGTGTTGCTGAATCCAAACCTAATGCTGAATATCCTTCACTTTTTCGTTGCTTTTGTTTACCGGAAAGTTTTTGTGGAATCTCTCCTCCTTTTTTCTTCCACTTTTCAGTTCTGGATTTTAGCGATAGCATGAGGACATTGTTAGCTCTTGTTCTTTGCTCACGCGCCCCACGCGCGTGCGGTTGCAATTCTGTTGACCCACAGTTTTCCGACTGTAACGTAACATGAGATCCATGGCATGCATTTCGTGCTCATTCACTGTTGCATTAGTTGTGCTCTATTTTTTTTAATTTTAAATTTTTTTATATTATTTGGACCATCAATCTGATCCCAATTCACAAGTCCCTTCCCTTGTCCTTTTTTACATTTGAAATTTAATTACCATAAAGTAAGCAGAGGTAATAATTTACATTGCCTTTGTGTTAGATAAATGAGTAAATTCTAAATTGCGATAAACTAGTCTATTTTATGGTTGCAGCAGCATATCTTTATTGCCTGAAATTAAATATCTGAGTCTGAGTGAAGTGTTGCTTTCACTCCTCCATTGACCAGATCTCGAGCATTAATTTGCAATAGCTACTCGTAGTTTTTTGTAATTATAAATTCTGGTATTGCTTGGTGTGCCATTAACTGCTCTTTGAATGTGCTGCTATCAACCGGGTCGGGTCGCCTTCTTCTTTGTTACAGGTGTTTTTCTTTTTCACATATTTTGAATTTTAATTTTTTAAATTTTATTTTAAATAATGAAGCCTTTCATTATTACCATTATATATATATATATGTATATATAGTTATTGACGACATCTCCAGCTGGTCAGGTCAGGTCAGGTCAGCTTCTAACGGTTGACAGGTGGCTGTTCAAAGGCATTTGGATCAATCAATGAATGTGAGATTGATGGCTTGGGAACAGGGAGCAATGTCTCTATATCAACACTATAGATTCACCTGTCCCTATCATTCATTACTCAATAAAAATATATATATATTTTAAAAATCTATACACACAACACAACGTAGTTCAAGGTAAATGGCAGTAGTAATTTTAAATTGAAATTTATAAAATAAAAATTTTGAATTGAAATAATGATATAATATGATATAAACAGGTGTTTTGAATGTGAAATAGATTTTTAATTTAATATTTTTTATAAAAAAATAACATTGGATGAATAACAAATTTTGGGAAGAATCCCCGGAATAAACACAGTCTAAACTAAGGTCACAATGCCCATGAAATCAAATCAACTACCAACAAATTCTGGGAAGAATTGATACAATTTTATTCCATAATTTATAAAATAAAATAAATCTTCTTTGATAAATCCCATGTTTGCCATTATCTATGGGTGTGTTTTGTTTGGAGGATTGAGAATGATTTACAATATTTATATAATTTTTTTTTCAAAAAACATCAAATTAACTAGTTATTTTTTTTTATATTATATTAAAAATTAATTTTATATTTAAAATATCACATTAATATTTTATCTATATCGCATTATATTATATTTCAATTCAAATTTTTTACTATTTAAATATCAATTTAAAATTCAAACCTCCATCAAACACACCTTAAGGAGTGTGTTTACTTGTCAGGTTTTACACCTGATTTTACTATTTTTTTTTCTCTTAAAAAAACATCAAATTAAACATCCAATTTTTATTTATTTTATTACATTCAAAATATCGTATCAATACATATTTATATTACATCAAATAACTATTTTAATTCAAAATTTGTCTATTCGGAATTCAAAACTAAACCCTAAGTAAACACACCCATGTACATGTATTTGTGTCTCTATATATAAGATATATTAAATAATTTCAATTATTAGATAGTATGGGTTTTGGCTTCCTTGTCCTTGCTGTACCTGTATGCCTGTATCTTTACATATCCACATTGAGAACAGCACTACTCTGCATGTGTACTACAGGGCAATTATAATAGGGTGTGATTCACACACCCCCCTTTGAAGTAATAAATTCAAATACAAACAAAAAACAAATAAAACCAACTTAAATATAATTATATAATGATCAATTTTGATAAACAAAAACCAAACCCAGAATCACATGGGGTTGCTGGCCATGTTATTGTTACCTAAATCTAAATCCATTTAGGGAATTTCAGAAAATAGTGTGGGACAGAGTTTTTGAAGGATGCACAAAAATATGTATGAATATTGATCTTTTCTCTTTATTTTTGCTATACAATTATCACAAAATTTTATTGGGCTACTTTACAAAAATAAATAAAATACAAGCCACTATCTAAAAAAATAATAATAATAAACTAGAAAAAATAATAAAATGAAAGAACATATCCTTGCCTTAATTAGAATCCTCTCATAAATTTGGTCCCTTATTTAGGGAAGGAAAGGGCATGGGATGATGATAAATTATGGCAGCTTTATATGAATTATTTATTTATTTAAGGTAAGGTGCAGAATGAAGAACAATTTCGGGCAGCAATCCAAAATGGGGAAGGGTCAGCAATCATCAATCAGTATATTTATACCTTTGGGGGTTTATCATTATTCACAATTCATATGCTTAATAATAATAATAATAATAATAATAATAATAATAATAAAACTATTTATTTTTATTTAGTATTCAACTAGTACCTTTTTTCTTTTCTTTTTTTTTTTGTGAAAAATTTGGATATAGTCAATTTTTTTAAATGAAATAGATATTTGATATAATATTTTTTATATTTTAAATAAATATGATATTTTAAAAAAGTATATATTAGAAAAATTGTGTGAAAATTATTCATAATTATTTCAACAGTGTGTAGTCACTTGTTTGGTAGCTGTTTGTTATCTGGATTTTCCACCACCTTCACACACATGGATAGTTGGATATTTTTATTAATTTGTTTAAGATTTAATATAAACTTTTAAAATTACTTCTTTACTTCAATGCTTTGATACTACCACCTACCAATTCGATAGGAATACAATATTTAAGAAAAATTGGATAGGAATGCAATATTTAAGAAAATATAGTTTAACAAATTAATGATAGTAGATTATAATTTTTTTTATTTTTTTTATGTGGATGATGAAGTTTAGGGGGTGTAGTCAATATAGATTTTGTTGGACTTTCAAAATTTGGGTGTATTCAATCAAGATTTTTAAAAGTTTTTTAAAATCTAGAGGTATTCAATCAAGACTTTTAAGTCTTTTAAAATCTTGAGGTATTCAACGTACACTTTTTTAATTGATTTTTGTGAAAATTTTGTATAAAAAAGAATCTCTCGTTGTAGTATATGTGATAAATAATACGATAATATTTATTACTATTATTATAATTTTTAATAAAAATAATAATTTAAAACTAAAATATATTAGCAAATTATTATGATTTTTTTTTAAATATATATTTTTATATTATAAATATAATTTTAAAAATAATTATATCACAATAAATATGTATTACTGTCGTCTTTTCTTTTCAATTATCGAATACACTATATTATCATAAGCTAGTGAAATAGATATTTAATTATATATTTTTTGTTGAACCGTTAATTTATATATATTTTTAAAAATATCGTAAATTATTTATTTATTTATTTATTTTAATATAATCTTTTTACATAAAAAGTAAATACGTATATATTATTTATTAAAACTTATATATTATTTATTATATTTATAAATATTATCTTATTAATAATTATTTATTATATTTATAAAATTTATTGTTTGATATAAATTTATATAATTAATATATATTCATAAAAAATTATTTTACAGTCCTACAAAATTCATATAAATCTATAAAGAATTCAATCAAATTCGTAAAAATTCATCTAAATTAATTACTAAAATCCATCAAACTCAACATAGATTTATTGGATTTTCTAAATCCACATAAATCCACGGACTTTTTGAAATCCAAAAAAATCCATTAAAATCCCAATTAAATACACCCCCTTAGTATTTTTAAAATAAAAATTAATATGTATAATTTAAAATCCTACTAAATAATTTGATTAAAATTTAAATTATAAAATTTTAAATATAATTAGAAATCTACAAGGTATGTTTATTTGTGGGTTTTAATTTTTAAGTTTAGATTTTTAAATAGTAAAAAATTAAATTTGAATAGTTGTTTGATGTTATAAATAAAGGTTGATGATACGATATTTTAAATATAAAATAAATTTATAATATAATATAAAAAAATAATTATTTAATATAATATGTTTTTTTTTAAAAAATCTGTATTAAACCCACAAGAGAACATAACTATAATTTTTTTAAAAATAGATCAATTATATGCAATCATAATAATAATAATAATAATAATAATAATAATAATAATTAATAATTAGATAATTAATATTTAATTTATTAAAGATAATAATATAATAATAATAAATGAGATTCTGGCACAGGAGAAATAACGTGCTTGTCACTTCTCTGTCGCCTGTCTGTTCAAGATTCCAATTTACTCCACACCCACGCGCTCTATTCCCTCACAAAATTCACACGCGCACAACCACGTGCTCTATCACGAGGTCCTTTCAGAATTTGGCTGTGTTCAGTGTTATTTTGTGTTTGTAATTCAACCCGAAAATACTTAGTAGCATCTGTTTGTGCGGACATTTAGATTTTGGATTGAAATTTGAATAATAAAAATTTTAAATTGAAATTAATATTTAGTATAAATAAGTATTGAGGTAACAGTTTGAATATAAAATTAATTTTTAATATAATATAAAAAATAAAAAAATAAATATTTAATTCGATATTTTTTAAAAAATATTTTTATGTGAAAAATGGAAGTCTTTTCAAAATCTCCAAACAAATACACCGTAGTAATTTCTTATTTTAGAAAAATAAGTACTCCATTATCTAATAAATACACATTTTATTTAGTGGCTGTTTCTAAAAGCCATAAAAAATTGGATACGGATATTTTGCAAAAAAAAAAAATAATAATAATAATATATTTTTATTTAAAATTATACAAGACAAAACTAATATCATAGAAATTAATTTGAATACTTCCTCCGTCTCATAACAAAATATTCATTTTTTTTTTAGTAATTGTACCGTCTATCTAATATTACAAAAAATTAATTTGAATACTTCCTCCGTCTCATAACAAAATATTCATTTTTTTTTTAGTAATTGTACCGTCTATCTAACATTACAAATACCCTTACAACTTATAATATATTACACAAATGTCATTACTTTTATATCACACCATACTAATAAAGTTATTTTACTCATTATATTTTATTGATATTGTATCCCAATATAATACTAATATTTTTAAAATTATGTGCAAAAAATAAATAAATACATAATTATGAGACGACATAATAATAATAATAATAATAATAATAATAATAATAATAATAATAAAGCACAGACACTCATAGGGCATTAGACATCGCGGTGTCTACGTTTATCTATTTTATATATAGGTGTGTTTATTTTTTAGTTTTTGTTTGGTTGTAATAATTGAAATATTATACTTTATTGATTGTAATTGTCGGGTCTTTATCTTTGTTTTGTTGTTGGACTAATTGATCTACATCTCTAATAATAGGATTTGATTTTCGATGGGAATTGCAATTTCGATCATATTGAAATTGAAATAAAGTTTTGTTGATTGAATAGTTTCACCAGCCGATTCCTACACTATTACCTCTTCTATTAATTTAGGCTTTCTTTATATGTATTTTTTTTTTTTTTATTGGATTTAAAAAAATTTAAAATAATAAAATATTAATATTGATCCTCTATTTTATAAAATAAAAAATATATTGAATGGAATATTGTTAAAGAAACTAATGTTGATAAATAGTGTAGAAGCTTTCAAAAAAGTATAAAAAATAGATACAAATTGATTATTATTAGTTAAAAAATTGAAGTAATAAACTTATGAGTGGTAATAAATTTATTTATTTTACTATAAATACATAAACTATAAGTTTGCCTCTTGAGAGAATGGACTCGTAGCCGTGAGCAGTAACGGAACTATCAGTAAAATTCGGGGGCAAAAAAATCAATATATATATTTATCGATTTAATATATATATTTTTTAATTCATAGCACATCCGGACAAAAAAATAAGAAAATTTAAATGTTTTAAAAAAAATTTCAACAAAATTATATAAAATTTAATACTTTTTATTATAAAAAAATAAAGTTTAAAGTTACGTTTTGCAAGGTAAAAAGACGAAATTGACGAAATTGTCTTTATTAATTGATATAAAAATAATAAACGATATTTGTGTAATATATTATAAATTGGAAGGATATTTATAATGTTAGGTAAATAGTACAGTTACTAAAAAATTGAATGTTTTATTATGAACGGCCGAAAATAAAAAAATAGATGACAAAGAAAGTATAATTTTATTATTTTTTACACTAAAACATACATATATTTTGGAGGCCAGTGTCACTTGCCCTTAGCCAATGCATATCCGCCCTGAGTCCGTGAAGTCATGAGTATTGATTTGATAATATATATTGATATTTTATTATTGTAATAATTTTTTATTATTTAAAAAAAATTTCAAAACAGAAAAAATTCTACGATAAATATACGGTGGTGCGGAGCTGAGCCGGAGGCAATTATTATCGGCTTGACGCTTGATTATTGACAACCGCGTAAAATAATGGGCTAATGGGTTACTTTTTAAGGCCCAAATTTGGCAATTGGATCAATGAATCTGGGCCCAATGGGTCGGTTCGGATTTGTGAGTGGCGATGCAATTGCTTGTCTTCCGAATTTCGGAGTTTGGCGGCAGCGGTGGAGAATAAGGTTTGCGAAGCGGCGGTGCCGGCGGAGAAGGGAGAAGCGTCATGGCTGATGATGGCGGAAAGTGCGAATACTCGTGCAGGACAGCCAGCGAAACTCTGGAGTGGATTCATGCCATAATCGATTTCCTCGAACCATACCGATTCCTCTTAGATGCGCATGTCGTCAACTTCTTCAAGGCAATTCCTCTTTCGTGTTACGTATTATGATTGTTGCTAAAAATGTTTAATGACATTGTTTGAATTGAATGCATGGTTGATGGACTGTTGACAGGATAGGCTGTGGGAAGCGGTTGATAGAAAGTGGATGGATTGTCTGCGGAAAGAACCCGTGGAGAAACTGTTGCAACTTCCTTCTGGTGTTGCTCAGGTCATTTTTTGTTTTCTTGATGTTAATTACAGTAATTGCTTCAGTAGTTTGGCTGGTAGAACCGTCTATGGTATTGAATCTTGAAGGAGATTGTTTTCAGCTTGAACAAATATAATAATAGCAGGCAGAATTAGAGTTTTGAAATGCAACATCTAATTTGTCACTGCCTTTTGAAGCTTCAGTTTGCATTAGGCTTAGCTTATGTTTGAATATGTTAGGCTTCATGATGACAGGATCATTGGCCAGCTTCGCTTAAAGAATATGTCCATAAGTTGAAGTCACTTTCTCTTCCTCGTGAGCAGATAAATCTACAGAAGGTATTGTCCACTCAACTCCACTCTTTAGGTTATTGCTTTCCATCACACTATAGCTCAATGGTGGGAGACTGCTTTTTGATGAAATGACTAACTTGAGTTCATTAAAACCTTCATATAAAGAAGCTGAGGTTTTGTGGAAAAGTCATGTAAATATATCACTAAGAGCTTTAACTAAAGCACAACACCATAATTGGTTGGCTTTGTCTCAACATTGGTTTTATGGACAGAAAAAGAAAATTCACCCTCAACTTCATAAGCAACTAGCCAAAAACTCACGCAATGCACAGTAAAATTAAAATAGACTTATTGCAAAAAGAACATAAAAAGAACACTGTAGATGAAAAAACATAAGGTAATTGGTCTGTAAAAATTGGGAAATATGGAAGAATGAAAAATAACCTGTAAAAGAAACTGCTTAGAAAGTTTGCGAAATAAATTGTTTAGAACGTATTTACATCTAAAACTGCAAAAATTATTTCCAAAGAAGAAAAGCTATTTTTTGTTTTAAAATAGGTGTGGGGTCAACACTTTCTTCAAATGTAAATACACACACCCTTCAAATATATATGTGTATATCTATATATATATACACCCAAGTGTGAATTCAGTTTTGGTTGTCCCTTGCAGGTTTTCCCAGGTTTGAGGCTACAACCTCTAAACAGTGTCCTTGCACAAGGCATGAATCAAAAGAAAAGACATGAAGTATGTCACGGTCCCTCTCTCTCTCTCTCATTTATTTATTTTTATGCCATTGCCAACTTGTGAGGATTGGATCAATTTTTATATACACATTTCTTACTCAGTAGTGATGTTTTTTATGACATTAGCCAGATTAAGTATGATAAATAAAATGTGGTTTGTCATGGATACTGGGTACTTTCAATGTCAAATTATTAGCTATTTATAAAAATTTTGGTAAATGGATAAAGGATATATTTTGAAGATTATCCGTATTCTAAACCTGCTTTTATTATGGTGTAATTTCTATAAATTGCAAATATATTTAGTGAGAATGAAATGAATGGAACCAAAGCTTGCAAATTAGGATTCTAGTTGATGTCTGTTTGCCTTGTCATAAATTGATATATGCAACTAAGTTATTCCATGTTTAATTTTTGTCTGAGTAGATTGAAGCCCTCGCAGGCGTCATTGCTTCCGTTGCCAGGAGAAACGAAGCACAAACTGTTGTGGACGTTGGTTCTGGTCAGGTAAGATATCTTTTGCTTTCCTTTGCATCAGATCACTGTTTTTCTTATAAATGTTATGTGCATATTTCTTTAGTGCTTGATCTTCTATTATCTGATTTTCTCAACTGGTAGCTACTGTGATGGCTTTGTGTGGTTTTATTTTACAGGGCTACCTTGCTCAAGTTCTTTCGTTTGAACATGAGCTGTCTGTAATAGCAATTGATGCCTCTTTACATCATGGAAACATTACTGCTGCTCGTGCCAAGCGAATTGAGAAATATTATGCTGCTAAGATTAGAAAGTCTCGGTATGGGATCAAGTTTTCTAATATTATGTGTATTACTGTTGGTCTAGATTTGTTACATGCATGCTTATACAATGAGTATTCTGCATAAAGTTTTAAGTCTTTGAATTTACATGAGGCATTTATACACCAAACTTGGTGCATTTCTTTTAGGTGCGACGGTCATTTAAACAGATACCTTCCTTTATCCTTTATCAGATATAAAATCCTGTTTTATTATGTTTTTCAAAGTAGTTGCTTTTCCTAACTCTCATTGAGAATTTAATTACCCATCCGGACTTTGCATAAAGTCATTGATATTTCTGTTATGCATGCAGTATATATGGCATTCATATGATCTGGCTTAGGTGACATTTTTGCCTTTCAAACTTAACCAATTATGTAATTTCTTTCACCAGATCAGAATATAAAGGTTTCAGAAAACCAAAAACAGTAACATGCCAAGTGCTATCTCCTGCCACGTTGAAAGATATCAGTAGGTCCACAGAGCATGTGGATGATTTGGTGAAGCCATCTGTTTTTAGAGAATATGATGAAAGAACACTTCTTGAAGAAAGTCTTGGAAGTGAATCTCCCTACACTTTCAAAGCTAATGGCAACACATCTTTAATCCTGGCTGGACTTCATGCATGTGGAGATCTTTCAGTGACCATGCTTAGGTCCGAATCTTGATTTTTTAGTTTATTTCTTGGATGTATCGGAATTGTAATTAGCCTGCTTCACAAATTGGCTTTGCTTTATTCCTCAAAAGAAAAATGAATGTTCTTTTTATTATTATCTCTCTGCAACAATGACATTATACTCATTCATACTTGGTCTTTTACATTGCAAGTCTTGACATTGATGGAAGCTTAAGAGTGCAATTGTTTGAACTTTTCAGGATGTATACGTTAGTCTGATTTCGTACTGTGCTCTCTGCTTGTGAGATTCTTACTTCGATTTCTCACTTTAATTTACCAATATCCAGGACATTCATGGAATGCCATGAAGTTAAAGCGGTGATTAGCATTGGTTGTTGCTATAATTTATTATCAGAAGGTGTCAATGGAGGTGACGATCAATGTGGTTTCCCAATGAGTAAAGGTGCTAAATTTGCAGGTTTACAGATAGGAAAAAATGGCCGTGATCTGGCATGTCAGGTAGCATTCCATCCTCCATATACTCTTGTTTCCTTATAGTTGCTACATTGAACATATGAACTGTTTATATCAAACGCACACATGGGCTATTCTGTCATGCTAACCATCATTGGACTTTGCAGTTTTGGTAATTAGAGGTTTTCTTGGTGCACAATCTAATGATATTCTATTTTATCATAAATTAGTATTTTTTTGTTTGGATTCCACTCTTTATACGTGTGACATTTAATTAAGATTTGTATCTGCCGCTTAATTATCTGAACTCTATTTAGATGTTTTATGTATTTATTTAGTCTTTCTAGTTTTGTTTAAATTACAGTGTAAAAATGAATTATTCTTCTGTCCAAATTTCATCCCCAATATCACTATAAATATGAATTATTTTGCTGATATTGATTAGATTCATTAGAGTGCAGAAAGGTGGAAGGATTTGGGAGGAGATGCTGGCCTTCACAATTTTGAGCTTCATGTATTTCGTGCTGCCTTTCAGATGGTATGGTTGGATTTTCCTTTTTCCTGTATTCTCATTTTAATTTCTCTCTGTTACCGTGTCATGGAGGATGGGTGAGTTCTCTGTGTCAAGTCTTTACATGGCTGACAATTAAGTAAGTAGGTTTACAGTGTACAAGTCATTACCTCAAGTAATTTAAAAGTTTAATGTACTTGGTAATCTGCCTGTAAAGCTCCGCTAACCAATTGCTTCCTATGTGAAGGTTCTTGATCGGTACTACCCAGAAATTATTGGTAGAAGCCCTGCAATAGGGCGTCAAGGGAAGGCTTTGCGCCGCCAACATTATCGAAGGATCTTTGAGTCTAATGCATGTACTGCAAGATCCTCCTCCCAAAACAATTTGACATCAGATATTGCTCATGGGTCCATCAAGGGTAATAGTTCTGATTTAAGACAGTTGATTTTATTTTATTTTATTTTAATGGTGAAAAGCTACTTGTTATTGCTTAGTGCCCCTTTTATTTGCGTGGGGCATTACAGCAAAAGGACAATTGTGAAAATGAAATGAGAAAAATGATGGGAAAGAAATGCTAGTGCAAAGAATTGACTGGTTTATATGCCATTGTGACCTCGGCAAGCATTGTAATGTGTCATACTGAAGCTTTGGTTTTACTTTCTGGATTTTACTTATTCCAGGTTCCGCAATGATGAAAAATAATTCCGATGATAGAATGTTCCCAAATTCTAAATCTTCAAATGAACCAAGTTCTGCTGATAGGTATCCCATTTTTATGGAGTTTTGCAAGTCTGGATTAGGCCGGCTTGGTCTCAGTGACTCACTGGATATTGAATTCACTATGCTTTGGAAGGAAGTTGAACAATTTTCCGTAAGTTTGTCTTTGAATGTTTTTTCTTCTATTTATTTATTTGGTTGTTTGTTTTTTGGCTGCATTTTTCCTTTCTATATGTGATTGGATAAAAAGGCAATTTCTCATATTTTTCTTGATACCATTTTCTCTGCCATGTCTGCTTGTCTTATGAGTTTAGGCATTGGCTGTTAATGTTAAGCATTAGTTGCAGATCATCATAATTGGTCATAGGAATTATGTCAACTTTGATTAATATAATGATTTAACGGACAACGTGAAGTATGTTGCACATGTTAGACAGTTCTGAAGCTGGCATCAATATTCTAGCTCAGAACTGAAGTTGTCAACTGATGTAAAGTCATTACCAATTTTCTTCTGGACTCTGGACATTAAAATAAGCACATATCATTACAACACCATGGAGGTGCAATAAGAAAGAAGTGCAAAGTGGTCATTGTACACACTACAAAATGATTCAAGAGGATTGCATTGGATCAAGGAACAAATAAAGGCCCTATGAATTATTTTGTTTATAATCTTGGTCAAACTTCTATAATATTTTCATTCTTAGACTTAATCCATCTCAAGCCTTTCTGTTCCTTTCCACAATTTTGTGTATACAAAAGTGACCCATCAAAAGCCCTAACCCAAATTTCTGCCAAAGTTGCCTATATAGTGTGGTCATTAAGATAGAAGATGATGATCCGTGTCTTTTAATACAATTTTTCCTTCAAAGTAGTTGATTTAATGTATTTAAGCCGAAAAAACTATATACGCTGTTAAGTTTGTACCTTTCCTCTACGATGCAGACCTTTTGTTTTTGTATTTTTATTTTTATTTTTATTTTTCTGTATTCGGTCTGTAAGGATTTGTGAGGTTTTGCATATATAATGTAAGAGTCATTCTGAAAACACCAACAAGTCTCTGTTGGAATTTATTACTATATTCAGGAGTGCTGTGTTATTGTGTTCCAGTGTTGCTTCTCTTTGTTGATGAGGAAACACATAATTGAAGAATGTTCTGTAATAATCTGTTCTCTCTAGTAAATATATTAAGAAATGTTTTCTTCAGTTTCACCATATCTTTGTGAAGGGAGATAAATGCATTAACTGCAGGAACTTGTTGGACCTTATTGGACGCTTCGAGCTGCTCTAGGACCTGTTTTGGAAACTGTTTTGCTGCTTGATAGATTGCTATTTCTCCAGGAGCATGGAAATGTGCTTATAAGGCCCGTTATGCTAGCTTTATTTGATCCTGTATTATCCCCAAGAAACATTGCTTTAGTTGCTGAAAAGGTCTAACATTTATTTGGAATATGAGAAGCTGGAAGTGATACATTTTGAAGCTGAATGCAATGAAGTCCCAATTTGATGTTCTATTTGCATCTATGGAAGGAGTTTCACGTTCCCAGAACTGTAATGTTTATGTATCATTATTACCTGATAGTAATGCTTAAGCTTATATGACCTTTTCCTCGTGATGTGTATGTTCCTCTGTATTGCATTGTTGTACTTCATCATGATAATAAATTTTGTATAATTTTGAATCCATGGGATAGTCATCTAATGAGGGTATTTATTGGCTTACGAGAATTTGTCGGTGAGTTAATTATTGAATGTTATTTGACATGTAAGTTTGATGTTAGTTATAACTTATTTTCTCATGATGTTTTTAGAAAACTGATTAGAGAACTCCATAGCATTGATTGCTGTATTCTAAGGCGGAAGCTTTCTATGCATGAATGTCATAGACTACTAAGTTTGGTTTTAGCACCTTGTCTCCTTTCGTGGTGTTCTAAGTAAGAATATGCAAGAACCCATTCATAATACTGCTGTGGAGTCAACACTGCAGCCACTCTTGATTGATAGACGATGCATGAGCATGGCTCATTGCAAATTCTGTGGATAAGTAGAGTTGCTTGGTATCTATATTTTGCCTTTGCTTGACCTTTTCCTATCATTCATACTTTTTTTTTTTAATTTTTTTATATTTAAATATACAATATATGCTTTGTATTTCAAATTGATTTACTGATATTTTATTAGCATATACTTTCTTGTTCTTTAATATGATCATTGTTTGTCTATAGCAGGAAGTTCATAATCACACCCTGTGTAGTATGGAGATAAACTACATGCTGTTATAACTTTTTCTTCATCCAATAGTATTAATATTGTTTGTAAGTTATGAGACATCTTCAGTTCACACTCTGCAAATGAAGGCGCAGCCTCTTTCCTTTGCAATGTAATCTCTGCAACTGATAGTGGACTGTTACTGCTAACTGTAGATAATAAGATGGTGTTTTTCAAAAAGTAAACAAGTTCTTCTACATAGGTTGCAGCTCTCATTTTAACAGTTTTAAGTTTGCAATTTACCCAGAAAAACATCCTTGGAGAGTTTCTGCTCATTTTGTGAAACGCTCTAGTTGATGCTTGTTATTTTCATCTTGACTTTTTTCTCTTTTCTCTTTTTTCTTTGCTTTTTTTTTTTTTCCTCCACATTTCCTTGTCTTTACAACATCCTTTTTTGTTCAGCTATTTCTTTCTTTACTTTTTTTTTGTTTTTTCTTCAAGTTGGTGGATATAGATAATTTGATGGAAAGTTGTGAAGACTGGAATATTAACCGAAGGGCTTAGAGACTTTCTTCTTTATCTAGTGACTTAGGTTGCTCTAGACTTTATATAACTTTATATGGGATGATAGGGACAATAGGTTTTATTTTGGCATCATTCTTCTATACATCTTATACTTAGTCAAAAAATTCAGATGACCATCAATTTCATAGTCAAAATTAAGAACACCTCAATTTTTATCACTTATTCTCTGTTGTTTAAGGAACATTCTATGCTAATAAATTTCTATGTAACTCCTACTCCCACCCACTCTCACCCGCTTTGTACATATGACTGTATCTCTTTTATTTTGTGAGATCAAAACGAGATTAATTAAACTCAGTAAAAGTGTGTTATTAGTCTGATTTTTTATTTTAAAAGTTCTTTGAAGCAGTTCTAAATTAAACTTTGTTGTTACTTCTGCATATTCGCACTCAAATTTATTGATATGCTTGTTTACACATCATTTAATATTTTTGTTAAGATGTCATTTGTGGATCTGTGGACTTGGGGCATTTTTAGAATGATGGAAGGGCCACACGTGGTATCGTTAAAAATCACTTGTCATCACAAACAGGTGTTGGTGGCCCTTTGCAACTTAGTGCGTGGTGGGGATTGACAACTACAGCTTGTGAGATAGACAATGTTAGTGTCTGGAACATGATAACCTGAGAGGTTGCCATCAATGTAAAGGCAGATGATTCTACTATTCGAAGTACTTGGACACAGCTTCATGGCTTTGGCATTCAGGTCAAATTGAACTCTCAGTAATGCCAATATTACTTTGGAATGATATATGGGTTGTATAAAGTGTCCTTTTCAGTATTCTTTGAATGAAAGTGCCCTCATTCTTATCAAAATGGTCACTAGGATTCCCAATATCTGGGTGAATTGAGGTAATTAATTAGTGTTCATTTATTTCAATTTTCTGTGGTGCTAAGATATCTTGACTGAAACTGCCCCCAAAATGTTGAAAATCTTCCATGTTTATCTTGGTAACTTGGTTGATGAAACCCATCAAAAGAGTAGTAAAACTGCTAAGTAAGACCTAAGAATATTCATTTGTTGCATCGTATCTAATAAACATCATATGATGATGCAGGAAGCCTTGATATATAAACTTTGATTAGCAACTTGTTACAGCTGCACCAACTGTTGATGCTTCTATTAGTTATAACAAAGCTGGTCAGCAGCAGCCAATCAGGTATTTCAATCCTGGTCAACTTTGCAAGTTGCATGCTTGATGACTGATTATTTGGTGGGCACGTATTAAACTCATGTTTTTGTGTTACTCTGTGGTAGTATATAAATCATCAAAAATTTCAAGACCCACATAAAGGAAAGAAAGCATCAAACATTTGGACATTAGCCTTAGTTGTTACCAATTATTTTTCACAAAAGTTAATCACTAAAAACATCAGATATATGATAATGTGGGCGCGGCCATGATAACCTGCTTGACTAAACTAATTAGTGTTAGCGTAGCCAAGTGAATAAATGATAGTGTGTGGGCACAAACTGACTGCCCTGCCCTGCCCTGATTGTTGGAATTAAGTGAATAAATCAGCTATGGTGTGTGCATACTACTTTTAGGAGCTAATCAATGAAATTAGAAGAAACTGCCAAAACAGAGTCCTCCAAAAGGTCACCCTCTTCATTGTGTAAGTGGGGCGGATTAGAAGCCACTAGTTTGGAGACAACTCTATTTATCTACTGTGCACTTCGCCATCTTGTGTGAATTAAATTTTACATCCTACTGTGCACTTCGCCATCTTGTGTGAATTAAATTTTACATCTTTATGCCTGAATAAATATTGCGATTGTGTGAATACAACTCTTGATTATATGCTTTTGACTTCAGTGTTTGGGCATTTGTCCATTTTGTGTGAATTAAATAAGAGTATGAATACAACCCATACTTGGTCTTCACTTGTTTGTATGGAGGAGGGTGTTCTGCGTGTATGTATGTCTTTCACCATCTGAAGAAACACAATTTCGATGCTTAATTGTTTTTATATATTAATTACATTGTTGTGGTTTTTAAATTTACTTCTCCTTTTACGTTTACTTAAATAAAATGTATTTATTATACATGCCACATGCACAGAGACATTATTATCCCACCACTCATAATTTTTTGTTTTGTTTATCTGAATATATATAGAAGACAAAACCGTATTTAAAATGTCTTTTCCGTAGTATAGTTGCTATAGTAGATTGAGATGGAGAAATACGCAGAAGACAAAATCCTAGTTGGAATTTCAATCCCCCACGGACGCCCCCCCCTACCCCGTATTCCTTACTTGTCATATTTTTAACTTAAGTTTACTACCCCCCACCCCCTAAATTAATAATGGGTATAGTTTCAAATCCTAGGGGTGTGTGTGTAATAATAATAACTAGAAGCATCACAAGTTGGGCATTGTGAGATGGTCTTTTTCCTATAAATATGAAGGCGGCTTTTCATTAGCGCACGTATGACCATTCTTCAAACGGTATTATTCATCACAGAAATTCCCAGTAGCCCCTCTGTATTACCCTCTCCCTCTCTCCCTCATCTTCCATCCATTCATACATCAATTCACACACACACACACACGCGACTATATATATATATATGTGTGTGTATATATATAGCAGGAGCAGAAAGGGATGAGCTTGAGCAGCGTGGAGGATCGGCTGCCGGCGGGATTCAGGTTCCACCCCAAAGATGAGGAGCTGATATGTGAGTACCTTAACAAATGGCTAGGTGGTTGTCCTCACCCCTTCCCTTCCTTGATCCAAGTCGACCTCAATAAGTGCGAGCCTTGGGACATTCCTGGTTCGCATATTTATCCTTACATCTTCTATCTGTCTCTTAATTAGTTTCGTTCATGCCTTACATGCTATTTAGAAGTCTTATCTCATCTCTCTGCTAATGGAAGAAGAATCTTTAATTTTATAAATTTTTTAACATTTAGTTGTGCTAGCATCTATGCCTGGAAAATAAATTTGTTCTTAGTGTTCATTAATAGGGACTCAGGGTTTTCTTCATGATAGTATAATTGATGCTTTCTCAAAGCCGCTTTATATATACGTTGTAGGAAAAAGAATATGGAAATATAAAAGAAAACACTCTCTAAGAGGATGTATTTTTAGTTAGATGTGATGCATGTATTTCTTCGAATTTTTTGTTCAGTTGCCTTTTTAAAGAAACAAACACTCTTGGCACAGTCCCAACAAAAATAGATGGAGACAACAGCAGCAATTATATTCGAGATATATATGTAGCCAAGGAAGTTATTAATGAAAATTGCTATTACACCACAAAAATAATAGTGATAATAAAACAAAAGTTGCACTAACTGTCACATCTTCCATGCATCTACTCCAATTTGTATCTTACGCGTGTACCCTATTATACTACTCTAGAAAGTATCTTTTATTTATTTATTTATATATTTTGTAAACATCGAAGTTTATTCTATATATTTTTTCAATTACAGCATACATTCATTTTATGAGACCCTTTCCATGCATATGATTGAATAGCTTACATAATGAGAGTATTAATACTTTGCCCTTGTGTGTATGCATCATATGATATAGGTTGCTGTCAAATAATTTGGCCAAGTCTTCTTTCTGGCCACTAAAAATAGGGCACGTGTTTCATCTCACGTAATGGGTCATTTTACTGACATCATATTCTTGATGCTCGTTGGATATTTTTCTATGTATTATTATTATTATTATTATTATTCTTGTACAAATTAGTGTGTCATGTATGAATGGATAGATGCATAATTTAATCACACAGATGTGCTAGCTAATTATTGGTACTATTATTAATTAAGACAACACAAGGAAGTACTTGTACATTATTGTACTGGTGTCAGTATTTCATAGGATGGATTATAATCTAGAATGGTCCACACTAATCAGCCTACAGTGTTATTCTCCTTCCACATTATTATATAATACTAATAATTTTTATTTATTATTGTTATAATTTTGTAATACAATTTGTTTACTGAACTCCATAGTTGTCTAACAATTCTTTGATTTTTACTGTATGACACAGAAGCTGCATGTGTTGGAGGCAAGGAATGGTACTTCTACACCCGGAGAGACAAAAAATACGCGACCGGTGTGAGAACGAACCGGTCGACGCTATACGGGTACTGGAAGGCAACCGGGAAGGACCGGCCGGTCCTTCAGAAGAAAACGGTTGTCGGAATGCGAAAGACACTGGTGTTCTATGAGGGCCGGGCTCCCAAAGGATGGAAAACCGATTGGGTTATGCACGAGTTTCGCCAGCATGGGCCCGGCCCGACGAAAGCATCACATCCTTGTAAGGTAAAATTATACTGTAGTCTGTCATTTTTTGTTCAGGTTGGTTAATTATTGTTGGTTATAATTAGGTTGTAATTAAGTATTTAATTAATCATGATTAGGCAGCGGTGGGGCTGATTAGATAGATAGATAGATTGTTTTTGGCGGTGTCTCCAACTTGTCAATAATTACAGGCGTCATTTAGTTACAGGCTGTTTTCACTTCGACAAGACTTTTGAAAATATCTGCAATTTAATTTTATTTATTTTAATTATGTTGGCAGTTACGTTGTAGTTTGTATTAAAATGCAACTGGATCGGACAAGGAGTTGTTTGGCTGGTTCTATACATGCTGATTTCATATTATTAATATTTTATTATTTTTCGATTGAATAATAAGTTTTGTCGTTTTCTGTATTCCCAATGCAGGAGGACTGGGTGCTATGCAGGGTATTCTTCAAAAGCAGGAGAGAAATGAGCAAAATTCCAACCAAACAAGGCGCTAGTGCAGGGCAAAGGCAAGAGGTGACGACATCCCCAAGTTCTCCATCGATGCTCCCGGGACTAATGGACCAAGCGTTCACGATCCCATACGAAGTCGCCTCTGAGCAAGTGCCCTGCTTCTCCAATTTCAACCAAACAAGCCCTAACTTCTCTGAGCTCCTGGACCCGCCCCAAATCTTCTTACAGTACCCAGCTCCTGCTCATTCCACAACGACGATGCAACAGCCTGCAGGAATTGTTGATAATATTGAGCTCAATAATAATAATAATAATAATAATAATAATTCCGTCGAAGCTTGTGGGAGTTCTGACAGTTACTTGTCAGAAGTGGTTCTGGCGTCCTCCATCTGGAGTAACCATTACCACCTTTGATATAATAATAATAATAATAAATAATAATATTATTATTATTATTAATAATTTAATATCATTCATGCATGCGAGGTTGAGGATTTAGGGTTTAGTTATATATTTGTGTGTATATATATATAAAAGATGTATGTATGATGTGGGGTGTCGGCAGGGTAAGGTTACGGATTACCGTGCATGCATTCTCGGTTTTCAATTGTTACTATCATCTGCAGCGTATATATCTGTTAATATTTTAATTTGATGTAATTACTTTTCTAATTTAATTTTAACAAGTGTTTTTGACAATGCCTTTATTATTATTATTATTATTATTATTATTATTATTATTATGTGATATTGAAATGACTATCTGCGTAGCGGTAGGGTTTGTTTCAAATACAAATAAAAATAATAAGTATATTGTTACCAAAAATATTTCCAAATGAATAAATATCATTAAATTAAATCAACAATTATATATATAATAAATAAAAGCCAACAATTTAAACACAAAATACTTTTATGTATGTCGTTGCAATTCTTCATACTTTAAAATTATAAATATTAAACAAACAAACTCTTAAGTATTTTTATTTACAAATTTTTGAGGTAATAAAAGTAGATTAATATGATGTATTATGAGAAAATTTAATATTAGATGTGATATTTCTCATGAAAAGATTGCAATAGAAACAATATATTGTTTACTTGTATTATATATGTTGATCCTACTTATTTCACTGGATCAACATGAGATCCACGCCTTATATATACACGAATAATTCATGAGAACAAATTCGAATAAAATTTCGACCCCAAAGTTGAAAACATAAATAAACAGAACTTTTAACACTTGTTAATCCTTGAAACATAACTAAAAAAAAACTTTCTAATTAAAAAAATAAAAAATCATGTTTATAAAAATTTAACTTTCGTTTCTTCAAACTCTTTTTTCTCCTAAACACATTTGAGCAATAATTATTAATCCAAATCTTTCTTGGACAATTATTGCACTACATATATATATATATATATATATGGAGAAAGAAATATAGGAAAGGGAAAATAATAATAATAAAAAATTAATTTGTAGGTAACTAGACCATTACTAATAAATTAGGTGAAATGTTGGTTTGAACAAGTTATTGTAATTATAAGCTACATTTGTAGGCTTAACCTTCTCTTATCTACCAAATTAAGTAATATTGTCATAATTGTGCAAATAAATTAAAATCAATGGTTATAATCCATTTGACTTCAAGATGGCAAAATTTAAATATTACATATTAATTATCAACTTGTATGCTGCATCTAATTTCTTCCAAAGTTATATATATATATATATACGTATATATATATATGTGTGTAAATTAGGTTTATATCGATTTTATTTTCCCTGATTTTTAATATAGTTATTTTTACTATACAAGTTTACACATTTTATTTTTTTAAAAATATATACTATATACATATTACAAAATATTTATTTAACCACTATTTAAAGCTAAACACAAAAAGGAACAAATTCATAGTTTAAGGGGCTGTTTGGTTCATGGACTTTTTTTGGTAGGATTGAGATTTCACAGTAGGATTTATATGTGATGAGATTTATTATATTTAGGATTTGGAATCTATATTACGTTTGGTTGGTAAAATGTGGTGGGATTTATATTTGGTGGATTTGGATTTTTTATATTTTAAATGACATAATTGTCTTCTTATGAATTTTATTTATTTTGACAAATTAAACCTCTAATTCATTATTAATATAAATTAAAAAGATATCAATAATTTTATAGGATGACAATAGATTCGTGTAAACTCGAGACCCGACCGAGCCCAACCTATTTATTTGAAGTTGAGTCCAATTATTTGAGTATTAAGCCTGGATCCGGATCATGATCAGGTAATATAATAATAATATATCAACCATACATATCAAAAAAATAATTTCGAATAATATAATTATATTAAAAATATTTTTTGAGTTTAACGTATTCATTATTTTATTATAATATTTTTATAATAAAATACATAAATTTTAATATACATTGGATCCGGTACATGTGTAATTTTAAATTAAAATTTAAGAATTGTAAAAAAAATGGATTTTTCGGATCCATCAAGTCTTACCGGGTATAGTCTCGGTCGGATCTAATATAATCGGATCCAATTTGAATCTCGGATTTAACAATATATATTTGGGATGAATATCAGTTCCGACTGAACCCGACTTATGGTTGTCCCTATAATTTTATAATTCAAATAAAATTTATAATAAATAATAATTTAAACAATAAATTTATTAATTTATTTAAAAAATATTGTACAATAAAAAATAATATAAATTTAATTAAGTATATAATTCAAATAATAATTAATGTTAAAATTATTTAATTTTTTATATAAATATAATACTATTATTTTTTTTATAAAATGATATAAATGTAAAAATTAAAATTTCAAAAATAGGATTTAAAAGTAACAGGGTATCCACATTACAGAAAAAATCTCTTATTTGTAGGATTTTAGATTCTTTTTCAAATCCCAATCATTTTAAATTCCACATTTTTTTTTTCTTAACCAAACATGGATTTCACAGGATTTTAAAATCCAAATCCCATGGAATCCCATCAAATCCTTGAACCAAACAACCCCTAAAGGATTTTATTTGGTTATGATCATTCAAATTCGTACAATTGAGTACAATATAAGAAATAATACTCCCCCCGTCCCAGATACCGTGTCTGCTACACTGTAGACACGGTATTTTAGGGGGGGTGTAATTAGTAAATAATTAAGAATGTATTAGTGAAAATAATTATCCTATAATATAAATAATTATAAATTAAGACTAAGATAACTAATTAGTTTAATTAAAATTTTTTAAAAAAAAATTTAAAATGGGATTAAAGTGTGTAATCATTTTCCAAAAAAAAAAAAAGTGACATGGTACGTGGATTGGTCAGAAACGGCAACATGGACATGATATCTGAAACGGAGGGAGTAGTATAATCTATTTTCTTATTATTATTTTTTTGGGGTCAAACTTGTAATTAAATTGTATGCCTACGAGGATATCAAAAGCCTAAAAATTATGTTGTACGTATTTTATGTAATATCTAACACAATAATTGCATTGACATTGACGTTAATTTACATAGCTACACTACACGTATATTTTTCCAAACTTAATTATATTCCTAGTAAATTAAAGTGGACATGGTAATTGGTATATTAGAAATTATTAATTTACTAGTGATTTTAGGGTGTGTTTGCTTATGATTTCAAATTAGTTTTACTATTATTTAACTCGAAAATTTTTCAATAATAATATACTCCCTCCGTCCCAATACAATAGTCTTGTTTATTATTTTTGTCCGTTTTAAAACAATAGTCTTATTTTCATAAATAACTATATCACTATAAAATTACCATTACTCTTTCATTATTATTACACAACACTCACAAGGGCAAAAATGTCTTTTATAAATATTTCTTAAATCTCATATCCAACACAACCCAAACTATAATTTCGGGACGGAGGGAGTACTATTTATTGTCACAAAGTATCACATAAAGATACTATTCAAATAAAAACCAAAGAAACTCTTTATTTTAATTTCGTTCTTTAAATTTTGAAAAATTTTAAATAAAATAATTATTATATGTAATCTGTGTAACTATATATTTAAATGATATTTGAATTAACAAAATAAAAAACGAGCACACGTAAGTACAATCATATGTGTTCATTTGTATTTTCTCATATATCTCTTTTTTCACACTAGACAATTTTTACTGAAATAATCTTTATTTTTGTAAAAAAAAAATAATAATAAAAATTTAATATATATTTTTATTTAATATAAATAAATCCAAAACAAATCAATAAAATAAAATAAAATTCCAAAACACAAATGAAAATACCACTAAAAAAAATAATATATTTGTAACGGACTTCTGTCCCTAAAATTCACGTAGCTAACGTAATTCCATTCCTAATTTCGTCTCTAATATCATTAGTAACGGAAAAAGTAGATTTGAAGACAAAAAAAAAAAAAAAAAAAATTGTTACAAAAATAATTTTTTCTTGTACAGACCCAACTTCATACCTTTTTTGTTTTTTTTTTTTTTTTTTTTTTTTTTTTTTTTTTAAGGTTTTGATAGCTATAAAATATCAAATTAAATACCTCATTTTTACTATTTAATATTTTTCAAAACTCTATAACAAAAATGGAGCCAAAATTTGATTGTTGCAATGGAAGAGGACATAGATGTCAAACATCATATTATGTAGGAAGCATTTAAAATATTCAATAATCATCACAAGAAAATTTTGACCCAGGATTTATTTTATTTTATTTTATTGATAGAAATTAATTACTTGCATGATGTCTTTTTTTAAAATAAAATAAAATAAAATAAAAATATGGGAATGTCAAAGTAAGTAATAAATTAAAGATGAATGGAATTGCGTGTGGAGTTAACACTTAGCTTCCTTCCAAAGACCACACGACAAAACTCTAAAATTAAAGAGGGTTACGTTATTATCCCAAATTATAATTTTTATTTTTATTTTTATTTTTTATTTTTTTTTATCATTATTATTTTTTTATAATTTGACTATCACTTTCACCACAATTACCCAAATACACACATGTATTACACTCTACGTACGTACACTAAATTCTTGATGATCTCATCATCAATGTTTAATTTTATTTTTTAAAATTTTGATGTAATTGTTTGATATAGAAGATGTGTTTTACGGTTTATATATTGTACTATATTGTATAAAAATATTTATTTTGATGAAACCGATAATATGATACGTGAAATTATATCATATATTATTAATTAGGACATGTGTTGTATTTTATATTATCATGTGTTGTCAGAAATACACTTTTTGTCTTATATATGTACTGAACCAGTCAAATTAATATCATAGTCCGAGTTCAAACTGCTTTGGTGTTTTTCGATTTTTATATTTATTTTTTTGAAATTGTCATCATTCAAGATTTTTTTGATGATTTAATATATTTAATTACACTATAATTCAACGGTATAAATATTATTCAATGAATGCATATATTTTTTTTAATTATAGTTTAACTGTTAGACATACTTTACAATGTTCTATAAGTTATAAAAATTCTCTTAGCTTGTAGACAAGGGTTGAATTATTACAAGAATTAGGTTAGAAGTGGAGCCATATATATATATATATATATATATATAATATAGGTTTGATTACTCGGGATTTTATTTTAATATTGTTATTATAAAATATATATATATATATTCATAAAATATCACATAAAATCATTATTTAACTAAAATACAAATTAAAACCTCAAACAAATCCATATATACTCATGTATATGTGTGTAATTGTATGTTGTGATCTTGAAAGTCATAACATACGATTTGTCCTTTTATATATAACATTATTCTAATTAAAGAAATATATTTATATTTTTGTTCAGATATTTTAGATATTCAATTTTAGATTACTTGGATTTGAGTCTATAGAATCTGTTTTGTATTGCCTATACAGACTCTTTATTTTGATGATAAAAAGACAATCTCATTATTTTCTCCCAAAATTTCTAACAATTTATTTTTCAAAAAATATATATATATATATTTTTTTTTCTAAAAAATATGTTAATTCACCCACTTAACAACATTACATTTTTTACAAATATTTTCATAATTACCAATAGCTAACAAAAAAAAAAAAAAAAAACTCTAAGTAGTTTTAAAATATTAGTAAAAGAACATATGTATATTAGTTATGAAAGCAACTTTGTACCAAACTCACCAACAATAATTTCTTTCATGCACAATATTATTAATCTTTAACATTATATTATTATTATTATTATTATTATTATTACAACAAAGTGAATACTGTTGTAATATTTTTTTACAAATATTACATCAGACATTTATTTCATCTCAAACATCACGTCAAATATTTTATTAAAACAAAATATAATGTTAAATATTTATTTATTTATTTATTATAACTAAAATTTTATAAAATTTCAAAACCCCAAATATTCATTTCCAGATATATATTCTAATTATAAAAAAAAACCCTTTGGCAACGTATCGTAAATTTCATAATAAGCAACAAATTTGAATGTACTAATAAAATCTAAATTTCATAATACTCCCACCATTCCATTAAAAAATTATTATTTTTTATTTTCGTCCGTCCCAAAACAAGGTTACTATATCCTAATTTAGTAATTGTACTACCTACTTAACATAATAAATACTATTTCAACTTACAATATATTACACAAATATCATTACTTTTATATTATACCATACTATTAAGAGTATTTTTGTTTTTTTTACTACAATCCAATATAATATTAATATTAAAAAATCTAAGTACAAAAAGCAAACGCCACCCTTCTAACGGGGGACAGAGTGAGTATAAAAATTAAATATACCGATGTTCTGGTAGAAGGTATTCCTCTATTACATAAATAAATTGTTGTCTATACGTCATCAATGGCTTCAAAATTATATTATTGCTGTTACAAATAAATAAATAAATAAATAAATTTCTTGTAAATAGCAATATTTTTTTGCAGTGGTTGATCCACCAAATTCATATTAATATTGATATGTTGTTTATATGCAAATACTATACACGTTGTTACACACTGAATTAAAAATATAAATACATATACAATGATTCAAAATATTCAGTTTTATATTTTAGTGCGATATTTTAAAATTAAATTTTTTATTCAGAATATTACAATATTTATTTTTATTTATAAATTAATATTAAATTATTTTTAATTCAAAATGTAACATCAAATTTACACATGAATGATTATGTAGATCAACAAAAACAAGGGTAAAAAAACAATTTAGTTGTATTTTCAAATACTAATTAATTTACATTTTTTTTTCTTTAAAATAATTTCCAATAGGTATTTTCATTTAAAACATAACAATAATTATTTTTATTGAAATATATCAAAATAAAAAAAAATATACACATATATATATCTAAACATTTGAGTACGACCAAGTTCACACATTTTAAAGCCCATTATTTTGGGCCCATGAGTTAAATGGGCCGACCCAATAACTAATAGAAATTTCAAGCACCTGTAGCTTATGCAGTACGGTCTGCGTCGTCTTCTTGAGCGTTTTTTCGTCTTCTTCAAATTACAGAGAAGCTTTCACTCCACACTTGCTGTATATTTGCTCCAAACGTGACGAGGAGCACGACAATGGATTTGATAATCCCTCTCAAACCCCAAAATTTACTCTTAAAGTCGAAGACTTGTAGTTCCCCAACTTTCTTCATTGCTCCTGCGCTTCGAGGTAGGGTACAGACCTCCAGTCCATCGCGGACGCAGCCACCCAAAATTAGGGTTCGGTCGGAGTTCGACGGGAAGGTGAACGGTGCGCTATTCGCTGAATTTGACCCTCGTTTTATCGATCGGGTTAGTGAACTCAAACGATGCCGATTTCTGTGTTTGTTTAATAATGTTTGGAGAAGAGACTGATTGCGGTTCGAGAACATTTCCGTTAATGATAGTTTCGGTATTAAATTGCTGTTGCGTAGCTTCATAGTCGAAGGTTGTGCGTTCTTCGTTCTCCTTTTGAAGTATTATCACTGTTGCCGCTTGAAAATTTCCTGTTTGTTTCCTACTGTTACAACAGCAAAAGGCGCTAGATGCCGCCATGAACGACATAAATAGCTCTTTCGGAAAAGGGAGCGTTACGAGACTGGGAAGTGCTGGTGGAGCTATGGTGTAGGTTTTTCTTTTCTTCATCAATATCAGCTATTTCTATCACATTTCTCATAGTGTGATGGAGTTGAAATCTTTTAGAAGAAAATTAGATTTCGGATTGAAATTTTTAACTAGAAAGGATTAGATGTTCTTAGTAGAAATCAAGTTTGGAAACACAAAGACACACCACTATATATATATATATATATCTTGATTGTTAATGTATCTTCAGTGTATAAATGTTTTCTATAGATGTTCTTGCTTCGATACTCTGCCGACTATGTATTTTATTCATAAACCATTATTATAGTCTTGCAATCTTTATAGCAATGTTTGTTTGTGTAGAGAAACTTTTCCAAGTGGCTGTTTGCCGCTGGATTTTGCTTTAGGTGGCGGCCTTCCCAAAGGAAGAATTGTAGAGGTGTTGTATTCGTTATTTCATCGATCATCCCTTTGCGCATTGTATCATTGTTTTCTTGCAATGATCTGATTTCCTTGCTCCGATTTTTATTGTCAGATTTATGGCCCAGAAAGTAGCGGAAAGACTACCCTAGCTCTCCATGCAATTGCGGAAGTGCAGGTCTAGTATGTGCTTTCTTTTACTTCTGTAATTATGTATCACTCGAAAATCTATAATTCTAAGTGCAAAGATTCGAAAAGGTAGTCTCTAAATTATTTCTTTTATGGTCATGTCTCTTTAATCTCGAACCAACAGAAGCTCGGGGGGAATGCCATGCTTGTTGATGCTGAACATGCTTTTGATCCCGCATACTCGAAAGCATTGGGAGTGGATGTCGAGAATTTGATAGTTTGCCAGCCGGATAATGGAGAGATGGCGCTAGAGAGTAATTTTTTTTACGCGTTAAAATTCCAAGAAATTATAAGCTACTTTTCTACCTGTTGATCGGTCTGGTAAGGTGCAGGGACTATTTCGAAATCATATTTCTGAGGGTTTTGTATTCTCTGTGTCAGTTGCTGATCGCATGTGTAGATCCGGTGCTGTTGATGTCATTTGCATCGATTCAGTCTCGGCACTTACTCCGCGGGCTGAAATTGAAGTGAGCTTAAATGTCACTCGTGTTGTTTGTTGCTTTCAAGTTAGTGATTCTTGTCTTGACTTTGAACACCTTTTGCTGTATGCAATTTCTACGAGAAGGGCGAAATTGGAATGCAACAAATGGGCTTGCAAGCGCGCCTTATGAGCCAAGCTTTACGGAAAATGTCGGGCAATGCTTCCAAGGCTGGATGTACTCTTATATTTTTGAATCAAATCAGACACAAGGTAATACTATTTCACGTTTATCATGAACGACCTAATTTAGAAGTGCATAGTTGATCCTTATGTGCGGAAAGTTTTATTGCATGAAGAAACACAATTGCCTTTGTAGTTGGTTAGGAATTTTTTAGTTGTAAATTGCAATTTCTATGCAATGGCTATTGGTATGATATTTTTCTCTGTGACAGATCGGTGTTTATTATGGAAATCCCGAAGTCACAAGTGGTGGAATCGCTTTAAAGTTCTTTGCATCTGTCCGACTTGAGATACGTCCCATCGGGAAGATTAAATCTGTGAGCCTAAAACCACGTCGACTGAACTATTTTGTCATTCGATTGTCACTTGAACAAAGCCTCTTAATGGATCATAACCGGTGTATGCGATGTTGTAGGTTAAAGGAGACGAAGATGTCGGGCTTAAAGTCCGTGTAAGAGTTCAGAAGAGTAAGGTATTTGTTGCTAACTCTGAGATTTTCATCTACGCTTGTTTGAAATTTACTGTTTTTCGTATATTGGATGTAGTAAACTGCAGCTAAGAAATAGGGCTTCGACACAATATATCTTCTATATAACATTTGTTGTCTGAATTCCAACTAGTTCCATTTTATTGAAGGTGTCGAGACCATACAAGCAAGCCGAGTTTGAAATCACATTTGGCGAGGGAGTCAGCAAACTGGTTTGTGTAGCTGTGTAATTTACCTTTTCTTTTGCTGTTGCTATTTTCTTACTATAGGTTATCGCATTTTCGTGATTTCAGGGCTGTGTGTTGGATTGTGCTGAAATGACAGATGTCGTCTTAAAGAAGGGTGCCTGGTACAGCTACGCGGATCAAAGGTTAGCTTTGTTATAATGTTCATTACAATGGTCGAATTGGCTCAAAGTGTCACGGCCTTTTCGATTTCTGACAATGTAAAAACTTAGGTTGGGACAAGGCAGAGACAAAGCATTACAATTCCTGAAAGAAAACCCGATTCTATCTGAAGAAATAGAGAAGGTACTACACTCCCCTTTCCGTCACTCGTTGTACGAATCAATGGATTATTTATCGTCGATTAGAATCTTCGAACATACTCTCAAAACTTCCAATTTACAAATAATTTTTTCTTGCTTACAATTGTTCATCGTCTGTTGCCGAAAAAGCAATTTCACATGTTTAACGGCATTTAACTATCTGTACAGAAAGTTCGAGCAGCCGTGACTGAAGGGATCGGCCAAGTAGGCTCGTTTGCAAAATCCTCGTTGTCGTTACCCGACGAGGAAGACGGTTTCGAAGAAACACAATGAAGTGAGAATTGACGTGCCTCGCCTGCCCGTTCGATGAAGAATCGATTGTTTCGGGGGCCCCAAATCCGAACCCGAACCTCTTTAGTGAGTCTTCTTCCTCCCTTTGTTTCTTTTAGCCTTTGGGGGAGCAGTGATAGAAATGTGTAGTGATTGTTGAGAAGGAAATGATGATGTCTTGGTTGGGTTGAATTAATGAATTATTACGAGTATTTATTTACCAAATTGTTTAGACAAAGTTGTTCCCACTGCTCATAAATATAGGGGCAACTTGACATGCATTATTAATGTGCTGTGCGGATTAGTTACACGACCGTTACCAGTTTTATCTGCTTCCCCGTCTCTGTCCGAGACTAATTAAGGGAAAAAATTAATTTTGGTCAAATATAATCAATTTTGATCCAAATATAAAAAATTCATTAATTTTAGTTCCACTCTAAACAATTTTAATTAATTTTGGCCTCATCGTTAAAAAATCAACGGAAATTGCTGACGTGGACATAACGGAGATGACGTGTTAGTTGACCTCAAAATTACAGTCATGTACAATTATACACGAATATGTTGTTATATATATTTCAGTGTATAATTATACATGGTCATGTTGTTAGATGGTGGTGTACATTTCAGTTTTAGTCTAAAATTTTATTTTATTAATATATTTTTTAAAAAATAAATTATATAATTAAAATGGACAAAATTAACGGTAATCATAATATAATAAAAAATTATCAATTTTAATTCGAATATAAAAATTTATAAGATATATTCTTTTGAAATATTTTGTTTAAAATTCTATTATTCATATAAAAAAAATCATCTTACAAACATCCAATTACACAACTATTTTTTAATTTTGTATAATATATTAGTATTAAAAATTAATTTATTATTTCAATACAGTAATCTGATGTTTGTAAGATAAAATTTTCCAAAAGAACATACTCTATAAATATTTATATTTGAACTAAAATTGATACATTTTAATTATATTATAATAATAATTATTATTATTATTTCATTTTAACTATATCAACTATTTTAATTTTAAAAATATATATATAATAAAATAAAATTTTAGATCAAAACAGAGAGTGTATAATACACTGAAATATACATGGTCATATAACAACATGGACGTGTATAATTGTACATAGCCGTATAACAACATAGTCATGTATAATTACACACTGAAATATACATGGCTATGTAACAACATGACCGGGTATAATTGTACATGGCCGTGTAGTTTCCAGGTCAGCTGCCACGTCAACAATTTCTGTTAATTTTTAACGGTAGAACAAAAATTGATTGAAGTTATTTATAATTGGACCAAAATTGATTGAAATTGTTTATAATGAGACTAAAATTAATGAGTTTTTTATATTGAGACCAAAATTGATAAATTTTTATTATATTAAAACCAAAATTAATTTTTTGCCCTATTTTTAAATATTTTGTATTATTCATTAATAATTACTATTATTATAATTTTTAAAAGATATTACTCCCTACGTCAAGCTAGAAAGTATATATATTTTTATATTGGGACGTCCAATTACAAAGTAAACATTTCATTAAATATCTTCTTTTTTCCACAAATACCCTTACTTTACATCACATCATTACTTTTATACCAAAAAACAAAGGCAAAAATGTCATTACACTACTCTTAACTACCCACTACAATTAAAATACTATTATTTTTTAAACACCGCGCCAAAAGTAATTGTATACTTTATGAGTAGACGGAGGGAGTATATTACAAAATTTAACTTTTTACTATCTTTTAATTTTTTAGAACCTCCCGAAGGAGCCAAAATACTAAGTTTATATGTCGTAACTTTAGTACTACAATATTTTTAAAATAATAAATAATTAAATATATTTAATTTCTACTCTAAATTTTATCTTTATCACATTATTTAAATAAATATGCATTTTTTTCTCTAATAATACTACTTCATTTTAAAATTCTTTTATTTAATATTATTCGTTTAAAATTTTGTGTCGAAAATAATTATTGCACTATGTTTGGGATTGACAGATTACTAGTTTTTTAGTCTTTCCGCTATTGTTTGCTTGATATCTTTTACACAATTTTCTTGTTTATTCTTTGAAATATAATTTATAAAATAGTTTTAACTAAAATGTAAAAAAAAAAAATTGTCTGGATAGTTCGATGGCGTTGGGATTTGTCACATTCTACTAATTATGTCACATATCTTGAATTTGTTTGGCTTTGATTTAAATAATATATTTTTTTTTCATTAAAAATGATGTAATAACAATAATAATTTTACTGTTGAAATATTATATCTCAAATTTGAATTCAATCCTATCGTATATAAAGGAAAAAATGAAAAGTAAAAAATTGTAAGACTGAATTTGGAATAAATTAGCATCCCACGTGGTGTAAGTAACATTTGTTTGAATATGTGAGGGCTGGTTTCACACACTAATAAATTTATTTATTAAAAATACATGCGTGCATGTGAATGTTATTAAAAATATAAAATAAATAGTTATAGTGTGATGTGAATGCTAAAAATATCATCGTTGGCGTGTAAATTAATTAATTGTATATAATAAATAATAGAAAGCCTTTTACTTTTATCATTGACCGCTGCCAATTGTTCTATTGCTAGTCTTTCATGTCTTTTTCCACCTTCATTTAATTAAATCTCAAAAGCACCTTTTTTTTTTCTCTAAAAAAAATTGACGTGGGGCAAAAGGACTATCCACTGTATATACATTTATTTATTTTGTTGACATAGAAAATAAATTATTCACGTAACAAAAGTATTTATTTATTTTTTATTTTAAGTTCATTCTATAATAAAATATTTATTTTTTTTAAAGTAACTGTACTATTTATCTAACCTTACAAATATCCTTACAATTTATACAATATATTACATAAATATCATTACCTTTTATATCATACATAAATAAGATTATTTTAGTCATTTATATTTCATTCATACTATATCTTAATATAATACTAATATTTCTAAAATTACGTGCAAAAAGTAAATAAATATTTTTTTATGGGACGGAGGAAGTATTTTTTTATATATATTTTTTATTTTTTTATAAAAATTAATATTTGATATAAAATATTATTTTATTTATTAGTAATGCATTTATTTCAACTACGATATTGAGGTAATATAAACATTATTAAATTATTAATAATAAATTATAATATTATTTTTTATAAGAATAATGAATCAATATACATGACTAAAGAAATCAAATATTTATTTATATACTTTTAATATTATATTTCAATAAATATATAATATAAATATTATTTATAAATAATAAAAATTTATATTTATTTATTTATAATTAACTTAAATTTATTTTTAAAAAAAATATTTCCTCCATTCCTTAATAATTTATCTATTTTTTCATAACAAAATATCTATTTTCGTACAATCTATCTAACATTACAAATACCCTTTCAATTTACAATATATTACACATATGTCATTACATTTATATCATACTTCCTCCGTCCCAGAAAATATGGGGCTATTACTGTAAATACGGAAATTTAGGTAAAGTATAATTATTAAGTAATTAAGAAGTGTATTAGTAAAAATAATTATTATTTTGTAAAAATAATTATAAATTGAGATTAAGATAAATAAATAATTTAATTAAAATTTTAAAAATTATAAAATTTAAAATTTAGAATGCAATTAAAGTGTATAATTATATTTCAAAAAATAGAAAGGACAAGTTATATGAGACGGACAAAAATAAAAAATAGGAACAAATTATGTGGGACGGAGGGAGTACAATACTAATATAATTAATTTAGTCTTTTTACCTTTATTTATACTTTATCCCAATATAATACTAATATTTTTAAAACTCCGTAAAAAAAACAAATGAATATATAAATATGAGACATAGGGGGTATATATTTTTTAAAAATCTATAAACACAACACAACGTAGTTCAAGGTAAATAGATATATAAATATGAGACGGAAAGAGTAGTAGATATTAAATTGAAATACAATATTTATCTATTAAAAAAATAAAAAAATTAAAATAAATTAATTTATATTTGATACATATATTTAAAATAAATAAATTTATTAAAAAATATTATTTCTCTGTTATGTAATTAAATATTCGTTTACTTTTGATGTATTAATTTTTAATATTAAAATATATTATAAATTAAGAAAAAATAAGAAATACTTTATTAATATTTTTAATACTAATTATAATAATATATGTATAAAAAATTATATAAATATAAAAATATTTTAATATTAAGTTCAATAATTTAAATAATAATAAATGTATTATTACGAGAGAATATATAAATAAAAAGAAAAAAAATAAAAAAAAAAAAAAAAATGTCTACGGCGGTTCGTATTTATAAAATAGTTTGGCAGAAAATCCAAAAACAAAACATTTCTTTAAAATAATCAATCAAATAGCAGCTAAACAACACATGGGTGGCGTGGCCAGTGGAGCTATGAGTAATCAACCCCAGGTAAATCCAGACCGTTGATTTTGTGAACTCGCACTAACCAACGGTGTGGATGCAAATATCCACAATCTCTATTAGGGTTAGTCCACTGTGTCTGCCCTGCACCCTGCAGGAAGAAAAGAATTATAAATGGAAAAAAGGGACCACAGTCGTACGTACGATGCGAGCTACAACCCACAGCCATGGCTGACATTTTCAACCCCCAAACCTCCTCGAAGCTACTCGTCAAATGCTCCGCGCGTACAAAGTCTTGCCTGTCTCAGTATGCATATTCTGATTTGTATTTTATCATTTTAGTGTTTTGAGGGAATTATCCCCACCGCGTTCGTTCGTTGGTCCATATATATAAATTTGAACTTGAATTTGACCTCATCGTCTTCGAATGTGAAACTAGCTTCATCACGCATTTCTACTTGGACTTTGGTGGCCCTAAAAGATTCAGGAGTCTAGCCTTCCATAGTTGTTTTTTTTGGTACTCTCAGTCTGCCGCATCCGAACCAGTACTGGGGAATTCGGTTTCCTCATCAGGTACTATTGATTTTGGGGATTCTGGATTTCGCTTTCCGCCTGCTGCTTATCGGAGTTGTTTGATTTAATTTCTTGGTTTTGGTCGAGGATTCGTTGTATTTGTGCTCGAGATAGATCTTTGTGATATTGATTTCCCTAGGGTTTGATTGATGAACTTAATTTTGTTCATCCTCAAAGCTCATCTCGCTTGCTTGTTTTCAAACAATTCCTGTCGTATGCTTCTCTGACTTTTCCTAGTTCTAGACATGGATTCCAGAATGTTGATTCCTTGAGTGATTTGCATATTTCACAATGTTTGGTTGTATCATGAAGTGATCTCATGGTGAATTTCCCCAATTTGATGAACTCTAGACACTTATCGGATGATTTCTGGCTTTAAATATTTCGATCCTTTGTATCGTCTTCCTTAGCTCTCCTGATCAAATTGGTTACAGGCAAAAAGGTTTTCAACATCCATGACTCTCTTGTTTATGCTGCATATGTTCCATGTTTAACATTACAATTCCTTTGTGGACTGAACAGTTGATCGATTCTTTTAATCTGGCAGTGTTGTATCTCCTATCTTCCTGGAATCATCATCCATCCATAGCAATCAAACCATAAATTCACTGCTAAACCACAGAGTTATGACCTGTATGTCTTTCTTATGCGGAGGAAGATCAAAGCCTGCAAAGAGACGATCCGAATTCGGAGACGGTAACAACAAAGCTCCTTCAATTCATATCTTCTGCATAGAGTTGTATTTTCCTTTGAGATGTTCATGTGCATCAATTTATTTGCAGAGCTCTCTGGAGTCGATAATGTGAATCTTTATACATACAAGGAACTGAAAATAGCTACCGATGATTTTAGCCCAGGAAATAAAGTCGGGGAAGGAGGCTTTGGTTCCGTCTACAAGGTAAAATCGAGTTTTCTTTCCAAAACATCAAATCAACTCCAACATTTAAGATCTCATTTCTGAACTCCATCGACATCCTATGAACGAACAGGGAAAACTTAAAAGCGGGGAGATGGTAGCGATCAAGGTTCTGTCCCCCGAGTCGAGACAGGGGCTACGAGAGTTCTTGACAGAGCTTCAAGTAATTTCAGACATCGAACACGAGAATTTAGTGAAGCTCTACGGCTGTTGCGTGGAAGAAAACCAACGGATTCTTGTCTACAAGTATTTAGAGAACAACAGCCTAGCACAAACACTCCTCGGTACGGCAGCATTCCCAAATTATTGTCGTTAACATCACAAAAAGGATAAGTCAAACCGACCATCTTTGTGATCAATGCTTCTCCAGGTTCGGGGCGCAGCAACATCTACTTCGACTGGCGAACGCGGGCTAAAATATGCATCGGAGTGGCGAGAGGGCTCGCCTATCTTCACGAAGAAGTGCGACCGTACATCGTCCACCGCGACATCAAAGCAAGCAACATTCTTCTTGACCGCCATTTGTCCCCGAAAATTTCAGACTTCGGCCTCGCCAAGCTTATCCCTCCGAACATGACTCATGTCAGCACACGCGTTGCCGGAACCATGTAAGTTTACGATACTTCACGGGGCTATGTATATATAGAATATATATATATATCAATTCGTAATTGTATTGACGTATCGTTGCAGAGGTTATTTGGCACCGGAATATGCGGTGAGGGGCCAGCTGACACGGCGGGCAGACGTCTACAGTTTCGGCGTACTTCTCATCGAGATAGTCACCGGTAGATGCAACAACAACTCCCGATTGCCAATCGACGAACAGTACCTTCTTGAAAGGGTAAAGAACCATCTGCGCAAATCGTCGAATTCTCATCTGTTTTAGTGATTTTTCTTCCTAATAAGGATCAAATTTTTTTGACAGACGTGGCATATGTACGAGAGGAACGAGCTGGTGGTGCTCGTCGACGAATCGTTGAACGGAGACTTCGACGCCGAACAGGCTTGCAAGTTCTTGAAGATCGGTCTGCTCTGCACCCAAGACGCCCCCAAGCTTCGACCGTCGATGTCGATGGTTGTTCGAATGCTCCGAGGCGAGAAAATTGTCGATGAAGATGCGATAACGAAGCCGGGATTGATATCGGACTTCATGGAGCTCAAGATCAGGAGCAGCAACGCCAAGGCGAAGCTACCGGAAGTGAATTACAACTCGTCCGGATCGGATAATTTGGACAATACGGTGTCGACGGCGACGACACTCCCGTCTTCTCAGGCGACTATGACGTTCACCGCCGTGTATGATCGGAGCTCGTGAAGGAGGAAGTGAATTCCATGTAAGAAGAAAGGTTTTTTTTTTTTTGGTGGGTTTGTTTAGTGTAATAATACTCTCTCAAATTGCTTGGTTTTGGCCGTTACACAAATTAAATTCGATTGACATGTTGTAAATTTTATTTTTCTTTGCTTTGATAGCTATAGAAAAATATTATGTTCATGTAATTATTAAATTAAAATTACACTTAGTCAGCGTGTGTTTGTTTGGAGGATTCTCCAATATTTTTATTATTCTATCAATTTTTATGAAATCGAACATCTATTTTTTATTTTTTATATTATACTAAAAATTAATTTTATTTTTAAAATATCAGTTCAGCTCCTATTTATATTATATTATTATGTAATTATTCAAATCTCATGATCCAATAGGGGTCAGAGATTGACGTGTGAGTATCTTATTATTAAAGTCAACACATACTGATGATATACTAGAATGAATGTTATTTCAACCCAACAATTGTATGTTGATGTTGTGTATATTATTAGGATGCATTGACTGAAGTTAATCAATACGATCCAATATAATTACATATAATAATAATTGTAATAGTAATGCGTACGGATAAATAATTTGACCGAGTTGAACAATATTAAATTCATGCACATCATAATATCATTCATTCAAAGTCAACAAAATACTCCATAATTTTACATGCGACGGTCATTAGCTGCTTAATAACCCTAATCATTACATAGAAAATGCTAGACATAAATAAATATTAAGATTATATAGATTGTATATACTACTTATTATCATATGCTATTTATTTTAATAGTAGTATGATATTTAAAATAATACTATTATAAGCCAACATTTGCGAATAGCTAGAAACTGGGCCAATCAATCCCTATCCAAGCCCAATAACTGAAAACACAATTCATCCATTATTTTGAACTGAAGTTCCTATATTTCGGAGTAGTATATTTATATTAGTACGTCTTTTTTTTTTTTTTTTTATTTTATTTTAATATTTTTATGTATAAATCTGTTAATATTACTTGGTAATTAATAATAATTGAATTAAAATATAAAAACACAAAGCATAAAGTAAGAGCAATAATTTGTATTTGTTTGCATGTTAGATGTATCATAAATTTGAGACTTTCAAGTTACGTCTATGACTATATACATAAATATATCTGCAGAGAGACAGCAGACAGCATATTCAAAGTCTGCCAATAATTTCTTTATTCATTCATAAATTTTAAAATAAGAAGAAGATATTACTAATATATCAATTTTAGATAAACTAGAAAAAATAATTTGTACATTTATTAAATTAATTATAAATAAATGAAAGAATAGATAAATGATGAGAAATCTAGGAATCTTGTCTGTCTCTCACATGATCCCCGCCCCGCTCGCTTTGCTCGTCGGTCGCAGTCTGGTCTGGTCTCAAGACTCCCTTCCCTTTTCTTCACTTTTTTAACCTTTCAGCCTTTTTGTTTGCCTTGAGCTGAGGTGAGCTGAGTTCGAGTTGCCAAACGAAATCGTCACCTAGGGTTCCTCTTTTACTCCCCTTTTATGTGACATTTTTCATTTTTAAATTTATCCCTACTTCTGCTTTCTTCTTGGAAATTATATGTGATCTGGTTGTGGTAGGTGTTGGGGCTGTGTTTTTTGGTGGGGGATTTTGGAGGGGGGTGGGGATTGTTGGGGTCAAACGAGCAAAAGTGAAAAAATGGTGTGATTTTATTTATGTGGGATTACTTTTTGGAAGACGTGGTTGTGAAGCAATTTATGCTTGTTTTAGCTCTCGATTCCTGTGGATTTGCAGACTGGAGTTCATGAATCGCAGCTTCTATTTGTGGAAGAGGAATATTCTGGATCTCTTATGCTCTTGTTTTTTACAATTACGAATCGCTCTTCCTGATTGTTAGGTATTGGATTTAAGACAGGTCATAAACAATGGATGCTGCATTTCTAATCTTCGATTATTTGGAGGTGAAACCGCTCCCCGTCTCTGCTAAGAGAGACCATTTTGGAACATGGTCAAGAAATTAGGTTTTATAGTTCCAGATTTGGTTGCTGCAGTTAAACTTACTGTTTGTTCGTTGGTATATTGAGTTTCCATTTGGTGATGGAGGATATTGGACTGTTCAATCAAGGTTTGAAATGGTTGCAGTCGAAAGATTGCTATTCAGTAGCAAGGACTGCCATGAGCTGTTTGAGGGACAAGATTGGGATTTTTATGGAGCGGCATTGGCCGATGGTGTGCTGTGGCTGTGCTAGATTGGGGAGAGGTCTGCTGTTCTTGTTGGAGTTTTGGAGGAACTGTTTTCTCTCGGGATGTCGATCTTTTGTTGGGCTGGGATCGGCTGCTCTGCTCGTCATTATGTGGTGTTGCTTCCTAAGCTTGACATCAATGTCGTGCCTCTTGTATGTGCTACTTAGTATGGTATGTGCCTCAAGGTCTTGTTAAATAATTTCCCAGATCTAATTTATGTTACAGTTACTTTGGTTGGATATTCTTAATGTCTATTTGATGGATCTGATGTAGCCATTGATGAGAAGCTGTATCTAAGTTTTGGATAAAGGATAATCTAGGGCAGACATGCCTATAATTATAGACCTGAAGAACAGATTCTTTCTGGTGTTTTTTGTAAGTAGTTTTGACAGGTTAACTGAATAGAATCAATTTCTTATTATCTGATATTACTAGCAAGATGAGTCGGCTGTAGATATGATTTTATCATTATGAAGCAATTCTTATGTTTTCTTTTTTTTTTTTTTCAAAGAATTCATAATCTAGGTGGTTTCATAGATAGCACAAACTCATACTGTTTGAGTACTATGGTTCTGGAAGAAATCTACCCAATTTCTTTCTCGGTTTTTGCACATTCAGAGAGTAATAATTCTATCAAATAGCTTAATTATAGAAGCTAAACTCAATCCGCTGTTCTTTTTATGGGAAATTGGACAATAATGTCATCTTTAGTGCGAGTTTGAGACGGCTGATGTGTTTAACATTCGCTTGTAACCATTTTTTTCATTCAATTATTCTTCACGGACTTGAATAGAAGTTAGTCGATTGATCATCCCACTGGTCATATATTGACATTACATATACCATGGTGTGAGTAACCTGTCTATTATGTGCGAATGGTGATTTCTTGACTATCGAAATCTTCATTATACATTATACATCTATTGTGAAAAATTTTAGCCATCGTTGCTTAGAACTTTCTTGTGTTGTTTTAAACAGAAGGTAATTGTAGTTTTCTAAGCCTTTCTCTTGCAAATTTATTTTCAGGGAGCAGCTGGTGTTGCTGTTCAGTATTTAGGCTACACTCCTGGACTTTTTATTGTGGGGCTGTTTGCCATTTTAATTTTGTGGATGTACGCTAACTTCTGGATTACGGGTGCCTTGTTCGTAGTTGGTGGTACGTGTGTCTCTTTTCGTTTATTTTATCAATAATTACATTCTTCTCTATCCTCAGTTTTGGGCATTCTTTAAATATTGGGGTTCTTTTATTTATTGAGTTGTTTTCTGCTCACGAGGATGCTTGGATAGACCATAGTTTGCTTCTTCCTGAATGTTTTCCTGTACGATTCTGATGCTTCGACATTTCCTGACCAACCATAAGTATGCGAATGCAGGTTATCTATTTTCACTGAATCATGCACGGCTGGTGGTGCTTATGGCGACCGTATACGCTATGTATTGTGTTAAAGTTAGAGTAGGATGGCTTGGAGTTGTTCTTGCAATTAACCTGGCATTTTTATCCAACGATCTATTGAAATATTTGATTAAGTGGTGTGATAACTTGAGTGAAAACACTCCCTCTGACGAACAGAAGCAGTCTTACTCATTTAGTGAGGAAGATTTCTCCACTGAGTGTGAATATCCTGCCACTTCTGATGTGGAAGGAGAAGAACAGGAGAAGTTGAACTCACATAAATCAGCTAGCAAACCTGCTAGCCCATCATCTTTTGTCGAGAAGCCTAAAGAATTCGCTGCAAAGAAAGTGGAGAAAGAAGATTCGGACTCGATAACTGAGATGGAGAGGATATTGAGTAGTGGCAATCACTATGAAGCACTTGGGTTTCCATGTCAAAAGAAACTCGATCTGGTGCTATTGAAGAAGGAATACCATAAAAAGGTGTGCCCGTAGATAATATTTTTCTACTTAAAAGATTTAGCTTGAAATGTGAGCTTCTCTAAAATTGATCTTCGATCATTGTAGTTCTCTATTTGTTAGACTAAAACAGGTCGAATTTTCCGTGGGTACCCTATTTTCAGTTGATACCTTTTGTGCATTGAAAATCACATTTCAAAATGTTTTACAGGCCATGCTCGTGCACCCCGACAAAAATATGGGAAGTTCGCTAGCTAGTGAATCGTTCAAGAAACTTCAATGCGCGTATGAGGTAGTTATTGTAATATTTAGTGTTTCGTTATTATTCAATTGCCCGGAAGAAAAATGGTTATGGCTTATGGTAGCTGCTGGTTTTGGTACGATTTTCAGGTTCTTTCGGATACTGCAAAGAAGAGAGATTATGATGAGCAGCTCAGAAAAGAAGAATCTAAGTGTGTGATGCAGAAATCCGCAAGCACTTCTTGTCAGGTAATTCATTGTGTCGAGAATGTTTATCCTTTTGCTTCCCCTGAACTAGTTAGAAATAACACTCGCATATATAACAGAATACTACTGAATTTTGCTCTGAGGAGTCGAGGCGCATACAGTGCACGAAGTGTGGCAATTCACACATATGGGTTTGTACAAATAGAACGAAGGCCAAAGCGAGATGGTGTCAGGTCTGTTTGCTGTTTGAAGTTTACAGAATGTGTCGGCAATTGCTTGTTTCTTCATAATTGTTGTTCCTCGAACAGGACTGCTGTCAATATCATCCCGCAAAAGACGGTGACGGATGGGTAGAATCGGTGGTACTTGATCAGCCTCACAAGGTTTTTTGATAAAATTCGGTAGCGTTTTACCATTACTTGTGTAAATTTTTTTTACGGGTACTAATTTGTGCATTACGCGTGCTATTTATAGGGAGGCATACCCCGGGCTTTTGTGTGCGCCGAAAGCAGGGTTTTTGACGTATCTGAGTGGGCAATATGTCAGGTTAGTCTTTCATTTGTCTGAGGATAATGTCTTGTAATGTTGACGTAATTAACCGATAGCTTTCGTCTTGAAAACTTGTATAAATCCTCTATAATTGTACCAAAAACAGGGGATGAGTTGCCGCGAAAACACCCACAGACCCAGTTTCCATGTAAACATGGTTGGATTAGGGACATCAACTCAGAGATCCAATTCCAGCAGATATCCATGGGATTTGGATGCCGAGATGATGGACGAGGAGGATGAATTTGAACTGTGGCTTCAGCAGGCCGTTGCATCCGGACTTTTCTGCGAGACTTCGAAACGCAGGAAAACATGGAGCCCCTTTAAGCTGACTCAGAAAAAGGGGAAGAAACAGTGGCGAAGAGCGTCTTAGACAACAATTTTGGCTGTCCTGTCTGTACCGGTGAGTCGAGATCTTCCTGGTTAATAGCTTGCCCTAGAAATGGATGCACATGAAATTCTATGGTGGATCAGAGGATTTGGAAACTTCTCATTTTACACGTAACATTATGTAAATAGTCAGTCAGTCTTCTTGTAGCTTTTTCCCTTGTCAGGGTCGGACGGTTTTTGCTTGCGCCCTCGACGTTTAAATTGAACGTCGGGGCGGCAGCAAAGCTGGCGCCGTGTGTACATTTAGAGATTAGTTTAAGAACTTGCAGATGCAATAAAAGACAGCGTTTCCTCTCTAACATTGCTGTATTGATCTTCGAGTTTTTTTTATTTTAGATTCAGCAAATGTGTGCATTTCTTCCTTACCAAGACGGGATTTTTATCACTCGGGTTGTGCTCGATATCCGGCGACGAATCTCTGAACTCCGGCCATGTCGCAAACTATATTTACACGGTCGAAGCTTCCTTTCATCTCCATAACCATGTAATTCACCAGAAATTTGCTCTGAATCTCCCCGTTCGTCTGCAACACACAACAACGGCGACTTACTTCAAGATCATCGACGGATTTGAAAATAGTTCACCACGGTTTCTTCAAATTCACAATTGCATACCTCAAAAGCAAAGAATCCACCAGGCTTTAGCATTGTAGCAGCTCCATTGCAGAGATGGATGAGGTCTTTCAACCCTTTCATCCCTCCATCCAGGGCGAGTATCGGCTCGTGCTTACGAACTTCGGCCTGCAGGCCGTTGATATCGTCGCTCGGAATATATGGTGGGTTGCTGATTAATCCGCTCAATTTCCCTTCAACATCTTTGAGAGGATCAAACCATGAGCCCTGTCTCACCTCAACTCTGTCCTGCCAAACCATCAAAGACAATCAAAAGGACATCAATTGAAGAACACAAGGATTTTGAGCAGATTGATTGATTATAGATATCGATTCTAGCCTGCAAATTGTAACTCTGCACATTGTATGATGCAACTGCAACAGCCACGGGGCTCAAATCCGTAGCAATAACTCTAATGGCGGAAACCCTAGAAATCCCAATTGCAAGAGCTCCGCTGCCCGTCCCCAAATCGGCCCACGCGCCGTTCTTCAGATCGGCGTTTTCTTTCACGGCGGCGTCCGCCATATCCACGATTGTCTCCGTCTCCGGCCGGGGAATCAAAACCCCTTCCTCGACGCTCAGGATTAAGTCTCTCCAGTGCTCGCAACCCACCACGTATTGGAACGGTCTTCTCTCCTCTATCCGCTGCTTCCACAAGCTGTACAGTTCGTCCAAACACGCCCTCATCGACACCGGTGAATTGACGTCGCCGGAAATTTGGGAAGAAAGGACGGAGGGCTGCTCGATTGCGTCTTCGACGAGCCAGTTGAGCTCCCGGAGCAGGAGTGTGGAGTCCGGGCCGTTGTCCAATTCGACGAAGGTGGAGCCGATTGAGGAGGCCTGATTCTTAGCCCAATCGTGCCATTTTTTCAGGTCTGACAGATTGGCCTCGAACGCCGGCGGCCTCTGGTAGAGCGGAAGACGCGGAGTTCTCCGGGCAGCGCCGGCGGGAGGGATTACGGGTCGGATCATGCAACGCAGAGGCGCACGTGTGAATAAGCTACAAGACTTCATTGTCCCGTCTTCACATGAAACCGGGCTTAGTTTTAAAAAGGGTCTAACTGGGCCGGGCTTAGCCCATCAAAAAATAAGCCCAATTATATTGTGTCATATATTTAGACTGGGCTTTACTAAAAAAAAATAGGTCTAATATTGTTGATTCAACTTTCATTTATTTATATATATATATTTATTTTCATATGTATCTCTGTTGAAATCTTATAATTATCTTAATTTAGGTTCCTAATTGTTTTTAATTAGCTTAAAAGGCATTCCAAAATAATTATATTGCATTATTTTTCAATAGTTGAATGAATCATTTCAATAACAAACGAATCGAATCATTTTATAGTAAAATTGAATAAGTGGTGTGCAAAATTAATAAATGAAAACAGGTTGAGACGTTTTGTGAAAAGGGTTCAGAAAAGCAAGTGATGAATTTGAGCATTTTAATTTCATTCATACTTACTTACTTCAAATAAATAATATCCATGTTGGGAGGCATAACATATTATATTATAGACCCCACCCCACCCCACCCCACCCGTGAAGAAGCACATTATTGAGTGAGTTCACACATTATTAGAATTATTGATTGATTGATTGATTTGGAACAAATATCCTCAACTATTAAATTCATTTAATTATAATGGTTTGTCTTTAAATAAATAAATATTGTGTAGCATGGGACAATCAAACCATATATAAATTTATTATAATAATAATAATAATAATAATAATAATAATAATAATAATAATAATAATAATATAAATGCATGATGCAACGTAATGTTGGAATGAAAGTGTCGGCCGGCAGTTGCCGACGTAACGTAATCGTAATGTAATCTTAGACTCATTTCACATTTGGAGGTTTGTTTGGTTTGATTTAAAATTAGAATTAGAAATTTTCTTTTTGAATTCAAATAATATTTATTAATTTACAGTAACTTACGTATAAATAATTTTAATACGTTATGTAAACGTTAGATTTAGTAATCATTTTAAAACATAAAAAATAAAAACTAAAATCTATAAAAAGAAAACATAAAAAAAGTATCCAGCACAAGTGAACTCACATTAATGCGGAATTAAAATATATAAAAAAAAAGATTTCTTTAGCCATTTATTACAAGAGCGAAAAATAATCCCAATTCCCGGAGCCACCCATGGACTGCCACGTGTAAATCCGCGCGCCTTTCATCACATCCAGCTACAGCTCACCTACACGCACACTTCAATTCATCTTCAATGGCTGTTGCTTGCTGCAGGTATCCTATGCCTTTTTTCATCTTCTTCCTTCATTCGAAAATCCTCTAATCTTAATTAGCAGTAAAACGAAACTCGTAAATCTCTCGCTCTCTCTCTCTCTCTCCAAACCTACTCCCACCTCCTCGTTCACCTGAATCTCGACTTTTCTCTCTAGCCTCTGGATCTCGCCTTGCCTACTCTTCCTCACCTGTTTCTCCATTTCTGATATTTATCTCATCTTCTTTTTGCTTTTCCAATTACTGAGGGTTTCCTTCGATTCGTTATTTTCTTTTTTTTTTTAACTATCTACTGGCCGGGCTGAGTATTTGAGGAAGCTTTTTTTTGGATTTGTTTAATTAAATGGGTATTTGCTACTCATCAGATCAGAAGAGGGAATCGAATTGGGAGAGGGAGGGGGGGAAAATTAGGGCTGATTCCAAAGTTAAAAAAACTGCCTCCGGCGATTTCACTGCTTTCATCAGTAAGTTAGGCGGCGGCGGCGGCGGCGCCGCCGTAGTGGCTGAGGAGCGGGCGCTGCATCAGATTCCGGGGCGGCTATTTGGAAATGGTTCGAGCACCGTCGCTAGCTTGTACACCCAGCAAGGCAAGAAAGGAACCAATCAAGACGCCATGATTGTTTGGGAGGTTCGATTTTAAAAGCAAATTTTACAGTTTCTGATTAACTCAATTTCCGATTTCGTTTAATTAGGGTTTGAATTCGGGCGCAATGATTTGTTTTAGGTTTAGAAAATCAATTAAGAGCACTGAATAATGAATGTCGTGTGTATTCCGTTGGTCATTTTTGTGACTTTGCTTGGATTGTTTAATTATCCGTTAGAACTTCTGCGATCGCGGCGGCGCCACGGCGGCGACGTTCTGTGGAGTGTTCGACGGCCACGGTCCGTACGGCCACATGGTGGCTAGAAAAGTACGGGACGCCCTGCCGATCTTGCTACGTTCCCGATGGCAAATCAAGCCTGAAAATGATCTAAACAATGCACAAAACATCAACGGAAATTTCGAAAACATGAGACGATTCAACGATTTCATGGACGAAGACGGCTGCGAATCGTTGGAAGCCGAAGACACCGAAATTATCCCCGAAAAGCATTCGCAGCTCAAGAAGTCGATACTCAAAGCCTTCAAATTGATGGATAAGGAGCTGAAGATGCATCCGACGATCGATTGCTTCTGCAGCGGCACCACTGCCGTTGCCTTGATCAAGGAGGTATTACACGTCTCGTGATCGTGATCGTGATCGATTCCTCTGTTTTACATTACATTGATTTATGAATTATATCCAACATATTGTCCAGGGTGAGGATCTTATAATCGCAAACGTTGGCGATTCGCGGGCAGTATTGGCGACGAGAGACGGGAGCAATGCTTTGTCGGCTGTGCAGCTGACGGTCGACTTGAAACCTAATCTTCCAAGTAATTACGATGACGATAACGACACTCTTTATCCAAACCATTTAATTGGGTTTTACGAATACGATAGCTAAATTAACGACGTCGAAATTTCAGGGGAAGCTGCTCGGATCCAGAAATGCAAAGGACGCGTATTTGCGCTGCAAGATGAACCGGAGGTCGCTCGTGTATGGCTGCCGAACAGCGATTCCCCAGGCTTGGCCATGGCTCGGGCATTCGGGGACTTCTGTCTGAAAGACTTCGGTTTGATATCGATGCCGGATATTTATCACCACCGCATCACCGAGAGAGACGAGTTCGTTGTTCTTGCCACTGACGGGGTATATACAACACGATTTCGATTCTTGAAAAAACCAACCTTTATGCTAATACGAAAGATCACATCGATTCGAACTCGGGGTTTTGACACAGGTATGGGATGTTCTATCCAACAAGGAGGCAGTGGACATCGTCGCCTCGGCTCCGAGCCGCGGAACTGCCGCGAGAGCGGTCGTCGACTGTGCCACCCGAGCGTGGAGGCTCAAGTACCCGACTTCGAAGAACGACGACTGCGCTGTCGTATGTTTATTCCTTGACCGAGCGCCGGCAGCGTTCAATGGCGCGACTGCAGCTCCTGAAGCCGAGAAAATAATCGTTTCGAAGGAAGGAGGAGACTTTGCGATCCAAGAAACGATCGACGGTACTGTTTTTAGTACAGCTAATGAGCCCGGCGAGATTGTTCCCGTTGTCGAGGAAGTGGTACAGAAGGGTAGCGATGCAGATCTCGGTCAATCGAAGAGGAGCCTAGCGGAGTGCCTTTCGACGGCAGAGGATGAGGAGTGGTCGGCGCTCGAAGGCGTTACTCGGGTGAACAGTCTCCTCAGCCTCCCGAGGTTCTTGTCGTCGGACAAGAGATCGACGAGCTGGCGAAAATGGCTATGAGATTTGCCGAAGGGGTTAGGGTTGAATCTCGACGGAATGAGTCGAATTGAGCTGAGTTTTATTTTTCTTATATATAATGTGGAAATATTCGGTCGCTATTCTCGAGTGCAAATTTTTAGCCGAACCTAATAGTATGCAAATTAAATCTGATAAGATAAGTCACACTAAGCAAACTATGTGCGGCTGACAAAATTCAGAGGCGAGAGTTTGAATTCATAGTCTAACGGTCGCAAGTCGAATTAAGCCGAGTTGGTTTTTTTTTTTTGTTTAATAGTTGAACAGGAGAAGTAAGGAGAAATTTTGTGTGTTAGTGTAATGTTTTTGGAACGTATGATAATATTTTTATTTTTTATTTTTTATTTTTGGCTATTTGTTATTTTTGGAGTGCTAAATAAAAGTAGATCGAATTAGACGGGCAAGATGTTATGTTTGATGTGTTGTTATGTTGGTGATGAGATCAGAATAAAATGTGATTTTATAACTTGGTTATACAAAATATTATATAATGTAAAATTATAATTTATTATTAAACATATCAAAATTTATTTTTATTTTATTTTTATGTGGATAATTACATTTGATCAGGGTTTTACTCAATGGACACTAAAAAAATTCTTATTTTAGAAACCATCCTCATGAATAATAACAAGAAAAAGAAAAATCTTTAAATAATCTTTTATAGTAAACTATACCACTTATATGATGTTTATAGTAAAAGTGAATTCATTCCCAACAAGTAACAACATTGGGCTATCAACATCAAGCCCAACTACCTTTATTTTTAATTTTTGTATTTTTTTTTCTCTAATAGATTTCTATCGACTTCTCTATTTTTTTTTTCTAATTTGTTTCTTTATATGACCAACTTATATTTTATCATATTTATAATAAAAATATGTATTATATTATTATAACCGATCATCTATATAGCATATGCTGATAAGTTAAATCAATATGATTTGACCGCATCAACACAGGATCTACAGTTATATTTTTTAACTGCAAATATATAACTAATTTCTTACTAAAAGAAATTTATTTCTTTAATGACAAACAAATAAGAAAAATGACATTATTTATTTATTTTTTTATTTTTTTATGACACATGAAATATAATTCATTTTTATATATATCGAATATACAGGATTTGTTTGGAATGCTTTGTTGTTTAAAAATAGTACTACTTTAACAATAAATATATTTTTGTTATATAAGATGCTCACAAATTAAATTAAATATAATTAGTAGAATATTCCATCATTTTATTTACTTAAAAGTTATAAAATATTCATTTCAAATACTCTTATATCCTAACAAGAAGTGGGCAGCAAAATGAATATTTTGTATAAAATATTTTATATACAATAGTTAAGTAATGTGACAGGACGTGAATACACATTCAAGCACACGCCAATATATATATATATATATATATCTATTAATGTTATAAATGAAGTCGTAATACAAAGGACATATATCCTTTCTTGCCAGGTGATAATTTCCTATTTAAATCAGACAACATATATGCATCACATGATAGATAATTCATATTTTCTAACTTGGGGAAATCCTCATAAATGCCATCTACATTTTGTTTTTTTTTTCTTTTTAATTATGTGTTCTTTTTGATGGGATTTAAAATTTTTTTATTTGAATTTTGTATTAAAATAACATATAATATAATATCTGTTATATATATATATATATAAATTTAAAAACATAGAGTTCAAATAGTAAAAGTATGGGGTTTAAAGTGTAAGAAAACATACCCGCATCACACAATTTTTTAGATTCTATAATTTTTATAAAATTTTAGCTCCCATTTTTTGCTAAACATATTTTTATAATTTTTTTTTTTAAAAAATAAATATAATAATCTAAAAGCGTGTTAAATTAAACATCTACCAAGTTTTAAGTATTTATAAACTAATTAATAAAAGTCAAACATTTTCAAAACAATATAATATCATCAAAACGTAACCTAAAGAATTGAATTTTAATGATTTATTGTGGAATTTCTTGGAAGTAAATAAATAGATTCCAACGACCATAAACATTTAAATAAATACTTATATACTATAGTAATTATTAATGTATATATATGTGTATGAAAAGAGAAAGAGAAAAAGTAGAGAGTCAAATCACATAATGCACGTGAAACAAAGCAATAAGGTCAGCTTTTCAATTCTAACACTCCTAAATTGTACAACACCACAAAATAAAATTAAATAATTTATCTCTATTTTCTATTTTTGTCCCTCTCACGTAATATGTTATTTCTATTTTTTAGAAAATTAACTATACACTTTAATCATATTTTAAAATTTAAAATTTAATTTTTTTAATCTTAATTAAACTATTTAGTTATTTTAATCTTAATCTATAATTATTTTTACTAAATAATACTCCCTCCGTCCCGAAACTAAGTATCCATTTGCTTTTTGCACGTAGTTTTAAAAATATTAGTATTATATTAGGATATAGTATAAAGTAGAAATGACTAAAATAACCTTATTAGTACGTGTGATATAAAAGTAATGACATTTGTGTAATATATTGTAAGTTGTAAGGGTATTTGTAATGTTAGGTAGATAGTACAGTTACTAAAAAAAAGAAACGAATACTTTGTTATGGGACGGACTAAAATGAAAAAATGGATATTTTGTTATGGGACAGAGGGAGTAATTATTTTTACTAATATATTTCTTAATTACTTACTAATTATATTTTACCTAAATTTCCGTGTCTACAGTAATACACCCATATTACATGGGACGGAGGGAGTAACATACTATTATTTGTTTATTTATGCTTTATACTCCCTCCGTCCCAAATACCATGTTCACGTTGCTGTTTCTGTCCGTCCCACATACTATGTCACTTTCCTTTTTTGGAAAATAATTACACACTTTAATCTCATTTTAAATTTTTTAATTAAACTAATTAGTTATCTTAATCTTAATTTATAATTATTTATATTATAGAATAATTATTTTTACTAATACATTTTTAATTATCTATTAATTACATCCCCTAAAATACTGTGTCTACAGTGTAGCAGACACGATACGTAGGACGGAGGGAGTAACGTACTACTATTTGTTTATTTATGCTTTAAATTTGACAACATGTAATAATAATAATAATAATAGTGTGTTTAATTTGGTTAATATATTTTGGTTTGTTTTACTTGCCACCATCAAATCCATTCTACAGTATTTCACTGTACTGTCCAGCCACCTTTTCTTGCCTCAAATTCAAAAATATTTTTAAAATTTAGATATTGAAATATAGTAATTATAAATAAGTAGTTGTATGCAGTGTATGGGTATTATTATTATCGTTCACTTTATTGTTGCATGTCCAATCATATATTGCAATGTCTTCTCACACACAAAAATGTCTATTATATATATATATATAAATTATTATATCAAATATATATATTTTTATTTTAATTTATACAGCTGTGTTGGATCACTTAAAAAATTTATATGACTAGTTTTAGGTCTTATTTATCCATTATTATTATCCTGTTTTCAGTGTAAAATAATAATATTTTATTATTAAATATTATAAAAATTTTAAATAATGGAGAAAAAATATAAATAATGTATAATAATGATAGTAGAATTCATTGAAATAAATATTTAATAGAGGATATTAATTTTTATTTTTTTAAAGTGTATATTTTAATTTAATTTGCCAAAATTAATAATAATATAATAAATTTAACATATAAATAAGAAAATGGTAGAAAATATATTCTCTTTATTCCAACTCAATGTACCATTTTTACTATTTTTATTTTCCGCTTTAAAAGTATTTATTTCTAATTACAGTCAAAATAATCATAATTAAATATAAAAATATCTTTAATTTTTATTTGTAAATATATTATTTTTTGTGTATTTTCAAAACAAAAATATCAAAATATATATAACCATATACCTTTTTACTAATAATAAAATATAATCATTTTTTAATTAAATTAATTTTTTTTAAAAAAAGATAAAAATAAGTTAAGTAGGGAGAAGAGAGTAACTGGTATAAGTTATAATATGTGTATGTATAGACAAATGATTGCTGTTTCTAATTGACATATAAATTGTAATCATTAATTCATCAGAGATTGACGTGTGCTCAGACAATCAGCTACAAATTTTGTGGAATCAATAATTTATAATAATTATTATTAAAACTGAGTGTGTTTTTGATTGATTTTTTAAAATTTTGATTTGAATTTAAATTAAAATAATTTTATGATAAGATGTTTTTCATTTGAACGTTTATGTTTTATAATTCAAATAATATTTTATAAAAAAAATAAAAGTAAGATCCAAATAATAAATATAGAATAGAAACAGAAAAATAAAAATATAAAATTTTTACACACACATTAAAATAAGACACCCGTCGGGGTGTGTTTATGGAATTTGAAGATTAAAATAGTAAAAATTTTAATTGAAATAATTATTTGATATAAAATAAATTAAATAGTTACTAATATACATATATTAATACAAATTATATATAGCTAATTTAATACTTACTTTGGGAATGATTAAGAAGATTACCACAGTGATGAACTTTATAATAAATATATAAAATTTAGATAGGCAATATATAATTTAAATTAGTGTAATATTATTATATAGATGTCACCTTGTGCCATCTGTTCGCTTACATACTTCTTGTGTTATATCAATTATAATATATATATATTTTGTGGACTATTATTTTATATATATATATTATTTATTTATATACTGTAATTTTATATTATATTTAATATTTCCGTTAAAAGGAAAAGGTTATATAAAAGTTTTATATTCGCCGGTAATTTAAGAATAATATATATATATACATATGGTATATGATATACTATTAGATGTGGGTGAGGGAGGGGCACGTGCACGTGGGCGAGGGAGGGGTAGTCAATATTGCATAATAAATGCAGACATATATATATATATATATGAAATGAAATGAATAGATGATTTGAGAAGAATCCAATAAAAATAGACAAAGTGAGACATGGAAATGAAAAAGGGTAATTGCTTGCATTCGCATTTCAGACAAACAATTGTCCACTACGTACGTACTACTCTCTCCCCCTCTTTCTTACTATGTAATAAATATGTATATATATATATATATATTTAGTTACTGCTCCCCATCCATCCATCCCCACCCTCAACCCCATCCACACATTTAAGGCTTTGCGTGTTCTCTCTTCTTCTCTACTTACTCTCTCTCTCTCTTACTTAATAATAATAATTTATTATTGTGAGATCATGGATTCAAACCCTCAACGGCTTAGATTATATAGAATAATCTGATAACATAGTCTTGATTATAATTCACTTAATTTTACCAATATAATGTTAAGAATGTATCCATTATGCTCTAAACACTATATCTCAAATATACCTACAGTAATAATATTGCTTAATTTTAATAATAAATCTAAACGAATACATACAAAATGTACTGAAGGAGTATATGTAAGTGTCATTGTCCCCTTGAAATTCTATGCTTCATTGTATGTTTATATATATATATATATATAGCCAATTGTATGCACTAATTATTTTGTCATAAAAAAACTCCATATGTTAAGTGCCTTTTTGGCTCATGTGGTCCATAACCCTTAATTTTCTATATATTCTCATTACTATTCTTTAGGAATATTTGCCAGGTGAGGAGATCTCACTCATCGCAACTATACTTAGAAGAATTACACAATAATAGGTGCACAACAATTTTGGAAATATGTAGTTATAGCCTGTCTTTGTTTTTTTTTATTTCAAATAAAAAACAAACAATATTAAAATATTTAATTTCAAACCAAAATCACACAAATTTATGTCCTATCATTTTTATAAATATCTTGAATTGTACTTAATTCATGTGCCATATTGGGTAATAATTAAACTTAATTTCCACAAATTACATGACATAATAATATACTGAAATATGGATTCCCCAATAAGTACGCCAAATCAGTTAAATAATATTCTTACATTCGATTGATGTCAAAGAAAACCATGATGCAGGAAATATAAATATAATAAAAATGTGCTTCCTATGATTTGTTTTGGGTACGGGAATTTAGGTGGGCAATACGATAATAAAATGTCAAGAAAAAATTAAATAGTATTTAATTATTTTTTATTTTAAAAATATTGTATAGTGTTTAAGATAGATGGAGTAATTGGTTTACAATAGGTGATAACTGTAGCCCCAAATGAATGGCTTTCTCTCTCTCTAGATATATATATATATATATATGAGATACATACAGATGGATGTGTGTATGTATGTAGATAAAGTTGTCGAAGAATATTAATTGTGGCAATTATTCTGTTTTTAATAATCTGATGAAGCAGACGACATTTGGGAGTGTCTGTCGGCGATTCTGTCAATCCTTTGTTAACTTATTACTCTCCATCTTCACACTATTCTCATCTCTTCTTCTAATTCTAACTGCAACTCTCTGTGTCTCTGCCTGTAATTTGTGCCCTAATTTTCCGAAGAAAGAAAATAAAATGATGGAGTATTATATAATTAATTAATTAGATACACATTGCAGCTGATGATATATATAGATATGTTCTTACACCTTACCCTAGCTAGCTGCACAACTACAACAATTTTATTTTATTATTTTTATTTTATTTTATTTTGATCTGTCTCAGCTGTGTCTATATATCATTTACTACCCCCCTCATGGGGTTTCCTGTGTTTGTGTGTGGTTGAGTTGAGTGAGTGCTCATACTGTGCAGCTGCTGCCATGGCTTAATTCTACTGCTTCAATTCAAGGGAATTGCCCTTTCTCTCTCTATCTCTATCTCTATCTCTATCTTTATCTGTGTCTGTATTGCTGTGTCATTTCCATCATATACATATCATATCATCAGATGTAAAAGTCATCACTCTCTCACTTTTTTTTCATCACCCGAAAAATGCATAAGCTTGTCTTCTTCAACCATTCCCTACCTCATCAATAAGTTTTCAGCTCATTAAAAGTTTCATCAGATTCCAATCATCCCCAAACTCCAAAAAAAAATTCTCTTCTTCTCCGCCACACCCCATCAATTTCACGTAGGTCTAATTAATTGGCCACTGTTGGCACACATATATATACAGATATACAGACAGGTGTGCTACTGTACTCTCGCTCTAGGGTTTGGGTGTCTCATTAATAGCTTGATCGAGAGGGACCGTTGTGCCCTTTTGCTGATTAATAGTATGTTGGGATCATTTGGTTCGTCATCTCATGAGGAGGAGGAGGAGCCGGCGGAGGCGCCGCCGGCGCCGCCGTCGCCCAATGTGTACCTCCACCACCGCCACCATCAGATAATTCCTCCTCCCCGGAGTTTCGCCTCGCCGTCGATTCACATGCGGCAGCTGCTCATAAGCTGCGCCGAGCTTGTCTCCCGCTCCGACCTCTCCGCCGCGCACCGCCTGACGGCGGTTCTGTCATCGAATTCTTCGCCGTACGGTGACTCCTCGGAAAGACTCGTCCACCAGTTCACCAAAGCCCTGTCCCTACGAATCAGCCGCTACGCCGCCGCCACGAGCTTTTTTCCGGCGCCGGCGAGCGAGAACGAGGAGGTGGTTCAGTCGTCGTACCTGTCGCTGAACCAGGTGACGCCGTTCATCAGATTCAGCCAATTGACGGCGAATCAGGCGATCCTGGAAGCCATTGAAGGGCATCAAGCGATCCACATCCTCGATTTCGACATAATGCACGGCGTGCAATGGCCGCCGCTGATGCAGGCGGTGGCGGAGCGCTACCCGCCGCCGACGCTCCGCATCACTGGAACCGGCGGCGATCTCGAAATCCTCCGCCGCACCGGCGACCGCCTCGCGAAATTCGCTCACTCATTAGGTCTCAGATTTCAATTCCACCCCTTAATCCTCCTCCCCAACGAAGACCCAATTTCAGTGACCTCATCCGTCGTCCTCCTCCCCGACGAAACCCTAGCAGTGAATTGCGTCCACTATCTCCACCGCCTGCTCAAGGACCGGGACCGGCTGCACCTCTTCCTCCACCGCCTGAAATCGATGTGCCCGAGGGTTCTGGCGGTGGCGGAGAGGGAGGCGAATCACAACCACCCGATTTTTCTCCAGCGTTTCGTGGAGGCGCTGGACCATTACGCGGCGGTGTTCGATTCGTTGGAGGCGACGCTTCCGCCGACGAGCCGGGAGCGTCTGGCGGTGGAGCAGATATGGTTCGGGAGAGAAATTGCAGACATAGTGGCGGCGGAGGGGGAGAGCAGGAAGGAGAGGCACGAACGGTTCAGATCATGGGAAGTTATGCTTCGAAATTCAGGGTTCGTGAAGGTTCCATTGAGCCCTTTCGCCCTTTCCCAAGCGAAGCTTTTGCTGAGACTCCATTACCCTTCTGAGGGGTATCACCTCCACATTCTCAATGATTCCTTTTTCTTGGGATGGCAGAATCACCCCCTTTTCTCAGTCTCTTCTTGGCACTAAAACTCAGATCAGATCAGATTAGATCATCTATCAATATACCTATATCTCTCTCTCTATATATATATATATGCAATCAGTTTAATTGAGGATCATGTATATCAGGGTTGCCTATGGCTATCTAACTGAAATTCGCCTTTCCCCTAACCCTAATTTCCCTACAACGAATGCATGGATTTTGTGATCTGAAACATTGGGAATTTGGATGGGAAGATAACAGTATTTCACGTCTCTCATCTTCTGCTGCTGCTGTTGCATGCCTTCAATTGACATGATCGATCTTCACTCAGGTTTTGTTTTCTTGGAGTGCTGAAAACTGGGTACTTTAATTTCATATATATATATATATATATATACTGGTGATCGATGCTTCTGTTGGGGGTTCGTTCAATTCACTGTATGGTAATCAATTGCTAGATTTTTCTGCTTGCTTGCGTGTGTGTGTGTGTGTGTGTGTGATTTAACACTATCTGTAGTATTATTGAATTTTTAATTATTTATCAAATTAAAGATTCCTCCATAACCTAGCATCAGCTAGCTAATGATCCAGTCGATCTATCAGCCTTTCGAAGAGGCAACAATGGCATATTAAGATACCATTATCTTGTGGATGGGTACTGTGTAGTTGTCATTCTGGTGGGTTTTTATTTTTACTTTTGTTTATTATATATATAAATATAGGGTTTGTAGCCTTTTCTTTCATCTCGAGTGCTAATTAGATAATGCTTCACTTTCCCTCAACTATATAATATTATTATGCATTATTAATTAGTTATATCTTGAAATTATTCCTAAGCAGTCACTCACTCACTCACTTCCCTTTTAACAATTTGCACTTTTTAAGACAACAAAAGGAGATAAACTTATTAGTTGGTGGTTGATGGGAAAGTATTAGTATATTATTTGTTTGCCTAAATTCTCTTTTCTTGATTGATATATATATATATATATATGTATAGTGGGGTGTGTGAGAGAAAGAGAGAGAGAAAGACTAATTTAATATGTTTAAACATTATCAAGAGGAAATGTATGTATGATGTTGTTGATGAGCACGAAACGAAGCAAGCGTATATACCTTTAATTAATTGTATATTACTATTTGTATTGTATTGTATTGTATTGTATTTATATTTGTATGTAATGAAATAAATAATAAAAATGAATATATATATATATTTATAGGGTAATTAATTAATTAAGAAACCCTAATTAGTGGGGTTTGTCCCCTCCTTGGCAAAACCAAGCATAAAAGTTGTCAAAGAGATGTTGGCAAGAAGCCCCTTTCCATTGCTACAACTTAGCATTGGGATCTCTCTCGTGTCTGTGTCTGTGTATGTCTTGTGGCATTCCAAGAATCACCCTTTTTCCCTTTGTCGATTCTTCTTGTTTAGTTATGCCTTCTAAAGCATCTCTTCCCTTTTATATACCCAATACATAAACTTTTATCCCCTTCTCTATCCTTACATTTTCATGCAATTTCATCTCCACCATACCCTACCCCACCCCACCCCACCCACAAAACCCCTTGATTATATATCAATTATTAACTCAACCCTTGTTATATATTCACAATTAAACTTCAAAAAAAAAAAAAAAAAAAAGAAAGGATCTTGAAATCTTGTTATTCATAATATGCAAGAGGGAGGTGGGGTGTGGTGGTTGATAGGGTTTTCTTTGCCATGATATGATGTGTAGGGGGGGGTGGAGGGGGGGTGTGCTGACAGTGATAAGATGGTTATTTGATGACGGCCACGCAATGTATAATGTATAGGAGGAGGAGCAGGAGTTGTAGCAGAAAGAGCAGTGGTGCAAATCTAACATTATATTGGCATACTTTTTGCCTTGTGGGGTTGCTATATTTTTGCTCTTTTATATACTCTCTTTTGGGATCATATAATTGCCTGACATTGCACGCAATATCCCTTTATATATGGAATGTTAACATCAACTTATATATATATATTATATATTCACACCCATCTCTTCTATCTTTTGTGTATACATACATTTTGGTTTCAAGAATTCTTTCTGCTCTATCTTTTGTGTCTTTTTTTTCTTTTTACCTAAAAGATTGAGATAGAGAAAGGGTTTTTTTAGGACAATGAATTGATTAATTAATTAATGCATGTTTTGATCATGTAAGAAGGAATCTTGAAGGAAATGTAGTTGAAAGTTGAAGTAGTCACACACACATATATATATATATATATATTTATGTATGTATATCGAGATCCCTGCTGCTTCCTCAAATTGTGCCTTCGCCATAATATTATTTATTTATTTGATGTTTGTATCCATCCCTCCCGATGAATAAATATATATATATATATATTTACATTAATTCCAAAATCAAAGCATCCACATGATAGAATAATAGCACTCCACTCTCGTGGAATCTTAATTAACTAGTTGACATTAGTTTTCATTGCTTTACCCAATTATTATTATTTTTAATCTCTCTCTCTCTCTCTCTCTATATATATATATATATTTATATATAAATATATATATATATATATATATATATATATATATAAAGACAGACAAAAACACAATCACTCACTCAACTTTAGGATGGAATTATTAATTGAAGTGAGTGGGCATCTTCTTCGAGTGCCCTTATAATAAATTGTTAAAACAAAAGTCATTTCGAAACTTAATTAAACATGCATGTCTAAGTTGACATTTTATATATATTGATATGTATATATAAAATGTAATAGAACAAATCAAAATGGAAAATGAAATACTATTAGCATAATGTGTAATATATATGTAAATAAGTACTAATAAGGAGTATAGTATTAGTGGGAGAGGTACAGAAAAGGCAAATATTGCGTGGCAGAATTTGGATGCCTGCCAGAAAACATATATTGTATATTGTAGAAGCTGTATTTCTTATTCTTAATTAGGTGTCAGGTTAAGGTTTCGTAGTTTGTCCTATGTAATATTATACTATACTATATACTGTTTATTTAGTTTAATAAATTATTATATTGTTGGACTAATACTATCTATTCAGTTTATCGTGTGTGTATATACATATTGATCAAATAGGATGAATTGGATAGTATTTTGTAAATACATAATTCTTTTAAATGTATTAATCAGCTTTATTTCTCAATCGTCTGGAAATTAAAGGACACAAGAAAATTCTTGTTTCTTCAAGAACTTATGATTCCAGTGGTCCTCTCACTAGATTTAGGGTTTAGGATTCGAATCCAAATGAAGATCAGACCATCTATCAAAGAAAATAGAACGAATCGACCTTAGCTTGTAGGATTCTTAAGAAATGCTTCAATTGACTTCTCACATTAATTAATACCTTGGCCTAGAGCTATTTCAATTAAATTTTAATTTCATGTTGGATTTTACAAAATCGAAAATATATTTCACGTAGTTTTTAATAAGAAGAAAAAAAAAAAACAGTGATTGTTTACTTACAAGTACTTACCCATATTGCAATTATAACAAATATATACTGCAGCCACACTAATGGTTGTTCGAACCGTTGGTTTCATTTTTGGTTTGATCTTTGTTATTCTAACTAGAACTATAGAACCAGAAACATAAACAAAATTTGAACCCTACAATTTTAATTTCACATTTTAAGGGATCATATATAAATAAAACAAAAAATTCAAATCAGTGACTTTTAGTTCGAATAATTGGTTTACTATATATATATATATATATATATATAATATATGTAAGCTGTTACTATATATATACATATATTATTAAAGTTAAGTTTAAATAAAATTTAAAGAAACAATATGTAATTTAAAAATTAAATGTCTGTTTAGTTGTGATTTTTTAATTTTAATTTTGAATGAGAAAAAATTAAAAAAAAGTCTAATGAAATTTATAATAAGAGTCGAACGTGTCTCATTTAATATCAAAGTCCATCTGCAACAGCCCGCAGTAGTTGATAAGATTGTTGACGAGCTTAACAATTAAAGGAATTAGGGTTTAGGGTTTAAGGAATCATTGGAATGTAACTAAGACATTGCATTTTTAAGTGGGGATGATATAATACCTAGTAATTAGACAACTTCAGTATATAGATGAGCGGGTGCTAAACCATCTGATTGATTGAGAATGAATTAGGTATCAGTTAGGCCAACTCCCGTATATGTATGAGTCGATGTCAGATCATCCGATTGATTGAGAATGAGTTAGGTCTCTGCTTGGTTGTATATCAAAATTTTCGATATGATCTAAAATCATATTTAATTTTTTTGGTACTATACCAATGTATAATTTGATATCTTTAGCATATACTAAAATAATTTCGGTATTTTAATATTCAGTATATCAATATATATAAATAATTAAATATATTGATACCAAAATTATTATTTTAATTTTTTTTATTTGGGTATGAAATAGTATATATCAATATTGTACCAAAATTTCGATACGATCTCAGTACATACATTTATTATACCAATTTTTTTTAAAAAAAAAAACAATAACCCCTTATTTATTCAAATTCTAGTTCCGTTCCTGTATAAAAGCATTATATTAGATGTTGTCACACATACATAGGCGATCTATCCGTTTTTTTTTTTTTTTTTTATTGAAGTTTGAACCCATGACCTCATGTCACATCTCAACTTCCACATCATCGGACCTTATCTCAGTTCCGAAGTCAATAGGTCACAAATTGCACTAAACCCTCTAAGATAAAATTGAAAACACAACTAGCAAAAGTTAAAAGAGTTTTATCTAAGTGCCCATTGGAACAATATCTGAAATTTATTGTCACACTTTTAATTAAAAAAGATCAATGTACTGCATTTGCAATTGCATATATAAAACCAAGACTAGATAGAGAGCTCACCTGTGGAGATAAGAATGCCATCGCTGTCCGCATACACCCACTCCCCGTCGCGGATCATTGTCCCGGCGATATTGATCGAGCCATGTTTCTCGCCGTGTCCCTTCTTGTTCGACTTCAGTGGGTGCGACGCCAATGCTCTCACCCCGACGTCGCAGGCATTGATCTCGTCTACATCGCGTATGCACCCATTCACGATCACCCCGGCCCACCCGTTGTTCTGAGCCAGCTGGGCCAGGTTCCCGCCGACCAGGGCGCATCTCATGCTCCCCCCACCATCTACCACCAGCACTCGACCCTCGCCTTTCGATTCTAGAAGCCCCCGCACCAGCACATTGTCTTCGAATACTTTCACCGTTGCGATTTGCCCGGAGAATGCGCGACTTTGGCCGTAGATCTTGAACATTGGTGGCAGGACACGGATGTCGCCGCTCGAGAGGAGAGCTGCGTTTGTGTCGCATAGTTCTGCAGTTGCTAAGGAACCCATGAATTGTCTGTCTGTCTGTCTGTCTGTCCGTCACATATCATATAATGGTCGTTACACCCTGTTTTTAGTATAATTTGAACAATGCAACTAACATTTCACATTTCATCGAATTAATCGACTGAAATTTAACCAAGACTACTACTTGTCCTGCCAAACATGATGTTATTGCAGGGGCGAAAACCGGAATTCACACAATGGTTTTACGTTAAACTATGGCCTTCTGCACCGATCAATCTTTCTAGTTATAAAGTTATCCAACAAGAAGCCTCACTTATGACAAATTAAGAGCAGCTATTTTATTCAAAGAAGCATCAATTCCTTAAAGCACAGTTACTTATGATCGAAACAATAATATCTTTCATTTCTATGTTGTTTTACATGAAAAACATTAATCCCTGAGACCTAACCTAAAGTTAAAACTTGCATGAGTTGAAAAATGCAATCTCAGGGCATTTAAGAGTTCTAAATCAACCACTCAAAGCTTCCCAATTAAAACTAACACCTGCTGCAAAACAAGATGGTTTAAGGTAAAAGACAGAATCCATGGCGCACAATACAAATGCCAAGTAAATGCAGATGTTCTATCAAGTTAAATGCCGTAGAAGCCCAACCACGAATGGAATGCCTAATACAACTAACGTAAAGAAGGATTATCCCCAAATCTAGCAAGCTCAAGAGTCAAATTAGGGCAAATCAAAACATAATAAGAATCGGAATTGTGGAAACCTAAGGTGAAATTAAACGCACTCACCGATGAACTCAAAAGGTCTCAAACCGCAGTAAATTAGCAGTGCTCCCCAAATTATAAGCATTCAAATAACCAGCAGAAACAACGGAAATCGAAACCAAAACACTCATGGACTCCAGCCAACCAAAATCAAGCGAATTGAACAATTGAATCGAACAACAATTAAACGCCATACCGGATTATTGACTACAAAGAAAGCGAATAGAAGCACCCAGGGACCGAGGAGGAACCGATGCTCCAAAACAGGCCAATTGCAGCAACTCCGAAGTATATACGAACCACCAACTTCAAGCAGACATCATTCGATTTCGGTCAGACGATCGCCTCATATCTACTCGTAGCTCGTGCCATCACGTCACAATCCCATCGACCATGACGTCTGCCACAACGAATCAACGTGGATCTGTCATCTATGGCCGAAAATGCACAGCCGAAGAGTCTCCATCAACGCGCAAATTGCAGCTTCATTTATTGGCCCAATTTCAAGAAAAATCCTTAATGGGCTTCCGACATGACCTTGGGCCTGAGCCCATTAAATTATATATATATATAGAATACTCCAGTATTATTAATTTATTTCCACTCGTATTTAAGAAAATAAATAAATAAATAATGATGTGACATCATGAATTGTCTGTCACGCACGAAGGAACTATAAGTCACGACATTAATAGATCATTTAATGAGAAATCAAAAAAATTTTATTTATCTTGATTATAATTATAAATTTGAAATTTCCGAGATTAATCAAATGTTAGTTGACTAACATTAGAGGCATCAGACAATAATAATTTTAGGTTGTTATTTCTAATTATTGAGTTGGTTCCCTTTGTCAAAAGCTAAGGAAAAAAACACTGTTTAGTGGGGGCGAGGCGAATTGCGTTTAAATATGTTTTTGAAGTTTTTAGTAAATTCAAAATTCAAAATTCAAAATTAAAAAATAATATTCGCACCGTTCGAATACAATAGTCTTAATTACCATTATTATATGTTCAAAAATAATAATTTTATTTTCATAAATAATCATATCACTATAAAACTATCCCTACTTTTTCACTATTATTACACAATTGTCACTACTTTTTATACTAATATACTCACAAAAGCAAAAAAGTCATTCATCCATACTTTTTACCAACCGCCAATATAATTTTAAATCTCGTGTCCAATACAATAAGACTATACTTTTGGGACGGAAGGGACTAATTGAAATTGTTGATTTAGCAATGTGAAACCAATGTTAAATATTTCTTTTTAACTATTTAATTTATCAAAATTCAATTATGGTTTTACCTTAACAAAAAATAAATATTGTAATAATATTGTTAAAATTGAAAATATTTTAATGATGTGTTTGGTTGTGTCCTGAGTTATTTTAAATTTATTTAAATAAAAATATATATTACTATACTAGATGATTTTAAAGTGTAGAGACAGATTGGTGAAAAAAGGTAATCAATGAAAATCCTTATGTATGAATTAGATGCTTTACCTTAAATTTAGTGCTCCTTTAAATATATACTTTTAGTGTTTATATATAATAAGTGAGTATTTGATAAGATATTTTATAAAAAAAATATATATATTATTAATTCATAATATTTAAATTTTAAAAAATATGTAATTTACAGAGCCTAAATTAAATTGAAAATAATATAAAAAGTTAAATAAATAATGCATGCTTGATGTGAAATGAATGAATGTTGTATAATGTAATATTTCGAATATAATATAGGAGTAGTTTTTTATATAAATAAATATTTTATGTAAAAAATAGAGAAAGAATTTGTTATATAGTGTAAAAATATGTTTTAAAATATTAGCAAACAAAAAGTGTTATTTATTTAATTAAATTTATCTTCGTAACAAAGATGGATTAGCACTCACTTCATTAATTAAAGAATTAGGTCAAGACAGACGCACGCGCGCATGGTCCTAATTAATTCTTCCTAACTCAGAGTCCCCACGTGTGATGGAAAAATCAAATTAATTCAAAAATAGGTACTGTACACGTGTGAACCTAGAAATAAAATCCTCTCTCCATCTTGCAAATGTATGCTCATTTAATCGGACATAAATTTTAATAAAAATGAGTAATAATTGTTATTTTTTCTTTTTATAGTAAAAAGGTACAAAATTATAATAATTTTTTACTTAAAAATAAAATGATAATATTTTTATAACAATTCAAAAGGAAAAGTAAACATATATTTGAATTGCGGAGGAAGTAGTTTTAATAATATTGAAAAGATAATGGCAAAAGAACTACGTTGCCTTTATTTTTTTGAAAATGTGAGAATTGTTTTGAAAATAGAATATTTTTGTAGTTAACTGAGACCCACAATTATTATTTTTTTATAACGAAATTATTGTTTTTATATATAAAAAGATTTTGACATCTTTTGTCATTTGTATTTATATATAAATTAATTGTATATATATAAAAAAAATTATTTATTATTTATATTAAAATTAAGACTATTTTAACATTAATGTTTTTATTACTGCAATAAAGATAAATATTTTTAAATAAAAAACGAAAATAATATATTTCAGAACAAAAAAAGATAATCTCTTCGTTCCATAATTATAGTTTAGTTGTGTTGATTGCGAGCCTTAAGAAATATTGATATTATATTGATAGTTGATAAAATATATGAATAAATTATTATTATTTTATTTTACTCTTGTTAATATATTAATATAAAAAATAGTGACTATTGCTTTGAAACGTATAAAAATAATAACAAAACTTATAAACTTGTAGTGAGACGAATAGTGTATATTTTTATCGAAACAGTATTAATTGAACGTATTTTTATTCAAAATAAAAAGTAAAAATACAAAAAAAAATTAAATTAAATTAAAAGGATAGAAAGAGTGAACACGTGACTAGCACGGCGTATCAATTATGAAACAATTTGCCAAATTCGCCGCTCCATTTCAGCTGCCCGCGCCTTTATTCCGTCCTGACCGATCCAAGTAGATTACACGTGGCGCTCTCACAGAAGTTCTGAGCCCACCCACACGCTTCGCCGCACGTGCGTATGCGGGCCCAGAGTTGGCGGCCAAGTATGTATGAAGTATTCATTCAAAGCATGAAAGCTGTGCCCTAGATACTGACCTTTTTATTTTTATTTTTGTTTTTTCTTGTCAAAATTATTACCCTTTTTTTTTTTGTATTTATTTAAATAAATCTAGTATGGGTCATAATTGGCTGTGTAGTAATCGAGTTTGTATATTCACGTGTGGTACGTAATTTTATTCATTTATTTTTCTAATATAAAAATTGGCCGTGATAAGTGGGAAGCCATCTAGGGTGCCAACTTTTATACATATTGCATTTTTATTTAAAACTTTTTCGAGAAAATAACAGTAGATTGAGAAGGTATTTTAAATTTTAATATTTTTCGAAATAAATATGTGAATAGAAATAAACAGAGCCAAGTATTTCAATAATAAATTCCAGCAATATTCTTTATTTATGAAAAATATTCAATGTAGCAATAATGAATTGAATTTGTAGTAACAAAAATCTGCAGTCATAATTTTTGTTTAAAAAACAAAACATAATAATGATAATGAACTACTTACGTACTTTTTAACCCAATGGGGACATTAATTCATTAAAGTTGACAGAATTTTTTCACAAAGTCATGATTGTATTAAAATTGAATTAATGATAAATAGTGGGGATGGAATGGAATTTGTCAAATAATGGAGCATTTTAAGGAAGATGGTGCACCAAAAGATAAAAAGACTGTGGCTCCCATCAATGTGTATTTTATTATTATGAATTATTATTATTTTGAATTTATATATTTTGTTTAAACATATGTATATATATATATTATATTTATGATATAATTAATCAAAAAATATGTCAAAAAAATTATTAGGTGATCACACCGTTAAATTGTTTTGGACTGATGTATCACATATTATATAAAATGTACTTGATCAACAACTTATGTTGTCGATGAAATCAAAATCCAATTCGAAAACTAAAGTCAAAATCGAAGCTATTATACCTATCAAAGATGCAGAGAAGTTACAATATCCATTTTGTTGAGATAAGAAGTTGGATTATATCCTAAAATTTAAGGATATGATTTAGATATGATTTTGATATTATTGACGCTATAAAATTTATGGCTCGACAACGTTCCATATGTAGATCATTTTGATCGAACTGGATAACCAATTTTCTTTTGTTTTTCTCCTGTCCTTGTTTGTTGTTTTTTTGATTTCCTAGAATTTTCTCATAACACATCTCATATATATATATAAATATATATATTTCAACATTTTCTTAAGGATGCAAAAGTGGAGGTGGAGCTAGAAATTGAAACAATAGATGACAAAAATAATATTTTATGAGAAGAAATATATATTTAATGTGATATATATTGAAAAATATTTCGATTGTCTCAATTTAAAGTACTATTTTTACCATTTTCGTCTGTCCAATTTCAAAGTACCTTTTTATAATTTTCTTTTTAAAAAAAATAATCGTACACTAATATTAAAATACCCTTATCTTTTACTTAAATCACAAATGTACCATTACATGTACAATTACTCAATACAAAAAGTCAAATGCTAACAATTGTCAAAATTTCTTACACACTTTCATTAACCAATATAATATTATTATTTTTTAATATAGTACAAAACTCCTAAGAATCTCTTTCGAAAGTAATGGAGGGAGTATAATATTAATAAATAGTTTTAAAATATTTCAAAGTATATATATACAAATAAAATCATATAGTATTTATTTTTATAAGATAAAAATTGCAATTATTATTTTTCAAGTGTGCATTGTCCTCCAAACTATATAAACCGAATAAAAATACATTAGGGGTGTGTTTTCTTATCACAATTTTATCAAAAATTTTCAATAATAATAAAAAAAATTGTCCAAAAAAAATTTTAAAATAAAAAAATAATTTAATATTCAAAACATAATATGAACCCTATGGATATAGTATTATAATGTATTTGAATATGTATGAACATAATATACAAAATACAAGAGTCCAAAAACCCGCACTATTTAATTGCGAGGATTCCGCTGTCTTATTACACAGTAGAAACAAATCTTATATTTATCATTTAATCTCATTTGTCCCTACCATTTGATAAATCCATCTCAACTGCACCTTACACTATACATATACACTCATTTTCTCCATTTTAATTTTTTTTTTTTTTAAAAAAAATTAAATTTATTTTTCTTTCTTTGCCCTTTTTTCTTTCAATGAATTAATTAATAAAAATAATTTGGGATGATGGGAATCTAATGGAAAGAGGAAGGTCTCCCCCTACGTAAGCCAGAATATGATTCACTCTTCTGTCCTGCAATTTGGACAAAGCGTGTCCCAAATAATAATAATAATAATAATAATAAACTAAAAATACATTTATCTAAATAAATCAATAATAATAATAGTACTATTATTATTATTATTATTATTTTATGGGAAGGTGAAGCCTAAGGTCCCGCGCCCCGTGCCTAATGTCACGTTTTGGACATATTATATGTATAGTGAGTATATCAATATAATCATCCACTGTCCAAGAAATGTTTATTCATACTAAGCAATATTATAATTTAATTAAATAAACAAATAATTTCGTCCCAGAAATCTATGGAATTGCCCCCTCAAAAAGTTGCTTGTTTTTAGTTTATATATATCTTAGTGGCAGACTCGAGAATTTATATATATATATATAATAAAATATTTATTGTTCCAACATGGAGTTTGAATTTTTTTGCAGATCTCGTGTCACACTGGAGATTGGATCATCCTCTGTTGTTTATATATATATATATATATATATATCTTTTTAATTAAAAATAATTAAATAATAGTAGTATCAGGGTTCTTGATCTTTGCAAAAATATTATTAGATATAAATTTTGAAATTGAAATTAGTAATTAATGGGAGCTAGCGTGATCCATTTCGAATCTTGTCCGAAGATCTTGAAGTGACATGGAAGGCAAGCTGCCCCCATTGACTCTCTTGCATTGTGTTAGGGATATATATATATATATATATATGATTTTATTTTCTAAGTTTCTTTACTTTCAAGTTTGATTTTTTTTGAATATTTATCATTTTTGTACATGTGGGTTTTCTAAAATTCTTTATTTGGGTTTATTTATTTTGAAAATAATGAAATGTCATATGTAAAACGAGATTCAATTCTTGAGTTATAATATAAGTGACAGTCACTATACATGATTTATATTAACACAAAACAATAATCACAAATTATTTTAAAATAATAAACACATATTGGAGAACAAAAGAAAAAATAAAATAAAAATAGCATGCATTAAATGTGATCCAATCAATATACCACTAAAGAAACAATCTACTAATCTATCCTCCCTTCCTAAAACACACAATTTTGGTCAAATGCAAAAACTAATCAAGAATTTAAAAAATGGATCTAAATCCCATAAATCTTAAACAAACAACAACTCAAGAAAATCAAACACCCCATATTTGAAATTATGATGAAATGGAAAGCGACAGATTGGACTTTAGGGAAAGAAAAGAAAAAACAATACAAGTGAAAACTTGCACTCAAAATACTCTTTCCTAACCCCAAAATCCCAGCAAATTCATTAATTAATTAATACATACAGACAGCTAATTGTAACTATTTCCATCCCATTTTATTTTTTTTTCCTTACTTTTGCAAGAAAATAAAAAAAGAAAATCAACAACTAACATAATAGCGTTGAAAATATCCTCAAGAAGGAAAACAATCACTTTGATCCATCACGTAAAGGAAAGGCGTCGATGCCCCGTAACCCCCGTAAAGAAAAGAAAGGAAAAAGTGGCCCCTAACCCTAGTGAAGGGCGGGGAGGTAGGGGTGGGGTGGGGTGGGGGAATCAAATCCCAAGTTTGACTGGACCCCTCGCACCCCCAATTTTGTGCTCATTGTCATTAAAGATTGTTTTTTTTTTGGGGGGTTCATCTTTTTAGCTTTTCTTTAATCGATTTCTGGTGCACACAACACAATACAGTCTTGTCTGCAAAGTGGGTCTGGTCTGGGTTTTCGTTTTCGTTCTTGTTTTTTGGGTTTTCTTTGAGATTGAGTCACCTGAGAATGAGTAGGGTTTTGCTGGAATTGGGGGAATTGAATTTTAATGGTGTGGGATTTTGTGATTGAGGAGGGTCTGGATATATATCTCTATATCTCTCTCTCTAGATATATATATAGATGTGAATATATATATATAATATATTGGAGGGCATCACAAATTGTCTGTGATAGCCGACAATTCTGAACATCGTACCCAAAAGCCAAGAAAGGCTGAAGGCAAAACCTTTTCCTCTTGTACAACTCGACACCTCAGCCTCCGGTGGTGGTGGCGCCGGCGGTGGTTAATTCAGCTCCGATGAGTTTCTGTAGACTTGATAGAAGACAGGAGGGGAGAACAGTACAGTAGTCTTGTACCTACGGAAACAACATAAGACGACACCCACCTGGTTCTTGGTCTGGTCTGCCTCTCTCTCTCTCTCTTTGTCCCTGTCTTGTTTCTTGCTCCTCCACCCTCTACCCTCACCCTCACCGTGGAGTCCTTAAAAGGGTACGATTGTGACTTTTAATTTTATTTTTTGGGATGTTTTTCTTTGTTTGTTGGTGTTTCCAATTTCTTGATTTGCTTTCGGTGAATAGGATTTATGCTGAAGAAATCGGGCCCGAAATCCAGAACAATCTCGATCTTATGCAGTTCGCACAGCAGAAATGATGGACAGTGCACGGTTCGGCGTGTTTAAGGTTGTCCAAAAAACGGCCTTCGTCGCAATGCTTTTGATGGGCATTTGTTTCCCGGACCTCTCTGCTCGAATCAATTCCCCCCAACCTGAAGCCGCCGCTTTGTTAGCCTTCAAACGTTCCTCCATTGATTCCGATCCCGACGGCTTCTTACGCAGCTGGATTCCGTCGTCTTCCTCCCCCTGTTCCTGGGCCGGCGTTTCTTGCTCCGGCGGCAGCGCCGTCGCCAAACTTGATCTGTCAAATGCTGGGCTTTCAGGCAATCTCGACCTCTCCGATCTCATGGCCCTCAAAAGTCTGACCACCGTCCTCCTCGCTGGAAATTCCTTCGCCGGAAACCTATCCTCGACGACCGGCGATTCTTGCAGCTTCCAGCACCTGGATTTGTCCGGCAACAGTTTCTCCCAGCCACTCGCCGCCGGCGCCTTGTCGACCTCTTGCAGCAGACTTGTCCATTTGAATCTCTCCGGCAACGCCCTGCCACGTGTCGATCTCAAAATCGGGGCTTCTCTGTCCCAACTCGACCTGTCGGAAAACAAGATTGCAGATTCGGCTCTGTTGACTTCCCTCCTCTCCAATTGTAACAATTTGAATCTGCTCAACGTCTCCGGCAATAAACTCGCCGGAAAGCTCTCCGGCTCCCTCTCCTCCTGCCGGAGCCTGGCGGTGCTCGACCTCTCCCGGAACGACTTCTCCGGCGCCGTCCCGGCGGCATTCGTATCAAATGCATTGGCGTCTTTGACAGTTCTCGATCTTTCCGGCAATAACTTCACCGGCGATATCCACGATTTCGATTTCGGTGTCTGCCGGAACCTCACCGTGCTTAATCTGTCCGGAAATGAGCTTTCAGCAACGGCTTTTCCGGCGAGCTTGTCGAATTGCCGGAGACTCGAAACTCTAGACATTAGTCACAATGCGATTCGGTTGTCGATTCCGGGGGAGTTGTTAGGGAGATTGAGTTTGCGGCGGTTGGCATTGGCGCATAACAAGTTTTCCGGCAAGATTCCGGTTGAGTTGGGAGGGATTTGCCGGACGGTCGAGGAATTGGATCTTTCCGACAATGAATTGGTCGGCGAACTTCCGTCGAACTTCGTCTCTTGTTCGTCGCTCTCGAGTTTACGCCTAGGCGATAATCAGCTCTCGGGGAGTTTCCTCGACACCGTTGTGAGCTCCCTTACGAGACTCGAGTATATCTCCGTCGCGTTCAACAATATAACCGGTCCCGTTCCGCGCTCATTGACGAACTGCACGGAGCTTCGGGTTCTCGACCTTAGCTCGAATGTGATGACCGGGAATGTACCTACGGAATTTTGCACAAAAACGTTGAATTCGAAGCTTGAAAAGCTTCTGTTGGCTAACAATTATCTCTCAGGATCGGTGCCGTCGGAGCTCGGGCTGTGTAGGAACTTGCGGACAATCGATCTCAGCTTCAATGACTTAATTGGTTCAATCCCGCCAGAGATATGGAACCTGCCGGAGCTCTCAGACGTGGTCATGTGGGCGAACAGGCTGACCGGCGACATTCCGGAGGGCATCTGCATCAATGGCGGTAACCTGCAGATGCTGATTCTTAACAATAATCAGATCACTGGGACTCTGCCGAAGTCGATCGTCAATTGCACGAATCTGATATGGGTATCGCTGTCAAGCAATCGGATATCCGGAGGACTCCCGGCAGAGATCGGGAATCTCGTCAACCTCGCGATCCTCCAGCTGGGAAACAATTCGTTGAGCGGACCGATTCCGGCGGGAATAGGCGAGTGTCGAAGCCTGATATGGTTAGATTTGAACAGCAACGAGCTGACGGGTTCGATTCCTCGGGAGCTTGCTGCGTCGACCGGCCATATAGTTCCGGGGCCGGTGTCGGGTAAACAGTTTGCATTTGTGAGGAACGAAGGCGGGACGGAATGCAGAGGTGCCGGTGGACTCGTCGAGTTCGAAGGGATTCGCACTGAAAGGCTGGCGAATTTTCCGATGGTTCACTCGTGCCCATCGACGAGAATCTACACCGGATTAACGGTTTACACCTTTTCCGGCAACGGCAGCATGATCTACCTCGATTTGTCGTACAATCGTTTGTCGGGGGCGATTCCGGATAGCTTAGGATCCATGAATTATGTGCAGGTTCTCAATTTAGGGCACAACGAGATAACCGGCGAGATTCCCGACAGCTTCGGAGGGCTGAGGACGGTCGGGGTGCTCGATTTGTCGCACAACAAGCTTCGTGGGCTCGTCCCGGGGTCATTAGTCGGCCTGTCGTTCCTCAGCGATCTCGATGTTTCGAACAACAATCTGTCGGGATCCATTCCTTCCGGCGGACAGCTGACGACGTTTCCTGCGTCGAGATACGCCAACAATTCCGGGCTCTGCGGTGTCCCGTTGCCGCCGTGTAGCTCGAGAAACATCCACCGCGCGTCGAACTCGTCCAACCACGGCCAGAGGGAAAGTATGGCTTTAGGGATGGTGATCGGGATCGTCGCGTCCGTCGTTTGCATATTCTTGCTTCTTTACGCTCTATACCGTGCGAAACGGATTCAGAAGACGGAAGAGAAGCGCGAGAAGTACATCGAGAGCCTCCCGACCTCCGGCAGCAGCAGCTGGAAGCTGTCGAGCGTTCCCGAGCCGCTCAGCATCAACGTGGCGACGTTCGAGAAGCCGTTGCGGAAGCTGACGTTCGCGCACTTACTCGAAGCGACCAACGGGTTCAGTGCTGATAGTTTGATCGGGTCAGGAGGGTTCGGCGACGTCTACAAAGCGCAGCTTCGGGACGGCAGCGTCGTCGCGATAAAGAAGCTGATCCACGTGACGGGGCAAGGTGACCGGGAATTCATGGCGGAGATGGAGACGATAGGAAAAATCAAGCACCGTAACCTCGTCCCGTTATTGGGTTACTGCCGGATCGGCGACGAACGACTTCTTGTCTACGAGTACATGAAATGGGGAAGCCTCGAGGCTGTGCTGCACGATCGCGAAAAGATCGGCGGCGTTAGGCTCGATTGGGCGGCTCGGAAGAAAATTGCGATCGGATCCGCCCGGGGGCTGGCCTTCCTACACCACAGCTGCATTCCGCACATAATCCACCGCGACATGAAGTCGAGCAACGTACTTCTCGACGAATGCTTCGAGGCGAAGGTCTCGGATTTCGGAATGGCAAGGCTCGTGAACGCGCTCGACACGCATTTGAGCGTGAGCACGCTGGCGGGGACTCCCGGGTACGTCCCGCCGGAGTACTACCAGAGCTTCCGGTGCACGACGAAAGGCGACGTGTACAGCTACGGAGTGGTGCTCCTGGAGCTGATCTCTGGGAAGAGACCGATCGACACGGCAGAGTTTGGCGACGACAATAACCTCGTCGGGTGGGCAAAGCAGCTGCAGAAGGAGAAGCGGAGCCACGAGATATTGGATTCGGAGCTGATTACGAGCCTGTCGGGGGACGCCGAGCTTTACCATTACCTGAAGATCGCGTTCGAATGCCTCGACGACAAACCGTTCCGGCGGCCGACGATGATTCAGGTGATGGCTAAGTTTAAGGAGCTGCAGACGGAGTCGGAGGGCGATATATTGGAAGGGATATTGGTGAAGAATGCTGTGATCGACGAGTCCAATGAAAGGGAGACGTAGATAGATACATATATATATATATCTATATATGTATGTAGATGAGAGATAGACGACGATGGACGATATTTGTGTCTGGTTCTTACACATTTTGGGCATTGCTACTTACTGTAAATAATCTCTATATACTCATTTGGCTGGAATTAAGACACGCGGATTAGGATTTGATGATGATGATGATGATCGATCGTATTTTTTTGGCTGTGTTATAAATTTTTTTTTACCGTTATCCGAAAGTGGGCATTGGTAAACTCCGACCCGACAGACAAACTCATGACCTCACAGTCCCACGTCGAATCTCATACCACCGGGCCATCCTTACGGGACTTCGGCTGTGTTTTATGGTACGTTATTGATGTTCCTACTATTATTTTTATTTTATTAAAATAGTTTTATATTTAAAATATTATTATTGTTAGAATATATTTAAATATTTATTAGATAAAATAGTAAAAGAAACAGTCTCATAAAATTTGCTGAAAAAGTTACTTATGAATTTATAATAATAGTCGCAGCTCGAGATATCATCTGAACTAACAGTTGGTAAAACTAACTTTGGGCCAAAGAGTTTTTTTCAACAAATTTCACAAATCACATACCTAATTATTATTCTAACTATGTAAAAAAGATTTATCTTGAAAATATTAAATTAAATATTAATTTTTTATGTATAATATTTTAATAAAAGTTAATTTTAATTTTTAATATTATATTAATATATATATTTATATCCTATCAAATTAATTATTTCAATAAAAAATGTTATTATTCAAAATGTAAATTTCACAGACAACTACAACCTGTATGTTATTTACTTTTAGATTTGGTATTATACTATCAATTAAAAATTTCATCTTAAAATTATATATTTTCTATAATTAATAGTTTTTCTTACAAATTACTATTTAAAAAAAATAAAACTATGTATAAATTAAAAAAAATTGAATTTTTTTAGAAACATTATTAATTTAAATAATATTCAAATATTTAAGATTTGATTTTTTTTAATTACCATCCAATTTTTATAATTTTCTTTAAAAATAAGTAATTGTATTTTAAAATATATTGGTATACACCTATTACTCCGTCTTCCCTTTTATTTAATTTGTCTAAATATAATTATCCACTCTAATTATAGTTTAAAAGTCCTAATTTATATATATATATATATATATTTTATTTTAATTAAATTATAATTATTTTTACTAATATAATTTTTTTTAATTATTTATTAATTATATAATTTTTAAAGTAGACAAACGTATTTATAAGAAGGGTGTGTTTGTTTGGAAGTTTGAATTTTGAGTTGAGATTTGAATAGTAAAAATTTTAAATTTGAATAGTTGTATAATGTGATATAAATAGGAGTTGATGTGATGTTTTGAATGTAAAATTAATTTTTAGTATAATATAAAAAATAAAAAATAGGTGTTTGATTTGATATTTTTGGGGAAAAAATTGGATGAACAGTGTAAATCCAATCCAATCCCCCAAACAAACACACTCAAATATATAACCAAAATAAAATCCATTATAGTAACATTTGTTTATGTGTGTTTGTTTGGGAAATTGGATTTTATTTTCACTATTCATCTTATTTTTTTCTCCAAAAACATCAAATCAAACGCCTAATTTTTATTTTTTATATTATAGTAAAAATCAATTTTACATTCAAAACATCACATCAACACCTATTTATATCATATCATACAACTATTCAAATTCAAAATTTTTACTATTCAAATCCCAATTCAAAATCCAAACCCTAAAACAAACACACCCTTAATGTTCAAATTCGAGTTTAAAATTTTGAGAATATTACATTTTAAATTAAAAAAATTTTAATATGATATTTTAAATAATAATATATATGTTTTTTAAATATCTATTGGTTTATCTACAATCTTTCATGTGTAATTAATCATTTGTTTGTTGCTAAAAATTAATTAATAAATATATATATTTTTTTTATAAAAAAAAAGTTGATCTAACAGCGGGTCGGTCAGCAGTAGCCACGCAAGGCATGCGTTTCCCTCAAAGCAATCGATACAATCTGCTCTCTCACCTGCACAAAACGACGGAAGGAAGAAGAAGAACGAGAACAAGCAGGAGGAAAGTCGGAACTTAAAAGTGACACAAATCCGTTCTTATTTCTTGAAAATTACGAGGACGGGTTTTCTGTGTAATCAGACTTCAATTGATTTCGGAACTTGTCTGGATTAGCGTAATAAAACCACAGATTACTGTCGTTATCTTGGCTGGGCAATGAATTCGCTCCTGCTTTTGAGTAGCTTGTGTGGAAGGACGATTCGAGCATGTTGCAATTGAATTGACGATGACAGATAAGAGAACTGGATCTGAAAACCTGAAACCCTAAAATTCAGGTCTCAGCTACAGCCCTAATTCGATGAGGTAAACCCCCGCTGCTGAGCTGAATATCAATTTTTTTTTTTTTTTTTTTTCTAGTGAACGAGTCGCCAGATCTGCTAACTGATTTATCTGAAAGGCCATGCTTTGAAGAACATATATATGAGATTTTGTTATGTGTGGTGTTTTAAGGTTTTTGGTAAGAAATCCTTTATAAGAATTTAGCACGTATGTTGGGAAATTATCTGATTGCATTGTTTTTTCAGAACAGAGGGAAGTGTGTGTTGTGTTTATCATTACTATTGTAGTTTTTGTTATGAAAGTTTATGATTATTGGAGATCTAAATGCAGGCTCATTTTTTGGAGATTCAGCAGGCTGATGCATATGATGATCTGGTGAAATATAGGTAACTTGTTAGTACACTTGTTGGTTGCTAATCCAACTGTTTTTACCCACATCACAGTATAAGTATTCATATATTTGGAGAAAAATGCATACAAAGCACCGAAACGGACCAGGGAACATGTACAGATCAAATTCCATAGGAATTGGAGGAGTGGCTGCCGCCCGAATTTCTCCAGAAAGTTCAGTGAGAGGTCCTCGGATGTACGGTGCTGAGAATAGGGCCTATGGTCGTGATGGTTATGGACGTGCTGGTCGTCCAAAGCACCTTCAGCCACCACAAGAGGTTGATGTTTTCAAGGAAGCTGGTAAGCTGGCTGCTGAGTATTTGGTTTCTAGAGGGGTGCTTCCTCCGAGTGCACTTTCAGGGAAGTGGCCGAGTGAAGCCTTGAAGAACCAGGAGGGCAATTTTCAGGAATTTAGGCAACAGCAAGCGGATAGAATACAAAGTCCTGCAAATGGCCGGGCCTCTGTTCATTCTCGTTTAGGAAATGCTGCTATAGAAGTAGGACTAGGTAGGAGAAAGTACTCTGATGAGTACTCTTTACTGGATTCAAGAAACTCAGGTAGAGTAAGGAGAAGAGCTGGTTTATTTAAAAATTACATGACAGAGACGAACAAAGAATCTGGTCGAAGTGAATCATGGGCGGAGAAGAGCAGGGCTTCCCCTGGGAAAGAAGTTGACAGTGATGCTTCGGTTGGACATAATGGTGATCAGCTTGTAGAAAAGGATGATAATTCTCAGGTGCAGAATTTATCTCCTTGTGAAGTAACCAAAGAAGTTGTGAGTGAAGTTCATACGGCACCTGCTACAGAAAAATGTGGTTTAGTGGAGAATGCAGATGCAAATAACTCTACTTTGAGCAAAGAGAAGGTTCTACTGTCGGGTACAGAAGGAGAATGCCCCAAAAAGCCTGATGATGCTGATAAGTTTAAGGATGCTGCAGAGTCTGTTGATGAAAAAGGAAACAATGATGCTTTGAATCAAAAGGATGAAATGTCTAAGGAGGTCCAGTCTTCTTCAAGGGATGATATTTCAGTTAGGGAGGACCATAATGATTTAGTCAAGCGCTGCAAATTTGTAAATGTTCCCACTAAAACTCGATCTTCATTGATGAACAAGGGATCCAAGGGTGGTCTGGATCCTGTGATCGTAGAAGTGAATGCATCAAAGAAAGAACTTTCAGAAAGCTCTGAGACACGGACCTTGGATAATGATATTGGCAGTTCCAGAGGTAATGCTTCATCTCAAGAAAACCAAGAACTCAAACCAATTCAATCTGATATGGTAAATTCTCTGCCTACAGCTAAAGAACTTGATATTTCCAAAAATCTGAATCCTGGATTGTGCTTGAGGTCTGGATCATCAGTTGAAATTCTTCAATGTAAAGAGGAAGAACCAGAGGAGCAGTTATCTGAACTTCAAAGGTCCAATCCCATGTTTATGGAGAGAGATGGAAAGCGGGCTGTAGATTTTGACTCTGATGATAAGAAGGATTTCAAAAAGTTTAGACAATGGTTTCCTACCCCGGATGCTGAATCTGACGGCTCTCTACTGGTATATAGCTCTACTGAAGAACAGTCATGTGTACAAGATGCAAAAACTTTACAGAGTGCTCATTGCAACCTATCTCCTGATCAGAAAAGTTTGGATAACTCAATGTTTCCAAGAGGGCAAGCTGAGCCAGGTGAATTCATGGAAGAGAAACAGCTGTTTCCGGGTTCATTTAAGACTTGTGATCTGAATCTAGATGGAACTAGTGATGTTACTGAGCAGCGAGATACTGAAACTATGTTTTTATTTCCATCAGTAACTCAAGCAGGAAAAGTAGGATCCTCTGTTGGCATTGATTTATCGATGAGTAATAATTGCTCGCCGAATAAAGATAATAAACACAGTGTTGGGGCCAATGATATTGAAGTTATTGATTTGGATAGTGATTCTGCACAAGAAAACAAGGCTTTCAGTAATCCTGAGAGAAGGTTAGTTTATGTTGAGACCGACACAAATTTCCATTATGTAATGTTTATTTCATACTTATTTTATGCAATTTTTTGTTAATCATCATATAATTCACTTACAGGGGAGATGTGGTATTTGCTGACCTGGATGGATTTTCGAATAATGTACATAATGCAAATGCAATTCCAGATGTTCAGGATGGGTATGGGTTGATGATATCTGAGCTACTTGCAAATGGGAGCCCAACCTGTACTTCTGTTCATACAGACTTGAATTCTTTGAACAATCCTATGGGCCTTTCTAACACTGAGGTACAATAAAAAATTTCGCTGATAGCTTTCCTTATTTTGTGTCTTTATGTATTGAATTGAACAGAAGACTCTTTTCCTCCGATTGACAGAGCTGCATTGTGTACTTGATTAATCGTAAATACAAGTCATTGTTGATACCTCTAATTAGCTCTTGAATTTTGTCGACCTTGAGCACATAATCTGCAAGACATCCTTTTAATGTGTTTATTGCAATTTACTACAGATATTTAATTTTTCTTTTCTCTTTAATTAATACACAATGAAGTACAGAACTCTTTCTCCACTTCCTACATATTTATTCAACCATTCTCCATTGACTGCAGGGTATGCTTGCTGATGATGACTCAATTTACATGTCCCTTGGTGAAATACCAATAAGTATGACTATCCTTAATATTTTGTATTTGCTTTACTTGCCTTCTTTTATTCGAGGAAACTGGTAAAGAAGTTTTTGGCATGCCAATTAAAACAAAATACATGTTTCCCATGTATAATATATGAAAATTAACTGAAGAAGAAAGGTTATAGACTATTACTCTAGGGGGTTAAAATTTTGCTACTTTTTTGAAATTTTCTTGAATTATCTTATACCTATTTGGCAGAGCAGACTCCTTATCCTGATTCTTTCTCCCCCATTCATTTTACAAACATGCAACTAACCCCTAGAAAATGATTTTGATATCTTTAAACTTTAACATGCTGTTGCTACTCTATGCTACTTTTGAACAAGCAAAACTAACAAGTGACTTATGTTTCACTGTCCCTGCATCCTTTTGAGTATTCTTATTTTTAAGAACCTGGTTTCGATTCTCAGTGAAGATTGTATTTCTGAGGTGGATATTCTAAGCGCGAGACAGCAATGTTCACATCCTCAATAAATCACCAAATGTGATCATTATCAATGTTTGTTTTGTGCACAATTTTCACATTGTATATTTTTATTCATTTGTTATAGGTCTTTTGGGGCATTGGGAGCAACCGACACAGGACTATGGGAAGCCATTTTGAGCACATTGTGGAATCATTTCAAGTAATTTCACATCTGGGTAGCTGCGCTGACATGTTTAATAATTTCTTTTGCCTGTTTATTACTGTTCAAAGGCTTGTTTATTTGAGTCGAGTTGCTGTTGCAATCATGATATGCAATGTTAAGCGTAGATCTATCCGCCTGCCATCACACCTTGTTCTATTATTATATTTGAGTAGCCATTTCAGTCGGAGATCGCGTCTTATTACCCGATATTGATCTTCGACTTCAATTAGCATGTTATAGGTAAAAATTGTGGAGCTGAAGCCTGAATGGCTTGCAGAACTCTTAATTTTTAACGGATATATGCAGTTTGATTGCTGAAATTTCTCAAATGCAAGAAACAGGGCAATTCTTGGAGTTGCTTTTAATCCGATCATTTATGGGAATAGGCGGGCTGCTTGGTTGCGGCGATAATACTCGAGTTCGTTTTTAGTAGATTAGATTTGAATACATAATTTTACGGTCACAAGATTACAAAAATATTTTGATTCTATAATTGCTGTAATGTAAAGTATTTTAAATATGGAAGTAACGTTTTGTATGCAATAAGAGCCTTACAATTAACAAATTTTATAATAATTATTCCTTCCGTAGTGGCTATCATTTACTACTTAGCTTTTGGGGCAATAGAAATTCGCTGAATCGGACCGCCAATCAGGGCTCCCGACGGAGAACAGCCATTGGTTCCTGATATTTCTCCGGTGCACCTCAACGCAGACGATTACCGCCCCTCCGCCAACATATCTGAGGGGCAGCGATTACGACGCCGAAGCCAAAGCCATTGTCGGAGTTTGACCAAGTTCTCCGAAAGTCAAACTCACCCCCCAATTCCCAAAATGCCCCCGTCCTCCTCGTCTTCCTCCGCCGCCGCCGGCGCCGCCGCTGCGACGTACACCACGATTCCGATCACCGGAATGGACGCCATCTCCAGATCCGGTCAGAACCTCTCCGCCTGCCTGTCCCGCTGCCGCCCCTGGCCGGAATTCCTCGCCACCACCGCCGCCCTCGATTTCCCCAAATCCGTCGCGGAGGCATCCCTCCGATTCCGGCGGAACGCCGGCTACTTCTCGGTGAATTACTCGATAATCATCACGGCGTGCGCGGCGGCGGCCCTCCTGAGCTCGCCGGCGGCGCTGGTCCTGATCGGGCTGGTGTTCTTCCTCTGGCTGATCTTCTATTTTTTCCGGGAAGATCCGCTCCTGATCTGGGGCCGCCACGTCAGCGATTGGGCGGTGATCGGCGGCCTAGTTGCGGTCACCGCCGGCGCCCTCTGGATCACCGGCCCATTGAACAGCCTCTCCGCTGGCGTGGCCGCCGGGTTTCTGATCTCCGTCCTCCACGCCGTCTTGAGAAATCCCGACGGCCTTTTCCTCGACGAGAACGACGCCGTTTCCAATGGCTTGATTGTGACCGCTCCGCCCTCTCGCGGCGGCGCACCGCCCTTCAATCCGCCGTTGTAACCAGCACATGATGAATCATCATCTCTTCATTTCATTTTTTCGAATTTGAATTTGAATTTGCATTTGAACTTTGAACTTTGTCTCATTGGGCCATGAATTGAATTCTTGCAGCTAGCAATTGTATGGTTGTGATTTCGTTACGAACAATATTAGTTAGTCATGTCCGATTTTGAATTCTTGATGATGGATCTGATCAATTCTGATGAGTGCTTTTTCTCTTTTCTTTTTCTTTTTTTTTTGGGTCTGCAAATTCTGAGACCTGACAGCAAACGACCATATCAATTATGAGGTTTAAGGAATATTTTGAGATCACGTTGTTGTTGTCAAATTTTAATTTTTAAATAATGTTGACACAATATCACAATGATCCAACTGCTTTATTTGAGACACATTTTATTAGTAATGGTATTTGAAAGAAATGACAGTAACATTGAAGAAGCATTGAAATAACATTACACCAAAGGGTATCTTCTTTTGGGGAAGATGAAGGGATGAAAGGCTGAGGAAAACATTTATTAACACCTCGTACCAATATAATTTTCTTTAGATAATACCAATCTATTTAAATTTACACACCAATTTTATTTATTTTTATTCCTAAAAAAATATTATTATTAATTTCACATCACTAATTATTAATTATTATGCCACCTTTTGAAACCAATAAAAAATTTAAGAGGAATAAAATAGTATCTTTTTCCCTTTACTATATAAAAATGTATGTTTTTTTACTGCTATATCAAATATCAAATCTTTAAACCGTTGTAGGGTTTCTTTCCTTCTGATTCCATTCCCAAATCGAGTTGGACTTCCATTAATGGATCCTGATCCTCAGGTACGCCTATCAATTCCTTCTCCAGTTGTTCCCCGCCCAGTTTATTTCATTTTTATCCGCATATTTTGTTTCCAAGGAACTGAAATTAATCCCGAGTTGATTCCTCGGAATTCAGTTCTTCTCGCTAGTATATTTCGATTTGAGAATTTTCCATGAGCTGGAACCATAGGTTTTTGTTCTCGATTTTGACCTAAGATTTTCTGACGTTGGGGATCCTAAGTATTTTGCCCACCATATGAATTTTGAAGCCGAATTTCCGGCGCATGAGTTGGTTACAAAAGAATTCTGTTCCGTAATGATCGAGGAATCGCGGTGATTCTCTAGTCTGGAATAATTGGGCAAAATATCGAAAGCAATGAACAGTTTTCTGAGGTTATGGAAACTGAACCGCAATTTGGAGAAGGATCCAGAGATGGTATATAGACTGAGAAAGAAAAACACGCGATTCTGTCTCTCTAATAGATGTTAATGGTAGAAGTTTCAATTACCTTGATCTGCTTGATGATTCGTGGTTCAATTCGCCTCCATCATTCGTCGGAGATTGGAGTAGCAGCAAGCCTTCGACGGTAGCCGGCGAAGAAGGAGAAAAGGTCAGATTCAAACCACTGAGAAGGCTAGAGCAGAGCAGGTCGGAATCGAGACGAAAAACTCTCATTCCATCATGAAATCTAACTTGCAATGTTGCAACATGGTATTTTTTGCAGAGATCTTATAATGGAGTACTGAATGAAAGCCTAAAGGACTACGAAGAGAATTGCAGAGCCAGCAATGGAGAGGGAGATTACAAATGCTTGTCCTTGGAAGATTTTGTCGCCAGCTCATCATCACAGGTGAAAGATGAAAGAGATCGAGATGTTCTAGCTGAATCCATCTTTGAACTCCATTCGGCGCAAGAAGAATTAGAAAATGGTTGGTTCATGATTCGATTGCGAAACCATTTATCGTATAATCAATCTTGTGGGAATGATTATTGACTGTTGTTGATCTAATCTATGCAGAGCTGTTGAAGTTTAAGGATATCAGCAAAGATACATACGTGAACACAGAATTCGTCGATGCTATAGAAGAACGAAACATAAATGTAGAAACAGAGCTCGAGGGCCATTATAAACAAAAAATCGAGGCTGAGGTGGAGAATATGGTAATAACAAGAACGATTCAGCAGCTGAGGATGGCGACTGTGAAAGGGATTACAGTTCTGAAAGAACACAAGGCTTTTGCTTCGGAGCAGATGCAGATGGTCGATACACTTAAGGACGCCGAAAAAAGTGCGGCGGTGCTTGAAAACGTGGCGAAGAAATTGGAAAGCGCTTGCCAAGACATTGCTTTTGCGGATGAAACGATGGAATTGCGGGCTAGCGTTTGTAAGTATGGATTTTGGTTCGTCGTGCAGGTTGTGTCGTTGGCAGTCGTTGTTGTGGCCGTGTTCGTAGCCGGATCGTCGGGAAATCGGATGGAGCCTGCTCCGACTTAGCTGTAGGATTAGGACAATTGATGTTGGGGGTTGTTTGTTCCTCGTTTTGGATATAGAAGTTTGTGTAGAGATCGAATGGTTGCTTCTGTGTAAGATAATTCTGTGTTTGTTTGTATGTTTTAGATGACCCTGCAGTCATGTCATTTCTGTATGTATAATTTGAATTTAGATTTGGGATTGTTTTTTTCTTAAGCTTTGGTTATATATTTTTGTTTCGAAAAATACTCCATAAATGTTACTGGGCCCGAAATTCTTGGATCAAGAAGTTCTGGATTCATGAACGAACGAAGCCCAAAATAACAAGGACAGATCAAGGCCCAATCTTTTATTTGAATTCATTTGCATTGACTTATTATCTTTCTCTTTACTTTTTCTGAAATATATATATATACATACTATCATAAAATAATATATATACACATTCAAAGTACTTACTAAATCTTTTTTCTAGTAAACGAAATATACAATAATATTAAAATACTCTTTAATTTTTATTCATATTATAAATATATTATTACATATTTTCACTACCAAATACTATTATTTTTAAATTTACTAAAAAAAAAAAAAAGAAAACTTCAAAAGCTTCTTTTGAAATGAAACAAATAATACCACAATAAAAGGTCAAATATGTTTATACAAATATAAAGAGGTTAATATAATTACACTTTAATCAAGAGAATGCTAAAAAATAACATTATCTCTTTCCACAAAGTTTGTGTTAATTTACGTTGAACATGAGTTAAAATAAAAAATAAAAAAATAAAAAAAAATACTAGATAAATTATGTAACGTAGGTAGTGATAACATATTTATAATTAAGTATAATATTGAAAAATATATAAATTAAAAAAAAATAAATAAAAGTTATACGAAGATAATAAAATTGATATGTTTTGACTAAAAGTCCAATTTAGGTGATTGTCTTTTTGTTATAAATTGACAAATTTGCCCTTAATTGTATGGTAGAGATTAAAAGTAATAAATGAATGAAGGATAAAAATGTAAAATTTGTATTAAAAAAAAAAAAAAATAGGACAATAGTTGTTGGTCCCGAATAAAAAAGACTGAGAGACTATTATTTATAATTTAAGCTATATCTCAAATATTATATGAGCAAATTAGCAATGCATGTTTGGAATCCATATATACACGCGTGCGCAACCATGCATGCTAAATTGTAATTAAATAAAACTATATGTTTCATATGAAGGAATTTTTTAAAATCCATATACTAAATATAACAATTTTTTATCAAGAAAATTAAACCGATAAAAATAAGTTTGAAATTCAAATAAACAAAAACCCTAAATCTCTCAACAACCTAATTAAGATAAGACTTAACATGTAAATATTTCTACCATAATCTATAATTCCAAAACCATGCCTCTAATATATATATGTTAATAGTCAATTATTTGAATTATATTTAAAATCTACCAAACACAAAATCATCAACTAAAGTAAAGAAGCTTGTGATTATGCATATAGTTCAAAACATAATATATGAACAAGCAAGAAATTCAAGAAGCAACTAAAACATGCATAATCACGTCCAAAGGAAAGAGCAAAATTAATACTAAGCAAATCTAGTCAAGAACAAAAGGCAAATAACAAGAAATTAAATCGAAAAAAAGCACCTTAAGTCAACAAAAAGTTGAGTTAATTCTTCAAGCACCAGCTGTAGAAGCTTCATCTTCATCTTCATCTTCATCGTCATCTTCATCGTCATCTTCATCTTCATCTTCATCTTCTGTGGGGATCTCATTCAAATCGAAGTCCAGCATTCTTCCAACATTCTCCTCTTTGATTTCTTCCACATTGGAATAATTATTATTAACTCTCCCATTTTCGTCCATGGAATTGTACAACAATGAGCTATTCCCACCCAACCTGTCACGAGATTCATGGCTGCCCTGGAAGAAATCATTATTACCATTTTCAATTACCAATTTCTCAACATTCTCACTCCTCCTGTTCATCTTCATCTTCTGCATTGTCGCCATTAAAGGCCTGCTTTCATCTCGACTACAGCTCGCAAGACCTTTCCCCTTCCTGTAACTGAACCTCTCCTCAAAAGCTCCATCAATGGCGAAGAGCTTTTTCGTACCCGACAATCTCAGCAGCAGGTCGACGGCGCGCAGATCGTCCTCGTCGGGAGGGATGGCCTTACGGCCTCTCCTGGCCTTCACATTCCAGCTCAGTAAGGCTGTCGAATCAATTTTCTCGCCGGAGACTGAAGTCCGGCGAGTCTCGTCCTTCAGCTCCTCCGGCGGCGGATCGCCGTCGACTAGTGAAGACGAAGAAGACGAACTGCAATTCGCCGTCGATGGGGGGTTTATACCCCTCCAATGCCTATTCGGATGCAATCTCATGTGCCCCGACAAAGACTTCACCGATGGAAAGATCTTCCCGCATACCTGACAGACCTGCCTCTCCTCCGCCGGAAAACCGCCGGAATTAATGGCGGATTTGTTCTTGAATTTGATCGATCGGCTCTGATTGCTGATTAACGGATCCGGCCGTCGTCCGTGAACCCTCCGGTGACCTCCTAAAGCTTTACCTGACTTAAAAGCCTTAAAACAAATATCACAAAGCTTTTGTTTCTTCACCTTCACCTCCATTTCCATCTCCATTGCTTCTGATTGTTCTTTCTCTACGTCAATTTCCATTTTTGCCCTCAGCTCATCTCCCCCGCCAGAACCACCATCAATCACCATCATCGATTCGCAAAAAGTTTCACTAAATCATAAAGAGAACGAAGCATCATTTAAAAACCAAACAAATCACTGCTCAATTAAACAAACACAACACAATCACAATCGGAATTCATAGATTCCCAAAAGTAAGAAACCCTAATTTCATCGTAACATAAATTGCACTGACCTGAGCCGAAAACTGCAAGTTCTCAAAATCTACTGCTTGAATTTGGGAGAACATACGAATACGAACCCTTTCCTAATCTTAAACGAAAACGCCATCACCATCATCAATCCCTCCATAAAATTTCTGATGCACAAATTGGGGTCAGTATTAACGCTATCCACGATCAGTTCCGCCGTTAAAATCAAGCTCCGATCCTCCACCACCGTGAATTCAAAATCAAGCAGAAATCAACCACCGGAAAATCAGCGATGAAAACACGCGACAAGGAACAAAAACCAAAACAAAAACGATCGAGATGAGATGAGATGAGGTGAGATGAGATTGACGAAGAAAATCAAAGAGTCAGTTCATAACTGCTACTGAAAAATTGACTCTCTCCCTTCTCTTCTTCCCGTTTTTTTCGCCTGTAAACATATAACCATATATCCTTCGTTTTCTCTTTATTTTAATGCTTTCTTCTTCTTCTGTAAATATTTTTCTAAAAATTTGTTTAATTTTATAATTTTTTATAAAAATATATATTATTTATTTAACATTAAACGTACACCAAAAAAATCTCTAACCAAACACACCAAAGTAATAATTTCATTATTAATTTTCATCATAATTAATATTTCCTATTAATATTATTATTATTTTTTTTTTTGGAGTTTTTGTACCATTAATATTATTAATAGTAATTTTCAATAAAAACATCGTATTAAATACTATTTTTTTTATTTGTTTACTAATCAAATACTAATTTTTTATTATTATCGAAAATTTTCAAAACTTCACCCCTTAAAAAAATCTCCGTCAAACCTAGAAAATTTATTACTATATATATTCAATTCGGTTTCCTATGAAGTATTTGGAAGATTTTGATTCCAAATCATTTATCCTAAAAATATAAATCTAAGTAATTGATTTTGATATTATATATCTATATATATATATATATGTGTGAATATATATGATTTATTTTTATCTTGAATTGTTTATTGGAGTTTCTGTTTGGATATATTAATAAAAATCTATCTAATATAGCTATATAAGGTATTACAGATTTACAGCAGAGATTTTAGGATAACTTCCAACAATTTTTTTTCCTTTTCTTATAAGAGTAAAAAAATAAAAATAAAAATAAAAATAAAAATCACATTACATTTACCTTATAAGTTGAGGCTTATTTAATTCCCTTCAATTAAATAATACATACCATACATATATATATATATATGCACACGGGCTTATAATTCTAGCTCGGACATGTTTTTAATGGGGCTGGTAAAAAGTAAAAATATTGTGGCTAGTAATTGGGTTGGTGAAAATTTTGTTTGGAGTTATTTAAATTAATAAAGTTTTAAAGTTATATTATATATAATTATACAAAATATTTAAATCTTTAATTATATATATATAAATGTTTTTGTTTTGTTTAAGTGAAAATGGATTGAAAATATTGATGAAAGATAATTAAAAATTATTTGATATATATATTTTTTTGTTTTAATTTCATATATGCATTTACAATGTGTTGTGTACAATATATATATGGATTTATATTTGCTTATTCAATATTTTTTTACAAAAAACATATGTTTAATATTTTTATTTTAATTTGATGGGTCTAAGGCAGGCAAGGCTTTTTAAAATTATAGTATTGATATTATACATGTGATTTGATTGAGAGTGATGATTTTATTTCATTCACATCAAATTAAGCTTTTACATTTTATTTTTTATATTACAGTAAATATAAATTTTAGTATAAAAATATTATATTATTATCTATTTATATAAATCAAACAATTATTTAATCATAAAATATTACATTTAAAATGGGATTTGAACTGTAGATTTATCATTTACTTGGTTTGATAAAATGAAGGGGTGGTAGTATTAATCAATTAATAAATTAAACGCTTGTGATGATTATATTAAGTTAAATTAAATTAAATTATTGAGGACGTGGTAATGATTTGATTTGATTTGATGGATTTTATGCGGATGTATTCAAACATTACATATAAATATAAATATATATATATATAATTAATAATTAATTACTATAATTATTTAGCTTGATTTTCGCCTGGCTCCAACAAATTTCATTTTACCCCATAATTGATAATTAATTACTATAACTACGGGATTCGGATAGTTAGACCATCAGCAATGGAGATATCCGTTTTTGGACATCTCCACTACTTTTTCCTATGTACGTCACTTTTTTTTTCTGCCAGATACTCTCTTCTATTTTATATTCACAACCAAAATACTCATCCTAATTTTTTAATAAATATTTATTTTCATATTATATATATATATATATTATTTTTTAATTATAATTTTAATTTGTAGTATTAATTATTTATTTAATTAAATTTAGTTTTAATAGCTTTTAAATTAATAATTATATTTTATTTAATAAATTAAATTAAATTTACTAATATTGATTTGTTCAATAGAATTATATAATATTTGTATTTATATATTTTAAATTTTAAATTGATAAAATATATTCAATATTTGTATCAATTTATAGAATAATTATAAAAATACTACAAAATTTAAATATAACAATAAATTCAATATAAATTACAAAAACAAAACATATATAATATATTATATATATACACATGCCTAAGTGTCATATGTCCCAATTAAATTGGGACACATGGCATTAGAATCACATCTTCCCAGCATCTCTACAACATATATATATTATATACAATATGTATTGCATGTAATAAATATATGTATTATTTGATTATAATTAATTGCTAAAATGTAGGTTATTTAAAAATATATTATATATAAAACTATATTATGTGCTGCGTAACGTGTATATGTATATATATATATATATTACATGTGTTGGATAATACTCTCTAAGAGTGTATAAATATAAATTGTTATTGAAAGTACACTTGATAAATAGGTCACGCTCATTCAAAAAATATGCCAACTTTTCTTATTTGTATGTTATTAACATATTTTTTTAGCAAAATAATCATACTCATATTTTTTAAAATCACTTTTTTATTTCTTTTTTACTTTAAAAGATAAAAAATACAGACTACACTAAAATTTGTGTTAAGGTCGAGCTTATTTTTACACTTATAATTGTAATTTTAAGTGAATTGTCAGCTATTTTATTTTTTATTTATTTATTTTTAGTGAATTTTCAGGTATTTTATTTTTTTAGTATACAAACTAGATTTACTAAATAAATTAAATTAAACGTCTTATGATTATATTAAGCTATTTATTAAATGGCTTGAGACGTGGGAGTGAATGAAATAAATGGTGTAGATGTGCATCCACATTCACACATTTTTAATTTATACCTATTAAGTTGTCCAATATCGATATTTTTATTTGGAATAAATTAATTAATTTAAAAACATCAATAAATTTTTAATTTCTATGCATTCCAATATTTTCTAATAGAACTTAAACCTATAAATATATAGTTTTAAATTTCGATGGTAATTATAATAAACAGATCACATAAATTGAACAAAAAATTAAAATTAATATTTATTCTTCCAATTTTAACCTACTAATTTATATCAAGTAATTTCAATGCAGGACAAATGACTTACAAAATGGCATCCAAGTAGGAGAGCTCCCGGCGCCGGCTAAACTCAAGGATGCTGCTGTAAGTCCAGTTGGAGACGCCGATATAAAGGGCCTCCGAATCGGGACTAAACGACACACCCGATATTTGGCCAAATAAATCGATTTCCTGCTCCTTTCGGTAACCACTTTCGACATCAAATACATGGACAAAATCAGAAGGCTCGGCCATGGCAATGAATTTGCCATCACCTGTGTAACGAATAGATCGAATGGCGCCGATGTTTCCCTTCAATACGGTGACTGATTTGGAAAGATTTCGAAAATCCCAAACACGGCATGTTCTATCTTGGTTCCCCGTGGCAAAAGTTAGACCATCCGGGTGCCAAGCTGATGCAAATGAGTAATCCGAATGGCCTTCTAGAGATGCTGTCTCCTGCACATTCGAGAGGCGACTCAGTATTGATTAGAAAAATGTTTTTCAGATGTCTGAATGATGGGATGCAAAATCATTTACCTTTCCACTCTTGGTGTCGAACAATATACTTTTAGGATCGTCGCCAACTATTAAGAGAACCTTACTGTCAGGACGCATGGAAGTATGCTGCATCAATGAAAATTAAATCCACTATAAGTCGTGGGACTTTCGTACACATTAAGCTTTTCCGTAGAGTTTACAATTGGAAACTTTCTCGAATTCGATAAAGGTTCAATTGCACATCATTTATCCAATTCTATTCCTAACATCGATCCATTCCCATCCAAAAAACAAAAAAAGTCGACGAGAGAGTGCATAATATGCATCCCTTTGCATTGAAGTTAGAACATGAGGGTGTGTAAGCATATAAACGTACGAATAAACAAGTACATATAGATAAAGCCACTGAAAATAGAGTGTGGAAAGACTCACATTAATTGGCCACGGAAAGTCAAAATGGCTGCACCGTTGAAATGTTTCAATGTCGAAGTCTCTAACACCGCAGTCATTATTTGAGGTTATGAAATGCTCTGCACCACTAAAAACAAAGGAAGTTTTAGGAATCTTCATGAGAGTGGAGAGAACTAGAAATCAATCCCATTCTCCGCAAATATGGTTAAAAAATTTAATACCTGCTGGATGTAAATATCTCGACGGCATTAGTAATGGCATCGTCGCCATAGCTTATCCGAGTGCAATAAGAAACACCAGGCCTGTCTACATACTGCAACAGAGCAATTCACATTAAAAGGGTTCATAATACAGGCTACGAAAAGTAAGAGGTCATTCTTGACTGCAACCAAAAGTGGGCAACTCAGAATCACATCTTATCTCCATTATCAAGAATATCTTCCTCAGTACATTAGGCCAATATTTTCCAGTGTTCTTAGCATCAACAAAAAACTAAAACACATAATCTAATTATCATAATTAGAGAGAGAGAGAGAGGAAACAATACTTATTATATCAATTTGAGATGCAAACACAATATAAGTCTATATGGAGTATCAGCCAAATGAAAAGTAACACATTCTTATTTAAAGAACATTATAACTAATTCAACAGATGTAATATATAAATAAGCAAATGTATTTCTGAAAAGTTAATGTAAGTCAAACAATGTTCAGTGGCGGGCAGTTATTACCAGCAACTCCTAGCATTTCAATGAAATAGTCAACATATTTGATAAGGCCAAACATAAAAGCATCTTGAAACGGTTCTTTGAAAGCAAAAAGGAAAGGAAACCACCTTGCAGATGAGTTCTGCCTGAAGACCTCCTGCAACAAGCAACTTATCTTTCACTGCTAGTGTGCTGATTTCGGTGTGCCTAAATCCTTCCATCAAGTTTCCAGGGTGTTTCTAATTTACAGAATAAAACCATAAGTTGCAATAATAAATAAATAAATTGAGAGCTTTATGAATAGATTACATATGCACCCATTTGCAGACACAAACACAGGAAACTGTGGGGTTGTGTGTATAAGAGAGCATCTGACCTCACAGGGAGCTACATGCTGGGCAACATTAAGAACTTCAGACTTGGTACGGCTCAATGATGACCAATGAAATACTGAGAAATCTGTAGTTAGGTAAACATCATGCTTTGACGTCGCCCACACCAAATTTCTAAGCTGCATCAAAAGAATTGAATTGTTAGTTAAAATAACATGGTGGAATAAAAAGAAAAGATAAACACTTAATCTAAGAGAAAAACAGATCAAACACATTGAAATAAAAATGGAAAAAAAAAAAGAATAAACATAAATACTGAAGAGTTAGATATGCACCACAGCAGGGTTACCCGCGAGCAGAAAATTATAACGTTTCTTAACTGTGTCATTGCATTACTGAAGCTGATTAGATTTGGAAATCAAGTTAAAGTACAACAAAGCCAAAGTAGATGACAAGAGTGCAGAAAAGAACAATATATTGTAGTTATGTATGACAATGCAACAAAATAAGGATTCCCGGCACTGGCGTAAATCTCATCTAAAAGGATATATACTACAACAATTTCTAATGAAATTCATGCAACATGAAAGATTATTGATCTTCAACCTCATTTCTGGCAGCTATATCAAAGCCATTATGCTTCAACCATCTTACCACCGACCCAATAAGACAGGTTTAACAATTAGCTTTAATTAGAAAAAGTGTTAACCAGAAATATATGAATAATATATAATAGTGCACATAGGATGACCCATATATTCCAGAAAAAAGTTAAATATAACATAAATGGACATCCACGCTAAAGTTGTGCATCCTTGCAGTCAAACAAGTTATATGCCACTTAATCTTATAGATCTGAATCATAAATTAACCTTGGAGAACATACAAATCTCAAAACAAGACTTTCGCTGTTCACCGCAATCAAAATTCAAGACAACCAATAGCATACATTGATGATAAGTGAAGAATGACCTGGGAATGGGCGAATGTTGGTTTCACATATCTTGAGTTCCACCTGAATTCATAGTATGATCCCCCTTTCTCAGTAATTGTGTATTCCTGAACCAAACAAGGCAAACACAGTCAAAATTAAAAGCAACATTACAAACAAGTTAAACAAGAATATAACAAAGAAACATCTGGAAAAATGAAGTAAACACTAAACAACCAACCTTTTCTGATCCCTCTCCAGATAAAGGAGCGTCATCATAATTATTAAACTCTTTCAGTCTAGTCTGTCTATACTCCTCTCGTGTTACGTCATGGTCTTCCCAGGGAATCCCTTGTATATCTTTGCCCTTTCTAGCTTGAGCTGCTGTAGTATCTTCCATTCTGGTCTGTGGTGATTAGGAAATGAGATTTAATTTAAAACTAGCACTAATAAAGTTACACAATATTGAGAATGAAAAGAAAAAACAGATTTATATATGTATATAGATAATAACAAACCATGAATTCTTCTATATCAGAATCTGAGTTACTAGCATCATTGTCACTGAGCTCATCTATATCGTCGTCATCTTTCATTTTGTACTCCTCGTCCGTGTGATAAGCTTCATGCTGATGGGACATGATCTACAGCATAGACCCTGAAAAAATAAATAAAAAAAAGCTTCTCAAAACATTTCAGTAGCAACCCTCAAAGCAACCAACACCAATTTTATAGTAGTGAAATAAAGTGGATAACATAAATTTACCAAGTAGCTGACACACCGTCGACTATTACATGTATCGACAAAAACAGTCAAATAGCACATAATCGAGAGTCACTTTGATAGATTAATAATTTTATCTTTGATCTTACAAAATAGAAACAGATTATGATAGAAACAAGTTTATATGAGAGATATATCATAAACTGTAGTTAGAGCGTTCAAACAAAGTAGTAGAACTGACTTATAAATTGATGTCTAGAAGAATTAACATAGTCCAAGCGTATAAAATTTTTGTTCACAAATTGAGCGGGGATGTCCGAAACCCCATTCAACAATCCACTCAATGCATCTACCCATGTTAGATACATGAAAATCACGTGAAATTACATAATAACATAAACATGAAGCATACCAAACAATACAGCCAGTTATCAAATGTATAAATATATATATATATATACACACATGCAAGAAAGAAAATGAACACAAACAAATTAGACAAATATCTGCCAATACAGAAACAGAATAATGAAGCTTTGTCTGAAAATTGTTTTCTGCACACAGAAAGTGTAAGAACCTCCAAATCCTTTTTACCAATTCTCAAAAAATAAAAGTTAAATTGTTTGGACTGTTTCTGAACAATTAATGAAGAGCACGCAAAATATCTACAGTTTTTACTCTAGCAGAAGGCAATCACTCTACCAAGAGAAAATGCAGTATCGTAGCTTCATTTCTTATATCTTTTCTTTTGTTTCTATAAACCAAACAAACATTGCAAGCAATGTAGAAATTTTAACAGCTTAGATAAGTTAGGATTCGTACTCAGTAACAGAGAGAAATTATACTAACCCTAAGTTACTAATGAACTCATCAAATCCTACCAAAAACATTAACCAAGGGTGAATTCAATTGCAATTATAGTGGATTTTTCTAGATTTTGAAAGTTTGTGGATTTAAAAAATCTAAATTTTCAGACTTGAGAAATTGTGAAATACATATTTACATTGTGGGTGTGTTTACTGAAGATTTTACATTGTTTTACTATTTCAACTTTTTTTCCCCAAAAACATCAAATCAAACAACTATTTTAATTAATTATATTATATTAAAATTTATTTACATTCAAAACATCACATCAATATATATTTAGAACATCAAACAACGATTTCAATTCAAAATTTTACTATTCAAAACCAAAATCCAAAACAAAAAAATCTTACATGTAAACACATCCATAATATGGAACACATTTATATATATATAAAGTTATCTAGATTGTTTAGAAAAAAATACCAAAAATAAAAAAATAATATATCATTCATCATTATTAAGTTAATTCTCTTCTATTTTATAACAATTTTAATAAATTTTTATTACATTATTATTATTACAAAAATATAACTTTCATCTAAATACACTAACTCCAAAGTCCAAACAACTTATGTTGTAATTATTATTTATTTCATATAATTTTTTACAAAAATTAAAAATAAATCAACATATATCTAAATAAAATAAAAACTGGAACAAGTAGTTTTGAAACGGTGATTCAAACAATTTGAGCAAGCCTAGTTTGCTACTTTAAAAATATATATAATTTTGAAAATATTTGCAACTTTATTTATATCTAATTTTTCTCGCTTACCAGCATTATTTTATTTAATATTAAATAATTATCTTTATTGAAGTATTTAAAAAATAGGCTCAAATTTTCAAATTGTTATTTCTTTAAACATGTTAATAAAACTTCGAAATTAGAAACTAATACTCAGAGAGTTCCCAAAACAGTGGTACTATTTTCTAATTTAATAATTGTATTACCTAACCTAACGTAATAAATACCCTTACAACTTACAAAATATTACACATTATAACTCAATAGAATACTAATATTAAAAAAATTATGAGACGGAGGGAGTAATATATTTGTAAGTTTTGAAAATAATATACTTTTGGACTTTTTGGCACTATTAATCAATAGTAAATGTTTTCCAAAAACAAAATCTCATCTAATAACTTGTGTTTGTTCACTTTGTGTTTTTAAAGTCATAATTCCTCATAAATATTATTAAAAATATATATTATACAAATATATATAACATATACGCTTTATCAATTCACAAAAAATAAACAATTCAATTTTATATTACCGAAATAATTTTTCATACTAACATAGAAAAACAAATTCACAAATCATTTCATAAAATTAACTTTTTACTATTTCTTTTTTTTTTTTTTTCAAAAACTCCATTGAGAGAATCAGTATAAATACCTGGTTGTTAATTAGATAAAATATTTTTAAAGAGAGAATCAAACAAAGTTCATAGAATATTATCGAATAACTAAAGATTTTTTAATATTTTTATAAATCCTAATGATTTTTAAAGAGAACTTTGAAAATCCAATTTACCCAAAAAAAAAAATTAATATATTACATTCATTATTTGTATTACTTTTATATTATCTACACAGTTCAATTGTACTCACCACTAAAAAAAAATATATATATATATTACTTCAAACTATTTAGCAAAATAAGCAAGCCCTAAAAGAATCCAACAGACTCTACAGCAAATTAAATTGAACAATACAAATTCACAATATAACACAACAACAAATAATAAAGAACAAAAAGAGCAACAAGAGCCATTCCATAATCTAAACAACCTTTCAGAAAGGAGCAAAAGAGGGCCTTTAGTTCTGTACAGCAGACGTAAAATACCACGAACAGTAAAAATCTAATTAACTAACGAACCCCGAAGAAAAACAACTTGTCAACCCTAGAATCCCAAAGACGAATACAGAAAAGCTCAATACAATTACACCAACCTTTAAATACCAATCACAACCAATGCAGAAAATCCTGAATTTTCAGCGATTAAGGATTCTAACCATAAACCCAAAAAGGGAGGGAGAAAATTTTAGAGTGCGTTGATAAACCCAGGAAGGGAGGGAGAAGATTTTGGGGTTGGAACTTGGAAGTTATGTTAGTGGAGATTTATTTAATTAGTAATATATGATCTATAATGCGATATATAATAGGAATATTATTTTATAAAAAAAAAAATAATTAGACGTTTCAAAAATTTTAAAATATATATTTAAATGCTTTTATAAATTTATATAAATAGATTTAGTTACTAAAATAAGATCTATCTGATTGATTTAATATTTTTTTAATATATATATATATATATATATTAAAAAGCATATTGTCAATTTGGAATCCAATCCCATAACCGAAAAAAAGAGACACGAGATATCGATATTGGACTTGATCTGGCTGGCCTAGCCCAATATCAGCCACCATATTTTACTGCGCACGTGCGGCACGTGGCAGACTTTTCAGGGACCCGCAAAGTTTGCTCCAGAAGTCCGGGATCAGAAGTTAACATGGCACGGCATATAATACAAACCTACCTCAAATCTTTAATACAACCGGACGGTTTGGATTAATGTGGAGCTGGAGTCCTGGACCTTCCAGGCATTAATTAAAACCTGTCTGTCGTGTCCATCCATGGCTGATCTAATCTGGTACCAAAATCTACCCGTCAAAATCTTCCAAACAATAAACCCACACACGCGAAACCAGCCCCCAATGTTGTGCTGAATCCCGATGACCTCTCTCATTCGGAAGGTGTGGGTCTCCGTCGCCCACCGGCTGGGCCCGGCATCGGCCTCCGGCTACGCATCCTGCCCCAGCCCGATCTCCGACTACGACGGGCTGCTCCAGATGATGTCCATCCAGGATTCATCGACCGGAGAATTTGACCGGATTCCCATCGACATTTTTATGCAGATTCTCAAAATTCTCGGACCACGAGAGTCGGTGAGGCTGAGAGCGGTCTGCAAATCGTGGAAAATTTTGGTATCGGACAATCGGCTGTGGATATACTTTCTGCAGAATGGACCGGAGCCGTGGGACTCCGTCTTCTTCGCCGAGACTCACTTGCGAGTCGGTTATCCTCTTCAGTACGATAATTCCTAAGATATATATATATCCTTTATTGTTTCTTGGTTTGGACACTTGATTAATCTATGTGTGGAAGAATCGGTCGATCATGGTAGTAAAAGTAGGTGGCGGTTTAGTTTACTGAATTATACAGGTTTACAACTCAATTTTACAATCTTAGTTTAGTAGCTGCTATCTAGTGTATTTTGATCAGTTTAAGAATCTAGACTGTTCTTCGGATTGCTACTATTTATGAACATTATGAAGAACCATGAAAATTAGAGCATCGCCACTAGTTTTGAAGTGATCATTATACATGATGGCCTCCTAGCTGAGATACTGCTTAAAAGTTACAATTAACGCCTGGTGTTTCCTTTTTAGATGTTGCTCATTAGAATACAGAGAAATTATTGCTTTGTGTAATTCTTGGTTGATCAAAAATTCCCAATTTGTTATCCTTCCCTGTTAAATAGAAGTTGGTTACGAAGAACTCCCCTCTTATATTTGTTTTATTTGAAATGTCTTTTAGAAATGGAGATTTTCTTGCCCTTTCCTCAAAAGGAGTTCCCAACTGGTCTGCTTTCATGTTTTCAAAACATTCAGACATTTAAGAATCAACCTTAAGAAGAGAAAGTGTAATTTGCAGTTGGATATTTGAATGTGATCATTTTTCATATGCCTGTTTTCTTGGAAAATAATAAGCAATTTACTTACACTATTTAGAATTTATGTGACAACTCTAGACTCTTAATGTTTCTCAGGGTATTTCCTGCTCAGATGCACGACCTATCATTTATGCATGTTTATGGTCAACGCATGGAAGTTCCCGGAGCTATTATTATTGATGGTATGGATTATCAATTAAGTTTCGGGATTTCACCCCTATCTAATTCTACTATCAGAAATAGGTCAAGCACATCTTAACTAAGTTAGAGTACCGCATACATTTTGCATGTTTTCACTTGTTAGTGCTCTCTTTGTTTCTTTTGTCTGAACCTGTTATATTATCTTATGCCTATTTGTATATTCCTTGAATATCACTTCTTGAACCAAGAAGGTGTCTTGGTTTACAAAGTTGCATTTTAACATTTGGAAGTCTTGAAATCATGTTTTGCCTTGGCTTTGTACATAAGGAAAATTTTATCATTTCCATGTATCTCTATCATAGGGGGTTCTGGGTATTGCAAATACGGATGGAGCAAGTATCCCTGTCCATCAGGGCGGTCCGCAACGTTTTTGGTAAGCTATCTGAATTTGTATGCAATACAATATACCTGAAGACTGAAGAGAAACTTGCTGATGTGGAGCTCAATATCCTGTTAAAGCAAGAGCATAGTAATGGCCTAACTCAGTGTCATCTCTGCAGGAATTTGGAAACATTGAGTCTCCAATGCATTCAAGACTTAGGCATTTCTTTTCAACAATTTGCAGCAGGTCTCTCTATGGATTTTTCAGTTGGATACACAAGTTTCTAATTTATTCAATGAAATGATTGGCAACCTTGTATTTTCTTGGCATGCTAGCATTCTAACTACCAGCTCAAAAGATCTGCCTAACTTTTCATTTGTGGCCTCTGCCATATGTTATTGCACTCATTCAAGATGGCAGATTTCATGGCTAACCTTATGCACGTTTGTTGAGAACTAAATTTGACTTGACAGCATGCAGGATGCGGGTTAAACCATCAACACAACCAATTGTTGTATCAACACCACTTGCTCATTATGATGGTTAGCTTCGAATTCTTCATCTAGATTTTTTGTCTTCAAAACCTTCTCAAGAAAGTGCTATCAAATGCCCCCCACTTTCAAGAGCTTGAGTTGATAGGAAGATGCATCATTTTATATTTATTCAGATTTCATTCTTCGAACACACCTTCTCATATTAAAGCAGGATTTCTTTCCTGCAAAGCCTTCACACATGATGCTTTTAGCAGTGGGTGTAGTGGGGATTTGAATATGGGACCTCATTGCTCCCATCCTTATTAGGACATGATATAAATTGGTCTAGTATGTGACATTCTTTATTATTTGATTCTTTCAGTAAAAGAATTCAAGAAACAAAAGTAAATTACATACTGAACTATTCTTATACATGTCCACGTAAAAGAGCCAATTTAACAAATGGTGCGTGTCTTGGATCAGAATTACATTTTCCCCCAAATAATAATATAAGTTTCTGAGTAAATTTTTAGAAAAATCTTTGTAAGTTGTTGTGGTGAGAAATTTGTGTTTTCTCACTAGTTTATGGGCATATTTTCTTATGGTTTTGCTTCCATATCCAACCAGATAATGAGAATGCAGAACGGTCTAGAAGGCAACTGGAGGATGCCATCTGTTCGACTTTATTTGAGATGAATGTTCCTGCTGTGTGTGCCATTAACCAGGTAAACTCTAGTGTGCCGAAACAGGACATTATTTTGTTACCATATCTGTAAGACCCTCTGATTTATTTGTTGACAGATTTATCTTTAATGGAGCATCAGTATTGTACTTCTCGTTTTCCTAATCTATAACTGCTTACAGAATTCTCAAACATGCAGGCAACTTTGGCTTTGTTTTCAGCGAGACGAACATCAGGAATTGTTGTAAATATTGGTTTCCATCAAACGTCTGTTGTCCCAAGTAATAGCCATCAACTTGTACTCATGTTATTGAATTGCGGAATTTATGTCAGGCAGTCCAGCCAGATGCGTCCATGTTTTCAAGAAAATTGATTAATTTGCTTTGTTAAATGCTCATTCATTCTTATTCATTTATTGTTGACAGTTTTACATGGAAAAGTAATGTATAAGGTGGGTGTGGAAGTTGTTGGAATGGGAGCTATGAAGCTTACAAGTTTTCTTCGTGATCAGATGCAACAGAACAATATACATTTTGATTCACTTTATACTGTACGGACATTGAAAGAGGTATACAAATTGCTCTTAATGCTTTAGCCATCCATTATCCTTAATTTTAATATAATTTTCAGCATGGACTTTTTCAAAATCTTGGTTGTCTGCCAAACTTCATAGTTAAGACTGGTCTTAAATGTTGGCTGCTTAGTTTGCATTCCTTCTTAAGGCAGACAAAACTAAAATGTTCTCCCGGATCATCGTCTTCCATTTCTTTTGGCTTTAGATTCTTTACAGCCTTTTGATTTCAAGTTGTTTCAACATGCAGAAGCTATGCTATGTTGCTCTTGATTATGAAGCTGAATTATCTAAGGATACAGTGGCATCTTTTGCTGTTACATCAGATAATTGGTTTACTCTTACAAAGGAGAGGTTCCAAACAGGAGAGATATTGTTCCGTCCTCGCATGGCTGGAGTGTACGTATACTTCTCTATATAATGGATATTAGGTAAAACCATTAATGTCCACATGCCTGGTATCTGTTGGATGATCACAAGTGTGTTCGTCTCAGAAGCTTCCAATGAAGAGTCTCCCAAGGTGTAATCTGAACAAGTAAATGGAGGGCATAAAAGAAAATGGACAGATTTCATTAGGATAATACGAAGACATGACCACCTTTTGTGTTTGTTTGCTTGTTTTCCAACCCCTGATTTGTCCAACGTTTGACTTTTTTACAGGCAGGCAATGGGACTACAGCAGGCCGTCGGACTTTGCATGGATCACTGCCATGATGCTGAATTAAAAGGAGATGATAACTGGTATAAAACTGTAGTATTGGCCGGGGGCACTGCGTGTTTGCCGGGATTGGCAGGTTAAAAGCCTCTCTACCTGCTTCATAGATAAATCACAGGATATATATATATGCATATATTTATATACTGGCTGGCTCAGTTAAATTATTTCAAAATAATAATTTGATCCATACAATTTGTGGCTCTTTTGTGTTTGTTGTTTTTTCCAGCAAGACTAGAGAAGGAGCTGCGTGAACTTCTACCACTCTCTATCTCCAACGGGATCCGAGTTATTCCTCCTCCTTATGGAACTGACTCTGCTTGGTTCGGAGCAAAGCTTGTTAGCAATGTAAGTGCTAGCTATCTCACAAGCCTTAATTTCACAGTAACTGATGTGTTTGATTAGCTAACAATCATCAAAATTTTGTTGCTCTAGTGATCTAAGGACAGCTAATAAGTTGCCTATTATTATTGATGAAAGTTGCATACAAGATTCAAAATGGACTTTTAGGGTATAGAGATAGATGAAAATTGCTTATGCAACATGCACTTGATGCATAGAGATTGATGAAACTTGCACACAAGATTCTACATGAACCTTTGGCAAATCATCTTTAGATGTTCACCCCCTTCCCCCCCCCCCCCCCCCCCCCCCCAAAGCAAATAAGAATCGCACTAGGCAAATCATACGTGGGAACTTAGAGGTTTCAAGGTCTGAATCTATGATTTTACAGTCACGAGTTCTATCCCCACACCAATAGTGCTGTCAATTTTATTTTATATATGTGTTGTGTTAGTAGTGAGATCAATTATAATATGTGATTTATGGATTAATGTCAATTGCTGTCAATTGTATTTGTGTTATACAGTTGATTTATACTGATCAAATATAATCAACATAGTAATCATCGCCATACTAACCTTATGCAAATGGCTCTTGTTCGCAGTTAAGCGCATTTCCTACATCATGGTGCATTACAAAGAAGCAGTTTCGGCACCAGTCTAAAGGCAAGTTTCTTAGCTTTTGAAGTAGCAGGTCGACATCGAGATGAACACACATACATACATATATATACACACACACTTCACATATGCTAATTAAAATATGCAGATTCTTTGTAGATGCAATAAGCCCTGAAATCCCCAAATAAAATCATCACAAAAAAACTTTGTAACAAACCCTGTACACTTACACTGCTCTGTATTTCATCACTTTTGCAATTAAGAAATATTTCATTACTAAAACCCTGAACATGTATCTCATGAAATCCCCCAACACAAAAACGAATGTACCCAAAATCTATATCCGATCAACAAATCTTATTTCAGTCACCAAATGATCATCAAGAAAACAAGAAACTCATGGCACAGATGGATTTAACACAACAACAAGAACTTCATCATATCCCCTTCACCGTATACATTCATCGCAAAAAATGAAAATAAATTACAAAACCTTTTCACACAAACTGCAGCGAAAATACAAGGGAAGCCACGGTTAGTGCCATCAGTGGTATCACCGGGCTCGCGCTATTAACCAAAGATTTTCTTGAAGGTACAGAAGATCCGGGAGGTAACGCCGGGCACAACAGCCCTTCTTTCCCTTCCTTGCATAAGCTAGAAAATAGACCCGGCGGATACTTCCCATATAGATTGATATAGCTGAACATCGTTGAAGCACAATCAGTCGATAAATCGTTCACATACTCAGCGAATGGGCAAGCGAAATCTTTAAACGGCGGGCAACACAACTTGGGCAGGTAGCTCGGTCCTTTGCATTTGCTGGTGATAATAGTGTAGTTCTGAAACTCAAAGTTTACCGGGCATGCTGTGGCGATTCCGGGTAAAAGAAACAGTCGGTTCAATGAAGAAAAGATCGCAATGCAAGTAGAACTAAGCAATCCAATAAACTGTATATAAACACACAATGCTAATTTGCAATAGTTGGTTTAGACACAACATAGCATTTATGACTCTTATTACAAATTCTTAACATTTCTTGGACACACGCAAAAGGGATCAAATGCATATCAAGTTCACCACAAAGAACTTGCCATAATTTTCTATCACACACAGATTTGTGATTGTGTAATCATTCCCAAGTTTGATCTGCGTTTATAATTCTTGCAACACTACATCTTACAACATATTAACAAACCAACCACCCGAAATGACACAATCCTTATCACATCAAAATATCCTAATTTTTTCACTATTTTGAAATTTTTCCAAACTTGGCAGCCACATTTTGCAACTTTGTATTCCTCAATCGATCAACTAAACTAGCATGTATATACATATCAAGGGTTTTTGATTCATAGAATTTTTGCATATCCATAAGATGCCATGGAAACAGAGAAGAAAACCTTTTCCCTAATTTAATTTGATGCATCTAACATAGTCAAACAAGATCAAAACTGAAAAAGATAAAGAAAAAGAAACCCCCATACGTTTCTTAGCCTGAAGAAGCCTCCTCTCACTCAAAACAGAAGATCCAAACACACCATCTGCAAATCAAATCAAACCAAGAATCAGCAGCAGTTCAAAATCGAGAACCCATTAATCAAATCAAAAGAGGGAACTAAGTTTTGGACCTGAGATGAAAGTGGAAGCCGAGGAGAGGGAGGTGAAAAGTGCGAAAAGGAAAACGAGAAGCAAGCAAGGCTTGATAATCAGGCGCAGACGCAAATCCATCGTCTCTCAGCTCAATTCCTCAGGATCTTAATTATAAAAACCTAAAAATCTGTGCAGACAGCACTAGATCTCTCTGCCCTCTTTTTTGTTTCTTTCTTTCTAGTTTCTGATTCTAATTATAATTCTACGCACCAGTTTTACCCAACTTCCCCAGCTCAGCTACGCAAGTCATTTAACTGTGAATTGAGGTTCGATAGTGGGGTTAAGGCGAAGAAGTGTACACGAAATAAACTGTGAGGATGAAGAAGACACAGACGGACAGACAGAGTGCTGCCAGTTCATCACGCGTCTACGTTAGATTATATTAGATTATAAAACAATTCTGGTTGAATTTATTAGTAAATTAAGAAAGAAATAAATGGTTGAGAGAGAGAGAGAGAGAGAGAGAGAATAAGAAAACAAAAACACGAAAGCCCCTCTTTTTGACCTTCTCTGTCTTTCTCGCTGGTGAAACTGAAATTGATGAAAAGTTAAACAGTACAAATATTTATTTCATCACATCCAAACGTAGTATTATTATTATTATTAATGACAATTATAGCTGTCAAATGGCGAGGTAGACTTGACCTCAACCTTAAATTCAGCTCGCATGCTCAAATTTAATTCAAATTATCTATATATATATATAATTTTTACTTCTCAATTGTACAACTCTCTACATGCATGAAAACATTTCTGTAAATTTCATTTACTTGTATTTGAAATATCATATGTAATAAATAATAATAATAACACTTGTATATATCATTACAATTCAATTACATTATTATTTTCTCTATTTCAAAACAGCTGCTGAGTCCAAAGTAAGCATATCAAGAAATGTATTCTTTTCAAGTAAGAAAGCAAGATCATGCATGTTACTGAAAATGCTCCCCTCCAATGGATACCGATACCTATATATGCCCAACCACAACTTTCTTTTTGTGCTTTTAACTGCACACACAAACAGACCTCTCTCTCTCTCTCTCTCTCTCTCTCTCTCTCTCGTATATATATATTATATATATACATATATAATATGCTTTGGTAGAGCACAAAGAAGTAGACAGCAGGTGGAAGCATGAATCTTTTGTCATATATATTATATATGATATGATGTCTAGCCAGCCGGCATTTGCAAATTTTGATTTCTTAATAACAAATCCTACAATCAATTATTGAAGAGCAGAGGCAAATATTTGATTGACACCGCCCACCCACCCACCCACTGTATTGCATTTTCTTTCTTCTTCTTCTTCTTCTTCTTCATCCTTCCTAGTCACTCACTCAGTCTCAATGCTCAAGATCAAGAACACCATGGATGTACAAACAAATCATCCTCCCCCCTTCTCTCAGCAGAAGAATCTTCTTCGCTGCAAATATATATAGACACATCAGTACTACTACTCATCAATCACTTATCACACCATTATTATCATCTAAAATCATTATTCACTTGCCTGCAATTGAGATGCCCTCATATTTTCGAGCAACTCACTAATCTGAACTTGCTTCATCACTGTGGCGTGCAATACCTGCATCATGATGATCATCAACAACTTATTTCTCTCTCTCTCTAGATATATATATATATATATATCACTTTATTATGTATTGTATAGCTAAGATTGAGTTATATGTAGTTGTTATATAAGCAGTGCAGTTTAATTAATTACCCTCTTTGTGTTTTCTAGTTCAAACTCGACCATCTTGATCCTGTCCAATGATTGTTGGAGCATTTCATCCTTATCCACCGGAATTTCCGCAGGCTTGTTCTTGAGCTCTTCCAGAAAACTCTCTAGCTTTTGGAGCCGCAGAACGCATGGACGAACCCTGTCCTCTTCGGCCATAGCTGCTTTCGCTTGATGAACTAATAATGGCTCGGGGAATGAAGGTTCGTGTACATTTTCCAAACCACGGTGGCGATGTTCAGCAGGCATGCTTCGAAGAAGAGCATGAAGCTTGATCATAATTGATTTTAATTTTCTTGGTACATTTCGGAAGCTCCTCACAACCTTATCCAACCAGAACATAATTAGAGCACCTGAAAAATATTTTAAAAATCTTCCATATCATATGAAAATCACGCCATGAGATTAAAAATTCGAATAGATTAGCACAACTCACGAACCTTCCATGATTGATCCTGCATCGTTTAATAAAGACTTGTTTTTGTCTTGTAGAGTATCTCCCCCATCTTCATCCTTGGGATCAAAATGCTCGTCACAGCTGTAGTAGATGCATTCATCTGGTGTTTGTTCCATGGAAGGTGTAGTGTCCTAAACCAAAAAACTTTTAGCATTATAGAAAAAGAGGTTCTGATAATCGGGGAAGAATTAGCAGCAAGTGCTTTGCAGTTTACCAGACTGGCATCTTCTTGAACAGGGACCAGCCGCGAAATCTTTGAGGTCTTCTTTTTCATTGGAGGGCGGGTGCCATTAACATCAGAACCTGCCTCAGATGGATCCCTGCATCTCTCCTGAAGATAAGATGTACCTAAAATGTTATACATTGCATCGATCAAGAGAATTATTACGACATAGTGTTTGCACACATTACCTGCAAGAACCTCATTTGAACATAAGAGTCGCTGACTGTTTTAGCAATCCGCCTCGCTTGAGCTGCTTCGGTGTTGTACATGAACTGCAAATAGATAAAAAAAAATTTCCTTATGAGACATACCTATAAATTTATGTAAACTTTATATAGACTACGAACAGATACGAACATATGAGTCGCTGGCTGTTTTAGCAAGCTGCCCTGCATAAGCTGCTTCTGTATTATAAACAACCTGAAAATAGATGTTTTTCAATTAGACACCGACCTAGATTTATATACAAACTTCTAATTACCTGAAATAAAATATCAATCCATTGAAAATGTTTGAATGCAGTATCTACCTTCATTATTTCAGGATCATTCCATGGGCCCTTGTTAGACCTAAGGCAACCTCCTTCAATATCACAATCACATGATCCACCCAAAAAGTCTGGCAATTGACTGTAGAAACATTGTCAGATAAAAATACATATGAAAATCGCATATGCGGTGATTTGAAATAGCTAAACCCACCATGGATCAATAGCTTCAACTAGCTTGTTCAAAGATTTCGGGTCCAAAACCTGCCATACAGATAGATAGCATATATCAGACCAAGTGAAGCTGCAAAGAATGAAGAAATGGAAATACATAATGATGCATATACTTACTTGAATTTTAGGAATAGTTTTTGCATCCAAAAATCTCTGTGCAGCTGGCCAAAGAACCTTCTTGAATCCTGGTCCAGCATTAACAATGTACATGCGATGGAGCGTCTGAATGCACATGTAGCAATAAATACCACAAAAATGAGAAATAGTAACATTGAAATTGAACTGTCAAATCAACATGAAAACAAATGTGTGTGTGCTTTTAATATGTAAAGCAAAACACCTCAGGGTAGTAATTAGTATCAATCTTTGCCATGGAAGCCAGCAAATTCGCAGCAGTCTTTGTGAAATTTTTTATCCCCTGCAATCATCAATCATCACAGTAACTAAAATTTATTATCTGTCATCATACATGGGAGTAAAATTTTTTAACACTACAGTAGGCAGAGCAAATTCTGATACAAGACAATTCAATTAGGTATTACTTGTTCAACAGAAAATACAATAACCATTTGAAGCAAAAAAACACAGGATTGAAAAGACGATCGTTATAATTTGCAAAAATCTTTGGGGGCACATTCCATTTTCATAACAGAGAGAACAAAGAATTTAATAATCGAATGCAGAACTGACAATAGTTGATCTACTGACCAGTCCTTGTACATCCAATATGGTGGTGGTTGAACAGATACGCCTCTTTGCTGCAATGGAACAGGCAGGAAACTTCTCATGCAGGGCCTTCTCAAATTCCTGAACATGATATCTTAGGTATCGTTCAATGGAAGTCACATTCATCAATTTACTTGGATGGGTTTTTCCAAGCCTTTCGATATAAACAGGTCTGCCTTCTCTATCAACTCCATGATATCCTTGGGGATAATATTGCAAAACTTCTTCCAGCTCCTCAAATTCAAAGTCCTGAAAATTGATCAATCATAAAAAATTTTAATGGCACAATGATACTTTAGCAACCCCAAGTCAGCTAACCATCCTAAATATATGAGAATTTCCGTAAAAAGTATATCTTCTCGAATGCCAAACAATGAATTACCTCCAATATAGTGTCAGTTCCATAGTCCCTCCTCCAGTTGAGCATTTCCTCCCACATTTGGATCGTCTTGTCAATATTAAAGTCTCTTGCTTTCAAGAATCTGGTTCAAAATTCAATAACATAGTGTTAAAACCATAAGATCTGCTGCAACAAATAACTTATAGATAGCCCCTAAATCCACTTTCTAACAGATAAACAGATGGACGAATACCACCCTCACTCAGTGTTGAAGTTATTTTGCACACATATGTTGTGTAAAGATTGCAATAACCACAAACTAATTTTAAGCTACTTCAAAGCTTCAGAAATTTGGAATAAACAACCACAAAGAATCACAGGTCTTTCCTTCCAACTGAGGTAGAAAATGAAACGAGAGAACAGCTTACCGAAGCAAAGTATGGTAATCATCATGTCTAACAGGCAAAAAATCCGTGTCTAGAAGTCTCTGACGCAGTTCAGAGACAGCACTCTCCTCTCTTGCATCTCGAACATCCTCAATGCAAACGGATGGCACTTTAAAATGAACTTTCCTTCTCCCTCTTTTCTTGAGAGAATGAGTAAGCTTGTTTGAAGCATTTATAGCCTTTTTCCTTAATGCTCCAATCTTGGATCTCCTTCTTTCATCTTCAGAATTCTCATAATCTGCTTTTCTCTCCCTTGTCTCGTCGAACACATCTAAGCCTTTAGGCCAACAAAAATAAAGTCAGATGCAAGTGTTGCTGCAAGTCGCCAAACTTTGGGTATGAATAATCTCGCACCCGTTCATTAGAAAAACAACAAAATGAAACAGAGAGAAGAAAGACTACCTACCTGACATGTTACCAGAGTTCAGAAACCGAGGCCAAAGGTAGCCGATCTGCAAGAAAGAAACCATAAGACCCCGGAGCTCTACTTCACATTAATGAAATTATCAGATAAGCATTATAATAGTCGTTCTCAACCCAATGCAGGGAAGTTTGTTCAGGAAAAAAGTGATCTATTCCAGGAACAAGAACATAGAATTCATTTTCTAGATTCTGGACTCTTCTTATAAAAGTATATTATAGTGCATTCAGAATTTAGAGCAAAAAACTCAAACTTACAAATGGTGGAAAAATTGTATCTAAAAATAAATTTTAACCCTCATCTTCCTCATAAGAGGTATCTTAAAATTTTCAACCGGCATTTCCCTTAGATCTTGTCTGAAACCTGTTAAAGCCATAGCTGCAGTGGCTTTAATTTCCCAATAAATGTGGTTGACTGTTCCATTGCCAATTGAGACCTTGAATAGCCACAGATAACGATCCATCCCATTGAAACTCAAAATTACCAGATAACACAGGCTCACTCACATGTCACTGTACGCCACTCAACCGACATAGCAAAGACTATTTCACCAAAACTTCATATTTTAGTCTCCACCGGAGAAAAACTAGTAACAAAATTCGAGTACGTAGGAAACAAATTTACTCATCTTAACCTAATTTCTCGTAAATTGAAATTTTTCAACAATTCCATTCCCACTCAGATCTCGCTCAACACACGATTCACAACCATAAATCCATTCAGTAAAAAGCAAGTTAGCCAGAAACATGCAGCCACGCACAATCAAGTACATAAAATTTTCCCTAAGCTCGCGCACAAACACATACACACTCACTCGCAAGTAAAAATACCGCAGCAATCACTTACACAGCTTCACTCAAACAGCTACAATCAGCACCGCGCAAGTATACCGCAATCGAAACCTCAGAGAGCTACTGCATTGACTTCTCCTTCCTTCAATCGCACACACACCAACAAAAAACTCGCCCAGGAAACGCACGCAGCTGCAGTTGGGGGACGCACCTCAGAGGAATTCCCTGGAGAAACAAATATGATAATACTACTATGAGACTGAATGAAAGCGAAAGATCTGATGACGATTTTATACTCTATATAATACTCTGCTCTCGCATACACGTAGAGCATAGATATGCGTGTCTACGTATATACATACACACCCCCTGTCTCTATATATATTTTTTCCCTTATTATTAAATTCAAATAAGTACGATCTTGCTTGATTTTTAGTTAAAGGGTAATATACTGTACTTAATTCTTCAATTTTCAATTAATCCAAAATTAGTAATATTAATAATAATAATAATAGTCATAAATTTTAAATTTATTTTATTTGGTATATTAAATGTTGGTGGTTTTATTTTATGCCGTTGGAAAATTGGGTGCAGAGTTAGTTGGGGTAGTTTTAGTAGCTGCAAAAAGGTGTGTGTATTTCGTACCACAAACAACAGGAGAAAAATAAATGCAAGGGTTTTAATTAACAACCGGTACTGTAGCATTTATTGGCGCATTTATTATTTTCTACTACGTAAATATCATCGAAACGAAATGAAATTTATTGGGAGCTAATTAATGAATGGATTTGGAACAATTAATAATTTCTAGCCTAGTGTTGACTGGACTGGAGTCAGCTGGGGAAATGGAATATTTATTGATTTGGGAATTAATTATATTATTAGAATTGACCAATTAATGACGTTTACCATAATTAATGAGAAGTGTGGGTTAAAAAATGTTGCCACGTGGAGAGGTGTAATAAAAATGAATAAAAAATTGAGATACAGAATCTGTAAACATACAGCTATTAATTCTTCAAGCTAAAGATATATATATATATATAGATATAGATATGGGTTTGGTTAAATAATCGAGATGAGATGTGCAGGCGTGGAAGGATGAAGAATTGATAATCCACTGCTTTGTTTGTTATTGAAGAAAGTGAGTGTCAGTGACTCAGAATATTTTTATTTTTATTTTTATTGACTTCTCAACTTATTTTCATTGACTTCTCAACTTTATTATTATTATTATTTTTGAGAAAAATATAATATTATCTGCACTCCAAAGATTTTCTGCGTGCGAGATTTAATTTATTAGTATTTTTTAAAATTAAATTTCTGACGCGATTAAAGACATACTGTTAGGGTAATTAAAGCTAAAGCTGAGCCCTTCTCAGAGACATCATTATTGTGTCCGAATTCTCTCTAACACTATAAAAAATAAAATAAAATTAAATAAATAAATAATTTTTTAATTAATTAATTAAATTGAAGAGAGAAAAAGGGGTGGGCAGCTTTATGGGTAGAGTGACAAAGGAATCTCGGAAGACAACAGTTTTCATGAATAGACAGACACGAAAAGACTAGTGTACTGAAAAAATGTACTGTGCAGTTTGCAATGTAGAATCCATTAATAAATACTAAATTATTTAAAATGTGATGATATATATAAATGATAATAATAATAATAATAATAATAGTTATTTAGGAGATGTCAAAATCCCAAAATTGAAAAGCTCTTGATTGTCATCGATGATATTTGATAGATGGAGTAGTACATTATTATTATTATTATTATTATTATTATTATTATTATTATTATTATTATTATTATTATTATTGTTTTTTGGTAATTGGGAAGGAAAAAAGAAAAAAAAAGTGGAAGTGTGGAGATATTTGAGAATTGAAATGGAGATGGGGCAAAAGAGGAGAGAATGGCAGAAGGTGACCTATCGTTAGAGTGGTCGTTTTCAGACAAGACACTCCATAGATATACATATATGTAGGTATATATATATGTACGTACGTAGCAGCAGCAGCAGCCAGCAGCAGAAGTGTGGGGAATAGATGTGTAGTGTAGGTGGGGGAAGCTAAGGGTGGGTGGGTGGGTGGTTCACGGTTCACCCAATTAGCTTTATACGGATGTGTATCATTAGTATATTTTAGTTTTTTATTTTGGTTTTCAACAGTAAAATTTTAAATTAAAATAATTAGTTGATGTGATATTTTGAATATAAAATTTAATTTTAATGTGATATAATAAATTAAAAATAAATATTTAATTTGATATTTTTTAGGAAAAAAAAATTGAAATAATAAACACACGTTACAATATCGATAGTTCATTGTTTCTTTTGTCACAATAAAATTTTTGGAAGTTTGAAATTTTTTAAAAGTAATAATTGAAAAAAAAAATGAGTAGATTTAAATCAAAATTTTGGATTTGAAAAAATATGTCTCCCACAAAATATTACTCTCTTCGTCTTCGTCTCAAACACTGTGCAACATTTTTTTTTTATGTCCTAAACACTCTGCAATATTTTTAAAATAGAAAATAATTAATTATACTTATTTCTACTTCACACTTTATTCCATCACATTACCCATGTAAAAAAAATAAAATATATATTTTTCTTTCCATCACATTACCTAATTCATAAATTATCTTATCTAATGCCACCCACCTAAAAATATGTGTCGAAAACAAATATTGCACTTTGTTTGGGACCGAGAGTACCTTTTTTGTCATTAAAAAAATAGACCCATTTTTATTCTTTATCCATCATAAAAAATAAAAATAAAAATAAAAATAAAAATAAAAACTAACAAGAAAGAAATTATGCCATTTTTATTTATATATTCTTTTTTTACTATAAAAAGGTGTAAAGTAAAAAAATATATACCTCATATTAAAACTAGTGCAAAAAATAATTCAAATCAAAATTTAACAAACTCACTGTTAATTAGAGTTTTTTTTAAAAACAAAAAACAAAATTCAAACTGAAATCAACAAAGTTATTAATAAAAAATACATTTTTTGTTTTCACAAAATATGATTTAAACAAAATTTCAAATCAACAATACATTTTAAATCAATTCAAATTACAGCCAAACAAATCCTTGATGATTTCACACCATCAGGCCATCATTTACGAACCCACACAAATACGATTTTTTTTGTTCGGGAATACAAATTTATTTGGTTGTACTTTGATATTTATTTGAAATTGAATGTTTTATAAATAGTATTTTAATTTGATATTTTATAAAAAAAAAATAATAATATAATTTTATTGAAACTTGTCAATTGAATAATATTGATTTTAATTTGAAATATGAAAAGAATAAAACCACATTCTTGCTTGTCTTCTGTATCCCGATTTTATTTCTCAAGTAAAAATAAAATCATGTATTGAATTTTTTATTTTTTTTAAGAAAAAAATTATTTTTTTAAAAGTACAATTAAATCAATCCAATAATAATATAAAAGAATCGTAAAAGCATCATTATTGGTCACATGTAGAATGAAGGAAGGATGATGCAATAAATGAGGGGGGAGAAGACGACAAGGCAGAACAGTTGGAAATAAATGAAAACAAAGGGGGTCAAATGTAATTATGAAATAATTATTAGTAGTAGAGTAGTTACATTATTAATACTGTGATGCTGACCGCCACGCCAGCGCCTCCCAAAATATGTGCAACTGCCCGCCCAAATACTCACTCGACCCCCGGGAATCCATCCTCACCGTTGATTGCTGCGGTTGCGGGGCCCACACATCAATCGACGGTCCAGATGCATCCGATCAAAGGAAAATTCACAAATGATGAAGTGATAAATATTACTCAAAATAATAAGAAAGAATTACCAATAATAAATACAAGTAACGGTAACTGTTGCTATTTTGAGGGGAGACAATAATTGAAACAAAAAATTAATATTCAACGTGTGTTTTTATTTTTTATTTTTTTAATAATTATGAATTAATTAATATGATATGAGTTTGGCGGGAACGTCAATTTCAGACAGTAGTGTATGTAAATGTAAGTGAGAAAGAGAATATGAAAGGGTTAAGGAACAAAGAGAAAGGACCAAATAATAAAACAGTAAAACGTTGGAATTATACGAAGTGCTGTGTGGCCTTCAAAAGTGACTACTCACTCCATCCTCGCCATGTTTAATTTAATTATTTTTATTTTTTATTTGTATTTTCTTCAACAAAAAGGACCACATTGTATTTGTCTGAAAGATAAAAATCGAGTGAACTGGTGTTTAACATATAGTTTTTTTAAGAGCTTTTAGCTTATTGAACAGTTTTTAACTGTTTGACCAGTCAAAAAGCTAATTTAGGTGTTTGGTAAATTAGTTTTTTAGAATAGCTTTTTGGATTCAAAAAATTAATTTTTGAAAAACTAATTTACCAGCGTTTTCAAATAACTTTTTCTAAAAAAAAATAATAATTATTCTTTATGCCCTTAAAATTTTATTATGCATTTTCCACAAATAAATATATTTTGATTATTTATTAATTATATTAAAATATTTTATTATAATATAGTTTTACTTTTATAAATTTAAAATAATTAATTTTTATATAAAAATTATTTTAATTGTAAAATATATAAATTTATTAAAATCAACATAAAATAGAAAATATAAATATTAATAATTTATTTTTATATTAAAATTACATTATATAAATTGTATACTAATAATAAATTAAATTTATTGAAAATTATAAATACGATGAACTAATCGATAACTAACATATAAATATATACATAAAAAATTTATTATTATATATTTTACATCATTTTCAATAAAAAAAACTATTTATATATTTTAATAAAAATATATTATTTTTAAAATTTAACTATAATAGAAATAAATATTTTTATAACACTTTTACAATTTGTAATAACTAATAACAAAAAATTTTAAATATTCTAAACTGAAAACAACATAATTGAATATATTAGAAACAAAAATAAAATAGAAATGTCCTCAATTGTCATTTTTACGTATAAACAGCTAATATCAAACCGTTGTTTTACCAAAAACAGCTATAGCTAACCGCTAATAGCTATCAGCTGATTGCCAAACACGCCCGTATTTTGAGAATTGTGTAAATAAATTAATGAAATTGAAGAAATTTTGGGTATATAAATGATTATAATATAGATTTAAAAAAAATTATTTTACTGAACATAAATTTTTCATTTTTTATTTTTTATTTTTTATAAATAAAAATGGTATAGATACATGTGAATGGGGCGAGTACATAGCAATGGCTTTCAATTAGGACAAATTTTGAGTTTGTTTGTTTGCATTATATAGGCCAATTTGATACCCCACTCTTAGATTCGATAAATGATTGTGAAGAATTTTAATTATTATTATTATTATTATTATTATTATTATTATTATTAAATACTCCATCCCCTTAATAATTTATCTATTTTTTCATTTTGATTTGTGTGATAACATAGCATCTGTTTTCTTTTATAGTAACTGTACTATCTACTTAATCGTTACAAATATCATTTCAATTTACAATATATTACACAAATATCATTATATTTATATGATACAAGAATATTTTATATAATACTAATATTTCTAAAACTATGAAAAAAAAAAAAAAATTGATAGATAGATATGGGATTGGAGGGAATAAAATTTTGTATTCTTTTTTAACAAATCATCACATCAAATTAAATCACTCAAACAAACACAATAAACTATCTTCGTCCATTTTTATTTTTTATTTTTACTATTTTTTCGCATTGGTAATGTCATCAAACTTTAACAGTTTCTTTTATCTTCACCATTTCTTTTTTATATGCAATTATTACTCATCTTAAATAGAAGCATATGAATATTATTGAATTATATGATGCAAAATAGGCTAAAAGTTTGTGTTAGGTTATCTGTTAAAATACAAGTTGAATCCACTCAAATATATTATTACTATTAAATAGTGACACTACAGTTACTACTATTGATCAAACTTGTTATTCGAAACAGTAAAATCAAACTTTCAACCACAATCTCGACCAACAACCAACAAGTAATGTAAATAAGAGAAAAATATACAACAAATAGTATGAAATCCAATTAAAAACACATAAAAATAATAACATAAAATGTAAATGGAAAACATTGAATATTTCTCCAAACAATAATACATATTATTATTACATGAAGGGGAAAGAATGACTTAAAACAAATACCATATATATAATGTATGTTCTTGATCTCACATTGCAATGCATTCTACCTTACCTTACTTCTCACAACCATCACAAAAACTCCCATCACAAATAAATAAAACCGATACGGCAACCAACCGACAGGCCGGAGACTACTCCCCAACCACATACCGACTTGAATATATATATATATAGATATATAGATAGATAGATAATAATGTAGTAGCGCTACTAAATCGTAACAAAGCACACCCCACATGGTATCATATCATATGTATATATAGAGAGAGAGAGATGTTGAAACCGGGACTCGACAGTACCAGTGCCCCGATGGCAGTTAGAGAGAGAGAGGGGCATGGCATTGGTTGGCATCATATGCATAGCATAGCATAATCTGTGAATTGCTGCTGCTTCATTACGTTGTCTGGCAAATGGCCACTAAAGCTTACCCCCTAGTTTTTGCGCGCTTCATTCCGAGGTTGTTGTGGAAGGGAGAGACGGAACCAGACATTTGAGAGCCTTCTTCCCTCAGTGTGCCATTGAGCAATGCCAGTTCTCTCAGCTGCTGCTGCTTGTAGAAGTCTTGGGATTCATCCTGCATTAAGCTTTGTACTATAAACATTGCAAAATTTATAATATAACTATCTATTTGATAAAAAAGTGACGTTGTCGACTTATTTATCCAATACTGTCTAGCAAAATTACTGCGTTCATCTTTGGATGCATTTGCATAAAAGGGGTTTGATCTTTAATAATAGTTTTGTTTGAACGAAAAGAGTAATCTATACTAACTTTATGCTAATATAAAGAGATTTCATGTTATAAATAAATACAGAGTAATATGCATTTTCAATAAAACATACACAGTGAATGACAGTGTACCAAAAAATAAGATAGCAAATAAAGGCGAAATATGAAAGAGGTAAATATTAGTTACCACTGGTTTGAGCAAGTCTTCTAGTATGTCACGTGCCTGTATTAAACGAGCATCAATAATCTCAACAGGCAGTTCTGCCTCGACAAGTATGTGAAGGGGTTCATTAAGGTGCTCATATCCTGGCTTTCCCCTCATCATCTCTTCCTTCAGGTCAAACAGTAAAACCCCAGTATTTTTAGCAAACATCGCAATAACCAGTACATGTTAATTTCAAAGTCAGGAGAGGGGGGAATGAAGAATCAAATCAGTATAGACTACAAAATAATTATTGGGCATAGTGCCCATGAAATGCAACTCAAATAACAAATTAGATATCTAAAAGCAGCAATTAACAATTTGGTTTATTTAGCTTAAAAAAAAAAAACAAGAGGTATAGAATGTGTATTGTGATGAATAATGCATTGATGATGTTCCAAAATTACTACTACTGATCGCACTGCACTAATGAATATATGTGTGATTAACTTCGAAGAGGTTGCAGCTCGTTTATAATGGATGCTACTATCTCATTATATTATATTAAAAACAATGATAACAGCGAAACCGAAGATTACCCTTGTTGGATCTTTGATGCTGCCGCGTCCTCTGATTAGAACACGACAATCAGTAGTTGCTTCAACTCGTTTTAAAGAGTGCCCTCTAGGACCAAGGAGACGGCCCACAAAATTATACTGCAATAATAAGACATTTTAACAAAGAATGTTGGATAAGTCATACTAAAAAAGACAGCAATTAAGATGGGAGAGTCCATACATTAGGATATTGATCAACAGGAATGTCGACTCGGATGGTTCTCTTGACAATAAGACCCGATGAATTGCTTTGGGAGCCAAGCCAACTTTGTGCAGAAGAGGGTTGCATCAAACCGGATATCTGCACATTATTGTCCCACATTTTGTGTAACATAAGAAAAGCATTAAGAGCAGTCAGAAATTCTCCCCGTTCTTTAATTTTATGTTTCTTCTTAATCATAACTTCAATAGTTACGAAAGTGAAGAAGATTAGGTAGTAGAAAACAAGAGGAAGGCATGCCAGCACACAAACACAGATAACTTCAAGAAAAGAAAGTCGATCTATCTAAAAAAACAGCATCTCATATAACTGTTGAATTGTTTTCAACACTAGGAAAGTGTCTTGTTCTACGAAATGAGCGCGCATTCACAATACTTTGTTAGCATGAGAATGGGTTAAGAACTTTGTCAGGAGTCAACCAGAGACTCTATCAGCAAACAAAACCACTCATTTCTCATCAACATCAAGAAAAAGGGGAACATCCTTCTCAAATGACTAGCGTCCCCCGGAACAGAAGCGGCCTCCATGCCAATCTAAGTCAAATTTGAAAGGCGGTAGACATAGGTTGCATACCTGAGCTCAATACTTGCAACTTAAAGGTAAATCTAACTAAAAGTGAAATTCAGTGTTTGGCATGCCCGGGTATGCTCTAAAAAAAACCACTAAGTTGTTAGCTAAAGACAACGTGTTAAAAATAGTCAAATTTAAAGTTGAATGCATCGAAAAATGAAGTTAGGCTGAAGAGTGGTTTTTTTTTAAAGTAAAAAAGAGATTGTAAAACAGTACATAATTAGATCAAACAAAATGTTATGTTAATAGTTAGTATCCATACTTCTGATTGAAATGGTGATGCCCATCTGTTCACGTTAGCTCCGCCGTTTGAAAATATTCCTCCTGAAGCCAGGGGGCTTGCATGTTCAAGCCCACTTTGTTCTAAAACTGAAGCATTCCCCAACAGTGTAGTTACACGCAATATTTCTGTTTCAAAAAGGTCAATTTCCAAGAATAAGATGTACCGGTTAGCATTGGTTAAGAAATTAGCGAGCAGTCACCACAATATGGACTGTTAATTGGTTAGCAAATTTTGGGAAAATGAAATATGGAATTCTTGTGAAGTTGAAATTGTTAACAGATAAAACTACCAAAGTACTCTAAAATATCTAAATCATCGCGATCAGCCAGTGTGAAACCTTAAAACACAGCGATGCTTCTTGCAAATATCTACTCAACACCGGCTAATCATTATATATTCACTGAGAGGATTGATAGCACTTTAGATGGATATAGTCAGGAAAAGTTTTACATTTCAAACTTATATTTTGAAATCATCAATCTTGTATATGTTGTCAACTTGTCATCATTCCTAACCTAGTAAACGTAGGCTTCATGATATAAAACACTCAATCTAGAAAATCAGCCAATACAAGAGCCAAGAACATCTATTGACACAAGAAGAACAAGGTTAGTTAATGGCCCCATGAAGCAAAACAAGCAAGCATGATCACATTGCAGAAGTCCGTACAATGCTTCCAAACAGAATGTAAATATTGTTCCACAAAGGCAATTGTCATCCCTAATCATTTTTTGTCTTCTCCATCTAACCCTCCCTTCTCTCGGTCAATTAGCAGTCGTCACTTTAGAACACACAAAATATTTGGTATGGCATCTCAATAATGCATATGGCAGAAATCAAACTTTGAATTTTCACATAAGAACAAAGTCAAATCACAAACTCACCCTGGTTCAGCAGCCGATAGCTATTCGGAAGGACGGCCATAAACGGACTAATTTTGTTACGTTCCGCCAGCAGTTCTGCAAGAATCCTGTTAGAGTCGAAGTAAAACAGCATGCTCAGCATTAGTTGTTATGTTATAACATCAATATACAAATGAATCCAGTTATGATCGTGCAATCGATAGAATGCAAGAAAAGTAAAAAAATCTTGCTCACTTTTCCTTCACAGCATAACAAATAAATCTGCATAAAAAGGGTAACCATATCGCAAAGAACAAGCTTTAGAAGATTAGTTCATCATCCAACAGCTTTTGCATGAACCTCGACGAACAAACAAAGAAATTTGAAAGAGAACCTTTAATTTACCATTCATCCCCAATAGCAAATTTGTTACAAGAACCTCAGAAATCTCTGAATAACAAGGAGAGACATAATTCAAACAAAAACCAACCAACCAAACAAATATTACACAGATCCAGTTTGAAATATGTATGTATATATATATACACAATTGTATTTCCACTGCATACAATACAATCGAACTTCTAGTTCATGTCACAACAAGATTCTGTATAAATCACTGAATAAATAGCGAGTAAATATCCAGTCATCCACGACTTGAAGCAGAATTTCACTGAATAAATCACTCGCCAGAAGCAACTGGAGTCCACAAGATCTACAGACTACAATCAATATTAAAGTACATCTCTGCGTGCAAATAAAATAAGGGATGATGAAAAGATAAAAATCACAAAAAAAAAAAAAAAAAAAATTACTTTTCCTGCTCAACCAGAGCAGAGGCGGCGGCGCGGATGCCTCCTCCAGATGCGGCGGCGATGTGAGGCGAGTGAGGAGCGGACGGCGACGGCGAGTAGGCCATGTACCTCCCGGACGACATCGTTCCCAACAGCGCGATGGATGGTTACGACCGCCGTGAGTCAGATCCAGGCAGCAGCACCGATTAAATTAACCAAACAAAACAGCTCGACTGGAACTGGAAATCCAAGCAACAACAGCTGGCGTATTTATTCGTGGCAATAAGGTACAGCGATGGCCCGTCGGTGGAGCAGGCAGGGGAGGGGAGGGCAGAGCACAAAAAGCAAAAGGGGGGGCGGTAAAAAGGGAAGGGGAGGAGAATGCGAAAGGTAGGGCGTGTATTTATTGAGGGGGTGGGGTGGGGTGAGGGGTTGGTCCAACCCAATAGGCGACAGCCACGACCACTTACTACTGCTACCTCTGGTTGATGCTTGAGAATGACTGCTATTTATAACTCTTGTCTTCTCTACAGTGCCCAGTTGGTGACGATTCTTTATCCCCACCCTGTCTCTGTAATTTTTACATTTACCCAAATTCACCAGGTTCTTTTACCAGATCGAAAAGGGGATATGCTTTTCCACTGTACACAAGCAGGAGCAGCGTTGTGGTGGGCTGCAACAGGTGCCTAAAGTGGTCGCCAATCATCATTGATTTTGCCCTCAATCATGGGGGGAAGCTTTTCTCCCCTGCAAGTGCCGCAACACCAACCCTAATATCAAAACGGCGACGTTTTGTTGATCTGAATCGATTTGGCGTATGCGAGGCGGGAGGGTAGTTGGGATGTTGCTTTTGCTAGATTTTGCCAGTGGGAAACCAATCTCAGCCGTAGCCCGGCATTGGCGGGCCATAGCAGCTTCTTTTTCTCCATGTACTTGGGAGAATGGATTAATTTTAATCGATGACGAAAAAGATCACGTTTTTATTCTGGATTGCTTTCCTTGCTGCTTTTTATCAGTCAGTCAATCAGTCAAAACGGAATCTCCGGTTGGGGATTTTGCCATTTTCAGAAAAAATCAACATGAACAATTTCTTGATCAAAGTCAGAAACCTTTGTACCAGATACATCGAAGAAACAGAGCAAGCAACACAAGACGTGTTGCAGCAGTTACAGTTCAAAATTGGCATATTAAATATGGCAACTAAACTTCCAAGCAAGAGTAAGATCAACTACACTGATGATTTTTTAGTGTGTGGAATCGAACAGACAGAACAGAGCAATCGGACCACTCGAGCTTCATTCCTTGCGATGGAGACTCCATTAATCTGAAATCCTCAAATCGAAGCACATCAGATGACAACTCCAAAATCTTTCAGGATTTAGTTAATTCACCAAAAAAAAAATATCCTTTACCATCGTCTCCAATAACTGCCCAAAATTTGCAGCACCCTGTTTCGGAATTGAGATTTGATCAAGAGCAGAGGATGAATCTGCTGGAAGGTAGCAGAAGACCTGCAAAACAGACAAGGAAGACGATGAGTCGATACTGAGATAACCAATTCAGCGGTTTCCACCTGATCTCCACGCTGGAGCTCTTCATCTTCCTCCCATTCTGCGGCTCTTTCCCCAAATCAAAGCTCGCGCCTTTCATCCTCAGCTCCTGTATGCACCTCGCCAGGGCCCGGCCCGCGGCCCGCTCCCTCTGCAACTGCTGCTCCACTTTCCAGTACCTGCAAAGCTTCACTTGCACAAGCGATACAATGGCGAGAGAAGTGCATCCGGACAGGACTGCCGGGATCCACCAGTTTTTACGACAGTCGTCGTCGTCCCCTGCCGGAGAAGACGTGAACAGAACCGTCAGGAAGAGGCCGTGGAAGACGAAGAAGAAGCAGCACAGCTGGAAGATCTCCCTCCCGACGGCGTCCTTCCTCGACTCCTTCCTCGCCGTACGCCGGCCGGCGAGGTCCTCCTCGCGCTGCCAGAGCTTGAGGAGCAGGAAATGGCCGGGGCTTTGGGAGATCTCCGCCAGCGGGTGGTGCTGGATCGCCGGAATCAGGCTTTGGTGGTGGTGCTGCTCGTCGTCGGCTGGGATTTCGACGACGATGTGAGCGCCTTTGGATTCCGCCATTGATGGATAAACTAAGGTTCCAATAAAATTTCAGAAAATTGCAGAATCAGCGAATTATAGAACGTCGTAGGAATGAAGTGAAGTGATCTTTGTTGGATTGATGAGATGAGAAATTCGTATATTTAAAAGGACGAGGAAACGCCTGCGCATGGCCAACGGTCATATTTCGGCCACGCTGGCACCTGAGAGAATCATCACCACACCGCAACGGTCAGATATTTTGATTAGTGTGTATTTTTTCATTTTCGAGTAATTTTTATTCAGGAGAATATTCAATGATTTTAGTTTTTTTAATTAATGGGATTTTGATCTTCCTGCTAATAGTATTTGCTAATTTTGTAGTTGTTAACGGTTACCATTAATGTCGTCTCTTTATTGGTGTTATTAATTTTTTATGGAAAAAAAAATAGTAAATTTTTATTATATTAAAAATAAATAAATAATGATTTTGTTGATCCAATACTATTTTTGAACTTTAATTCTTTAAAAATAATAATAATAATATAAAATATTTTTTTACAAAAGTCAAAAACTAAAAAGATTATGTATAGAAATTCAAAAATAAATGTGTAAATAACTAAAATTAAAAAAAAATCAATAAATTAGAATATAATCTAAAATATAAATATATATATATATATAATCTAAAAACTTAGTGTGTTTGTTTGGGGGATTGGATTGGATTTGCACTATTCATCCAAATTTTTCCCTCCAAAAAACATCAAATCAAACACCTATTTTTCATTTTTTATATTATACTAAAAATCAATTTTACATTCAAAATATCACATCAACACCTATTTATATCACATCATACAACTATTGAAATTCAAAATTTTTACTATTCAAATCCCAACTCAAAATTCAAACCCCCAAACAAACACACCCCTAGGTATGTCTCTAGTAATTACTTCGGGTGTATTTGTTTGGGGGTTTGAATTTTGAATTGGGATTTAAGTATTACAAATTTTGAATTTGAATAGTTGTATAATGTGATATAAATAGGTGTTGATGTGATGTTTTGAATATAAAATTGATTTTTAATATAATATAAAAAATAAAAATTATGTGTTTGATTTGATGTTAGTGATGAGTAGAAGTTAACATTGGATTGTATAATTTGTAGTAGTTAACTATTTAACTTTGAGTGCATGTCACTTATTCAACTAAAAGTATAATTACATATTTTTCTATTCGAATTAATATTTAATTATTGAATTAAATCAAATGTTAGATCTAAATACTTGTCTAATTCAATAATCATAAACTATAAATTTAAAATTATTCACTTCGTTTTAAATTCAAAGTACCATTTTTACTATTTTCGTATGTTCCGCTCACAAGTTCTTTCACATTTCAATAAAATTAATTATACATTAATATCAAAATATTTTTTAATTTTTATCAAAATTACAAAAAAATACTAATATTAGATATACGATTAATTTATATATAAAATAAAAGAATAATATGTCAAAATTTCTTTCATATTTTCACTACTAATAATATAATATTATTTTTAAAATTTACTAAAAAAAAATATTATAAATGATCTATTTGAAATGAGACAATGGAGTATACAAATATCAATAATTAATAAAAATTTAATGAACTTCCAAAATATTACACAATGTAAATTTAGCCATAATCAACCACTGAATCAGAGAAAAAAAAAAAACTACTAAATAAATTCAATTAGCATACAACACACAAATTATAGCAAATGATACTATATTGGGTTCGTTTGTTAGTGGTTTGATTTGAATTTTTTTCATATGAGATATAAAAAATAGTATCGATAATATAAATAATATTTTATATTGAATTATTGAGTAAATAATATATATACTGTGAGAATCATGTCGAAAAAAAAAAAATAGTCAAACAAATATAGTGTTCAATACATATTTTGATAATACATAATTTGTTTTGTTATAGTTTGAAATTAATTTGAATTTAGATGTTAATTTAAATTTTTGTTTAAATAGTATTTTAGTATGATATTTTTAAAAATAAAATAATATATTTTTATTTAAAGAGTGAATAATATTGATTTTAGTTTAAAATTGTAAAAAATAAACTCGCAATATATTATTGATTTTTTGCTCAATAAACATATATATATATATATATACAACACAATAATATTAAACAATAAAAATATATTTTTATATAGTACAATACTGTGATATATTATAAAAAGAATGAATGAAATAGTGTTGATTTCATGCCGTGAGCATATAAGCGGGCGCCTTTTGTTTAGCTTTTGATTTAAAATGCAATGTTGATTTAATTTTTTATTATTTGAATTTTTATTTAAATAATATTTTAATATGTTATTTTATAAAATAAAATAATATTTTTTTTTATCTCATAATAAAATATTTATTTTTTCATTTTAGTGTGTATCAATTTTTTTTAGTAACTGTATTGTCTATCTAATTTTACAAATACTCTTACAAATTACAATATATTACACAAATGTCAGTACATTTATATCACACATACTAATAAGATTATTTTAGTCATTTCTACTACATCCCAATATAATATCAATATTTTTAAAATACGTATAAAAAATAAATGGATATGTAATTATGAGACAGATAGAGTATAATTTTTATTAAAAATCATATCGAATAATGATACTCCCTCCGTCCCATAACAAAATATCCATTTTTTTTAAGTAACTTTACTATCTACTTAACATTACAAATACCCTTACAACTTATAATATATTATACAAATGTCATTACTTTTATATCATATATACTAACAAAGTTATTTTAGTCATTTTCACTTTATTCCTACTATATCCTAATATAATACTAATATTTTAAAAATTACGTTGCAAAAAGCAAATGAATATTTTTTTTTTTTGGGACAGAGGAATATTTAGTTTAGGATTAAAATAGTAAAAGAACAAAATCATCATTTATCAAATTATAAATTTGGTACTACACGTCATATAGATATTACAACGCGTTTCTAACACAGTACGAACGCGCGCAGTCCACTCATCCACATATTTGCCCCCTCCGCAAGCAGCTAATTCTATTTCAGTATTATTGTAATTTTAGGGTGATTTAGATAGACGATTTTAAAATTTTAACCTTAAAACAATAATAAAAATTTTGAATATTGTGTAAAATGAAATATTTATTTATTTTTTTAAAAAAAGTTTATATTGTCAAAATTTTGTAATATATGCATAATAGATGACCCAATTTGTAGCGATTAAGTACCATGTCATAAAAATAGTGGTTCGTTCTCATTTAATTTGTCAACTATTTTTTTATTTCTTCATCCCAAATTGCGTCTTTTTAAAAAAAAAAATATAATCATACATTTTAATCACATTTTAAAATTCAAAATTTATACTTTATTATTTTAATTAAACTATTTAATTATCTTAATTCATAATTATTTTTACTAATATAATCCTTAATTATTTAATAATTTTATAATATTTAAAACTACTTGCCCTAGGGGACAAGTTAGCTAGAACTAAGGGAGTAATATTTATTCCAATATTAAAATTTGTGCTTATTTCTTTATATTTTACAAAAGAATTGATAATATACAAGTTTAATTACAAAATAGTACTCCATTAGTGTCTAACTCGGTACTAATTTTATTTTTTGCTTATTGATATTTGAATATTAATTATTATATCAAAACATACTACCAATTAAAAAAAAATTGCAAAATATTTCTATTAGTGTCTTTTAATATTAATAAAATAATATTTTAACAAAAAATTATAAAAATATTTTTAATATTAAATAGAATGAAGTGAAAGGTAAAAGTAATTATTATTACTTTTTTTTCATCTAAAATAGAACCTGGAAGCTTGAATTTTGGATTAAAAACATCCTCCTTTATTTAATTTATTTCAATCAAAAAAATTTGGGATTAAATAAATGTATCATTTTCATTCTCTATTTTTTTTCCCTCTACAATGTGCAGAGTTAAAAAAAAAATAAAATTGAGAATCCATATTTATTTGCTATATATATTTACTGTTTATTTTCATATATATTATTTTGATCTCATAAAAAATTATTTCTAAATTATTATTAAAAAATCACTAAATAAATATGCCAATATTTATTAATTCACTTTACTAATTTTTTTTACTCGATCATATCGTTTGCTCATAGATTTATTTATTATTTTACATTTTTTAAAGGAATATATTTATATATATATATATATATTTATTTATAATTTTCAATTAAAAATTGGACTCTATTAAATGGAAGAAGGAATTATCATTTTGTATTGAATTATTTTTTGTCATGCAATTCCTTTATCGTGGGACTGCGGGCATAGGGGTATATTATCTATATATATATATTTTTTATATTATATTATATTAAATATATAATATATTGTCTGTATTGATATTGTGGTATTTTATCACGTTATGCTGTCAATAGAGTGCGGTCAGTCACGAAACCAATGCTAAAAGTTTAGAGGATAAAAATGTCGATTTCTTTTTTTTTATCGATTCAATATATATATATATTTATAGCACACTCAGATAAAAAAAAAAAAAATCTAAATATTATAGAAAAAATTTCAACAAAATTGCATAAAATTGAATATTTTTTATTATAAAAAATAAAATTTAAAGGATAAAAATATAAATTAACAAACAGATAACTTTTTTTATGATTTTTTATATTACTATCCCCGTCGGGCTCTAAAGGTCCATCTATTTTTTGCGTGTTGATATTTGAATATTAATTATTATATCAAATATAGTGCAAATTAAGAAAAAATTACAAAAATATTCAATTAGAGTATTATAATAGAAGAATATTTTTACATATAATTATACAAATATAATGATATTTTTAAAATTAAATATAATAATACAAAAAATAAATACGATCTTCAGAGGCAAACGTAAAAATATAAAATTAAAAAATAAAAATGATAAATTACTAAAATCATATATACTACTCCAGACACGGTATTTTATTTTAAAAAAATATAATTAAGAAATAATTAAGAATATATTACTAAAAATAATGATTCTATAATATAAATAATTAAAAATTAAGATTAAAATAACTAATTAATTTAATTAAAATTTAAAAATAATAAATTAAAAAATTTAAAAGAAATTAAAGTGGCACAAAGGAGTATTATTTTATTATTTTTTACAATACATATAGCTTGGAGCCGAAGCTCAGCTTACCCCTAACCCATGTAGAGCCGCCGTGTGGCTTAAAATTCAACACATTCCTTTAATATATTATAAAATATAAACGGCCTTTTTATATTTTATTAAACAATAAAAGATGTGTTTTTTTCCCTCTACTTAATTTTCTTGTCCGAAAAGAAATGCAAAATAAATATCCGGGGTCAAGTTACATCGTTCAATCTGCCAGTTGAAATCGGCAGCACTCGCAGGAGGGGTTTTCGCGCAATCCGATTATCTAGTCAATGCATCTGTATAACGCCTGGCTGCCGCCGCCGGTGGCGGAGGAGACGAAGCGAGAGAAGGAGGCCTTTGCCGGAGTCGTAAAGTCCGTCGTAGAATCCTACAACCGTGATGACCCCGAATCGGTTTATACAACTCTTAAATGGGTGTCTATTATTGATCTGTTAAGTCGATTTTCAATTTGTTTTATATACTGCTTTATTTTCTGCCAGCAAATTTTTATCAATGTTTGTTGGTTTTGTCAATTTTCTGCTTTGTTATTTTTCTCTTGAATCGGTTTACGTCGGTATCGTCTACTGCAAGTGATAGACTGTGGTTATTTTTATTAATGTTTGTTGGATTTGTTAATCTTTGTTATAGGAAGATGGATTTATTGTAATTGAATGAACATTTCTCTGCTTCAAGTTTGATTTGATTGTAATACAAGGGAATAACAGATTACAATATATCCAGCTAAATAATTTCAATATAAATATTCAAGTATTCAAGATTAACATTCACTAAATTACTTCCATGCTGGCAGACATAGTTTAATCAAAGATAAGCTACAACTTCATGTAAATCAAACAATTACACTAAATCATATTCATTTTTGCATGCTTCCGATTACTTTAACGGTTTGTGTTTTCTTATTGTGGAAATCTTCAAGTCAAACAATTATATTAAATGATGGGAATCAAATTACAATCAATCTCCGCTCTCTTTTTACTGTTTGATTATGAATCTTGGTGACTTTTTTTTGGTTGGGGGACTGCATGTAAGACTGTACCTGCCCCCTGCATGTAGTGCAGATGATTATTTGTTGCATAATGGTCTGATCTCATTATCATTGGTTCAACAGATATGTGAAGGCTAAAAGTGAGTTAGCGGTTGAGGATGTCTCAACTATTGTAAATGTTGGATTAGAATTGCTTCTTGGATCAGAGAACAAGCTTCATGTTCAGGTGATTAGTCAGTTTCTGCTCTTCCTGAATCAGTCACCTATATGTTATTTACTCTGAGTTTTTGCATAATTTGTTTAAATCAGGTTAGATGGGGAAACATTTTGGCGAAGTTACTGAACAAATACAAGAAAAAGTTGTCCCTCAAAGTTCAATGGAGGCCGCTATACGATATTTTGATTCGTACACACTTTAAAAGGTACACTTTAAGATTCTCATTTGTTTATTTGTTCCTCGCATATCTTCATGTTGGGTGTTCCAACTTAATATACACATATGGGTACATGATAGTCTGCACATCCTGTATGTATAAAACTTGGTGCTTATGTTAACATGGACTTCGGTGTTGTTGTGGCAATTAACATATCTTCTTGTTTAGAATAATTTGTTGTACACTTACGAGAAAAAGTGAATTACGCAAATCAATGTTCAAGTTGTTGGGTACAAGAAAACCCTTTTTCAAGTTTCAGGAAGGCAGGATAAGCATGCGACAAATTTATTTTGTTACTACAACTGAGAAAACCCTAAAATGCGTACCAAATAAATGCTGCAATCTAGTAGTCCTTCGGCTTTGCTGCGTTGGTGAATGTATTTATTTGTGTAAGGTTTCTGATCCAGGAATACTGGCCCTGAAGGGTGGAGATTGAGACAAGGGCACTTTGATACAATAACTTCACTTGTTAGATCTTGCCGAAGATTCTTCCCTTCTGGTTCTGCATCTGAGATTTGGTCTGAATTCAGGTATTTCTCATTGAGCTAAAGGAGGTATCTGTGTGCATGCTTGTTTTTCAACAATAAGCTGCATTTTCCTTAATTCTGGATGATGGGAGAAGAAGTACAATGTTGATTGAATTTAATGGCATTTGGAATTTTGGGACAGCAATACCTTAGTCTTGAGCGTAGCTTGACTAGATTGTTGTGCAATCTCACATAACAAAATAAACCTAAATATGTAAACATCTCACTTTCTACTCTTAACCTCAGTTCCAGTTAATTATTAATTCACTGGGAAAGTAGCATACAAATGAAGGGACACTTATGTCTAGAATTTTATGACATGAGAGCACTGGAAAGTAGCATACAAATGAAGGGACACTTATGTCTAGAATTTTATGACATGAGAGCACTTGTACTTGTAGAGCCTTAAATCATGACATGAGCTGTCGCAACTGTGCTAGAATTCTTTAGGTAAATTTATTTATCGATTATAATGTTACATTTGCATCTTATTACTCATGCTCTTTATAGAAACAATTACAGTGCAGCAAGGTGGCTTGGTAGTTGACAATGTCCATGCTTTGATGAAGGATCTATCATTTGACTTTCTTGTTTTCTTTTTTATTCTGTTTCATCAATTACACTTACTTGATCGAAGCTCCCATGAACTTGTTTGTGACTGGACAACCTTTAGAGCTTTGTTGTAAGGTGTTCTCTTTGATATTTGTTACCTCTATTTAAATAGGATGTTTCTAATGCGTGCAGATTCTCTCTTTTGTTACATTATTTCACTGCATGATACTTGTATTCTCTTATTTACCAGTTATCTCTGTCAGCAGTTTGCTATCTCGCCTGATTTGCTCAGGAGAATGGCTCCATTCCAGATTTTTCTGGTCTATTATATTACATTAATGCGATATTAGTTGGCATCCTTTACACTAGTTTAACACATCGTTATTGGATGGAATTAATTCTCAGATCTCTATTGGAAAATCCATGGCACAATGCTTCTTTTGAAGGTGCTGGATTTTTGCAACTTTTTCTCCCTACAAACTTTGAAAATAAGGAATTTTATGACAAGTAAGGAATCCAATGTGTTCTGTTACTCAGCTATCAGATGATATATGCATGTTTTACAACGATTTCTTTCCTATCATTTCAGAGAATGGATTAAGACTTGTTTAGATCATTGGAATTCAATTCCCAGTTGTCAGTTTTGGAATAGTCAATGGGCCTCTGTCACTGCTCGTGTCATAAAGAACTATAATTTCATTGACTGGGAGAATTTCCTGCCAGACTTATTCAATATATACTTGAATATGTTTGAGGTTAGTTTTTTTATAACTGGTGTATCAATTGAATTTTATTTGTGTGATCCAACTTCAGCATTCACTACTATGTTTGACTGGATATTCACAGCCATTAATTTTCTCCAGTTACTGCTTTTGTTTAACCCTATTCAGGATTTTGTGCATTTTAACTATTGAATGAGGTTGGTATGGCTATGCTTCTGATTAAATGTTTTAGAAGTACATGTTTCCCTTTGCACTTGTCTTGATTAGATTTCAGCTAGAAACCTTCCTAGTGATAATTCAATCTTTTGTGTTCCAATTTCTGCTCTAAGTTTTCTTAAATGACACAGTCTGACATTTACAGATCTATTCTGTTACTCTGCTCCCTCTTTGATATCAATTGTCTATTTTGTGTGATAGGCAAACACAGTGTGTTTTAAATTTTTTTTCAGGTACTATTATTGTAGAAAAAATAATCATGGTTTATATAGACCCATGAACTTGTGCCCCAATTAGATCCCACTCTGAAATTAAAGTTGAGAGGAATCATGTTTAGCTAAGAATTCGAAGACATGGCTTTTTTTAATTTTATATTCCAGTCATTTCAGTTATGAATTGAGTGAATTCATGCATGTCTTAGGTACCTGTGGCTAATGGCGGTGCATCAAATCCTTTTGGCATAGATGTCCCAAGAAACACAAGATTTTTGTTTGCAAATCGGAGTGTAACCCCATCAAAAGCCATTGCTATATCAATAGTAAGATCGCTTTAGTGCCTTGAACTTGATCCACCAAAATTTCATGGACTATACTGAGATCTTGATTGCATATTTGCATTTATGCCATAACACTGCAGGTGTACCTATTGAAACCTGGTGGCTCAGCACAGAAGCACTTAAAGAATTTGGCCGATCTCTTAGAGCAGTCTGTTATCATGATTATTTACTGCAATATTATTATTTCTGCTTTTAGGTTTCGAATATATAATTTATTGCTTTTTGCTATGTTAGATATTATCATCCTTCAAATGGTGGACGCTGGACCTACACATTGGAGCGTTTCTTGTTCCACATGGTGAATTTATTCCAGAAACGCTTGCACCATGAGCAACTGTAAGAGATTCCCACACAGATGATATAAATCCATAACATATTTGGAATAATTTCTAAAGAACCCACTGTTTCAGGAACAACGGAGTCAGCCATCAGTCGACATTATCGTTGGCTCAGTCTGACAGGGTTGCTTTTGTGAATACCATGTTGAGATTGATTGATCGGGGACAATATAGCAAAAATGACCAGCTTTCAGAAACAGTAGCTGCTGCAACATCTATTTTGTCATATGTGGAGCCTTCGCTGGTTCTGCCTTTTTTGGCCAATAGGTTTCACATGGCTTTGGAGACTGTATGTTTATTGCCAGAATAAAGTTACTTTCAGTTTTTTGTTTTCTACTTTCATCTGCTCCGAAAGTGGTTATTAACTTTCTTTTTTAGTTTATTATTTATTTCTTCATCATGCTATTGACTTGTCTTACCTCATCTGCTCTACAGTTATTGTATAAAATTTTAGACATTTCTCTCAGATGATTTACTTGATGAAATGATCAGATGACAGCAACCCATCAGCTGAAAAGTGCGGTGACATCAGTAGCATTCGCAGGAAGATCTCTCTTATTTACCTCTTTGTCAGACTTACATATGAATTCATCAAGTTTCAGCGGAGCTCATTCATATGGCGATCTTCTAATGATTTCTTTGTCCAATTCACTATTTGGTATGGATGCCAATGATCCACCCAAGACCTTGGCGACCTTGCAGTTGATTGGTTCTATATTCTCCAGTGTGAGGCTCTTTACATAGCAAATATGCTTAATTAGGCATTAGAGTGTTAAAAATTTTTCTTTTTATTTGCAGATGTCTACATTGGATGACAATATAAATGTAAACCAGGGTTCTGCAATTCCATCGTTTTGCGCCTCAGAGTGGCTGGATGAGTTCTTGTGTCGACTGTTTTCTTTACTTCAACACCTGGAATCTAGTAATATTTTGTAAGAAACTATGATTGATTTTCCTGCTTCGTCCTGCTTTTATGCCTGCACCTTCAGATGTTTGTATAAGAAATGCTGGACAGCATCTTTTAGTTCATGAAATTTCGAATCAGTAAGGAGCTGTGCTGCAGGAATGAGGGCACTTACTCTTCGTCAAGCTCGGGAACTTTCTTGGTGGAGGATGATGGCCTTTACTACTTCAGTATGCTGGAAATATTACTTGGGAGACTATCAGACACTCTGTACAATCAGGTGAGAGTTTCATGAATGAAAGTAATAATTGATTTCATCATGCATTAATTTGCATTAGATTGATGTTGTGATATTGTATATAATCTTAACAGGCTCTAAAAAAGATCTCCAAATTTGTTTCAACAAATATTCTTCCTGGAGCAGTTGTGGAGGTCGGGCTGCTTTGTGGTGCTTTTGTGCACTCTAATCCACAGGAGGCAGTTGTTCTTCTTATCAAACCAATGTTAGAGTTAGTCATTTCATCATTGAAAGAAACTCCCACTACTGGTTTTGGAAACAGAGCCACTTCAATTGCCTCATTCCCAAGAAAGGTTTCCCACTTGTAATATCCTTGATGGTTTTAGTTCTTCTAGGATGTTGCATCAATTAATTCTTGTTTGTTTTTATAGGAAAAGTCTACAATGTCACCAGCACTTGAAACAGCTCTTGACTATCAGTTGACAGTACTCTCATTTGCAATAAGATATGGTGGTGCATCACTTTTGCATTACAGGGAGCAATTCAAAGAAGTTATCGCATCTGCCTTTGATTCTACATCTTGGAAGGTTTTCTTTCTGCTTATGTTTATCTTACTGTTAAAGTACTGGCGCATTTATGTTCCTGTAGTATGGTAAGAGACCTAAAAGGGTCTGATAACTGCTATTAGTAAAATTGTACAACTTCAGGTTTTCCTAAAGTTAAAATGATTTTGCACCTTAAATTTCCTAATGTGATATATATTTTCCTTTCCAAAAAAAATAAAATATAAAAATATCTGCATACACCTAATGCAAAAGGAAGTGGGCAAAATTTTTATCACTGTCGTTATGGCTAGTGTATGCACCATCCTGTGTAAAAAATGACTGCTTAATGGTGCATTGTTTGTCTAACACTCCCGGGATTTTAATATTATTGGAGTTTCTTTATGAAGGGTGTGCACCAGTTGCTCCAATATCAATCCTTTTTAGTTCTTTTCTGTTTTTATGGTCAGAGATGACTCCTGTTAAGAGAATGAAAAGAACTTTTGTCTAGTTAGCAGGGTGAATATTTTGGGTATGTGGTGTTACAATGTTTCACTATGAGTACATTGTGGATTTGCAGTATTATATTGTTTAACTAGCATTTTCTGTAGCGTCTCTAGTGCACTCGGCGTTACTGCTAACTAGAATAGCCTGATCTAGTTTAGAAGGGTATGTTCAGCATCTATGCCTTTTGGATAATGAAGATCCCATCCTCAATTGGCATTTCAGCTGTCTATGGAATTTAAATATTTTTTTGTATCACTTTTTGTAGGTTAATGCGGCTGGCGATCATGTCCTACATTCTCTTTTGAGAAGCCTTATTCATTATTATCCCGTCGATCAATACAAGTAAACATACATATCTTACTAGTTTCTGTGACCCAATGAGTTCACATACATTATGCACTTGATGCAGTGATATTTCCATATGTTTATATCCACAAACACATTCATCTTTTGATCTGTGGCAATATATCATGTCTTATTAGGTGTGTTAAGCATCATCCTTTTGCTGCTTCTTTAGAGGAGTGGATTGATAGCAAAGATTTTCCACTTGATGAGTCAGTTTTGGCACCAAAATGGCATGTTCCTGTAAAAGATGAAATCGATTTTGCAAATGAGCTTCTAAAGTTGCACTTCGAATCTGCACTAGATGACCTGCAAACAATATGTCAATCCAAACTTCATTCTGATCCAGGTTCAATGAAGCTTATCTTTTTTGAATTGCAATTTTGTTTTCCTTGCAATTGAAGGATTAGTTTCTATCAGATGCATTTATAAAGTTTTAAGAATTTAATTAAAAATAAACAAACAAATTGACTTCATCACCTGGAGATCTTAAAATAATGGAAGGATGACAATGGTGTGAGGGTATCCCTTCCCTTCTCTTGTTCTATCTCAAGTTCCGTTGTAAAAATATTCAGTTGTAGATCTTTTACTTCTCTTTCATCTTTTGACTGACTGCTATGAATATAATGCCCAGGAGATGAGAAAGATCACTTAATAGTGACTCTTCTGCGTGTTGACTCTTCGTTACAAGGAGTTTCATCATGTTTACCTGATTTCAGGCCATCCTCTGAGAATGGGATGGTTGAAGAGTCTTTCAGTTCTCATTTTAAGATTTCTGGTGCAACTGGTACTTGTGTTGGCAGCTCAGAGTTAAGAAAAAAAGCTGCTGATGTAATCCATGAAACCTGCAAGTAAGCTTATTTACTCTACTACTGTTATGATGTGTTTAACTTTGTGCATGTAGCTGATTGAAACCACCATATCATGATATTGCAGATATTTGTTGAAGGAGAAGTATGATGATAGCATTCTTTTAGTACTTTTGATACGCATAATGGATGCATTGGGAAATTATGGTAATGATACCTTGGTGCTCCTTTTTGTCTCAGTGCTAGATTTTGTAAGACATTTTTTGGTACTCTTGCAGGAAGTTTGGAATATGAAGAATGGTCTAATAATAGGCAGGCTAGGAGGCTTGAATCTGCTGCTATTGTAGAGCCTCCTACTAATTTTATTTTGCCATCTAATTCTAAAGGAAAACGAAGGTTTCTTTCTCCTCCCTCCACTGTTTTTTTTTTTTTGAATGCTTTTGATACATTATTTTCCTTGAGGATGCTGAAGATCTTCTGTCATAGGCCACGCTGGGCACTTATTGGAAAAGCTTATATGCATAGTACCTGGAGATCATCACAGTCAGCTTTTCACTTGTTTCGCACAAGTGGAAATTTGTTTCCGTCAGATAGTGTAAAGCTTTTAGTGGAGGATCTTCGTATTCTCTCATTGCATAATTATGAAACTGTTCGAAGGTGAGTTCCAGCAATTCTCTTTATAACTTGTCTTTCCATGGTGTGGCCAAACAATTTGGTTCCTTTCGCAGTAAAGCTGTCAATGTGTGGAAATAGAATCTATTATTTTCAAATTTACTACCAATGTATTCAATAAGTCTGCATTCTATCTTTTCCTCATTTGACTAACAAATATTTTTTCTAAACAAAAGACCTTGGGTTAAAATATCATCTTATCTTTTTGCATTGAGTTTGTTTATTATATATATATATATTTATTATGTGGATAGATCCATGGCTCAACAATTTTGACTATAGCAAACTGTCATTGTATATTTACTTTTGCAATATGCATGTGGTATTCTACACCAAACACTGAGTTATGCTTTCTTCTTGTAATATTGATCATATTCATTGCAAATTGTCTGTCATGTTCTCAGATCTGCGTCAAAATGTATGCTAAAGATGATGAGAAGATGGCCATCGACAATTTCAGAATGTGTTCAAACACTTGGCAACAATTTGAGAAACCCAGGCTTGCCAGAAAATGAAGTCTTAGGTTCTTGTGCAGTACTTTCATCCCAAACTGTCCTCAAGCGTTTAACAACGGTATCACTCTTCCTGAGCTGCTTATGTTAGATTTTGTACAGTGTGTCCTGCAGTTCCTGGGTGATATCCTTCTCGTTTTTCCTTATATACAGGACAAGAAAGCTCTTTCTTCATTCCTTCTAGGAATTTTGTTTAGGTAGCATTTCTTTAAACATACATACTTGGCCTTTTATTTTCCATAATTCTTAAGCAAGTTAATGATAAATGTGGTTAATCTCTTTTTCTTTTTTTTCTTTTTTTTTTTTTGTGTGTGGAAGCTCTCATAATGAATCACAGAAGGCTCAGAAAGCAATTACTGAGGTGAGCTCCTGATCCAATGATTTCATTCCCCCCTTCATGCTTGAGTCCTATCACTTTTGTTTGACAACCCCTGCTTGTTTTGTTGTGGACTCTATTGTCCACATATATTAATATATGGCATGATATCAGCTATTTGTCAAGTTCAATATTCATTTTGCGGGACTTTCAAGAAGTATTTTTGCGGGTCCTGGTAGTCAGGCAGATGGGGCTAACTTCACAGATCTGGTTGCTGAAATTAGATCTATGAGTTTTGAGAGTACCAACTTGCATTGGCGGTAATAAATTAATCTTTGTTTCTTGTAATAGATCATTGTTATTTTCGTTTTGATTCCATGGAACATTTCTATTTTTATTGATAGTCATAAAAGTAGTGGGTGATAAATGCATGCAGTATCATTCCTCACTCATTATATGCATCTGTAAATTATCAATCTTGTTTTGCACATGGAAAGACATTGTTTGCGCATTAAATTTCACGTCATCTCATTTTCAGGTATGATTTAATGGCAAATAGAGTTCTGCTATTGCTGGCGATGGCATCCAGAAATGATCCAAATGTACCTACAAAAGTTTTGAGTCAAATTGCTGGTCTGTTGTTTAAGCTTGATAAATACTGTCTTTCCTGTGCTCATTGAGCTTGGGATTATTGCTTTCAATGTTTGCATGTCTTTTTGTTTAATGTATCTTACCATATCAGCAAGTTAAGTGTTGATTATTTGATGATTTCAGGACACTTTTTGAAGAATTTGAAAAGTCAGCTTCCACAGACTAGAATTCTTGCAATCTCTGCTCTAAACTCCCTTTTGAAAGAGTCACCTTACAAAGTTTCCGCTGAAAACAGTGCACATAGTCTTGCATCCTTGCCCCGTGATACAAAGTCATCTCTTGAAGGAGATTTGTATCGAATTTTTCAGGAAAAAGGATTTTTTACTGAGACTTTGAATAGTCTTTCTCACGTTCATATCATCACTGATATGGATACTGCGTCTTCTAGAGGACATTATGGAAGTTCTTCATTGCAGAGCTTTGCAGACAAGTCAATTACTCAGTTTTATTTTGACTTCTCTGCGTCATGGCCTCGCACTCCAAGTTGGATTTCCTTGTTTGGAAATGATTCTTTTTACTCGAGCTTTGCAAGAATCTTTAAGAGGCTAACTCAAGAATGTGGTATGCCTGTTATACTAGCTTTGAGAAATGCCCTACAGGAGATTTTGGAATCTAAGGAGAGGTCAAAGCAATGTGTTGCTGCTGAGGCATTTTCTGGAGTGCTGCATTCTGATGTTCTAGGTGTTTCAGAAGCGTGGGACAGCTGGATGGAATTCCAGCTGAAGAACATTATTCACTCGCCATCTGTAGAATCTATCCCAGAGTGGGCTGCAAGTATTCGTTATGCAGTCACCGGGAAGGGAAAATCTGGAACTAGGTCCCCCCTTCTGAGGCACAAAGTATTAGGTTGCCTTATGAAACCTTTACCTGAAACTGTCACTACTTCAGTAGTTGCCAAACGTTATACTTTTCTTTCAGCTGTCCTCATAGAATTATCTCCTCCTAGAATGCCCGATTTTGAGATACAGGTTCACTATAATCTTCTGAAAGAGTTGCTCAGTAACATGAACCACTCATCTGCCCAAGTAAGCAAATGTTATCTCCATTGCAGTTCCTTGATCAATGTGGTTTCCATCTTTGTATCTGAGGAATTTATTGCTTCTGCTTTACAATCTTTTTTCTCAGTTTCTTTTGTAATAATTGATTTTCTAATGGAACTGTTGGAATTGGGTTTGAAAATATCCATTTGGCTGGGTGCCATAATTCAATTACAAGTTGGAAACTGGTGGTAACAAATCTCACTACCTTTTTGCTTTGAATACTTGTGGTTAAGGTCCTTGGGGATTTCGGTATTTCAAACCATTCCTTTAAGCAAGGGTATATGAATAGGAAACTTTTCAACTAGGGTGATAGTAGAGGTTGTTTTGGTCAATTCCTATGAAGATTTTTGTCATTCCTGTTTGGGATTAGGTTTTTATTTTATCTATTTTAGACTTTTAGCTCCCCAAAGTTTTGTGTACACATGGTTGTGTAATATTTTAGCTGTAGATCTGTCTTGGATTTTGAATAATTGTATGATTAGTCCTGAATGTGCTTGCTCGGCTGGCAGTACTTCTACTTTCCCATATTTCAATCTAAAGGATTTTATTTATTTCTATACTACTTTTGTGATTTCTACTCACTGGAAACTGTACACAAATCATTGTACAGTTTATTGTTGACAGCTTTTCTGGTCATGTTTCTGTTTGCTTCAAATTTAATGAGTCTAAATCTGCTGTAATTTTCTTGACAACTGCATGCTGAAACTCAATAATCTATAAAATCTTTGAGCTTCTAAATAATTAATATTGTTTTCTTATTCATTCACTTTTCAATGTTGTATCTATATTTTCAATTGTTCTAATTAGTCTATCATATTTAATTTAAAATATTTCCCTATAACAATACAGTATAAGGTGGTTCCATGAGGAAACTTGCTATGGGTTTTATCTAGTGCGCACAAGTTCTGTCTCATTCATCAGTTTATATATGTTTAAACAGGTGAGAGAAGCTATTGGTGTTACCCTATCTGTGCTATGCTCCAACCTTCGACTCTATGCTTCTCTTGTTGATGATCACTTATATAAAGTTGAAGCTAGCAGTGCAGATTTAGAAGCTCCAGGGTGCTGGGATCAATATCTTGTGAAAAGGGCTCCCGAACTGGTAAATAAGATACAAAATGTCACTGCATCGGAAAATATGGATATTGTCACAGACTATATCTCAGAAAATGGGATGTCAAGCGATCATTCTCAAGATGATGTCAAGTGGATGGAAACGGTATCATTTTTCACCCTTTATTATTATATTTATTAATTATTAAAAAATGGTTTAATTTCTCTTCTGAAGTCACTTCAGCTTCTTTAAGGTGATCTTATTCTTCTCCGGTTGCAGTTGTTCCATTTTATCATTTCATCTTTGAAATCTGGAAGGTCTTCAGTCTTGCTGGATGTTATTGTGGAACTTCTGAACCCTGTGATATCTTTGCAGGTAAATCAGTTTGATGAACTTCTATTTGTTTGCTACTTGTGTGCTTACCTTTTACCTGTGTTCATGATATAATTCGAGTATGATATTTCCCCTCTTTACATGCCAATGGACAGCAATCTTGTTTGTATAGCAGTTATCAAACGTTCTTTATAGTGACCTCGATTCAAAATATGATTATGGCTTCTTGTGGTAGAAATGTAAAACACATATGTAGTAATTAGGAGAATCATTGGATTTGCAGATACGTTTTGAATGAGCTGAGTGATAATTTATTGATAATTTCACGCACCATTCAAGTATCTGTTACATATGAAAACATTATATATAATATAAGGCAATTTGTCTGAAGAGAACATTGTCTACATTTTATGTTATTCTGAATCAAGCATGTGTGATTGTATGCTTTAATATACTTGTAAAATAATCTTAACAAGTGTGTGCAGTTTATAGCAGAACATTGTCTGAAAGAGAACACTATACATTTGAGGTTATGTTTCAAACTTGAATTATGACGTTGGATTTAAAAGGCATAGTACAATGGTGATGGGAAATCGTAAATTTCTTGTATGAATATGCCTTACGTATGCACATTCTCGCCTAATCTGGGGATTGCAAGAAAATAAATCAGCATTCTATGCTGAAGATGATGGATTGAATGGTTGTTTCCCTACTATTATGCTCAATGCAAGAATCATCATCTCAGGTATTAGGCTGAACTCATGAATCTATTCTTTATCTTAGGAAACTTCAAACAAAGAATTGTCAAATCTAGCTAAGGCTGCTTTTGAATTGCTAAAGTGGAGGGTGCTTCGAAAGCCTCATTTGGAAAAAGCTGTTCCTGTTATTCTCTCCTTAGCCAATGATCCCAATTGGAGAACCCGATCTGCAACCTTAACATTTTTGCGGAGTTTTATGTACAGGTAACCTTGGCCTCTTGTTGAATTTGGCAGTCATTTTTCTAGGATATCTTAATTTTTTAGGTTATCTTTTCATGTCATTTTTCTGAATGATTCTAAACTCTAGTTTAAATTCCTTTCTGAGAGAGAGTTATCTGATATTTCAAGTTGCCAAATTTCTAGCCAACAACTATAAAGAATATGCAGGGTGTAGTATAAAATAAGTGGAAAATGTAGTATATTATCCCCATCTGTATGCACCAGCCACCAGATAATGTAGTATATTATCCCTATATGTATACACCAGCCAATTTAACTTCTGGAAGCTATTTATTGTAGCAAATGTGTTCCAATATTATGTCACTCCTGGCTAAAATTGTCTTATGATGATTTACCATCTCTGTAGGCACACTTTCGTACTCTCTAGCATGCATAAGCAACAAATCTGGCAAGCAGTGGAGAAGCTTCTAACAGATAATCAACTAGAGGTGATTTTTATCAGATATATTTTCAACAAATATTCAAATGCATATGAATTCCACTCTTCAACATTATCACAGTTACATATTCAAGTCTATATATATATATATATATATATGTATATATATTTTTCACCAAGCAATGTTTAATCACAAGTTTCAATGTTGATTTTTTGCTGGAATTGATGATTCAATATTTTTTGGTCAGGTGAGGGAGCATGCCGCTGCTGTTTTAGCTGGTCTGATAAAGAGTGGGAATGAAAATTTTGTTGATGACTTCCGGAAGAGGGCTTATTCACAAGCAAATGCAGCAATTAAGAACAGAAGGAACAGGTTGTTTATTGCTTTATTAGGCCTTTTTCCCCTCCGCAATATGGAATACTCTCATGCACTTCTCACAATTTTCACCGCAAACATCTCGATGCACCTCTGACATAATTTTCACCACAAACATCCTCATGCATGTGTCATCAAATTCAAAGAATCTAAAAACAATCAGTGTTATGCTTCTATTCCTTATATTCTTTGTCTATTTCATGATTTATAGAAATTTTTTGAACATGCATTACTTACCTGGTTGGTATCATAAAAAATAATTCACACTTTATACCTGCCTTGTCTATTCTAACCTGCCTTCTTTGTTGTTATTTATGCCTACTCAAGTTACTGACGGTCTTGACACTATCAACCATATAGCAATGTCTATGGGATTTCATTAGTCGTGACTCGAGAATATTATACTAGAGAAAAGTTTAGCTTAATCCCATGCTGTTTTAGTATGATTTACATGTCATGTTACGCATTATAATCTTCTAATATTATTTCTAATATTATAGAAAGAAGGCCTCAGCAATGCCCGTTGCATCAGTACATGGTTCAATACTTGCTCTGGCAGCATGTGTTCTATCAGTTCCTTATGACATGCCCAGGTATGCTCAGCTTCTAGCATGTTAATTGCTTTTCCTCCATGAAAGGTTCATCTAGAATAATATTAGACGTAAATGTGCACATATGGGGGTGATTGGTAATGATATCATATCATCTGATAGTTTTTCCCATCCGCAATAATATGAGCTATTCATAGTAAATCTTGCATATAGGTTTCATTTCTGAAAATTTTGAAGAGTCCATTGTTGAAAACATTTGAAGACTGTATTAACTAGTGTTAAAATCTATAGCTTTTTGCTGTGCACTTCTTGTTGTATGTGTGGAGAGTACTAGTAAGAAATTCTAACTTTATGTTGTATATCTTGAGAATGTGCATGCACTCACACAGATTTAAAACTTATTTTATTCTTGAGAATGTGCATGCGCTCACACAGATTTAAAACTTATTTTATTGCATACTTTGGAGAAACATTTTATTCCTTGAAGTTTATAAAACATTACCGATTGGCTGGAATTGGAACTAAACCATTTACTCTTATTGATAAATTTATCACAACCGTAGCAAAACTCGAACTTATTTTTACCCTCTGCTATCAGGGGCATTGTTTGATTTGTCACAAGTTGATTGTTGCTTGCTCCTGTCCCTCGTAGAAATTTATCTCAAACTACATGCTAAAGTGGTGTCTTTCTAGCTGTATAATGTGTTGTTGGACAACTCTTGATATATACTAAGCTTCATTTTGTCCCAGTTGGCTGCCGGAACATGTTACACTACTGGCCCGGTTTGTGTCTGAGCCATCCCCCCTGAAATCAACCGTCACAAAAGCAATTGCAGAATTTCGTCGTACACATGCTGATACTTGGAATCTTCACAAGGAATTGTTCACCGAAGAGCAACTTGAGGTACAGTTCAAATGAGAGTTCTTCAGATAATTGTTTTAGTACAATCGGACTCGGTCGTGGAAACCTCATCAAACTTTTCTTCAATTCTTGCAGGTTCTGGCCGATACATCTTCATCGTCTTCATACTTCGCTTGATGCATACCGTAAACTTGTAATATACCTCTGTTTCTGCTCCACTGGCAAAGTAAGGATTACAGAAGATGATTGTAGTAAAACCATTTTTGGATAGCCATTTGTGCATTGCCTGTAATGTAACAATCTGATTTCTAGACAATATCAGTACTTGGATTTCATATCTTATCTGTTTTGTCTTCTCTAACCCGAGTCTTTATGCTCGCTCATTATCATCATATAGAAAGAATAGCTTGCTCCGGACAGCATCACTTTCTGATGATGAAGATATTATAATATTTGGTCTTTCAAGAAACCAGAGGTTGATTTATAGTTTTTATTGTTGACATCAAGTGTAGTGAGTGTGCAGTATTCTGGAAATCAGGTGTTTCAGAAAAGTCATAGTATTAAGAAGACAAAAGGGAGGGTTTGAATTGGTGCTTAGTTATGCATTGAGTCGGTCATTAGAAATGAATTGGAAGAGACAGGTTGGTACATTTATTTGTTTAGATTGATGCAAGTAAGTTTGTTTGTTTGTTTGATTGATTGTGTTATTTATGACAGGCTGCAGTTGAGGATACGTGTAGTTGCGTGGTGATGGTGATGCTGATACATCATACCTCCTTGTCCTTCCTTTCCTTACCTGCCTCGCTAGAGCAAGGACCACACGTACTTGGCGAATTTCAGGTAAGACCTATTATTATTATTATTATTCAAAATTTAAATATTTGATTCTATAAAATATTTTTTATTAAAAATTAGATAATAATCTAAACATTATTTTGCTTTACTTAACTAAATAAATATATATTTTTTCTTTTTATGGGTTTGAAAAAATATAATTTAAATTTGATATTAAAATAATATTTGATAAGATATTTTTACGACAAAAAAAAAAAAAAATATATGGACTACCTCAATTTTATTAATATACATATGAAACGCATATTTGGGTCCCAAAAAATTGATGGCTCTTAGACGGGCCCCGTAGCACTTGCCATTGCCGGGTGTGGTTTGCTTGCGATAGATGCATCATGCATGTGTGGTGTGTGTGTTTTTTTTTGTTTTTATTATTATTATTATTATTATTATTTAAAAAATATATAATAAGTTGGATGCAAAATTTTATATAAAAAAGAATGAAAATTACATGATTAAAAAAATAACGCTAGCTTTTAAGAAAATTCATTATATATATATATATTTTTTTTTTTTTAATGGGAAACATAACTTCTGTTTATATTACATAAAATAATTAATCAAATTTAATTTTTTATTATTCAAAAATTCAAATCCAATAATTAAAACCCACAAACAATCACAACTTAATGTTTTTTCAATAAAGTAAATAAGACGATAATATAAAAACTAATTAAAATACAACTATCTTTATACATGACAGTAAAATCAACACTTCAGCGATTTGTCTAGTTAATCATATTCTCCAAACTAGCATATTGTAGAGTTTCTTGATCGACATCGATAGCTTGTATTCAATGTTATGGTTTGTGGAAGAACACTTTGGCTTTAGGGTCTCTCTTAGCACGATTTAAGGATTCAACGGCTTATAATATTCGATTTTTCATTTGATTTAATTGAACCAAATTGTATATACTAAAATTAGAATTTGATCTAATTTGGATCATAGACACCTAGCACATGGGCAACACCTCAAGTATTGCAAGCCACATTCATGTCATCCTATCAATTCCGATGTTGGAGGAAGAATTTTTTTATTTTTTATGTTTTTAAATTGTGAGATAAATTTCTATTAGAATTTCTTCGGTTTGAAAATGATAAATGTGTTATATAGAAGACTGAAAAATGAGTCTATAAAAGCTCTTATGAGCCACGCCAGTTTCCATACATACCTTAGATGAAATTAATGTATACCAATTCAACTAAAGACGGATTAAAATGCCGAAATTTTTTAATGCATCAACATTTTTTATATGGTACCATTGGGCGCACAAAAGTTTAAGTAGTTTTCAATTATTTGATGTGTTGTATGAATATTTTTATGTAAAACTCACTCCACACCACAGGACAACATCCCATATTTTTTATTTTTATTTATTTATTTATTTTTATAACGGACAATGTCCTATTTATTTATTTATTTTTTGATAATGTGAGAATTAACAGTAGCTATTAATCTAATATGCTTTGGATAAATTTTCGGTAGAACTTAATACCCTTCAAACTAAATTCAACAAGACAAGTCACACTTAGCAATAATACGTAACATATGGACTTAGTTTGAATCCATAACTTAATGTCATCCCTTATCACAACGTCTATCTTTCAATATAAAGCCGGTGGGGACCAAAAATAGTGACTAAAAACAATTTATATAAAATAAAAATAATAATAAAATAAAATAAGATAGCTCTCAATTTCATAGATTTGCTTTTGATACATACATAAGATTCCGCTTGGACCGCAAGTTGGTATTAGAATCAACTTTCCACCAATTGGATATTTTTCTTTTAAAAAATAAAGGAAAACAAGTAAAGTTAGTATAAGACTCTATCAAATTGGATATTTTTCTTTAAAAAAGGAAATGTTCGTTTATATTTTTTTTTAAAAAAAAAAAAATCAAATTAAACATTAATTTTTTTTATATTTATATTAAAAATTAATTTTATATTCAAAATATCACATGTATATATTACAATCATATCACCACTAAAATTTTATATATATATATATTTTTTCTGATATTATACTTTATAATATTGAATATATATATTCAAATTTATTTTAAATAAAATATATGTTTCCGGTCCAAATATTTGCTTTGTTTACTTTTGGTCCAGATTCTTACTAGTAGTATAATATTGATATTTTTTTTCTTTTTTTTTTTGGGTTCTTGTTAGAATTTTTTTTATAAATTATATTTAGAAAATAAAAAACAGTAAAAAGAAGAACGAAAAAAGAAAAACTCAAATATTTTAGTACATTCAAAATTAAAAATAACAATAATTTACAAGTAAATAACATTTCGTTACTCAATAATAAAACTAACTCCTAACTACACTTCCCAACATGCAACCAAACATATATGTAATACAGACTAATTTGACCGAGAGTTTACGAGTCCGTATTTTCGGGTAGCAGGTAGATGAAAGCAATGCATCCTCATTAATTTTTTGATAAATTCTTGCAAATCAATATATTATATACACACATAATTTGAAATTAAATATAGATAAGCAAGCAAGCAAAGTAGTAATTACTTACTAGATGAACTTAGCTGCAAGGAGGCCTTTGATTGATCCAACAAATGCAAAGATCATCGCCAGCAGCCCCATCAAACTGCACATCCTCAGTACTATTGCCTCCACTCTCCATGCCCCTATCTTCTTCTGCACCAAATACATCTCCACCGGAAAATACAGCACCACCGGCCAGAACGTCACCGCTCCGCCCACTCCGATCACTTGGTTAAAGTATGGGAACATCACCGCAACTCCGGTGGTCAATCCGACATACGCCGTCCGGTAGCACAGCCTCAAGAGATTCAGCTTTCCTACCGGCATTTGCTTCATGTCGAAGCATTTCTCGACGCTCGCATAAAGTGGCTGCGTATACACCTGATGATTGAGATGGACAGATGATGATGTTCGAGAAAGAAACAAGATTTTTTGGTGTTAGTATTCGAAAATCAGCCGCCACCGGAGAATTCACCTGATATCCGCCGACAAGATGCAGGGCAATGCACGCGTTGGCGAAGTCGATGAGCCAATAGGGGTCGTAGAAACCGAATCCTGTCAAGAGGTTTCCGGGAGTCGAGTTCCCAAACGCTGCGTAGCCTAATCCTCCACATAACAAGTTGAAGCCGCCGATGGTGGTGGCTGCCGCCAGGGAGGCCTTCTTCATCGTCACTTTCTCAGGCGGATTTGACTTCATTGTGTCCTACACAACAACTTCAAGCTTAGTTGCATTCTTTTATCGCAAAAAGTAAAACAAAACAACAGGTTTCGACATCCCTCACCATTATCTCGAGGAAAATAAGAGAGTAGGGGGATGCAAAGGCGATGTCGCCGATTGCCTGAGCAATCGACCATGTTTTCTCGGCAGCACTGAACGCTGGAACTCCTCCAGTGCTTCCTTTGATTTCTCCATTCTCTGTTAAAGTTCAGAATCTTCTTCTAAGGTGAAAAATAACCTCAACAAGAAATGAACAGAGCATCTTCATCACATCTATACTGATTATTGATCACTAGAATTACTACTACCTATTGTTTTGGCCAAGCCAAGTGCAGATCCAATGGTTGCATATACCACTGACATAATCGCCGCAACAATGGAAAGCCACGAGGTTTTCCGAAACTCAGGAATTTGAGACATTATAACTTGCACAAATCCAAAAAGAAGCACATAATGAGTGGTTTCGAATTCGCAATCGGCTGTATGGCCTTTAGTATGGTAACAATTCGACATCTGTATTGCTCTGCCCTATTCCATAAGTTTTAATCTAGTGAGTAGCAGAAGAAGAAGGAGAAGACGAGAAGCAAAATCAACATTAGCTATGTATACCTCATGCTGAAGGAGGATGTGAGAGTGTAGACTATCCCTGTCTTGATGTAATTTATGTGAACAACAACACCGCATAGCCAAGCATTTTTCTTACCTGAATCAAAATGAAATGAACATCAATTTCCTAATTGCAGGAGCAGAAGAGAATTGATTAATTTACCTAGAATTGCTCGGACGGCGTCTACATAGGAGGCGTTTCTGCGGTAGGGCAGCAGCAGGGGATCGATTGGATTCGGCGACATGTAGCAGTTGCAGAGAAGCAAGGCGGATGTTAAGGTGAGCGCTGAGAAGACGAGCATGGTAATCGGACCGGCGATCCATCCTAGCTGCGACATGCTCCACGCTAGTGACAGCACTCCGGAGCCGATCGCTGCCGTCGTTATATGAGCCAGCGCCGTCCATACGCCTCCGGATCTTTCTTCTGAATAAAATAATTTCGTATTTTCGAACTGTTCTTAGATAATCTGATTCAATTATTTGGTTCGAGGAGCGAGAGTGAGAGTGAAATTTTGAAATGGAAAAGGGAAAGGGAAAGGGGAATTTAACTGACCTCTACGACCGACTTGTTTCTCAATCATCGGCGATGATTCTGAAGAAGACGACGAATTGGAGTTCAATAAGAAGGTTTTGCCATCGTCGCCGTCGCTGCCGCCTTCCATCGCCGGAGCTTAGTAGCGCCGATCAATTCAGTCAACGGGGGATGCATTAATGTGCCGAAGAAATAGGTCTATATATATATACATATTATTGGTACGGAAGGAGGAAATATTTATTAATTTTCTACTATGTATCCACAATAAATTTTTAAAAATTATTATATCAAATATTTCTTTTAATTAATAAAATATTATATTAATATTTTTTTCGTTTCAAATGTTTCAAAATTTTAAGATTCCAAAAATTAGTTATTTGATTGATTGTAATTTGAAATGAAATATTTAATTGAAATTTTTATTAAAATAGTAAGTAATTGATATTCCTTTTCTTTAAAAAATTTATTTTTACTTTTCTTTATTTTCATTTAAATTTTTTTTTTTAAGTGAAAAAATATCACCTTTTATTACTATTTATTTTTTTTTTATTTTTTTTATTGTTATCTATTTTTTTATTTTCGGTTGAATGAGCATACAATTGAATAACGAAAGAAGTAACATTTTTAAAAGTATTACTCATTCCGTCCCATAATATAGTATCAATTTTTTTATTTTAGTCCGTCCCATAATATAGTATCAATTTTTTCATTTTAGTCCGTCTCATAACGAAGTATCAATTTCTTTTTGTATTATCTATCTAACATTACAAATACCCTTACAACTTACAATATATTGCACAAATGTCATTACCTTTGTATCACACGTACTAATAAAATTATTTTAGTTATTTCTACTTTATTCATATTATATTCCAATATAATACTAATATTTTTAAAATTATGTAAACTATGAGACGGAAGGAGTATATAATATCAAATTTTTAAAATGTCAGTGTGAACAAAAACAATATTTAAAGCCTGGAAAACGACGTAGATATTATTAATGAGGATTCTCATAGTATGTTTGGTTGTCAAAGGAATCAAGTAGGTCTTGAATATGTGGTTACTTAAATTTTTGTTCAAAGTGATCAAAATGAAGTATATGATTTTTATTTCAATTATTATTAAAAATAAATTTTGATTTAAAAGCATCACCTTAAATATTTGTTTGTATAGCATTAAAATTCTATTGAACTAAATTTTCTAAAGGAAAAAGACTGTTTTTTTTTTTAAAAAAAATAAAATTAAATTAAAAGGTTTAAGTGATTTATATTATATTTTGTAAATAAAATAAATATTCAAATGGTATCAAAATCTCTGAAAATGTGTATATAAATAGCTAGAGCCAAACTACTGTCAAATAAAAAAAATACTCCTTCTGTCTCAAATATTGTGCAATATTTTTTTTTAATGTCTCAAACACTGTGCAATATTTTTAAAATATGAAATAATTAATTATACTTAATATCTATCCCACATTTTATTTCATCCCATCACCCAAATAATAAAAATAAAATATACATTTCTCTCTCCATCATATCATCTAATTTCTAAATTATCCACTTAATACTATCCACCTAAAAATCTACCCACCTAAAAATCTGTGCCTAAAACAAATATTGCACCTTGTTTGGAATTGAGGGGATACAAAATACAAAACAAAAGCTTAAATAAACAAACTCTACTTATATGCGTGTGTTTGGATAGTTATATACGAATATATTTATATAATACTAAAAATATCGAACGAGAATTATAGACGGGCATAAAAATTTTATTTAAATAATACTCTTTCCGTCCCAAATAAGGTGCAACATTTGCTTTTGGCACGAATTTTTAGGTGAGTAGTATTAAGCATGATAATTTAAAAATTAGGTGATGTGATAGAGAGATAAATATATATTTTATTATTTTATTTGGATGATGTGATGGGATAAAGTGTGGGGTAGAGATTATGTATAATTAATTATTTCATATTTTGAAAATATTGCATTATGTTTGAGATATACCAAAAAAAGAAATATTGCATGTGTTTGGGAGAGAGAGAGAGAGAGAGAGAGTATATTATATAGATTTATAATAGCAATAATAATTAATTATTATCATTATGATTGAAAGAAACGCGATACCTGAACCACAATAAACAATTCTTATTTTACACCCCACGGCAACAATTGTTTATTATCATTTTTATTTTTATTTTTTTCATTTAGTATAAATATTTACTGTATTTATTATTTAATATAAAAAAATATTACACAATTGATATTTGATAGTCTTGTCTAATTTTTTAAAGTGTGGAATCGATAATATAATTGCAAAATTATTATATCAGTTAAAAGAATATTTATTTTATTTCATTTCATTTTATTTTTTTAATATTTTTGAAGTAAAATAATTATTTAAAATAATATTTTATATGATAAGAGAAAAGTCTATTATATTCTTTTAAAAAATTAAATAGTAGAAAACTTGAAAAATATGTGTGTTTGTTTAAGAAGATTATAATTAGTAAATAATTAAATATTGTACTAATAAAAATAATTATTATATATTTCTCGTCGGGCTTGATTTGCAGGTACTAGGTTCGGTCGAAGGTTTATCCAGTGCATGCTTTCGGGTAACGACTGCGGGTTCCCACGTCATAAAAAAAATTATCTAATACAAAGTATTATAAAATTAAGATTAACATATTTAATTAAGATGTAATTTCTTTATTAAATATGGTATCAACATATTTTTTTTATAAATAAAGTAAATAGTAAAACGGATATACTAAGTACATGGAATATTTAATATAATATTTTGAATATATTTTTTTATATAATATTTTTTTTATTTCCATAATTTGTCCATTTTTTCTATTTTCGCCAATTCCACATAATTTGTAATTTTTTTTTGAAAATATAATTCTATATTTTAGTCACATTTTAAAATTTATAAATTATAATATATATTATATATATTTTAAACAAATTATTTAGTCATTTTAATTTTAATTTATAATTATTTTTATTAAATCGTAATTAATTTTAATACAACTAATTACACAATACCTATGACTTTGTGTCCCGACTAAAATAGAGAAATTAGTTGATAGGAGAAGAATGATATTATAGAAAAAAATACCAAATTATTATAGATAAATTATAAAAATATATGAAAATAAGTTGGAAAAAACACAACAAAAGAAACATTATTTCTTACTATTTCTTTTTGTTAATTAATAATATAAGCGGATAAAATAAATTGATATGGATACGATAATATGCTGTATTTATATTAAATTTTTAATTAAGATTAATAAATAAATAAATAAAACCCAAATGTAATAATATACTATCTCATGGCTCTAAATGTCACATTTATTTTTTGCATGTTGATATTTGAATATTAATTATTATATAAAAATACAATATAAATCAATAAAAAATGAAAAAAATACTTATATTCATGTTTTATAATACTATATAAAGATATTTGTACAATGGATTGCTAATGCAATATAAAACAAATGACTATAATTACTTTTTTTTGTTTTAGTTTATAAGAAAATAAAAATTATAAAAATAAATGTATTCCCTCCGTCCCATAAGTAAATATTCATTTTTTTTTTTACGTAGTTTTATAAATATTAATATTATATTGTGATATAGTAGGAATAAAGTAAAAATTACTAAAATAACCATGTTAGCATGTGTGATAGAAATGTAATGACATTTGTATAATATATTGTAAGTTCTAAGGGTATTTGTAAACAGTTATTTAAAAGAAAATGAATACTTTATTATAGGACGAATTAAAATGAAAAAATGAATACTTTATTACGGGACGGAGGGAGGAGGGAGTATAGTATTTGATTATATATTCAATTCATACCGTGTTCAAGTCACGCTCAAACTGGCAAATAATTTTTCATGAAAATTGTTTTAGGCCCAGAATACAAAAAATGCTATGAGTCAAATTTTGCCTCACAAAAATCACGCCCAAATATAAGTATATAAGTAAAGGTTTGAAATTAATTTGAAGTGAAATATTAATTTAATTTTTTATTTAAATAATATTTTAATATAATATATTAAATGAATAATATTTATTTTATTTAAAATATTAAAAGAATAAATCCTAAATATATAATTAAAAGCATATTATGTGTGTATATAACTTCAAAAAATATTGTTAAAAAATTATTCTCTCAATTCTGCTAATTTGTATAAAGTTTTATATATTATATAATTAATAAATAATTAAAAAATATATTAATAAATTATGAAGTATTGTTTTATATAAAATAATTTGGCCCTATAATTTCATATCCACAGCAGCGCACAGTTTCTCCCTTTTCCTCCTCCCCTCATTTTTTACTTTTTCCTACTTTTTTCTTCATTCTCCTGCTTCATCTTCCTTCTTCGTTCTCGTGATGCTCGGCCAAGGTGACTGGTAAGGTTCCTGTAGATTTTCAATGTTGCACTGCTGTCTCCTCTCTCCGCCCTGCCCGCCCCCCCTTCTTAATCCTAAAGATAGCCCCCGAACCACCGCCACCGCCACCGCCACCGCCGCCGCCGCCGCCCGTTATCCCCTAACAGTAAAACATGAAATTGATAATTCCCCTACCAGAACCTACTCCAATTTGGTCGACACACTTCGCATCCAGACCACCTCCAACTGCTTCTTGGAAGCCATTTCTACCTATGTGCACATGCTGGCCTCCGGCTTCTTGCCCGATAACTTCGCTTTTCCTGCTGCTCTGAAGGCCGCCACTTCCCTTCGAGACCTTTCATTGGGACAACAGATTCACGGCTCTGTCGTTAAACTCGGGTATGATTTACATTCCGTCACCACTGCCAATTCGCTTCTGCACCTGTACGGCCTATGTGAGGACGATATCCGCCAGGTATTCAAGGTGTTCGATAGAATTCCCAACAAGGACCAAGTTTCTTGGAACTCCTTGATTAATGCTTTGTGCAAACATGAGGAATGGGAGTTGGCTTTGGAGGCTTTTCTTATGATGGGAATCGAGAGGATCGAGCCCAGCTCATTCACTTTGGTTAGCGTAGCTCTTGCTTGCAGTAACTTGAATAGGCGTGATGGATTAAGGCTTGGAAAGCAAGTTCACGGGTACATTCTGAAAGCTGACGACAGAAAGACCTTCACACATAATTCTCTAATGGCGATGTATGCAAAGTTAGGGAGAATTGATTACTCTGAGGTTGTATTCGAGACATTCCCCCACCGCGACATGGTTTCTTGGAACGCAATCATTAGTGCCTTTGCTCAAAACGACAAGTTCCACAAAGCATTGGAGTATTTCGGTTTGATGAAAGGCCAAGGATTTGAACCCGACAGCATTACAATTTCCAGTGTTCTTCCAGCATGTTCCCAGCTGGAGTTATTAGGCCCTGGAAAAGAAATACATGCTTTTGTATTTAGAAACAAGGATTTGATCGTGAATTCCTTTGTAGCCAGTGCTTTGGTGGATATGTATTGTAACTGTAAACAAGTTGCGTCCGGGCGCAAGGTTTTTGACATGGCTGTGGATCGGAAACTTGCAATCTGGAATGCGATGATTGCTGGTTATACTCAGAATGGGTTTTATAAGGAGGCCTTGATGCTATTCATGAATTTGTTGGTTGCCTCTGGTCTTTTTCCTAATCCTACCACAATGTCGAGTGTTTTGCCGGCATGTGTGCACTGCGAAGCTTTTGCCGACAAAAGGTCTATCCACGGCTATGTTTTGAAGTTAGGACTTGGGAGGGATAGGTACGTGCAAAACGCATTGATGGATTTGTACTCTAGGATAGGAAAGATCGATAGCTCCGTATACATATTTCGTAATATGGAGAGTAGAGATATTGTATCTTGGAACACGATGATAACCGGGTGCGTGATTTGTGGATGGCATGAAGATGCTTTGATTTTGCTGAAGGAGATGCAAGTAAACAATGATCTTAGTACTGATACTGATATCATCGGGGCCTCGTGCAGACCTAACTCAGTAACGCTGATGACGATCCTGCCCGGCTGCGCTGCCCTAACAGCTCTTACAAAAGGACAAGAGATTCACGCTTACGCCGTAAAGAATGCCCTGGAATCCGACGTTGGTGTTGGCAGTGCATTAGTCGATATGTACGCCAAATGTGGCTCCTTAAAAACAGCCAGACGAGTATTTGAAAGCATGCCTACAAGAAATGTGATAACATGGAATGTAATCATCATGGCCTACGGGATGCACGGGGAAGCAGAGGAAGCCATGGCACTGTTCAGAAGAATGGTTGGAGATGTGAAGCCGAATGAGGTTACATTCATTGCAGTTTTCGCAGCGTGCAGCCATTCTGGAATGGTTGAAGAAGGTCAGAAGCTGTTCCAAACCATGAAAGATGTCTACGGCATAGAACCAAATAGCGATCACTACGCCTGTGTTGTCGACTTGCTCGGACGAGCAGGTCGGCTCGATGAAGCACACAAAACAGTCGATTCGATGCCCTCTGGATTGGATAAAACAGGGGCATGGAGTAGCTTACTCGGCGCCTGCAAGATCCATCAAAATGTGGAACTGGGAGAGAAGTCAGCTCATAATCTGCTGCAATTAGAGCCAAAAGTTGCCAGTCACTACGTACTGTTATCGAACATCTATGCTTCTGCTGGGCTATGGAAGAAGGCCAGCGAAGCTCGGAGAAGAATGAAGGAGATGGAGGTGAGGAAGGAGCCGGGGAAGAGTTGGATTGCTGTGGGGGATGAGGTGCACAGGTTTGTGGCTGGGGACACGTGGCATCCCCAGAGCGAGAGGGTTTATGGGTTCTTGAGGGATTTGTTGAGGAGGATGAAGGAGGAGGGGTACGTGGCAGACACGTCCTGTGTGCTGCATGATGTGGGGGAGGGGGAGGAGGATGAGAAGGAGAAGGAGAATTTGTTGTGTGGGCATAGCGAGCGGCTGGCAATTGCATTTGGGCTTCTTAATACAGCGCCGGGGAAGACGATTAGAGTGGGGAAGAATCTGAGGATTTGTAATGACTGCCATTCTGCTACGAAATTCATATCGAAGGTGATGGAGAGGGAGATTGTGGTGAGGGACGTTAGGAGATTTCATCATTTTAAGGACGGGGTGTGTTCTTGTGGGGACTATTGGTGACCTCACCCATATGTTTCTAACCTTTATAAAAATATTTTTATATTTATATAATTATTTTTTATAAATATAATAAAAGTATTCTTATTATTTTTTCTTTAATATGAAAATAGTCAAACATCTTTTAGAATGAAAGAATAATAATTAAATTAAATTAAATATTTTATATAAAAATGTAGAATTAAGTATGATGTTAAAAAATAAATTTACCGAGAAGAATGTTGAAAACATAAATTAAACCAAGTCACAAGGTGTGTTTTTTTTCGATTGAGTTTGAAAAAATTTAGTTTAAATTTAATATTAAATTAAATTTGATAGAATGTTTTAACGAGAAAAAAAAAAATTATATTTTTTTGAAAAATGGAGAATTTAAATACTAAAATTTGGAAAAATTAGCGTAAAAAAACATACCCAATAAAATATCCAAATATATATACATACATACAACCATTTACTCACTATCGATCGTTATATTCTCTCCAGATCGACGTTCCTCCGCCGCTCCGCCGCCTTCCATCAGCTTATAAGGCCCGCCGCCGCCGCCGCCGCCGCCGCTGTGCAGCCATTCTGATCTCCTGTAACCGGCGGCCGGCCGGAAAACCCAGCCCACAGCCAATAAACCTGTAATCGCCATGGCCCCCGCCGCAGCGAATCCGAGCATCGCCAAAGCGAAGACGAACGCTGCCGCGAACAGCAGCGGGCTGAACAGTATCAGCACCGGCGACGCTACAACCATTAGACTCGCCGTAGCCGCGAAGCTGATTCCCATCAATCCCAGCAGCGGACCGCCGATTACTAGTCCGGCGACCGCCGCCTGCGCCACCGAACTCCCCGACACGTGGGATTGCCGCCGGTCGTCGATCGGTTGGATTTCCATTTCGTGCTTATCGTTATCGATCGTCGGAATACAAATATATGTATAATGTGTATGTATACGTATATGTGTGTGCATTTATATGGTGAAGGAAAGGGCTGTGAGGGGCACGTGTCACCTGGATTTTACACGTGGATGGTAATGGTGGGCTGGGCTGGGCAGGGGGAATATTTAATGGGCTCATGAAGGGCCCAAAATGAGGAATCGTGTGCAGATAAAACCACGCTTTTAGTGAAGGAATTGGAGAAACGCGCCTCCCGCTCAGCTATTGTTTCAACTTTCAATTTTTTGGAACCCTAGCTACGCAGTAGCGAAGCAGACCCGAGATTCGGGCAGCCATGAAGCTCGTAAGGTGTGATTGAGCTCTTGTCGTTCTCAACTTTGTATCTTTATTGATTTACCGATCCTCGATTTGATGTTTCGTTGTTGTAATGTATGATTGAGTGACTTTTTTTTTTTTTGTTTGGGTGCAGATTCTTGATGAAATTGAACAACGAGACGGTTTCAATCGAACTAAAGAATGGAACTGTCGTACACGGAACGATCATTGGTATGTTTCTTCTTCGTTTGCTTTTTTGTTGGCGTTGTTGAGCTCTTAAACCCTTGCATCCGTACGATTTAAGTCGGTGTTGTTAATCTGTTATTGGCCGGGCTTGACTGGATTCTGCTTTGTTTAGGTGTTAGATTTTGAACATAACCTAGGGTTAATATGGTTGTTCTTTGCGGAATTATTGTAATTTCTGTGAAGATCCGTTGCAAAGCATTGCATCGATTTGTATCTGGCAAATTAGTATTTCCCAAGTAGTTTGATTTTTCACACGCTCAGACAAATGCCCACTAATGTTTTGCTATAGGTGTTGATGTCAGCATGAACACACACTTGAAGACTGTGAAATTGACACCAAAGGGAAAGAATCCTATTGCTCTGGATCATCTCAGTGTTAGGGGTAACAACATTCGATACTATATTCTTCCTGACAGCTTAAATCTTGAAACTTTACTTGTTGAAGAGACTCCAAGGGTTAAGCCCAAGAAGCCAACTGCAGGTAAAGAATTTGCTGCCCAGCTTCTTATGGATTTGTTTTAATGCCCAATGCTTTTGTCATATTAATGGTTCTTGATTTTTTTCGAACTTCTCTCAATTACAGGGAAGCCTTTGGGTCGTGGTCGTGGCAGGGGGCGTGGTAGAGGCCGTGGGCGTGGCCGTTAGGCTTTTTTGGCTATTTATTAATCTGAAACTTGCGGAATCTAGCTGCATATTGTAAGGCTTTCTGTTTAATGTCCGGTATGTGAGAGATGAGTATTGTTGGCACTTTGTATGACATTTTCAGTGGTATATCCTTGCTGATTCGAGTTTCTCATCATAAATGTTTTTATTTCTGGATTGCTTTGTGCAGAGAGAGACTCTTTAACCATTAGTTTTGTTTTTTTTAATGCAGTGTATCTCTTCTTGACCTATTTTGATTGATAAACAATACTATGAATTTAAAGCATAACTGAGCTGTTTAGTGGGTATGGGAGTGGAGCAGTTGACCACTATGCTGCAATAAGTTACATCGTTAATCTTCGAATTTTTGCTTGGTTCTCTTAAATTTGTGGCAGTCATATTTGTAACTATGAATCAAGATTTTGTTTGTGCGTTGCTGATTGCTATATGTCGGTTTAGTTCAATATCCGGTAGGAGCTGAAATAATAGTTGGTAGTAGCTGCATTGCTGTATGCTGTCTAGCATGTTGTTATCTGCAATTTCAATTGGCTCAATTCGAGGGGTAAATAATGATTTTAGTGTGACTTGGGGCTTTCTTTATCATTTATGTTATATGTTTAAAGATTGTTTGGAAATTGGTTCTGAGACAAGCCCCAGAGGCACTGCCGTTTTGAGCCTTTGATCTCGTAGTCACAAGTTTATTTCACAATTGTTAGATCATCCAGGCCATTATATTAGTCCTCTTGCATCAGATATTCTTGTGCCTACTGATTAAAACGGCATCGAACTAGTTATTGGATTTAAATTTTGTTTTTCTTTAACATTATGTAGTTACTTAGATTTTAGGATCATTGAGTGAATTGATTCTCAATGGAGGACATTATTAGCCTTTTGAGAAGATCAATCGCATACTATTACCTAAGGACGAAATTATGAAGTTGAAACTATGCGAAAGTCGCCGAATTTAATACCCCGCAAGTTAGGCGCGATTGACAAGTCACACTAGGTGAATCATAGCAGGTGACTTAAAGCGTTGGGGGTTTAAATCTATGATCTCACGTCAATAGTCTAATCCCACACCATCATCAGGCCATCCTTTACGGGACAAAGGACGGTAATATATTTGAAACTAATTTCGTCTATCCATGGTTTTGTATTTCAGTTATTCAAATTAAAATCTAAAATCTTGTGCTTTAATTATAGTGATTGAGCTCGGAAGGGAATTAAGAAAATAAATATTTTATTAAAAAAGTGATAGTTGACGATATTTTTAAAAATTTAATTTAAAAATAAAATAAATAAAATGAAAAAAATGCAATAAAAGTAGTTGTAATAATTAAATGTATTTAGTGAACAACCTACAAAGGAATAAATTTGGCGGACTCAGAATATTATTTAATAAATAACCATTGAAATAAATGATTTGACGTTCTAATTTGAAGTGTTTTTATAATAAAAAGTAAGCAAAACAAATAGTATTGTGGGAATAGAATGAATGATTAGGTTAGATTAGATTAGTATGAGAGAAGGCCCATCCATCCCAGTACAACACTACCCTCACACACTCACTCAGTCCAAGACCGAGTGCTGCTGCAACTAGTAACGAACCTTAATCTGAAAATTGGGTGAAACAATGCAGGACAACAACGTAACTTCGTAGTCTCAGAAGCGGACAACAACATCCCAAATGTACATCTCTTTCTCCGGAGTTCTCAAACCAACGCTAACCAGTCCAGTCTCTTCCAAGTAATCGAATTCCACCTCCTCCCCCTCAATTTCCACACACTTTGGTCTTGCCGACGAATACGCACCCAACGGGCCGCAACCTCGCACTTTCATGCACACTGCCCCGACCTCATAATCCAACCCCTTGATCGCACCTCCCGAATTGAACATTTTCGTTAGGCCTATTGGCGCGAACTTGACTCCGTTCGACATCTGCTTCACGGGGCACACTGTGAACACCTCGTATTCTCGTGCCTTGAGTGTGATCGGAATGGAAATATCGTTGGCAAGATAAACCAAATCTCCTGCAAAAAGAGGAAAATTTTCGTGGTAATTAGGATTCCGGCCAATTATGTTTTTGAATGTTATTGCCGAGACTTGTGAATGAGATTTTTTACCGTTGAGGTGAGAGTAGACGACAGCGTCTCCTGTCCATTTGTCGCCGGCAACTCGTGATAGATAATTGACGTCTTTGGCTCGAATGGTTCCGGTTATTGTACCGGGCTCTAGGTCGTGGATTAGGTTCTTCTTCCCTTGTCGACACCAACCGGCTCCTTGGCAGTTAAATGCACCCACAACGCCGTTGTGGTCGTTGAGATTCCAGATTTTTAACAAGCTGTGATTGGAATCGTCGTAATTGTTGCTATAATTAGTATGTATGGCTAAAAACTGTGAAAATCGTAAAACTTGTTTTGTGTCCTAACCTCTTTCCATCTCTGGCAGGATCCGAAAACAGGCAATCACGGGTCGGTCTTCCGGGGAGTTTTGCGCGTAAAATGGAGCCATCGGGGAGTACAAGCTTCTTGAGAAGGTTAAAGTCATGCTGCCCCGGCTTGTCGCTGCGTATACTTTGTCTGGTTTAGAATCGAATGCTCGAAACATTTTGTGTATAAGTTTCTGTATAATGAATTTATGTTATTACCTCACGTATATAGCGCATCCACCCACAGCTCGCGCTGCGCCGTGATATTCAGCCATTTCGTGCAAGCTCTGCATTCAATAAGTTCAATATATGGAGTTTAGACACGCAATGCAATAATTATAGTTGTCACAGATGAAAGTCGAAGCTATCATCAGCTTACATGAAACATGTCCCAATCCGGCTGCATAAACTCCCCTAAAAACACGGTGTTGTAGGCGACCGATGCAATGTGAATCGTATGCGAGGCGGGATCTCTGGGCCAAAAATCATCCGATGCTCGGATAACAGCTGTTCTTTTCGCGCTACAACGAAGGAAACAATCAGCAACACATCTACGAATGAGGTACATGAATGGAGATCGACATCTACCTGTACAAGCCATCTGTGTTGTGACTCATGCAAGAAATAATTCCATTATCAGGGAAGTTCCTAGAAATGGATGCTTCAAGAGCTTGGTGGTATTTTTTAGCAAGTTTCACCCTTCCACCATTGCCGGCGCCGAGTGTCTCCAGGATGTTCTGGACATCTACCTTGACCCCATCGATGCCGGCTGAAGAAAGGTACGAATGTAGCTCATTGTAGAAACTAAAGACTTTCTCCGGATTAACTAAGCCTAAACCATTCTTGGTGATGCTGTTTAAAGCATCACACGGCTCGTTCGACTGAACACCAGGAGATGAGACGGGATAAGCCATCTTCGATTCGTAATGTTCCATTCCAGCCACACCAGGCCGGACGCCACCCCAGTAACCGGTCAAGGCGTGCCAGACATACACATACCTAAGGATTCGATGATAAGGACATCAGCATGGTAATTGATTTTGGGCATCGTCGAAAAGGTTATTTAATTGCTATATGTATGTCATACTTCACCGAATTCCGGTCTTTAATATCAGCTACGATGTGTTTGATTCCCATGGCTGGATCCTCTATCCTTTGGCCCTCTTTTCCATCCTTCTGGAATTTGTGATTCTCCTTGATGTTAGTTAACCTATTTGCAAAGCTGAACAAGACAAAGAGTGAAATCAATTTGGATAAAAAAGGACAGAAAGATTAAGAAAAGTTACAAGGAGAGAAAGGATCATAAGACTCACTTGGCGCAATTATCGGCTTTTGTAGCCTCACTGGTTGGATCCATCCCAACTGACTGCCATCCATCATCGATGATTACAAACTTTGGTGGAATCCCTCCTTTCTCCAAACTGCATGTAGATACAGTATTTATCTTAGAAATTTATGCAGAATGTAATTCATTAATGGTAGCTGAAGATGGATCATTGATGGTACCTCTCTAATCCCTGCTTCACTCCCTGAGCAGTGACGTTAGTATAGAAAGCATCCCATGTACACCATCCAAACCAGTTCAACATATCTGGCATCTGTGGAATAAAAGATTTAGAAGACGATGAGTTCTAAATGATTGTTCCTGGAAGCATACTGGACGACAGCCAGAACACTGGGTGGGTTGGGTTTGATTCTTTACCTTCTTCCTGTCACGGTGGCAGAAAGTCTGCAAATGACCTTCGACACTCCTGCCAAATTTAGAGCAAGTTTCAGAAAGCAGTTAGATGACAGGGAAAGTCATAGCAGCTTTGAGTTCCAAACAGAAGTTAACAAACAGTGAATGATACTACAGTAGATGTTTGAATCTATCCTTGCAATCTGACACTAAATTGTTGCCATTTGAATAATTGAAGATTCATTCTAGAACATACTTGACTGCATTTGTGATCACATCGAATGGATCTGATCCAGCTCCAACAAATACTAAATGGCTTCCCTCGAACTCTTGCACAGCAGGATCACCTATAATAATGCTCAATCATTAACAAATTAAGGAGGATTTCCAAGCAGTGGAAGGAAGAAGAAAGGTATATCTGTCGTACCACTTTCCAAGCAGATTTCCAACTCATCATTAGCATTTCCTTGTAGAACAGCTCTAAAATTCCCCTCTAAAATAGGAAGAAATGCAACATACAACGCAGACTGTTCCTCTGCATTTTCGCTAAAATGCGAACCATCACGCACTTCCACCATTAAAAATTGGGTCTCGAATGGAATGTCCTGACCACACGTCCCCATCCTCTGTGTCATCCACCACATTTTGAAACGGAAAACGCACATGAATCTCAAATCCCTGGAAAAGGTCATATTTCAGCTACTCCACTTTTTTCTTCAAAAAAACAATAAGAATGCATTGTAATTTGTAAATGGACGAAAACGAAATCGAAACAAAAACTAACCGGAGTTTGCCGACGGGGAAGACCATTCGGCTCCCAACCTGATCAGATCTAACACCGAGAAAAGCTCCATTGATCAAGGTTCCACCACTTGCCGGCGTCACGCTAATGTTCTCCCGAACATCAGTCAAAACGCTCTCCCCCAACACATTCAACCTCCCACCACTCACAGAAATCCCAGCACCCACCGTCATTGTCTCTTCCTCGCGATCCTCACCAAAAACACCAAATCAATTAAAAAATACACACACAAAAACCGCACTACGAAGCTCAAATCAACAAAAATTCCTCCAACAAAACGCTTCCTTCTCTAAACCCCAAACAATCGAAAACCAGCAAAACTACAACAACAACAACAACAGAAAACAAGACGACAGTCGATACAACGCAAATCACGACGCCACAATATGTACAACAGCAGCGATGCTTCCGGTATTTATAGGCTACAAAGGATCTGGTCACGTGCAAATCTCATGCAATGCGATCGAGGTAGATGTTTATCCGAAACCCGTTAGCTGTCACACTTATTTTCTCTACAAATTCCACCTGACTTTTTACTGCATATATTTATTTTAATTAATCACTTACCCAATTGGATAAGCGAGCAATTAATAAATAACGAAAAGGCAACAAACACTAGGCACATGACCACAACTGCCGTAAAAAATTTCAAAACATAAAATAATAAATAAATATACGAGGCCAATCGAGACCGATTCAAAAAGTGAGCTGTCAGGTCAGGACATATATCACGGGCGGGTAAGGTTAATTTCATTTACAATAGTGTGTTTTCAGATTTGAATCTCGTGTCATGTTTGAACATAGAGAAAATTAAATTGAGAAGCAAAAATTAAAAATAAATAAAAACGTGTAGGTTTGTAAAAGTGGAATAAAAAAAAATGTAGGTGTGGGTGCAAGCTAGTCTACGGCTATGTAGAGGTCTACCAATTCAATGCAATGCAATGTAATGCTGACTGGATAACGAGGTGTATGTAATTAATGAAGATAGAAGGTCAAACGCAGCAATGATCATTACATGACAGCCAATAGACAGACAGGCCAACCGACACGTCATATACACATCGGATCCACGCTTGCTGGGATAAAACGGTAAGACGGTTACAACTACAAGAAGCGTGTTTTAGAAAAATGCGATGCATCGAAAGCGCATTGTTATTTGGTAGGTAAGGCCGGGCTGCCCACCTTTATTCCTATGTGATTTCTATGTCCTATGTTATTATTATCGGAGCACCTTTGAATACTATATGGTGCATGGTGTGTTGGGACGTGGGGTTCCACTATTTATTGTTATTATTATTATTTTTTTTTATAAAAAAATGATTATCAAATTTTATTTTTTTTATATTATATTTTTCTGTCCAATAGTAAATTTCTATATTATCATTTTAGTTATCAAAATCAAATTTTCAAAATTTTCATTAATTTTTAAACTATCAATTAAATACCAGAATATTTATACTTTTTTATTTTTTATAGTATTATTTTTACTTTAATGTCAAGATCAAAATAAACATTATACTATATATCTAATAAAATATTAATTTACTCTAATCCTTATGCAAAAGCATGTGTATAAAGATCATAACATATTTGGATTATAAAATTCAAATTTGTTAGGAAATATAAGTTAATATTTTGATATTTTATTTAAAATAATGAAATATTTTATGAACTGTCATACAATATAATTTATATTTACAACATAAAAAAAATGTTTTGTATACCTGTATCTAGCAAAAAGTATAGAAAATATATTCCATTTATCACAATTTAATTACTAGAAAAATATATAATTATATTTATAAACATCACATAAAAAAAAATAATAATAAAAATTTAGGTTCAAACCACAACAAAATAAAGCCTTGATTGTTTATTTATAAAGTCGTGCCAGGTGCATGCACGCCCCTTCATAACATAATTGTGTCGTGCTTCACGACGAAATTATTTGTGTATGATTTTATTTATTTATTTATTTATTTTTAATTAAGCTCAGCCAGAAAACTCTCTCTCATCGATAATCGTCCAACTTGATTATATAATAAAGAGGGTTTGTTACATAGTTATTAGCACTATACTTTAGTTTAATTTTTTTTTCCTATTATTTTCATTATTTTTATTAAATACGATTCATTTACAATCTCCTATTTCTATATTAGTTTTTTTTTTTTTTTTTTAATAAGGCAATAAGAAATATAGAAGTTGCAGTCAATGAAGTAGGGATCATTAAAACACCAAACCAATACATTTATAGAAATTTAAAATTTTTATTTATTTTTTTTTTATCTTAATAATCACCAACAATACCCCAACTTCTTGGGTTCGAAAAGAAGTTGATGGTTGACATATATAGGTAACACAGGCTGCAGATTCGTTGCTAATCCAATTAAATAAATATGGTTCTGAATTGATCAATATATCATATCATATAAATGTAATCAATATACTCCTTCCGTCCCGGAACAAGGGTGGCGTTTGCTTTTTGCACGTACATTTTTAATATTAATATTATAATAGATTGTAGTGAAAATGACGAAAATACTCCTATTAATATTGTAATGACATTTGTGAAATACAGTGTAAGTTGAAAAAATATTTATTATGTCAGATAAGTAGTACACTGAATTAGAAAATGATAACCTTGTTTTGGGACAGAAAAAATGAAACATGACAATCTTTCAATAAGACGGAGGGAGTATATTATATACTATTATAAAGTACTATGATACAACTTATGTAATACTCCCTCCATCCTTATCAATATATCCCAAATGCCATATAACGTATGAATGTCACGGACATCTATAACAATAATTGATAATGGATGGAGAGCCGGTGCCCTTATTAAATCCAAGATCTTAATATAATTATTAGTGATTTTCTTTTACACAAATATCTCACGACGTCAGGAATCAGAACAGTTTAAAAATCAAACAGACAGGAACAGGAATCTCTGTCTCTGTCAGCAATGGAAAGCGACACGGCTCAACACGACAGATACAGATACAGATACAGACACAGAAAACAGCCGTACCAACAGCTAACCTCTGATCTTTGTAGCTGTACGACGTACTTTCACTCATCAATTAATTCGTCAATCATACATCTCTGTCTCTGTCTGGATCTAATCCACAAATCCAATCTTAATTTAATTCAAACCATTGTCTTCGAATCAAAACTCAATTGTAAGATCCCATTCCAACACTTCTTCATGAACTGCTAAATTGGCCGTGATCAGTCCAGATTTTGCTTCATAATCGAATTCAATTTCCTTCATTTCACCATCACTTCCTATTCTTTTAGGCCTCGCCGTCGAATACGCCGCGAACTCGCCGCAGCCGCGAACTCTCATCCCGACTATTCCCTCGGCCTCCGACTCATATTTTAACTGTTTTATCGCACCCCCGGGATTGAACATCTTCACAAGACCTATCGGCGCAAATGCAGCACCGTTTGACAGTTGCTTGACAGGAACCACCGTAAAAACTTCGAATTCCCGAGCTTTAAGTTGAACCATAACCGATGTCTTCGCAGGGAGGTACTCGACTTTACCTGTCGTGGCATCATCGAAAAGATCGAAACTTCAATATTATTTATCGATGTATTGCTTAATTTTGTCGAGAATTAGTGATACTATACAATCGTTACCGCCTCTATAAGAATACACAATGCAATCGCCACGCCACCCGTCGTCATCCGCGACACTGCTGAGGTAATGAACATCGGTTGCCTCGACAGTGCCGGAGATTGTCTCCGGTTGTTCGTCGTGGATCATATTCCTTACAGCCGTTCGACACCACGAAGCGCCTTGACAGTTGAATACCCCGACGACTCCGGTGTAGTCATTCATGTTCCAAATTTTAAGAAGGCTACCACAAAAGTCCTTCCATGTTAACTCCTAGTTCTTGTCATATATATCGATACGATTAGTTAGTTTTTCGCCTTAGTCGATACCTTTTCCCATCGCTCGTAGGATCAGAGAACAAGCAATCGATCGTAGGTCTCCCCGGGAGTTTAGCCCTCAGCGTGGAACCATCCGGAAGCACAAGCTTCTTCAAAACATCGAAATCATGGTTCCCGGGCTTATCGCTGTAATTAAAACCAAAAGAACACAATTATGGAGAGTAAGAAAGGCGAACATTCGCTATCGAAGAACAGAACCTGACGTAGATCGGACAGCCTCCAACAGCGCGAGCAGCCGCGTGATATTCAGCCATAGGATGCAAGCTCTAGGACAACAAGTGATCGAAGTAATAAAACATTCTCAAATGCACATAACGATAATATATCGAGTATGTTTTCGCTATGCTCACATGAAACATATCCCAATCGGGCTGCATAAATTCTCCGAGAAAAATACTATTGTACGCGACTGAAGCTACATGGATCGTGTGCGACGCTGGATCCCTCGGAAAGAAGTCATCGGATGCTCTTACCACACAAGCTTTCTTTCCCCTGCATTATAGAAACGATGAAAAAACATAGTTATTCGAAGCTGAAACCAAAGGTTAGGCGAAAAGATTGATTTTTTCACCTATACAATGCATCTGTGCTGTGACTCATGCACGAAATCATCGCATTGTTCTTGAAGTTTTCGGACACGGATTTCTCAAGCGCTTCGTGATACTTTTTGGCTAACTTCACTCTTCCTCCGAATCCAGCCCCTAAAGTTTCGAGTATGCTTTGATTGTCGACTTTAACTCCATCAATGCCGGATGAAGCTAAGTACAAGTGCAGATCGTGGTAAAAGTCGTCGATTCTGTTGGGATTCACAAGGCCAACCTTGTTGTCGATTATGCTCTTCAAAACAAAACAAACGCCGTTGGACTCAATGCCGGGAGATGGAACCACAGACACTATCTTCGATTCGTATCTGGCCATTTCATCGATGCCGGGATGGACGCCGCCCCAGTATCCTCCAATTGCGTGCCAAATGTAAATATACCTGCAAATGTAACACGACGCGCAGACGTAATAACATCACGACGAAACAAAAACCATTTATAGAACTCAAGTTTCGTAGAAGGCTGTCTACTTGAGACAGAATTTTTCTTTGATCCCGGATACAATCTGTCGAAATCCAGCTCCTGCATCGCAATCGAATTCCCTACCATACTTCCGAAACTTTTTATTCTCTCTGATATCAGTTAATCGATTCGCAAAGCTGGAACACATGTAAAGGCAACATGAGTTTTTGTTGTATGTTGAAGAAGTTTCGATTTTTGCCTGCCTTACTTCGCGCTGTCGCCTATTCTGGCTTCGTTTCCGGTAACATCCATGGAAACTGACTGCCATCCATCGTCGATGATGAGAAACTTCGGCGGAGCTCCACCTTCAACCAAACTGCAAACAGCAACAAAATTCAGCCATGAATTACACCTACATTGAAGGAAAATTCATCGATGATTCGGAAGATCAAATACCATTTCACTCCTTCCTCGACTCCCTCGGCCGAAACGTCCGAATAAAAAGCATCCCAAGTGCACCATCCAAACCAGTTCAACATATCAGGCATCTGAATCAACACAATACAATGCACCATTGAAGGAAACAGAGTGTTCTACACATGGCCATAGCCATGGCCGAAGCTGTAACTGATTACCTGTTTGTGATCACGGTGTTTGAAGGTCTGTAGATGATCTTCAAGGTATCTGCGTAGATAGTTGACTAGAAAAATGGAGAGAAGAGAAGAACGAAGACCTAATTGTTCATGAAATAAAACGATTGAATCATACTTGATTGAATCCCCAATCAGATTGAATGGATCCAACCCTACTGCCACATAAACCAGATGTCTCCCTTCGAATTCTTCCACAGATGGATCGCCTGTAAATTGAGTCGATGATTTAGCTCTGAAATTTCAGAAGAACAATTTGATGGTGCTGAAACTGAAAGAGAGTCGGTACCACTTTCCAAGCAGATCTCGAGTTCATCGTTCGCATTTCCCTGAAGAACAGCCCTAAAATCCCCTTCCAAAAGGGGAAGGAAAACTGTGTAATATACAGTACTGTTTGGATGGTGTCTGCGACTGCAAGGGACCTCCGCCATTAAAAACTGCGTCTCGTAGGGAATGTCCTGCGCGGAGTTCCCCATCCATTGAGTCATCCACCATAGCTTGAATCGGTAGAGACAGAGAATCCTCAGCCCCCTGCGAATTCGAGAGTCGAGACAATACAGAAGGGGGAAAAGCTGTTGAGAAAGAGCTGCTGGTATTTACTTGAGTTTTCCGATCGGGAACACCACGCGGCTGCCCCCTCGATCGGAATGGAAGCCGATGAAAGATCCCTGGTTGCCGTGCTCCGCCGGAGTGAGGAAGACGCGCTCGCTGACATCGGAGAGAATGCAATTTCCGGAAACGAGCAGTGCTCCATGGGCAAGCGATAAGTGTGGTGGTGCTGCACTGACAGCAGCCATTGTAGCCTGGACAGTGGATTGCATTGCAGCAATCAACAAGATGATAATAATAATAATAATAATAATAATAATAATAATTGGGTGACGTGGAATTCTCAACTAAATGTTGAGTGTAATAGACAGTGAATTAAGTGAGTAAATCACATTAGACGTAAGTAAATCATATCTAAAATTATAGATATATATATATATATATAATTTTATTTTTTATTTTTTTTATAACGTTGAAATTAGCGTTTATAATCGGCATGACATGCAAGGCTAGAGAATAGTTACGGCTATAAGTCTATCCAACATATCAGTTCGGACTGCTCTTTACTAACCTTGTTTGATTATAAGAAAAAAATTAAAACGAAAAATTGTAAATAAGTCTTTTTTTTTTTTTTTAAATGATAAACTAATTTATGTGAAAATAAAAAATAAAAAATAAAAAATCATAATATGCACTCCATGCGTGACAAAGCTGAGACTTGAGAATAGTTGCTCATTATTTATATGTTTTAATAAATGTAATTCATAATCAACAATAAAATAAATCTATTCTGCAGTATTACATCCTCATAGCATTCAATCGTTGTAATATACTCACTACATTTGGAATAATTATGCCATTTTATTTTATTTTTTATATCATTTTTATCATATACTAAATTATGCATAATTTATTTATAATAAATAATTTTTATCAATCTATAATTTTATTATTCCTATTTTATTAGTTTATAAGTTAAGAGATTATAGTATAAATGACCAAAATGGATAAAGTAATTAATATAGGTCTTTTTTTTTCTTACAGTTCTCTATAAACATATTTTTTTAAAAAAATTAATATATTACACACACTTATTGTTTTTATATTATTTACACAATTATCTATATTTTACATAAAAAAAAAAATAATTCTTCAAACAATATTAATTTCACCAAGGGTGTGTTTGTTTGGAGGGTTGAATTTTAAATATACTATTCATCCCATTTTTTCTTCCAAAAACATCAAACCACCGCCTATTTTTCATTTTCTATATTATACTAAAATCAATTTTACATTCAAAACTTTACGTCAACACCTATTTATATCACATCATACAACTATTCAGATTCAAAATTTTTATTATTCAAATCCCAACTCAAAATTCAAATCCCAAGCAAACACACCCTAAATAGAATTTAAAAAAAAAAATTGTTAACGTTTTGGTGCATAATTCTACTGAAGGAAATAGTGCTAGTTTACAAGAATCTGAGGAAATTTTAAAAAATAATTGATCTATAAGGACCAAATTAGCCTTAATTTAATAGATATCATAAGTCTTAAATTTGTAAAGTTTATATATAACAATGGGCCTTATTGGGCCTAAGTTAATGGGCAAAAATCAGCCCTACTCATTTTACACAATTCTATTTTACAATTAGCTACAATTTGTTTCAATTTTATATAATATAATTATATGTTTAGGATACCCTATTATTAGAATTTGTTTATTATATGTTTAGTACTCCCTCCGTCTCAAACACTCTGCAATATTTCCTTTTATGTTTGTCCTAAACTCACTGCAACATTTCCAAATTTAGAAATAATTAATAATGTATTTATACATATATTAATATACACTTCACTTTATATGTATCACATCGCTCAAATAAAAAAAAAAAAAATCATTTCTCTCTCCAATCACATCACTTAATATCCAAATTATCTCAAATTACCATACGTAATACTCTCCACCTAAATTTCCATGTCAAACACAAATGTTGCACGGTATTTGGGACGGAGGGAGTATATCATACGCATACAATCAACAATATTTCTACTGTCCTCAAATAATACATTTCTCAATTAATATTGGCTTTGTTTGATTTTTATTTTATTTGAGGTTTTTTGTTATTATTTGATTTAAATTTGAATAATATTTATATTTTGATATAATATTGTATAAGAAAAAAAAAATATTTTATTGAAAAATGATGACTTGTTGACTTTGATTTGATATATTATTATAACTGAGTTGATTTATTTGTGATACTAAATATTGTTTAGATGGAAATTTTATAAATTCTAAAATTTGAAATAAAATAAATAAGTGAATGTTTTATATGATGTTTTATTAGGGGATAAATTATTATTATTATATATATTTTTTCAAAAAATATTATTAATAAATAATATCAAAAATATTGATATAAACATAACCTAATATATATTGAATTTTTATTTAATTTTATATTTGTTAAGCAACAATTATTATGATTAGTTGGCAACTTGCCTCTTTAAAGAAAGTGATTCATACACTTGATTTGCGTTTATCACTCCCTTTTTTCCTAAAAATAAACATAATTTACACAAAAGTAATCATCATGATTTTGTTATACCATATTATAATATTATTGAAAATTTAATTTATTTATTTATTTATTTCTATAATTGATGATAAGTAGAAGAACAACACTTGAATCACGTTTTTATAATAGTAAAATTATTTATCGCATAATCTTAAAGATTAATTATTACGTCATCCCCTTAAGTTTTACTTGATACATTTTTTTATCTTTATTTTCATTCTAAATTTTAAAATATTTAAATTTAAAATTAATAATTTTATTAATTGTTTAGTAATAATACATAAAAAGATTAAAAATAATAATTTCTTTAAATACTAATAATTTTAAATAAATTTTTAACAATTTTAATTTCTCCAATACAGTTTAGAGTTTAGACCAACTCCATCTAAATATTCTATTTTCTCAAGTTTTTACTATAAAATTTTCTCTATATGTTAATTTTTGTTCCAATTTATTCTACTCCCTCCATCCCATAAGTAAATATCCATTTACTTTTTGCAAGTAGTTTTAGAAATATTAGTATTTTATTGGGATATAGTAAAAATTAAGTAGAAATTACTAAAATAACCTTATTAGTATATGCGATATAAAGGTAATGACATTTGTGTAATATATTATAAATTGTAAGGATATTTGTAATGTTAGGTAGATAGTACAATTACTAAAAAATGAAATGAATACTTTGTTACGTAACAGACTAAAATGGAAAAATAGATACTTAGGGTGTGTTTGTTTGGGGGTTTGGATTTTGAGTTGGGATTTGAATAGTAAAAATTTTGAATTTGAATAGTTGTATGATGTGATATAAATAGGTATTGATGTGATGTTTTGAATGTAAAATTAATTTTTAGTATAATATAAAAAATGAAAAATAGGTGTTTGATTTGATATTTTTGGGAGGAAAAAATTGGATTAATAGTAGAATTTTGTTAAAATTCTACAAACGAACACACCCTAAAAAGATTCCATATATATTATTTGCTTTAAACAATAAATTTTATTTATTTATATGTTAACTCCAAAATATATATTTTTTCATGTAATTAAATTATAGCAATTTTGATCATTTTTAAAACAACAACAATAATTTAATTCGATTACATTTCACGTGCAATAATGTGCATAAAATACAAATACAAATAAACTGAAAGTAATGGAGGAATGCTTTATATTTGGAGTAAGATGAAGTAGCTCTTAGTAAAATTTTATAAATAAAACTATATTTATAAAATATTGCAAATAATCAAGATATTTGTCTAGTAAATTATATATTTAATAAATTCTGAATTTTTATTTATATCATTTAAATCATTTAATGCATATTTGCTTATATTATATGGATCTATATATTTAAAATAAAGTAATTATTAGATGTAATGTTTAAAGTAGAGAATTATTAGAATAAAAATTATAGATGAAGTGTTATGTGAGATTGACTTCAATTAATCAAGAGAGTTATATGAAAAAAATTGTAATACTCCCTCCGTTCCGGTGCAAGGTTGTCGTTTACTTTTTGCACATAGATTTTTTAATATTAGTATTATAATGAGTTGTAATAAAAAAGACGAAAATACCCATATTAGTATTGTATAATATAAAAGTAATGGCGTTTGTGTAATATAGTGTAAGTTGGGAGGATATTTATTATATTAGGTAGGTAGTAAAATTACTAAATTAAGAAATAGTTTTATGATGGACAAAAATAGAAAATGTCAACCTTTCAATGGGACGGAGGGAGTATAATATTTATATAATAAAATTAAAATAGAAATGAAAAAGAATATAGCCTAAAGAGCATCACGTCTTATCATACAATTTTTTATTTGTTAGCTTGAAACAATATTTTATTTTTCTTAATTGTTTGGTCCTACTTTATTTATTTGAAGACTAGTGTTTGTTTGTTTGGTTTTTTATTTAAAATTTGGTAATAATAATAATACTCCATAATCTACTTTAATATGTAAATTTTAATAATAAAAAAATATATATATATGGAAATTTACATTTATTTTATTTTTTATTATTTTCAAGAAAATAATATAAAAATTGCAACGAAGCAAATCCTATGCACTTAATTTAAACTCAACTTCAAAAAGAATAAAAAAAAAATAAAATTGAATCATTTTATTTTGTTTATTATATAAATATATATATATATATATATTTTTGTTAGGATCAAGTTGTATAAGCATGTTGGAAATTTAAAATTGGAAGTTAAAATCGTATGGATGTAGACAGACAAATTGGAGATTGGAGTCAAAATAAATAAAGACATGAGAGTGAGAGTGAGGTCTGCAAGTTGGACGATCGTGATGTGCTATAAGTGGAAACCTTCTAGAAACCATCAAACCAATCCAGTGTGCCATATATGTCAGCACACACTAAATTTAATTTAATTTAATTTAAAAATGTAACTCCCCGTTACACTATGGAGTTTTTTTAATATATTTAACATCGATTATTATTGTCCCAGGCGGAATTGGTGTGACAGGATGAATTTTCAAAATAATAATACTCCTTCCGTCTTGAAACTATAGTCTTGGTTGTGTTGGACATGAGATTTAAAGAATATTAATATTGTATTGACAGTGGGTAAAAAGTATAAGTAAAAGACATTTTTGCCCGTATTAGTGTAAAAAACAAATAAGATTATTATTTTGAAACAGATAGAAATAGTAAACAACACTATTGTATTAAGACGGAGAGAGTATAATAAATAAAATAAAATAGACAGTATTTTTTTGACTATATATGAAAGAAATTTTCATTGCATATAAAGCCTTTAATACATAATTGATGATGTATGTATTATTCTACATTTATGAGATATATTTTTACCAATCATATGCGCACAACATACCTATGGATAAGTCAAGATATGTGCATTTGTATGGTTTTTGTATAAAGTTGTGGGTGTCTTTTACCTGTGTTTCAAACACAAATCAATGCTATAATCTTAATGATTTTGAATAAAAATATATTATTTTAATATTATTTAAATTAAAAATTAAATAAAAAAATTAATTTTAAATCAAAATTAAACAAATCATTAAGGTTGTGTTCTTGTGAATTTTAATACAGATTTTTATTATTCAAATTTTTTTTTTCTAAAAAATATAACATCAAATAATAATTATTCTTTTAAATATTATATTATAAATTTATTTTACATTCAAAATATTATATCAATATCTATTTATATTAAATCAAACAACTATTCAAACCCATGAGCAAACACACCCGAAAGTTTTGTTTGGTTTATGTTCAAATCTATTACTTTTATTATTTTGTTTATATGTTTTATTTTAATAAAAATATACTCCCTCCGTTCCATCACAATTGACACTATTTTCATTTTTGTCTGTTCCGTAACAATTAACATCTTTCTTATTTTGATAAAAATTATTGAATCAAAACATATTAACAAATATAAACATAATTAACTACATAACATATAACATCATAAATGACGTAGGACCCATTCAAAATCTCTTTATTTCTATATCTCTCTTAAAAAATATATATTTTTATCTATATTTAAAACTACACATCTTTTATAAAATTAATTTATGTTAATTATAAATAAAAAAAATATTGTTTTATTTACTTGTATTATAGAAAATTTTATTCTCTACAAAATATATTCATATTACATATATAACTATAAATATTATTAATTATATAAAAAATAATATCATAACTAATTAAATATTCTTATCTTAAATACGTGTCCCTAATCAAAAGCTTCTATTTCGGTGGAACGGAGCGAGTATTATTTTATTTTATAAAATATTGTTAAAATAAAAATACAAATACAAATATAAAATAAAGAAAATTAAGTAGAAATAAAAAATAAATTCTTAATCAATCTTAAGATTATAGATTCAAATCTCAAATATTTATGGATTTTGATTGTGTCTACTACACATAGCTGTTTACTACTGACACAATTTGCAAATTATTAAAAGGTTCAGAAGTTTATCCGATACATAGCTTAAAGAAACAACTACTTATTTTAAGATTAGTAAAAATAAAAAATAAAAAAAAAAAGTGAAGATAAGATGGACAATAAATAATACAGCAGGAGATGAGAATGAGATGCTTATCCAATCCATTACGTGTAAATAAAAATAAAAAATAAAAAATAAAAATAAAAATAAAAATGCTTCGTCAGCATACACACAGAATTGACAAATTGTGGGCGCGGGGCCAATACGGTTATTATACAGCTAGCTACTGTACGCACAAAATTTTTATGTCGACTGCCTCTCTGTAACCGTCACTCTCACACTCACACTGTTCGCTCCCAATTTATGTGTATATATATACACATACATATATCTATGAGGAGGACTTGGTACTACTTACCTGAAATTGAACCCATTCCATTCCATTTCATACTTGACCAAATCAAAATTGCTCTGAGATGATGCAAGGAACCCTAACGATTGCAGCCAATCCTTATTTGCCGCTCCGGCAATCTCAGCGCCGGAGACTGTCGGTGCGCGCCGGCGCGGTGTTGGCGGAGGTGGACAGGAGGAGTCTCTACGAGGTGCTCCGGATCGAGAAGGACGCGTCGCCGGGGGAGATCAAGACGGCGTACAGGACGCTGGCGAAACTGTACCATCCGGACGCGGCCTCGCGATTTTTGGAATCGTCGTCGTGTTCGGATGGGCGAGATTTCATCGAGATCCGGAACGCGTACGCGACTCTTTCGGATCCGGACGCCAGAGCGGTGTATGATTTGAAATTGAAGGTTGATTCGAGGCGTGGATGGAGCGGTGTAGGAGCGGAGGCAATCGGAGGTGTCGGTCGCCGGAGATCCTCCACCGGCCGGAGGTGGGAAACGGATCAGTGCTGGTGACGTGGAAAAAGCCAGAATTAATTAATTAATTAATTGTTCTGTATGTAAATGAATTATTGGATCCAACTATAGTGTAGTAGGACTGATTCTTCAATCTATTACTAACAACGTTGTATACGCCATTTTAAAAAAAATAAAAAAATAAAAAAATTCTGCATACGCCGTCTTCATCAATGCTCTCTCAAAGTCACAGATTACTTCTTAGGGGTATATTTGTAAAATAAATATATTTATATCATTTTGTTAATCAAAGTTTAAAATTCAAAATATTTATGAAGAAATTATTTTTATTTCTTAAAAAATATCTCAACAAAAAAATTAATTTAAAAAATAGTGGTATGTAGCCTACTGCATCTCGTAGTCACCGGACGCCAATCAAAGACCCGACAGATAATTGAATCGGGGGTGTGACGTTAACGTCGTAATAATAATTATTAATATTATAATAGTGGTCGTGAAAAGTTGATAGTAACAGTAAGCTTATCCAAAAGGTGGGGTGGGTCATACTCATACAGACGAACATATTCTATCCTATTCCTATTTAACCCCCTCGATCGGTCTCCAACTCTTCTGGATTCGATAAGGCAAATACGCAAAATGGAATTTTCATCATTTGTGCACAAGTTTGAATGCTCATCTGCATATAGAAAGGACCCAGTCCCGATGGGATAGATAGATAGATTGATCGATAGATATGCTAGATAAATAAATAAATATAAATATAAATATAAAAAATAAATTATAGGCCTGTAAATATATTATTAAAATATATCTTTAAAATAATATTTTTTATTGACGATGATTGAATAAGAAATTGAATGTGAACGGACAGAAGAACTGAATCAGAGTGAAAGAGAGAGAAGGTGTGGGACGAGAATTAAATTTTAAAAAAATAGAGTGAAATATAGTTAACAAGAAAGAGATTAAAATATATATATATTATTAGAGTTTAAAATTTAATTTTAAAATTAAATAGAATAATTATGAAGAAAAAAAATATATAAATTATACATATTAAAATTTAATAATAATAATGGATAATAATTTAAAATATGAGTTGTGCACAGCTGCTGACACTGACCCTGTAAATATAAATCAAAACATAGAAATGTCAAAAACGTTCCAACCCATCCATACAAAATTGCATAGTATTTCTCTCAACTTGCCAAAAAATATCCAAAAAATTTGTGCAATTCTTCTAGCCCTATGTAGGAGGCAATGGCATTTCTTTTCCATGTCTCACTATTATTCCCAAGGGTAAGAAGATCATTTGGGGCTCATAAGCATGGAATTGATCACGTGCATGATCAACCGGATATGGGACGCCTCGGCGCTGCTTGTGGCCTGAAGGTTGCGATGGTGACTAAGTATTCGATACACTTGTTCGAATATTGGGTGAACATGCACTACAATGACAGGGTCAGAAGTATTGAGGACGGATAGAACCTCCCTCATCAATGATAGTTTCTGAGGGGTGTCTTTGCCGATATCACAAGCGAGCTGCTGTAGAAGAGATAGTAGCACCCCTTGACTCAAAGGGAGAGGATTCATCGACAGAATCCGGGGCAAGTCAACCTGGGACAGCACAAGAATAGTGTTGGAAACAGGAAGTTGTAGTCGTCGGATCGAATGGCAGCGTAAAGCATTATGAGATTATAAGGCAGACCATACCTGAGAACACAACCATGACACGATTGCAACATCACTTCTTTGCAGGGCAGCAATAAAGGCTTCCTCGAATTTGTGCTCGGCTATCAATCTGGATAGCTCCTTTGTTGGGTCAAGAGGTACCTCGAGCTAAAATAAAGCACACTTACTTTCAGAACAGAGATTAATACGAGCAGCGAGAAGGAACGTGAGTATGTTTAAATCTACAGCCAGGTAGCAGCAGGGCGAACCTTAATCTCATGAAGGCCACCTAAAGGTCCATTGCTCAGTTGATTTATTAATGAATTTGGCTGCGCATTGAGATTTGATGCAGAAGCAGCAAGTGCTAACAAGTTTCTTTGGCCGTCTCGCAATTCACCACTTAAAGTTTGAGCCATTGATGAAGCAGACTTTATGGCGTCCTGACAAGTAAGAAAAGGGGTTGGTGATATCAACTATAGAAAGAACGATGAAATGGCAACTAAACAACGGATTTCAAGGTAATATACAATCGGAGTTTCAAGAAAATCATAGAAGAAAATATATCTGTTTGAAGTTTTAATACCCCAAGTGCAAGGGCCAATGGTGTATGTGATGCCTCGAATTGTTGTTGAGCTGCTGCTGTATGGTTGAGCATTCCTTTCTGAAAGGCAGCGTCAATCTGCTCAAACATGGTTCTGCATGACATCTCAAATGCAGGGATCACGGAAGCTTCTAAGCCAAATTTCAAGGTCTCCTGCATCACAGAAATTTATACCAATCTATTCAGGACCCAGTAGACATGTTGATTTAAAACGAGGGAGGGAGGTGGATACCAATTGATAGATAACAAATGTCAAATGTAAAAGTCTTGAAGATGGATTAAATAACTTAACAACGAGTTCAAGTTACTGCACAGACAAGGCAAATTTATCTTCTAGTTCCAGTGGATGCAAAATACTATTTTAGATTCATTAAGTAAACGTCAATACATTCCACTACAGTCTTATAAGCAGGAACAAGACTTAAATAGGGAAACACCAAAATAAGGGATTAATTTCCAGTGTAAGCACCATGCATTCTTGAGAAAAAACAATAAAAACTGTAGGAAGAAGTGTGTTCATCCAACCTTTTTTGTATATACCCATGATTATACACAATATATAAAATATATACTCTTATCAATTTACAAAAATCAACAATTCAAAACAAACTATCATTTTTTTTTTATATTACCGACGCTATTCCCAATACTTAACATAAAAAATCACATCAATCCAAAAAACACAAAACAAACACACCCAAAATCTTCTATTTGATTTTCTTGCTCCCCCAGCATAGAGCATGTCAGAGCAAGTGTAGAACTTTTAAGCCATCAATCACAGACCGTACCAGAAATTAGTTGTGCATTCAATTCAATTCAATTTACAAATACTCTTAATTTTTATTTTTTAACTCCTTGCGCATATCACCAAAGAAGTTCGTCAATACGTGGATAGTTATCCAATTCCATTTGATATAGCAAAATTCATGTTCCCATTTGATACCTGAAGGGCTTGCTTTCCACAAGTCTGAAATTGAGCTTGGATATGCCTAGCAACAGTGGCTTCGAGTTTGGAGCTGACCGATTTATCCAATTGATTCACAACTTTATCTCCAATCCCTTTCTGGTGACATAAACAGTATAAGCTCAATAATGGATTACACACAACATATTCAAACAAAGATACAAAATGGTAACCTGGAAGGTCTCTGTGATACTGGTGGATATTGCTTTTTCAATAGCTGGAGTTATTATTCGTGCCACTGATTGCCCAAGTGTATTAATTTCTCTCTTGACAATTTTCTCCATTAGAGCCGGTAAATCTTTGTTAAAGAGGTTGTGCACCATGTTTGTAAGTTGCTGCATCTGCTCCAATGCTTCCTTTTCCTGTTTTGCATTCTCTTCTTGAATACGAACCCACAGAGCATCAAAATTGGCTTTGACAGCATTCTCCATGCTCTTTCCCAAGGCAGCCTCAAGTCTTTGGATTTCGTTGGTGACTGGAACAGCAGCCATCATAGCCATCTGCCTCTCCATTTCTTTTTGCGTTATAATAAGCTGCCGAATAATTAAAAAATAAAACCTGAGTCATCAAAATGCCTACCTGAGCAACACCCACAGAAATGACAATACTTGATTCCAAGACATATATATGTGTGCGAGTATCTCAATGGATGCCAAAAAATACGGATGAAACAGTGTCAATTCTAAATTTCTTGGTGTAAAGCACCATAATATTTCACCTGAATCTTTACGCATGATGAAAAACGGTTGACTAGGATATCATACCTTGTTTATAATGTAAGAGATTGGCAATATCCAGAAATAAGAGAAACTTAGATGATCAAATTGATAACAACAAATTACGTAAGAATACTTATGACCATAGAAGCAATACCTTTAAATTAGATGCACAACCAATAAATCTGAATTTTATAGTGTTCAAATAACAGAACTCTTGGAGAATCACCCAAGAAACTTCGCTAATGTCAATAACCAACTCAAAGAAATCATATCATCATTCCAGAATATAGTGAATAAAATCACCTGATTCAGCATGTCTTGCATGGAAAAATTTGGAGAAACTGCAGAATCTACTGGAACATTACTGGAGGATACAATTGGTCGACCATAAGAATTGGTTGGCTTGAAAGCACTAGGTGATGGTGAGGACAGGCCAGATCCTTGAGCACTCTTTCCCTTCTGTTTTTTAACTTCTATATCTCCTCCTGGCTGTGGAATTTCCTTACGTGTTGAGGAATCGGAAGCCTTCTGATTAATATCCTTAGCAAAGTCAAGTACCCTTTCTACTATAGATGAAGGTTGAAATCCTGTTTCCATTCCACTGGTCCTGCTAAACTGCCTAGTCTCCTCCATGACATATGATACAGAAGATGTGCCATGACTTTCTTGAGCCATTTCCATTCCAAGATCAGAAGTTTGAGAGCAGAAGGAATTTTCTTTATTCACTGACATAAAGGTCTGAATATCTCTTTCAGATCCAAAGCCATCAGTTTCATTATATCGTGATTCACCCACAACTTTAACATCGACCTCATCATTGCTTATTCCCACATCTTGGAAAGTTAATTCGCTGTCATTTTGGGGTGTGTTTGCTTGGTTGACTACAGATGATGATCTGCTCATCAATATCTCAGAAGGAGTCACCAAATGTGTAGGATGTTTAAATTGAATTGGGTGATTGAGCGCCATAGAAATATTGTCAGTGGAAAGTAGGTTATCATCATTTCTGGAATCACCATCCAATGAAGTAACATTAGATAAGTTTGTACGAGGAGAAGCCATTTGCCTCTCAACAGAATACTCGGTGATTTTCTGTTCAGAGTAATGGTTATTTACTGAAGGGCCAGAGATGCCTGACAAGCTTCGAAGACCAGAGTGTGTTCTGGACGATCGAGGGCTCAAAGGTGGTGGAGCTGATATATCGCTAATATTTGTAATTCTGGACAGATGATTTGATCTGGTTTCGATAATTGAGGATGCAAGCTCCTGAAGCATTGGTGACTCGGACAAAGAAAGGGTAACAGGATATCTCAATGTAGGGGGATTCTCCACTCCACTTTCCTGTCTGGATACCTTGTGGGCTGAACTAGATATCAATATCTCTGATTGCTGACTGCCAGAAGGCTCAAAACTGCTCGGTCCTTCAGTATCTCGTGAAACACTAGAGTCTGACTTCTCCCGGACCACATTCTCCAAAGGCGATGGCAGACACAGAGATAAGTCTAAGGCATACTGCTGAATAGCCTGTGTCTGGACACAATATACCTGAACTATTTGATCACCATGTGGCAAAAATTCACTTGTTCCCGTAAAACTTAGTATTGGCATCGTGACAGTAAACTCTGCTATATAATCCATGCGGGTTGCGGCTGGGTTTGGACCATATTGCAAGTGCACTGCATATATTGCATTCCTCTGGGCATTAGCCAATAAAAGAAGTCCAGCTTGTGACAAGGCTACTACTTGATTGAAGAAAGCTTCTGCCACATGAGACTCAGAACTTTTCAATTCCAATGTCTGAGTGCAATGCCATGATTCTGCATCACTAGGAAGCAACCAGCCTTCTTCACTTGCTGATACCCATATTTTCATTTCACGATTCAGTGGACCCTGCATGAATCCTTCAAATGATCAGTCCAGTAAAATGAGCATGAAAGTAACTTAGGAGTCAAATTAAATTAAGAGGTCATCAACAAAGAAACTGTACTTTAAACAAAAAGCAATGAATAAAAACATCATGTAAATCTTCTTGTAATGTACCCCAGTGATAAGTATGATATGATCAGGTCGATGGGGTGATGCCACAAAACAGACAGAGCTAACAGCTTGGTTATCATAAGGACGAAGAACAGCAATAGGTGATCTGTTCCGATCCTCCCAAATTTTTATCTGCAATTATAAACAGAGTGAGATTGTATATGAGTAATTTGTAGAATAACAATAAACCACAAAGCCTATCTAGCAAGAAGCATTTGATCATCCATTAAAGAAATATTGAAGGTGTCTTTAACTTCAGAAACTATTCCTACCATGAAGATTTTCTAATGTTTTCAAACAACATTGCCCATTCCAATAACATTCAGTATTGTTTGGCTTAATTGTTATTTTTTTCTCTTAAATATAAAGGTGATCAGTTTTCAACCAAATTCATCTATCTTGCAGCTAGGCAGTTCACCTTTCGTCCAAGACAAATGATAGGCCGTTTTTCCGTCAGTGTCTTCATGAGTATGACAGAGCAAAAGCATCTATATAAGGAAAAAAAATCAATTCTTTCTTTTAATTGCTTCCAGACCAGATCCAAAATGGTCCTTTCTTTCTACGGCGGAATCATGGTTCAATGGTGTGACATCATTCAATTAGTAAATGATGTTCTCTTGTGCATTTAAACTTATTTGCTGTGCATATAACAAGATTTTCATATTTCTAGAGTGAGAAAGAGAACATTATTTAAATTTGACCCTTGATTCTTTCTGATTTATTCACCATAGCCCATAATATATGATCAGTTATTAAAAAAGCGGACATGCTATTAGGATAGGATCCGCTCTTCTACTCTGGGAATCATATAAACTATGATCCTGAAAAATACCAGAAATATAATTTATCAACAAACCATTCCATCCACAGAAGCAGATGCTAGGCGGGTGGTCATCCATTGGCACATAGACAGATCAGTTACATCTCCATCATGGCTGCCAACAAGTTGTATCCCATCAATCAACTTTTCAATTGAACATTTGAGGGGTTCATCTGCTGAGAATTTTACATTTTTTCCAACTTTTGTGGTGTCAATCTTCAAAATATATTTCCCAATTCCGACCACCAGAACTTCCTGTAAGACGAACATATGTACTTGGTAAACCAAGAGTGTGCATGGTTGGGGTGAACCACATATACGAGGAATCCAAAAAACATAAAGGCAAAGATATACTTGTTTATGGCAATGCCAACAAACTTTAGGATGGAGAGGTCCCCCCTCCCCAGTGATTTGAATGGCCATAACAATCCCTCCAGAAATTTGGGGATTGTCTTCTTTATCCAAAACTTCAGTAATCCTCCAAACATAAACCCGACCATCCATACTGACACTGTGTAGGAAAAAAATTAGAACAATAGAAAATATGCAAATTATCAATTGAAAAAGAGCATACCTAGCCAGAAGGTGAACATCCTCAGCAAAGAAAGCCATGTCGGTGACCCTCTGGAAGTAAATACATGATCCAATTAATAAATGAAGGATTTAGATAGCTTATGAAAGCTCACTTTAGTATCCAAAATTTAAAATTCTTGTCAAAGAATTCCAACCACTTTCCCCATCTACCTAGCCTTCAGATGTCATAGGATTAAATGGGAAAAGGTTTGGATGTATGGCAAGTACATATTCGTAAGATACGTACAGGCTTTAATGTGTAGTTATAAAAATCAATGTACGTCAAAACTACACTTTAAAAAAATTCAATCAAGTACAAAGGCCCAGAGTAATTTTGCAATCAGATATTTGTGATGTAAATTCAACTGCACTGCAAAAGCACTCCTACATCACTACAAAATTAAAAGCTCCTATAGTTAGATGTGCAAATAACATTTGCAACTCTGCCGAATATTCATATATGTCGTCGACTAAATTTTACCACAGTTATCACTGGTTCACAGCATGCTATGGCACAAAGAAGCTCCTGGGACCATGATACAAGATGCATAGTGTTTGTAATAAATATTTGGCTCAAGGGTACATGATATATAAAAATACATATAGACTAATAAGAATAGCAAATAAGCATAGAAGTTAGATACAAAGTTACAAACACGGATAACTTTCAACTTATATTATTTTAGTTAACAGAAAAGGTAAAGGGCACTTATGTCAAGTACTTTAATGCAATTAAGTAACACGAAACCCAGGATTGCCAAGGCAATTAAGTTTGCTTGCTTCATATCAGAAAATCTGATTCGCTAGGCTAATCCATGTTCATCTTAGAATGGCGGCGTAAGGGACAAATGGCATTATATAAACAAAAATAGCTTTACTTCAACACGGATGCAAGTAAAACCTCGATCAATAGAATAAAGTAAATGATCATTGTATAAACAAGAATATCTGTTTTCTAAGGCATTTAAATCATTACAATATTACCCTACTCGGATTTGAAGAATACTCAACAATAAAATGAATGAAAGCTGTGCAACCAACCTCCGAAAGACCCTTGAGCAATTCCCTCGATGCAGTGTTTATATTGAGCACCCGAATAGTCCCCAACTTGAGCCCATAACATATATAAGTCTTATTCACAGCAATTTGTCTACCCACCAGAAGTTCGGGATCAGAGCCATATTTTGTAATAGGTGTAACCTCGAGCTGAGGCTGCACCTCACCAGGTAATCTAACATCTATATCATAAACAATATGATCCCCAGTCAGATGACGTCCCTTAGGAAGTTTACTACTTGGCATCCGCATCACAGACTCCAGCGTTGATGATGGAGCACTCAGAAGAGCCATTAAACGAGCACCAGACTTATTAGGGTTTTCAGGAGCAGACAAACGCTGGTGCTGTGAAGAAGCTATTTGCAATTGAGGTTGGACCGGTGGAGTAGGATATGACAGGGACCTCTGAGGGTGCACATTAACCAATTCCGGAGGTGGAGGTGGCGGCGACGGATTGACGAAAGGAGTGTACGGGTGGTGGTAATGGAAGGGAGATGATGTTTGGGGCGGATAGGAGTAGGGACCGCCGGCCCCGCCGGTTGGCGGAGGATAAGAGGAGGCTGAAAGAGGCGGGAACGGCGAAGATACCAAATTAGGGCTAATATTACCGCTCCCAACATTACCTGTGAATCCGAGATGGTTGGGGTTAGACGCCGGCGTGGAGGTCGCCGGTGGTGGCACACTAGAAGGTTTGAATAAATTAACCATATCGAGGGGAGGATCCGGATTCCCAGGCGTCGCCATATCCACCAGCGCTGTCAATTCCCCCAATCAGCGACAATCGGCGCAGAGTCCCCAGGCCCGACAATCAACCGGAGAAGATCTGGCGGCGTTTCCGGCCGATTTCGAGCTTCTTTCCGGCTTGCACTGGCATACGATTCCGACTCCAATCCCGATGCATAGATTAAATGAGAGATTTCAATGAAGATCGGAGATGGAGGCAGCAGCGGGGGAGAGAATGGAACGAGCGAAACAAGACTATGAGGAGACTGAAACCGAAGTCTCAGCAGGCAAGTGAATAAACTATAGGAAGACGATGATGAATGGATCCATGGATTATAATAATATGGAGGCAACGTGAGCATCATGGCGTGTTCTATTGTGTCCATTACATCTTACCTCGCTCCGATTTGCTCTTTAGTCCTTACACTTCCCTCTAATGCCATATTGCACCCCTCATCTGCAAACTAATACAGTACTTACTATAAATCAAAACATCAACAGCTTAAAAGGGCCGAAGTTTTCCATTAATGCCAATATCTAAACTGGACAAAAAGTAGAAATCTTAACTGAGAATATTTTCCAGTACCTTAACGGGATATGAAAACATATACATATACATATATACTTCCCTGCTGATAAAGGCACCTTATCGACGTAATAACGGCACCCTCTCCTTCAATTTCTGCAATCGGAAAGAGCTCATTCGGTAAAGCTCTTCCAAAATGGAAATGTATCCACTCAGCCGCCTCCCCGGCGGAGCTTCACTCATGTATCTCTGGTAGCCATGCTTCAGAGCTTCACGAATAGACTGAGCAGCATCATCATAATTTTTGCTTCCGAATGTTTCCTCCACATGGTTAAGATACTCCCCGAATATCCTCCAGCACTCGTCTGTTTGTTCATTAGATGAATATATGTTATCATAAAGCTGCAGGCTTGGCTGAGGCTGCAACAGGAAGGGAACCGACTCTGGCGGCAGATTGACAGGAGTTTGAATGTTCGGGGACATTGCTGTGGGCTTAGGAGTGGTTATAAGAGAAGGGCAAGGTTTGAACTTGAAGGTTCTGCATTCTCCTAGGCGAAATTGGTCATTGGGTCTCAAGCCTGATCCCCTTTTGTTTTCGTAACCAGGGTAATCTTTAATTCTGAACATGTCTGCGCCAATGAAGGTCAACGAACACTCTGGTGCAAGATCTTCAATCTTCCAATGGCTGAATGGAAGGGTGATCTTGTGATTGATGTGAATCTCGCCATTCGGCCACAGCATTCTGCTTGCATTCATCAAGAATCCCCGGACGAGTTCCCTGTGCTTCCTGCGGACAGAAGAAGACTTCAGAATATGATTCTCAATCAAGCCATGTTCGACATATAAAAATAGCATAAATCAAACACAAACAAGGTATATAACATTGAGCTAGAAAGCACAGAGGGCTACTTGATAAGATCCGGACTGTCTTCCTTGCCCAAAAATCCAGCATGGGGAAAGTTGAAGATGATCCGATGAAATCTTTTCCACCGAAGACAATCAAGATTGCTCATTTTAGTCGCATCCACACCGTGCATCAGGGATGCACCTAAGGCTCCCAACATTGCCAAATTCTCACTTGCATACGGATATTTCCTTAGCAAATCATCTGGTTCAAGGAGAGGATAATAGAAGGCAATGCCCTGATATGGTTAAGCTTGATATAAACACAGAATTATCGGGGAAATGAATTGGAAAAACAACAAATGGTCATCAATCACAAATTTCCACATAACAGGGAGAATCATCAATTGGTAAAAACTCAAAAAGTTTAAAGCCTACTACAGAGAAGGAAAGCAACGAAGAGCATCTGCAGCAGTTACAATGTACTCAACAATACATGTCACAAAATACACACAAGTTCGTTCACAGAGAAAACCTAGAATGATGTGAAATCGCCAGTCAGCCATAGATTCTCCCATTGCAGGACGATCATCCAGTTATAAAAGATATTTTTCCATCCAGTACAAACAAACAAAGCCAAGCAACCGCAACTGCAGCGATAGCATCATAATCTACAACACATGCTACAAAAACATACACATACGAAAGAACTTCTCGATCTCGCACAGAATTTCGGATGACATAAATACGAAAAAGCCAGCGATCAACGAAGAACACTAAAAGAAACAAAATAAACCGAAGGAACACAAGCGGAATCTACGTGATCGATAAATCAAAAACAGAAACACTGAAGAAACAACGCCGTACCGTAAGTATCCAAGGAAGTTGTAACAATGTTGGTGGCGGTTGCGAAGGCTATAGCTAAACAGAGTGAAAATGAAAAATCTCCTTCTCCTACCAACAATATGTCGTGGATCGACGAGTAATGCTTTATCCACCTCTGCTGCCGTCCCCACGGATAAAGTCCGGCCATCGTCGCTTCCATTGATGCAAGTGCAACCTACTGTGTAGACACTCCGTTTTTAATCAATCTCCATTCGCCAATGGCGGAAGTTTTCCAAAACGACGCTTCAATGAAGAAGACTAAGGTCAACTAAAAAAGTCGGGCATTGAAATGACAAAAATACCCTCAATCCGTACAGAGTGTTTCGTGGAAACGGCGAGGATAATTTCGGAAAAGAGCAAGGTCGGAATCCGCTGTGGCGCCATCGAACATACGTACGTGTGAGTAGCCAATAGGGATTTAGCTTAGTTGGGAAGTTTTGAAATGGTACAACTCTTGAATTGTACTGCTACTTCGTAATTAAATCCCAAAATTGTAATTAAATTAAGGAATAATCATTACTTTTTTTTTACTTTATAGTAATATATAAAAAGTTAGTGCGATGTGGACGTCATTTAGCCTTTTTTTTTTTTTTTTTTTTTTCGTTTTTTTAACTATACATTTTATATAGAAATAGTACGCTCTATATAAGTTTAATTTTATTTACGAATAAAACTGTTACTTCAGCCTCAAAATGACTCGTATCGAAATTATATTATTATAGTGAAAAAGATTTACTTTTTATAAATCAAGTTACTTTTTAATCGTACAATACAAGGGAAAAAAAATTACCTCAAAACTTATTTGATTTTCAATGATATTCTTTTTGATATTGTAGTATAAAATATAAAAATATTTTATATTTAAACAAAATTATAATTACTAAAAATAAAATAATACAAATAGCAATTAAATACATAGACAGTATTTATGCGTCATCAGCATCAGCAAAATAATAAGTAATGTAATATGGCAGCAAAGTATTGATCCCATCCATACTCCTTTCAAGTGAAGTAGGGTTTGAGTAAGATCAGTCCTGCATTCTACATATCTAGATACAATATTTATTACTTATTTTTGTCATTTAAATTTATAATTTTTTTTTTATCAAAAATATTTTCAATTTTTAAAACAAAAAAAGAACATTTTCTAATTTTTTATTTTACTATAAAAAATAAAAAATAATAATTATTACTTATTTTTATTAAAATATATACTCAAATATTTGAAAAGAGCCACACCCAAAAATCCATACATTTTATACATATAAATAGCATAGTGTTCACATCATTTATATAATACTCTTATAATAAAAATACAACACAACTCATAAGATATAATATAATAAACGTTAATTCTAACACATGACATACTTTTGTGCAGCACACACGTTATAATTATGAACAAAAACATGTCTTTATACATATAAATTTCTATAATACAAATAAATAAAAATTTAAATATATATATATGTTGGGTATAATAAAATTCATAATCAAATCATACAATATAAATTTTATCAATTAAATTTAATACGCATTTATATTATTTTATTCATTATTCATTAAATTAATACACATCAAAATTCCTCAAACCCCAACCAAATCCAAACATAAAAGAAACAACCAAATTTAAACTCATCCCAAAATTCAAATAAAAACCAAAGTCAAATTCAACTTTTCTCACACTCCCATGAAACACACCCCAAGTTATAATCCAGAAAATAAATAAAGAAATTGGGGGAAAAAATTCTGAAGTGCAGAAGATTCAAGATAATAATTGATTATGATTCTGTGAGAAGTAACAATCCAACATTTGGTTCGGTTTATATTAGTATAACTTTTGGAAATTTTTTGAATTTCGACAGTTATCAAAGACAACAAGAACAGTGATAACAAATACTATATACATATTCATCTGCCAAAGCCTCTCTGGCTATTTGTACCCTAAAAATTTACAGTATGTTTTCTACATGTTTTTAAGCTTTTATTTGGTGGTATTCGTCAAAAGTTACGTAGCAAAAACCAACAAATTAGCTGAATTAGAGTTGGATCAAACAGACAAAAAAAAAAAAAAAACCTGGAACATAGCCGTGGATCAACGAATCGTGGCGTATCGAAGGAGCTTCGGATTTCTCAAACGTTTGTTTTCCAAAAACCTCAAAAGCGTTTCTTGCTGCCGGAGTCGTCGCATCGGGATATTTGGACGTTTTGTCTCCCGTATGGATCGGAGGCAACAAATATGGTCATATTTCCTACACATGGCCTTCGACATGTGCGACAACCACTCCATCGGTACTATATTTACGTATGTAAACAAAAGCATATAGCAAAATAAACATATATATACCATTTAAGGCCAATTCATAAACCCGATTTACAACAGCAGAACATTTTTCATATCATATCATATAATATAATATAATATATATATATATAATATAGTAGAAAAAGGCATATTATATATATATATATATGCTTCATCTAAGGCCAAATTTGTAGGTCTTGCTGGGCTTGCAAAAGAAGTTAGCGTCTCCCCCAAATCCACACTTGGTTCGATATCCAGGGTAGTCCTCAAGGTTGAATTCCACGGCCTCCATCAGACGCAGCCTGTGCGAAGAAGCTATTCCCTCCACCTTCCATTCTTCATGGAATCCGTTCGTCTTGTGAGTTATGTGAATCTCACCATTTTGCTTCACCATCTCCTTCGCGTTCTTCAGGAACAAGCTCACCAGCCGCCGGTGACGCCTGCACCATTCATTCGTTCCAACTTATATGATCTAATATTTGTGGATTTATTTTTTTTTACAGTTGATTATGGAGAATATATATTCACCGGAGCTGAGAGTCGCGCGGCAGTTCTTTGAAGAATCCGGCGAAGGGGAAGTTGAATACTATGCGGTCGAATTTTAGTTTGCCGAGCAGTTGGTGGCCGGCGAGTTTGGTGGCGTCGACGCCGTGCATCACCGTGCACTTCCGAACCCGGAGCTCGTTGATGTTGGACGCAGCGCCGTCATAATTCTTCTTCAGGAATTCTGAAACAATTTTGATTTGGGGATTTCGTTAAATTAGGTTTTAGTTAGGATATGAAATTAAGCGAATGATGATTAATGGAAGTTTGTTTGATTGATACGTACCTAGGGAGTCGAGCGAAGTTGCGAACATGTTGGGGGCGGAGATGAAGGCGGCGGCGAGGGAAGCTGAGAAGGAGAAGTCGCCGTCGCCGACGACGAGGATCCGGTGGCGATTGCAGTAGTGTTTGATCCACCGCCCTCGCTCCACCGTCGCTCTTCTCTCTATAATAATCACCTCCGCCGCCGCACTTTCTTTTCCTTTCCCCTCCGCTGCCTTCTTCTTCTTCCTCCTCTTCTTCTTCGCTGTTTCCTCCGTTTTCGCCGCCGGCGGTGGCTTTGCCGCAGCCTCCGGCAGCCGGCGGCTTACATTTGCAGGCGGACTAATTTCCTGAACAAAAACAGACGATTCGACTGTTCTCTCATCGTAAAGAGAGAGCCAGTAGGCTATGTCTGGTATCGACACTATCACCGGCTCCGGCGGCTCCCCGCCGGTAACAGAGGAGTTTCCAGCCGCCGGAGAACTTTCCGGGGACGTGTAGTATGTGGAGGAGGCGTTATCAGGGTGCGAAACAAGGAGGTTTTGGATCCCTTGCATAGAGTCAGTAACCGGAGAGTCTCCGGCAGCCGGCGATCTCTCCGGCGACGAGGAATAGGCAAAGGAGCCATTATCAGACGGAGAAACGATGAGATTTTCGAGCAGCGAAGGTCTGTTGCTTGGGTACGGCGGTGGAATTTGAACAGGCAGAAGAGGATCTTCTGCTCTCGCCGGCGTAGAGAAGAGACCGACGAATCTGCGCCATAGGAACTTTACGGCAGCTCTGCAGTAGGCAAATATATTGAGAGAATCTCCGGCGCCGGAGGAGCTTATTCTGGAAGAAGGGTTGCGGCGGTGGAGATTTGGATAATGGGTGTGACTCCAGCGGAGGTAGGGATTGTGCCGGTGCCGGTCATCGTCATCCTGAGATTTTCCGGCGAAGAAGCGGACGACGGCCTGGAAAATTCCCATATTTGTTTATCTGAATCAGAACGAGGAGGAATCGCAAAAATCAGGTCATTTCTGCATTTCATTTCACGGGCATGGGAGCTTTACTTTCTATGAAAGTTATTATTATTTTTTATTGGGAAGGAACATTGCCGCCAAATTCTCTACTGCTGGTGGTTCCATGGGACTGTCTAATATTCTTTCGTAACAAAACCAAAAGCTCGCGAATAAATACACTTATAACTTTTTCATGGGAGAGGTAAAAAAATACATATGGGATTTTTTGCGGAATTAATACTCGCTCCATTCAATTATGTTTTCATTTACTTGGCACAAGTTTTTAAAAAAATACTCTCGCCTCCGAAATATTTACCCATTTGGGCTCTGTGCACAAATTTAGAAAAAATAAATATTTTATTAGAAAAAAATAAAATAATGGAGTAGTTAAAATTATTTTTAAAAATTTAATTAAAAATTAAAAAAAATTGAGAGAAAATATAATAAAATGAATGATATTTATTGTAAATAAGTATTAGATGAAGAGTAATAGTTAAATTTTGACTTTTTTTACTTTTCTAAATATAATAATGAGGTAAATTTTATGGACAATGATAACAAATTTGACAGAGTAGTAAAAATATAAATTTTTAGTTTTAGGATAAAAACATAGTAAAAAGTTATACTCCATTTCGTCTCATATCTATATATTTATTTGCTTTTTGTACGGAGTTTTAGAAATATTAGTATTACATTGAGATAAAATAGAAATAAAAGTAAAATGATTAAATTAACCCTATTAGTATTGTATGATATAAATGTATGATATTTGTGTAATATATTATAAATTGGAAGGATATTTGTAATGTTAGGTAGATATTACTATTACTAAAAACGAAATATGAATACTTTGTTATGAAACAAATTAAAATAAAAAAATAGAGAAATTGTTAAGGGACGGAGGAAATATTTTTTTAAAAAGAATAAAAATAAATTTAAATGACAATCAAAAAATAAAATAAAAATAAATTTGAATGAGAAATAGAGCACTCAATTGATTTCTATAAAAAAAAATATAATTACATGTATAAAATATAGATATGTCTTGTTGTCTATATTTATTATGTGTACAACATATTAATATGTCTTAAAATTAATTGTGGTATATGTTTTGTGAAATTATATTGTGTGTGATATTTTTATTGTATTAATATACTCTCGTCTTATTGGAAGGGTGATATTTATTTTTTGCACGTAGATTTTTGAATATTAGTATTATATTGGATTGTAGTAAAAAAGACAAAAATACCTCTATCAGTAAAAGTAATTTGTGTAATATAATGTAACTTGAAATGGTACTTATTATGTTAGGTAGGCAGTACAATTACTAAATTATGAAATGATAACCTTATTTTGGGACAGACGAAAATAGAGAATGGTAACTTTTTAATGGAATAGGGGAGTATATCATATGTTGTTTTGTCTGTTAGCAACACACAATGCTGCCTTTTTCATTGTATTCTTTCATGGTGTGTTTGGTTGTGGTTTGAAATTGATTTGAAACAAAATGTTAATTTGAAATTTTACTTAAATAGTATTTTGATATAATATATTTTTATTGAAAATTTTGTAAAATAAATATTGAGATTGACACTTAATTAAGAAATTATATTGATACGAAATGTAAAAGTATTTTTAAAAGACTAAAATAGTCATATTTTATGTAATTATTGTGAAAAAATAAGGATAATTTGGTAAAAAAATAGAGAATTTGTTAAAAAAATAAAAATTAGACAGACAAAAATGACAAAATTGGCTACTCCATCCGTCTTAATACAATACTCTTGTTTACCATTTTTGTCCGTTCCAAACAATAGTCTCATTTTTATAAATAATCGTATCACCATAAAACTATCAATGTTTTTTTATTATTATTATACAACTGTCACTACTTTTTACACTAATATACTCACAATGACAAAAAAATTATTTATCCTTACTTTTTACCAACTACTAATATTATATCAATATTCATTAAATTTCGTATCAAATATAATAAAATTATATTTTTTTGGACGGAGGGAATATTATTTTTTAAGAGAGAGAGAGAGAGAATTGATCTATATTTGATATTGTAACCAAATAATAAAAATATTACTATAATTTTTGTTTTTAGATGTTTGGTATTGTGAAAAATATTAGTATTGACACAGGGTGTCTTTCTTTAAGAGAGTTTTGAAAATTTGAGTATGAGTTTCGTTTTTATTTAAATTTTGGGGTGAATTTAAATTTGTGTGTTTTTTTTGTGTTTAGATTTTGGTTGAGCTCGAAGAGTTTTGAAGTGTATTGATTTGATGATAATGAATATAATAATATAAAATATTTATTAATTTATATTATTTAATTATAAATTTTATATTATATTTGCATATATATTTTATTAAAATTTTATTTATTTGTATTATAAACGAATTTATATTAAATATTAAAAATTTTGAAATAAAATAGTTATAGAATAAAATATAAATAAATATTGAACAAATATTTTAAATATAAAATTAATTTTTAATATAATATACAAATTTAAAAAAGTAAATATTTAATTTATTTTTAAGAGAAAAAAATAATAATGAAAATGAAAATCATGATTAAAAACCGTCAGAAAAACACACCCTAATATTTTTTTTTACTTCAGCTCAACTCAATGCAATGGAGTTCCATCACGAACGTCCCCGACACTGTTCCACACTAATGTGTCGTACAGTAACTAAAATTTCAAAACAGATCGCACAACACAATTAGAATTTCTCCAGATCTCACACCGAATATGATTCTAACGCAAGGCGATCGGATTCGGAGCAACAAATTGATTAATTAACAGTATCATAAAGCAAATCGAGTGTCCATACCTTTTTATCATCAATCAATCAACGCGCGACGATCACCTCATCGATCGATGTTCTTCAACTTCGCCTCCTGCGCGCAGGTACGAAGCCGACTCTAATTAAAATTGAAGCACAGGCGTAGCAGATCGATGGAGATGAATTATAAAAAAAACAGAGAAGTGATCGCAATTAATTCACTCAGTTGGGTAGGGTAATCATGAAGGGAATGAAGACTAGTGCGAAGACTTATAAAGGTGGGGGTATGTTAGTCATTTCGGTGTGGTTAGCTGCCACAGTTTCTCCTGGAATTTGAAAAGTAGGCAGCGATGGCGATGACGACGACGAAGACGTGACTTCATTTCCGTACAATATATAGTCGTCCTCTAAATTATAAATTATGTTGTTAAAGTCGCGCACTAGTGAATAATAATATTAATAATTACTTTATTTATTTATTCTCTTTAGAAAAAGTGGTGGTTATTTTATTCTTTAATAAATATTTTTTCTTAAAAAAAAATCAAATGTATATATATATAAATGTAAAAAATTCCATAGAATTTGAATAGTGTTCTTTATATTGTTTAATAAAGTGATTGGGTTTGTGCTTTGTACGGAAAAGAAAATGAATGATATAATTCTATAGTAAAATAAAATAATATACTTCATCCCTCTCTTTGAAAATAAAATAATATACTTTATTCCTCTTATCGAAAAGTTACCATTTTTAATTTTTATTCGTATTAAAATAAAGTTATCATTTTTTAATTTAATAATTGTACTACCTATCTAATATAATAATAACAAGTACCCTTTCAATTTACATATTACACAATAGGAGTATTTTTTATTTATTTGTATTACATCCAATAAACAAATGATATCCTTCCAATGGATGATGAATATTTTACTTTTGATATAATATTTTAAATAAAATCATTTTAAATATATTTAAATTATATAAAACAAAAAAGAATTATAAATAAACAATATAAATTTTTTTAAATATTTAATTAGAAACAATTTTGAACAGTTTTAAATATTAGATAAAATGAGTATATTTTATTTAATACTGAATAAAAAAGCCGATCAAACACATCTCATATTATTGAATAAAATAAAAATCATACGATTCAACGGTGCAATGAATTACGGTCGCTGCTGAATATCCATCCGTCGGCGCACAGTCTGCGATCCATCGACGGTTTTCAATCTTCTCTGAGTAGATTCAATTCTCTACTCGAAGAAATTGATCGCGACGGAATCTATACGATCGAGTGAAGCTTTCGAAAATCAACACTCCGAAAATGGTTGATCGATGGAAGTTTTAGTGTTTAGTGCAGAAATTCGAGGGGGACGGGAGCAACAAAGAGCACAATCAAATTATTTGCAAACAGAACTTGCAGAAACAGGAGTAAGTTTAGATGTATTTTACCTCGGAGCACCGTCGATGGATGAATCATCGATCTGCAGGAGACACAAATGTTCGATGGACGATGGATCACCGGCGGCAGATTGACAGAAGCAAAGTACTGAGAGAAGGTACTCGAAAGCGGAGAGAGTAAACAAGGAAGGTGCGGTTAATTATGCACAAATACAACAGGTAAAGCAATTTTCTATAGCACTGTACATGAAGACTTCATGGCGAAGACTTGGAAAAAGCCATTCTAGTGACCGCTTTTCTTCCGTGTGCTGCTTTGATTTCCAAGTCATTGAAATGTTAGACAACGACATAAAATACAGTGTACTTCTCTTAACTATTTCACTCTTCATTTCCTCGATTCGATTGCAATTATTTGTTTAGGGGAACTATTGAATACACAATACAGTATATACATCTAAATTATGTTTTGGCGAACGATCCGAGTACAAATGCATAAGATTATATGGTAGGGATGATGATGATATTATGTATTTATGTACGAGAATCACATGTAAACTTGTTACAGAAGGATTTAAGCACAGAAGATTCAAATCAAATTAGTTATTTAAACACAGTAGAGGTAATCAGATGGATATATATGCATTGCTGATTAATATTTGTATCCTTTCTCGTAGAGACTCTGGGAGGACAGATCGGTGGCGGCGGCGGCGTCGGTGCCGCCGTACTTCCCCAGTGTTGCCTCCGAATTCGCCTTGCACCTCACCAAGAACGCGGCCTGTGCTTTCTCCACATTCTCTGCCTTACCGGACCATATCTTCAACGTGCTCTGCTGCAGAGCTCGTCCGAATGAGAACGACAGCGTCCATGGCGTCAGCACGTCCAGCTTGTTCATGGCGTTCAGATTTAAAGTCGCCTCTTCCTCGCTTTGCCCGCCGGACAAGAACACAATTCCCGGCACAGCCGGTGGCACTGTCCTCCGCAGTGCCGTCAATGTGTACTCTGCAATCACTTCTGGAGCAACCTGTGGAGTATGCATAAAGCTTCATCAGCAAGAAGAAGATGATGGTACAATCACATAACGTGTATATATACACATATATATATGTATATATAGGTTACTTTGGCGCTGTCGGAGCCGGGAGTGACCATGTTGGGTTTCAGGAGTGTCCCTTCGAGGAGGACATGGTGATCATTGAGCGCCTTGTAAACTGCAGCCAGGACGGCTTCAGTGACCGCCGCGCATTTCTTGATATCGTGGCTGCCATCGGTAAGGACCTCGGGCTCGACAATGGGGACGAGGCCGTTCTCCTGGCAGATAATGGCGTAGCGGGCCAAGCCCTGGGCATTCTGTTGAATGCTCAGTTCAGAAGGCTCGTTTGGACCGATCTTGAGGACCGCTCGCCACTTGGCGAACCGCGCCCCAGCCTTATAGTACTGCTGGCACCGTGTCGCAAGCCCGTCAAGCCCCTGAGTGGTGGTCTCACCATCAGTGCCGGCAAGCTCAACGGTGCCCTTGTCGACCTTGATGCCGGGGACGACATTATTGTCGTGGAGGACATCGACAAACGGCTTCCCATCCGTGGTCTTCTGGTAGAGCGTCTCTTCGAACAGGATGACGCCAGAGAGGAAGGAGAGTGCCGAGGGGGAAGTGAAGAGAAGCTCGCGCAGCGCCTGGCGATTTGACTCGATGTTCTCGACGCTGATGCTGGCGAGACGCTTTCCGATGGTGCCGGTGCTCTCGTCTGCCGCCAGTATCCCCTTCCCCGGCGTGGCGATGTACTTGGCAGTCTTGATCAGTTCATCTCCATCATGCGTAAGTATTGTTAGCGTTAATCAATTAGATTTCATATATATATATATGTATCAATGGAATAAAGAAGCCATTTTTTCTTACCAGCATACTTGCCTACGAATGCAGACATGGTCGATGATGAGAAGAAAGCCTGCAATGGTCGATGATATTATAGTTAGGAAAAGCAGTTTATATATATACATATGTATATATAATACCAGAGAAGCCTGAGGAAGAAACAACAGGGCGACACGTGTGACGAGAGTAGCCTGAGGAAGGTTATCGGTTATCCTCCTTAACGAGTGATCCCTCTGCCTTCTTTATCCTTCTCTCTGTCATTATCATCAATGCAAGCTATAGTATGAAGAAGAAACCAACCCCATTTATGATCATAGCAAAAAAATACAACTTTCAGTTAAATTACGGCGATATTTATATATATATAAGTTTCATTTCAGAATTCCAAAAAATCAAAACTCCAGATTCACTGGCAAGCTATCCATGCTCGTCTCGTTTTGTTTATTTTCAATTTTATTTCTTTCCCGTTTGTGGCTGGTGATGTTTTTGCAGATCGAGACGTTGTTGTCATTGTCGTTGCCGTTGCTTGTCAATCGTCGTCTGTGCCGAAGTATCTGTCGCCAAACTCGCCCATCCCTGGAATCACCCGGTAATCTTTATTCAGACCGATTTCTATCTCAGATGTCACGATCTTCAGCCGGGGGAAACGTTTGCACACCACATGTACTCCTTGAGGTGCCTGAAATTAACAATTTATCCAACATTCTGCATGAAATTTATTCAGGTTGTGAAGTTCTTGGAATGGATCACAGATAGAAATGGATAACAGCAATCTTACTGATATTAGATTGAGGAAGATAATGTTTGGCTCAGGAACTCCCTTCTTGATCAGCAAAGAAATTGCTTGGACAGCCGAATTCCCTGAAAATATTTGACATTTTAAGGAAACAAACACAATGCTGGTTTTAAGAACATATATAAATATATGAACAGCGCAGACCTGTGCCGAGAATTGGATCCAACAACAAGACGTGCCTATCTGAGATGTCGTTGGGAAGTTTTTCGTAGATCAGCTGCCAGACATAGAAGTTAAATCAAGAGCCTAGAGGAAAAGGCGTCGAAATTTGTGAAGGAATAGGCACATGGTGTGCTTACTTGTTGACCGTTGTCGCCCTCCCTGTGTATAAGAATTTTGCCGATCTTTATTCCCTTGCAGCATGCACGCAGCGCATTCTCCATGCTCTCGCCACTACAGAGGTTCGAGATCATTAGCAAAAACTGTTGAGGGAAACAATGGAGCTGCTGAGTGATATGATCTTACACACCTTCTGATAACAGAGACGCCGCATAACCTCTTACAGAAGTCTACTCCGGTGTAAACAGATCCTGCATTGATCGAGAAATTTCATAGGTACGCGATACAAGTTTTGGGAGCCCTTTTAAAGACAAAAAAACAGAGATATGGACACGGATCTGATGGATACAGTTGAAACATTCAAGAATAACCAAATAGTAGAGTCGTAGCTCAAGCATTCCAGGGCATTGAGACAGGATCTATTTAGGCATCAGGGCAGAGCATAGAACAGAAGAGAACATCATCCAGAATGTCTGAGGACTTACCAGTTGGAGTGATCACCTGCTTTTCAGTGAACGGGAGATGGCCCAGACCGTGTTCGACAACCTGAGGACAACGAAGAACATGCCTAAATAAGAAAGCCAAGCAATGATGGCTATCCAACCATAGCTCGTGACAGTCGTAGAAATAGATACCTCTTAATAAAAATAAACCTACCAATCGGATCAACCGATCAGAGTAGAAGACGAAGTCATGTTTCGTTGTTTGGGCATCGCGGATAAGGGTGTGCATACCCCGGATCTGGATTAGTAAAGATGAGGACCAAGAAATGGAAAATGATTAAGGTGTATCGAGTCGACAAGACCGTAATGTTAAGAGATGCATCCACAAATTAGCAACATGAGAAGAATACCTGAAAAGTTGATTGAATAACATATAAATTAGGATATATTTTACAAAGGTTGTGCTGGCCAAGCTTGGTCCGAATATGTTGAACAATCAAGTCGACAGCGACATCGTTGTCTCCTCCCCGAGGGATGATAATGTCAGCATACTTCTTTGTTGGAAGTATAAAATCATCGAATGCGGGCTTTACAAACTTCGAATACTGCATTCAAAAATCAAAACGATTAGAACACCAAGCAGATCGAAGAATATCATGTCAAGCATTGAAAGAATTTAAGATAATGAAGAATGTACAGAAACAAAACGATAATGGGAATAAGTTTGGGTCAGCAAGTTAAAAGTTTCACCTCATTATGCCAAAAATCGAATGGTAATTGTAAAATCACGACGATTAAACTACAGAGTTGATTTAGCAAAAATAAGTAGCATTCGACTACCTGATCAAGAACCGTAGCAATATCTCTGTCCTTCTCTACTGTGTCGCGCTTTATTCTCCTCGCCAGGCGTACATCAGCATCTGCACTGGAAATTGGAAACTGTGAGAACAAAGAAGACCGGTATGTAAGATGAAAAGTCACACGAAGTTGACAGGAAGAGGACAAAGCAACATAGAGATCAAATTAAAAAACACAGAATCATAACATCATCCTCTATTGTTTCGACAAAGTAAAGTATCTAGCAATCATATAATATTTTTATGTAGAATATTTTAAACTGAGGAAGCGTGATAACTAGAAACATGTATGAAGTTCAGATATATTATCGAAAGGCTTCTAACAGAATGACAATGATATGCTACTAATGGAAGGAAGAGAATAAGAAGAACCTGTATCGACAAAAATCTTCATGTTCATAAGATCTCGGACACGCTGATCGTGAAATACAAGTATCCCTTCAAGAATAATGACATCTGAGGGATTGACCTACGAAATCTAGGTCATAAATTTCAAAATGGAATGAAAAAGCAAAGAAATGGTGAACAAGAGCAGACAGAATTACTCTTCGAGCTGGAAAGACTTCATTTTTATAACTTTTGAAATCATATAGAGGAATATCCACTGCCTGAGCATGCTTGAGTCTTTCCATGGCACTTAGTAACTGCTCGGTGTCGAATGCATCTGAAAAAACAAACTTGTCAGAAGGCAATGAGGCAATAAAAGCAGAAGCAACAGTTCAAGCACAATCCTAAGAAATATACTATAAGTTGTGTTATAATCGATTGAGAGGATAGTAATGCATGCTCATAAAGAGATAAAATTTGGATCAGCGAACGAATGTGTTCGGTGAAAAAGATCATTGTAAACTCAATAATCAAACCAATCTTTAACTAATACCAGATATTATCATCCCATCAATTAACAAAATTTATTGAAACATAATCAAGAGAAGAATTTTAAATGAACTGTTGCTCTCTTACAACTGAGGAATGTCAAGGAAAAGGATAAGACCTCAATATTTGATATAATACGCACCAGGATGATCAAAGTTGTACTCATGGACCTTTTTAAGTTCGTCTGCCTTCAAATTGTGATAAAAGGAATCCTGCAAAACATGAAATGGATACTTCATCGGACAGAAAAACAACATTTGAAAGGACCTAAAGTTAAGTTTTGAAGAAAGGATGCACTTTATATTCTACGAGGAGAAACCGATCAATGTTTGCAACTTTTTCAGTTTACACTAAAAGATTTATTGTATCTATGCATTAATAGTGGTCATCTTGATAAGCTATAAATAATTTGATAAATGAATATATGCAGGTAAACTAACTTAACGTAATATTCTGAGAACTTATATTATATGAACATGTATTTCTTGTCTTATTTAATGAATCAAAAGAGAGATGGCGATACCTGATTAACAAGTACAACACGCTGATCACGAAGCTGTTTTATAATCATATCGCAAACTGTAGTCTTTCCAGATGCTGAGCCTCCGGCAACTCCTGAAATGCAGCAGCGTGTTCCAGAGAATTAACATGCAGATGCAGCAGTTACACATTCACAAAAATGAAATTGATGCTTAAGATGCGATGCTAGAAGGAAAGTTGAAAAATGACTCAGTCGAGAGATGTAGATTTAATCACATATGAATATCCCTAAGAATAATAAGGGAGTAACAGTGTTCCATATATCGTCTCTGCAGCATTGTAAAAAGCCATTATTCGAAAAGGTTATACATCACATGCACAATTTCTATACCCTCAAATTCCTCAACAAAATTGCCAACAAATACGACCTTCAGTTCACTCAATAGTTGCTACTAACATGCAATAAAGTTGTGCTACATATTTCCAAAGCTAAACCCTGTAGATAAATATTGGCACCACCATACGCGTTTTTATGTTCGATTCATGTTCAACAGATCATCACAAAATCATGACAGTTAATTTATGCTTCTTATTATTCCAAGAAGATAAGATGCTGGGACTACCAATGAGAAAGGGCTGTTTGACATTTTCAGCAGGGGCAGTCGCCCGGCCTTCCACTGCAGTGCATGAATCTCTGGATCCCAAATGAAATCCCGAAAAATGAACCCCGGAAGCATGTATCATTTCTTCGACAGTTTGTGAACCCATTTTCAACTGCACAACCAGCAATAATTAGTTGCCAAGAATGGATAGAACATCACATCCTAAACTAGTTCCAAATGTGTATAATTTCCTACAAAATGAAAATTCGAGGACTCAAATCTAAGAACCTTGTAATACATGATTTAGTTCCAACAACAACAAGAATCAAAACTTGTACTCTTTTCATGTCAAGCTAGAATCAATCGACCATACAAATAACCAAATAATTTCTGAAGTATTGAAAGTACAACAACAGCAGCAAAAAAAAAAGGGAAAATGGAAGCTCCATCATTGATTCTCAATGAAGAACTACACAAAGCTACTCTTCAATGGCAGCCATTATGCATATACATACCCAAATTACCAACAATGAACAGAAAAAATCCACTGGATGCAATAGATCGAAGATATCAATTTCAACACCAAAAAAAAATTGTCCATAACCAAAAAATTAGGACTCCATAAATTCATCTCACGGACAATATCTAAGTCTCAAAATAACAAACAGTATTTGAAGACTTGAAGAATACATACAGTAGTGGAATTGCAATGCTAAACTGCCATGAATGATCTTCCCTACCACGTCTAAATCTAATCCTCCCCCAACCTATTAGCTACCGCCTTCCTCGAAATTAAAAACCTCTGAAATTAATCCAATTACATCATCAGAAGTGATCTATATAATCGAAGCAAAAAAATCATCCCCAAAGAACAACATTAACGAGCATCCGGACTAAAACATGACATTCAATATAGATACACATTGAGATCCATTATCAATGCGGTTTCCACCACGACGTACCTAACGGGTACAATCCGCCAATACTTGACCCGTCTCGTACCTCAATATCGTCCAGACGGAAAAATTGAGAGAGAGAGAGAGAGGGAAAGAGGATGTGGCGTGCGGGGCAGGAATAGGACGTATTTATATAGAGCGAGCCGAGGTTTGTGGGTGGCCATAAATGGGGATTTCAGAATTAGCGAAATTACAGTTGCGCCCATCTCCCCACCCTCGAACAATTCACAATTCGCCAATCGCCATGCTAATCTGGTTTTGTGCGTCAGCGTCACTGCAACAGCGATGCTCTATCTGAGAGTGAGAGTGAGAGCGAGAGGCGATGAGGCAACCATGGCTCTAGGAGAGCTTTCACCATCGCTGTTTTTTTTTTTTTTTTTTTTTTTTTTTTTTTGTGGGCGCCATTTCTCAAATTTGATTGGTCCGATTTTGTACCCTGTTTGTTTGGATTTTGTTTTCCGTACGGTGAGTATCGACTTGGAGTTCTCTACTGTTTTGTAAGATCACGGCCGTCCATCTTGTGGTATTAGATCTTGCTGACACTGCAGCCGTAGGATCATAGTAGTACTTGTTTGCGGAATAATAAAATTAAGTAGAATTTAATACTCTAATATTTTGTGTAGAAATAGTTCGTCCTAATTCCTAGGTATCGTTATTTTCTTTTTTCTTTTTTTTTGGATGACTTTTGGTTAATTTAAATTTAAATTAATAATAATAATTCCTTCTATCCTAATTAATATATTTATTTATTTTAATAAGAATAATCACCATGTATTAATAACATATTTTTATATTTCATTTAAAAATTACTGTCTTATTTTATAATTTATTTATTTACTTTTAAAAATAATTCTAATTAATATACTCTCTTATAAATTAATAGATAAATAATAGCTAAAGGTAATTTAAAGATATTATTTTGATTTTTAGTATATTAAAAAATTACAATATTTTATTAATTAATAAAAATATAAATAATTATGATATTATTTTATACTCTATATATATATGAATTAGTTATATATATAATGATATATTTATAAAAATTATTTTTACTATATTACTTCCTCCGTTCCAAATACAGTGTTAAACACGGAATTTTAGGAGAGATATAATTAGTAGATAATTAAAAATGTATTAGTGAAAATAATTATTCTATTAAATTAAAGTGTATAATTATTTTTCAAAAAAGAAAAATGACATGGCACGTGGTACGGACAGAAAACGGCAACGTGGACATGGTATGTGTGACGAATGGAGTAATAAATAAATATTTTTAAACAAGATATATAAAAATAGTAAACTTGTACAATTAATTGGGAGATGGAGTTATATATATATATATTATCTTATTATTTTTCCTAAATTTATGTCGGTATAATAATTTTAATAATTTACTTTTTATTGAAAAATTACCAATAAAATATGTGTGTTTGAGTTGTGGTTGAGATTTTTTTTTATTTATTTTCATTTATTTATTATTATTAATCAATTAATAGAAGTGCCATAGGCCGACAAATCAAATTAATGAGGTTTAAAATTTGAATCAATAATTTTAACGTCATGGATTTATCCAATATCATTAGATTTTTTTATCTTTATTTTTTTCGAGTTGGTTACGAGGAAGATTAGATTATTTTTTTCGAATTCGTTATGAAATACAGTAAAATTATACTATTTCAGTCTGCTCGGATGATTTCATTTATTTTTGCGTATTGATTTTTTATATTAATTATTATATAAAAATATAGAATAAATTAAGAAAAAAATACAAAAATAATTTTATTAATATTTTATAATATTTTTATTATTAAATACAATGACGCAATATAATGAAACCTTGAAATAGGATGAAGTAAATATTTTCTATTTTTTTCTCCAACCCTAACTTTCAATTTATTTCGAGTAATAACAGCAAAAAAGTCGAGTGATAGACATAGGTATGTCAGCGAACCACGCCCCTATTGCCCATCCGCCTGGATTGTAGTATATACTCATGTGATTTAGATACATATTTTTACTAATGTACAAGAATATAAAATAAAAATAAATTAAGTTAACAAATGCAAAGGATGTATTTTTTTAAAAAAATATATTGTTTAAAAATAAATATTTTTTAAAAATATTTTTTTATGTCTGAGTCAATTAATAGATAATTAAAAATATATTAATTATTTTATAATATAAATAATTATAAATTAAAATTAGAATAACTAATTAATTTAATTAAAAATTTAAAAAATTAAATTTAAAAAATTAAAATGAAATTAAATGACATGCGTAGGATGGAGGGAGCAGTTAGTATGCATTTCAGCACAGTACTATTTTAATGAAAAATTCAATATTACATGCTCAATTCAAATTAAAATAAAAAATGGAAAGAAGCACCTGGACCATATTCCCAAACCCTTCTGTAGGGTTTTGGTTTTTCAGATCCTACACAGCCAAACATGGCGTTCTCTCCCGCGAACATTATCCATGGAGTTCCTCACAGAGTCTTTCTGATCCCCTGGTTAGTATATTCTTCATCATTGGACGGGTGATTTACTCGTCCTCGTTTTGTATTTTTCTGTCAACACTTCAAATGACAGTCAATCGTAGTATGGTATGGTCATTCAAACATTTGGTTTTAGGGCAAAAATAAACGGCATTACTGGCTGCTCCACACAAGGGTGGGATTACAGTAGTTCGATTCCAGTGAGATACACGCCCAAAAAATCCCTAAAGAACTCAGATAAAGAAATTACTTCTTTGCCGGTGAAGGATTGGGGTAAAAGGCACAATGTGCCGGAGTCGAATGTGCAGAGACTCGATGTTCCCGAGAATTTAAGCAGCAGCTTCTGCGATTTGGAATCAAAGAGTAACGGCGCATCCCTGTTTTCAAATATTAGCAATGAGTTGAATTAGGGTAGGGGAAGTTTACTCGAGAAAATCTTATATAAGTTTTACTTGTTACGTGTGTATATTTCCAGATGTAAAAGGAAAGATGGACGGGGATCTGGTAACCGTGAAGGAAGATTTCCCTGAAAAGCCTGAGGAGATGGCTGCGGATAATGGTAAAAAAATCGGTGGAATTCAATCTGCGTACATTCGGCAAGATGTGGAAAAGCTGGCCATAGAGTTACTCTCTTCAAGGTTGAGTGATTGCTGGATATATAATGGTTGTTACTTTGAAATAAATAGATGTCTTCTGAGAGCTTATATTTCCCCATTTACTTGGTTCGGCGTGTTCTTTTAAACACCATGTTGATGAACAGCTCTTAGTTGTTTTGATTCTACGTTTAAGGATTGTGAGGACTATCTAGTTATGATTAAGCTAAATAATGATTCCTGATAGAGTTGAGTAAAGAATTTTTGGTTCATATGCAGAGACAGATGATGAATGTTGGAGGATTGAGGTAATACACACACACACACACACACACACACACACATATATATATATATATTGGCTAGAACTGCTTTGAAAGAACTTTATTGGAGCAGAGTTTATGTTTATATGCTGTTAAAAATTGTGAGAATCACATTTTGTGAATGCCCCCTTGATGGAGTCACCATCTGTTGAGATCTTTTGATAAATTTCAGGATTCGTACTCTTCTAAGTCATAGGACTAACTGACTAAGTTTTAGATGCGCCAAGAAACAGGACATTAATCACTGCATTAGGTCTTTGTAACAATTGTATGCACTAATACAAACAAGAGCTTCTTTCTTCTGGTGATTGTTTCCATCCATTAATTTACTCGCTTGATGATGGGTTGTCGTCAATTTTTTTTTTCTTAGATCTAATTATTTGCTCCTGTTTGTATCTGAGTTAAGTTGCACAATTTCAGAGCTTTTACTGCTTTGGAGCTGAGAAAGAAACTTAGAGGAAAGAGATATTCATCTGATATAGTTGATGCAGTGGTAACTGAGTTCAAGATCAGGTGCATATCCTCGATTATGTTTTTCCTTCTCTATAATGTTTTTGAGGTTGCTCAAAGAAATGTTATCTTGCCTTTACACACCATCATGCTATTAGGATTTCCATGGATTTTACAAGGCAAATTACACGTCGATGTCTTTTATCCTAAATTACATTACCAAAATTAAATGTAGCTGTATCACTTAAATATCTATGCCTAATTCTTGATTCTTGTTTATAAGTGCAGGGGTTTGATCAATGATGGTTTATATGCAGAAGCATATTCACGGTCAAGATGGTCCTCCTCAAGCTGGGGACCTGGGCGAATTAGACATGTAAATATAAATCTATATTACGATACGAATTTTTATCTTGGCTATATAATTGCATTGTTTCTAAGTTTTCTTTTGCTTTTTAGAATCTATATTAGAAGAAGATAGGCTTTTTAGAACTTTTTGTGAACAAGAATTGCATTGTTTCTAAGTTCTCTTATAAATGATCTTCTCTTTGAAGAAGATCAATAACTTTTTGAGCTAACCAGAAAGCCTTCCCACACATTTATTAGCTTTATTTATCAATTAAATGTTGGTTTTAAATTGCAATTTTAAGTTTTTGATGGTAGTTACTGTCTAGGTTTGAAGATGCCTTGCATTCTTAAACCAATAGCTTACTAGGACCTTCTATTAGATTTAAAACTCGGTAATGATAAGTTCGTAGTTGGAACTACCTATGCTCTTATTAGCTTTGAGTTGTTAACCCACTTAAATTTTGGCTGTTGATACTTTTAACTGAAATAAAATACAACGTGCAACCATCATTCGAACATTTCACTGTTTCCCAAATGCAGTATTAATCTTTAACTTAATGTATTATCTCCTATTTTCCTACTTAGGAATTATTCAAGAAGGGAGTGCGCGAAGCAGACGCAGATAAAGCCATAAAACAAATTTTTGAGAATGATGAAGAGGACGATAGTCTAGATCCAAGGATTGCTATGTCAAAGGTTTCTATCGATCAGCTATATTTTAAGGCGGCAAAGCAGTGGCAGCAGAGTAATGGCGCGCCACATGAGACACGAAGGACGCGGATAGTTAGATGGCTCCAATACCGTGGCTTCAATTGGAGTGTTACTAAATACATATTAAAGAAGCTGGAATCCGAGAAAAGCTAATGCTCCTGCCCCGAGCAGGATCGCCCATCAGAAAGCTACGCAAGCATCAGACAAATCCACATTCATACAACAGGTACAGTAACCTTCTTTAATGCACTTTGCTTTCAAAGCTTTTGCTCATCTCCCTCCCTAATCCCCTTTCTCTCTCTACCTTTTTAATTGTGGCCATGATAAGGATAGATAGAACATTTATACACATTATATATATGTAAAATACTGTGTTGCACGTACAGTGCTTCTGATATTTATAGTTGGGAAAGGTGAGTAGGACCCCTCTTCTTTTCCCCTACTCAATTGTTGGCATTCAAGGCCTTTGTCACTCCTTGAGGATTACTTTTTTGTTCTATTTATTGCTTCTAGGGTTCTTTATTGCTCAAAAAAGTGTTCCTTTGGGCATCACATGGAAGAAATCTTACATTGGAATCTTATAGCTTTTCTTGCAATAAAGTTACAATTGCAGTAAAATGATACACAAGGGTGAGGGGCATTGAAGGAATTTCACTTAGCCTCCCTCCAATTCTTAGCTTAAGCAGCAACTGGTTTATTATTATTACACTCTACAGGACTAAGAACAGCAGAAGGCTCCCTTTGATTATACACAGTGAGATCGATCACTTGTTTGTTCTACTCAATTCGTGAAACCTTAATTACACCGAGTCGTCGGAGAATGCTCCGAACGAGCAGCTCGACGACCCGTGTGATATAACTTTTTTAGGCGGCAGCGACGACCTGGGAGCAGAGGCTGTTAAGCCCCCTTTCGAGAAATCGCTGTCGGATCTTGTGTCCACGCCGCGTATCTCTTTCAGCATGGCCACGACGTCCTTCATCATCGGGCGATCGTCTGCACGTGTGCTCAGACAGAGGAATGCCACAGCTATTGTCTGCAGCATCTCGTGCATCTGTGGATCAGCTCTCCCCCTCAGCCTCGGGTCCAGAACGTCGACGGGGTCGCGCTTGCTGTGCAAGTGGTCGCGGACCCATTGAACCAAATGTGTCCCGCCCGGCAACGTCGGGTCCAACGGGTGCCTACCTGTCAGGACCTCTAACAGGACCACTCCGAAGCTGTAGACATCACTCTTCTCCGTGATGCGTTGCATGGAAGCATGCTCTGTGTCGAAAGCGACGATTTTTCTTAGAATTCGACGGGATAATCGTTCGAATCGTTCGATGAATCGTTTTAAGAGTAAGGTAGAAATGTGTGTATACCTGGAGCCATGTAGCCATAGGAGCCTGCTAGATGAGGTCTTTGACTCTGTTTCGAAGAATCGAAGTTCCCGTCTACACCGTTGACGGGCCTTGCGAGGCCAAAGTCAGCCAGGTACGCTTCCATTCGGGGCCCTAGTAGAACATTCATGGCCTTGACGTCCCCGTGCATGATCGGGGGGACGCAGTCGTGGTGCAGGTAGGCCAGGGCATTCGCGACGCCTGTGATCACATCGTATCTCAGTTCCCATTCGGCGCCTCGCTTCCCAGCTCCGTGAAGAAGCGAGCTCAAGCTCCCGTTAGGAAGATAATCGTAGAACAACAGTTTTAAAGCCCCGTTCGAACCCCAACCTAGAAGGCGCACGACGTTCTTGTGCCTGATCGTGCCGAGAGTTTGAATCTCGGAGGTGAATGCTCCGGATTCTTCCGATGACCACATCTTCTTAACGGCTAGCGTCACCCCGGCTGGGACTGTGACCTTGTAGACGACGCCCGAGCTTCCTGTCCCGATCACGTTCGAGGATGTGAGGCTTCTCACTATGTCGTCGATTGAGAATTCTAGCTTCTGATAGAACGTGATCTCCCAGGTATCGGATTCCATTGATTTGTTATTCGCCACTCGGCTCTTGAGCAGCACGTAAACGGCGAGAAGCACGAGTACTATGCTCGTGCTGACGAGAATCGCCATTGCTAACTTCATCGTAGTCTTGGCATGTCTCGAAGGATCCATGCCGTCAGCCGGAGTTTTGACTCCGCCTGAGAGGTATAGGTCTTTGTTTCCGGCGAGGTCGCTGAGAGGAAGCTTGCGAAAGAACGGAGTACTGGGGAGTTCGCCGGAGAACGAATTGAAGGAAATGTTGAGGGCGACGAGGTTCTGCAGGTCTTTGAGGTTGTCGAGTTTCCCGGACAGCTTGTTGTAAGAAAGATCAAGGATCCCTAATTTGTCGAGGGCTGAAAACGCAGCCGGGATTTCACCGGTGAACTGGTTACAGCTGAGGTTGAGGGAGATTTCTAGCGATGGAAGCTGGCCGATTTCTTTCGGTATTTCACCCGAAAAGCCGTTGCTCCCGAGGTCCAGCAGTTGCAGCCTACTGCAGGAGATGATCGCTGCCGGAATTTGGCCGGAGAGCTGATTCTTATTGAGATTAAGCTTGGTTAATTCGGAGAGAGAACCGATGCTGGAGGCGAGGGGACCGGTGATCCTGTTGTCGGAGACGTCAACGAACTGTAGAGTCGCCGGAAGAGTATCCGGCAAGGCGCCTGTCAGCGCATTCGAATGGAGATCAAGAAATTCGAGGCGTTCGCAGCCTGATATCGACCGGGGAATTGCTCCGGTGAGGCGATTGTTGCTCATGTCAAGGAAATTTAAATTCTTCAACGTTCCGATTTCGAATGGAACAGTGCCTCCCAGCTTGTTGTCGTTGATCCTGAATCGATACAGGTTCGTGCAGTTGCCGATGTCCGGTGGAACAAAACCTGTAAGATCATTCGAAACGAGCAGCAGTTTCGTGAGGTTTGTTAGCCCGAAGATCTGTCTCGGAATGGTGCCGGAGAGCTGGTTGTAGGACAGATCAAGAGCTTGGAGATCTTCACACCGGGATAAGGATTCCGGGATGCCGCCGGTGAGGTTGTTCTTCCAGGCGAAAAACAGGGTCAGGCTCCTCAATTTGCCAATATCGTCGGGAATTTCGCCGGAGATGGCGTTGTTGTCGAATTCTAGGTGGGTTAGGGATGTGCAGTTCATCAGCTCCGATGGGATTGTCCCTGTCAATTGATTAACACTCAGCTGGAGTTCCTCGAGCCTGGAAAGTCCTCCGAAGCTCGCCGGAATGTTCCCTGTCAATTGATTTTCCGATAAGTCTATGACTTTTAGATTCCGGCAGGTTCCGAGCTCCGATGGAATGGCGCCGACGATGCTGTTTGCCCACAGCAGCAGGCTTTCGAGATTTTTGAGCTCCCCAATTCGTCGTGGAATCGGGCCTGTGATGGAGTTCTGGTACAAATACAAGCTCTGTAGCTCGGTGCAATCGGCGATCTCCTCCGGAATGGCGCCGGAAAGCATCGACGTATATATTGCTACAGTTTGAAGCTTTTTCAGCCGGCCGATGGACGCCGGAAGTCTGCCGGAAATGCCGGTTTCCGCCAGGCCGAGCACCGCCAGGCTGCTACAGTTCCCAATTTCCGGCGGCAATTCACCATTGAGGTCCTGATTCCCGCCGCCTCTCAACGTTTCAAGATTGCTCAATTTCCCGATGCTCGCCGGAATTCCGCCGCTGAGCTGATTGTCGAAGAGGATGAGATGCCGGAGGCTGGAGAGATTCCCGACGTCCGACGGAATGGCGCCTTTAATAGAATTAGTATTGAGGTACAAACTCTGTAGCTTCCCGAGCCGGCAGAGCTCCGGCGGAATCTCGCCGGAGATTTCGTTATCGCTGACGTCGATGAAAACCAGTTCCCGGTAGTCGCCGAACGCCGGCGGGATGGGGCCGCTGAGGTTAGCCGATGAGAGAATGAGAGTGTTGAGAAAGGGGAGGGGCTGAAGGCCCGAAGGCAATGGGCCCTGGAGGTTGATCGACTTCAACTGAATCTTGTCGACATGGCCACCGGAGTTGCAGGAAATCCCAAACCAATGGCAGGGATTGGGTTGGGAAGAATTCCAGGAAGAAAGGGCATTGGTGGGGTTTTGCAGAGTGTTCTTCCATGCTAGCAGAGCTCGGCCTTGCTCATCAATGGAGTGGCAATTATCCAAGAAGATGAAGAAGAACAGGAGGAGGAAGAAATGGGGATTACTTAGAGGTGCAGGCATTGCAAGAAGAAGAAACAAGACAGAGATGGAGAAGATGAAGATGAAGAGTAATTGGGGGGAAACGAAAGCCCATTTCTTGTTTTTGTTTATAGCCAAATGGGATGGAAATTAAAGCCAGAAGATCTGGATCCAATACCCCATTTGCTTTCCCCATCTCCATCTCCATCTCCATTACAATAATAATAATTATTACAACAACATTAAATTATCATTATTTGTGAACAATTAGGTGGATCAACACTAATAATTTATAGTAGAAAATTTTATAATATGGGCACTACTAGGCTACACTTTCGAACTGCATCTGCTGTTGTCAATGCCTGTCCAGGGTAAGCTTTTTGGATGGTAGCTTTTAGAATCCACAAATACCATTTCTGACTGCACACAAAAATGGTGGCTTTTTGTAATTGCCTCAACCCTTTATTTTATTTTATTTTTATTCTTTTTAAAAAAACAAAGAATTGTTGATGATTAGCAAGGGGGCATTGAATGAGTGTAGTTACAGTGGTGTTAGTCTTTTCAAGATGAAGAAAATTAGTTGCTGTTTCTTTATTTCTTATTGTTGGGATTTATTTGGGGAAGTTGTGGGAATAAATGTTGTTTAATCATGGCCATGTTATCACTTATCAGCACCACTATTTGCTTTGTTTTATTACCACAATGGACCACAAGAAGCAACCACCTAATCAATGTTTTGTCTTCTCTTTTTTATTTACTTCAAACTCAGTTCTCAACTTCTACACTAATTAGCAGATCCCATCTTGGCTCTTAAATCCACTTTTATTTCCCAATGCCCTTTTCTTATTTTTGCCCAAATTTGGATGCCCTTTTCATTATTTTAGTGGAAAAGATAATAATAATAATAATAATAACAATAAGATATGTAAATATACAGTGAGTGGCATTGGGATCTGAATCAAGGCATTCTTTGTAGTAATTTTTAATGGAGAATATGTAAGAATGGAGTAGTGAAGGGCACATGGCTTAGGAAAGAATTAGTCACCATATTTACCATTTTAATAATGTAATAATTCTAACATGCTGTCTGGACTTTGCCTCTATGTAAAAGGGATTTTTTTTTTTTTTTGTTAATTTAATAAAATCTTCATTTGTTTGATTTCTGCCATTTGGATTAATTATTGATGGTAATCACTCATTCTTCTTGACAAAGAAACCAAAACCACTATGCACTATGTGTTAAAAATTATCCCAAGACAGATCCAAAATTATATAAAACCCCACTGTCCAAACATTCATTTCTTGGCAATGTAAAACTTTCTTGGAGATTGAAATTTACCAAGAATTTCAGACATTACTTATCAACTAATTTCCCCATTCCATTTAAAATACTTTTTGGAAGAAAAAAAATAAATTGGTGTGGTCAAGTAAATTTAGCCTTTTTAGTTATATTAACATTTATACTTTATATGGTCTATGTCAATGAAAAAGATCACATTTTTAGATTCATGTCTAAAATTTGAAAATAAGTTTCTATTTCATCCAATTAATACTCACAAGTACATTAAATTTTTAGACCATATATCATTGTATGTTATTTATGTTACAAACTTGGTATCAAAAGTATTATTGTTTTTAAATTTTTTTTGTATAGAATAAATTTGTGAGCACAAAATGAAACTCCCAATCTTTTCACCTCTCCCATGTAAGCAGAATCTGTACAAATTTAGAGCTGATGGCAACCTGAAATACAACACTTACTGCAAAATATGTATATATATATATATGCAATCATCATCAATAAAAGAAAAACATAAAAATAAAAATAAAAAATAGAAAGGGCCAAGAATGGAATGTAATAAAGTGAATCCGAGTGAACATTTAAGCCATGAGACAAACACAACACAGCAGCATAAGGATAAAAACAAGAAAGAAGAAAAAATAGAAATTTTTTCTCCCTGTGTAATATGTAAATGTAAAATTAGAAAAAAAAGGTAAGAAGTAGAAGTAGTATCATTAATATTTATTTATTTATTTATTTATTATTATTAATTATTTATGTGGGTTTTAGAGAGAGAAAGAGAAAGGGAAAAAAAAAGGGTCCTCCAAGAATCCTCCCTCGTGTCAATTTTTACCACTCTCTCTCTCTTCTTTTTTTTCTCTCTCACTCATACACTTAACATAAAAAATGATAACTCTTTCTGAAGCTGCACTAAAGCTGCACACTACAACACCCCCTTTACTCTTATTCTTACTATTATTGTTTTTATAGTTATTGATGGCTTCACCTCACATTTGTTTTTGTTTTTTAGGTGTTCACAAAGAATAGAAAGATCCTCTTTCCTGTATCTATATGTATGTATATATATGTATATATAGAGAGAGAGTAAAGAGAGAGAGAGAAAAGAAAAGATGAGATTTATTATTAGATTGGTGAAAAAAGAAGTGAGATGGATGCATGTGTGCGAATCCATCCATTGCTATTTAGTTGTTGTAGTATTTACTAACTACTTAGCTTGCAGGCACGTGCATTGCATGCGCTGACATCCATCATCATCGTTATATTTATTTATTATAAATAAGCCCTTTTGGATCTTGATTAGTTGTTGTTTGATTTTTATTATTTGTTTAATTATTTATGAATTTGGTCACAGGTCACATGCATCGATTACTTACTCAAATCACAACAATATACACCCATATATATATATATAATATGCTTTCTCTTATTTCTCCATCTCGATCATAATTTAATTTAATTTAATTTAAGTAGTTGTTATTTTTAGTTTTATACTCCCTCCGCTCCCAGATACCATGTACACGTTACCGTTTCTATCCGTCCCACGTACCATGTAACTTTCATTTTTTGGAAAATAATTACACACTTTAATCTCATTTTAAATTTTTTAATTTTATTTTATTGTTTTAATTTTAATCAAACTAATTAGTTATCTTAATCTTAATTTATAATTATTAATATTATACAATAATTATTTTCACTAATACATTCTTAATTGTCTACTAATTACATCCCTCCTAAAACACCGTGTAGCAGATACTGTATTTGGGACGGAGTAAGTATTTTTTTTTATAAAAAAAAAAAAGAGTACTGTTTTTAGGACATTATTGAAAGATCCACATGTAGATTTAGGTGGTGGTATAATTAAGCGGTACTAGTATGTGATTATAATATATATATTAATTGTATTTTAACTTTGAAGACATTAATATAGTGTGTTTTTTGAATTTTTTTTTAAAAATATTTAATTACAATTTAATATTTCTTCGGTCCTATATATTCTATCTTGTAATTATTTTTTAGTTTGATTTGTCTAACATACTTTGCAATAGTTTTAAAATAAAAAATAATTAATTACATTTTATCCCATCAACAATTTAAATAAAAATAATAACTATATATTTTTTCTTTGGCACCACATATTCTATATCTCACCCTATTCTACCAACCTAAATTAGATAAAATATTTTTTATAATACAATTATTTATTTTTTTTCAAAAATTTAGAAATTATTTACTGGCAAAAGATTATTTATTTATTTATTTTTTTCAATACAATTTTTTTCCTACAAAATTCAACAAGTTAAAAAATATATATATATTCAAATATTCATTACAAAAACTCAAACGTTCGAACTTAAAATAATAAATTTTATATTTCGACACAATTTCCTATATCACATGCCAAAATCAATTTATCTAAAAACGATTGCGTGAACACAAATACGTGTGAAATATTCCTAAATCAAATATAACCAATTATTGATGGTGATATATGACTTTTTCTTTTTTTTTTCTAAGTTTTATTTTCATTTTTTATTTAACTATGCTAAATTCTCTATAAAAAAAAAATACAATGTTTTATTTTTATAATCATATTTAAACTATTATTTAAATACATAATAAATAAAATTAAAGAATACATCCAATGTTATTTATTTGGAGTTTAGATTAAGTTTGTTAATTATGCAACTTGAATATAAAACATAAATAAATAGAGCCATATGTACACATATATTCGGCATAGCAGATGATTGCTACTATGGTCACTTTTTAAATTTTTTTGTAATCATTATTTCATTTATTCAAAGATACATTATAAATATATATTAAATATAAAGATGTTAATTTAATAATAAATACTATCGAATAAAATTTGAACTTGTTCACGATGACAATAATGCAAAGAGTATTTCACTACCAAAAAAATAATATATTTGTAATGAAATTCCGTCCTAAAGTTCATGTAGCTAATGTAATTTCATTACTAATTCCGTCTCTAATGTCATTAGTAACGGAAAAAGTAGATTTAGAGACAAAAAAAATTTGTTACAAAATTGATTTTTTCATGTAGTGTTCATTTTTCGATTTGTTTAAGATGAACTAGCATAAGCCAAAGTTAGTGGAAGTAGAGCCGACAATGGGTCGATTTGTGTCGGGTTCGTATTGAGTTGACTACTTTAAACCGGTTAAATTACTCAATCCTAACCCGACCCGTTTATTATCGTGTCGGGTTCATGCTAACCCGTTTATTATCACGTTGGGTTCGGGTTGACTCGTGTTCACCAATATACATAATTAACTCTAATTTTTTTATTCAAATTAAATAATTTTTTGTTTTGTTATCGTGTTATGTTAGTTTTTATTGGTTTGAGCGTAAATTAGGTTGAATTATTTAAAATTGAACTTAATTTAAATTAATTTATGAAAAAGTTATTAAATTATTATTATTTTTTATATATATAATAAATATATTAATCAATCTTAATATATTATAATCGGGTTGTCGTGTCGGGTTTAAGTTGAGAGTCTCAACCCTAACCCGACCCGTTTATTATCGTGTCAGATTCGTGTCAATTTGTATATATAATCGGGTTAAAATTTTTGATCCAAATCCAATTATTTTGTGTCGAATCTATCAGGTCAGTTTTTGCTAAGTTTAAGTGGAAGTAAATTGAGTGTAACTGTTTAGTGTGTTTGGTTTGTTTTTATATTTATTTTATATTTCATGATTGTGTTTGCTTTATAAAAGAAAATTTTACATTTTTATAGAAAATCACAAATTTTACATAATAAAGAATTGAAAAAAAAAAACCAAAAATTAATTAATGAAGACCGACTAAAATAGACGCGTATTTTGGTTTAAGTGGCCGGTAAATTAAATATTATTAATATTTTGGATGATTAATTAATTAGTTGGCTGAACTAAAAAATATATTTTCATCGAAATTTTGAGACAAATCTATATATAATATGTATATAAAAATTTAAGTGTTGTCTATATGTCAAATTTTTGTTCCCTTTGAGCAGCGGGCGTCATTATCTGTAATCCTGAATTTCAGGATTGTATGTCTTCCTTCACTTTTGACTAATGATTATTTAATTTTCATAACCAAAATCATGTCGTCTTTATTAGTGCAAATACAAATATAATACAATATAATCCCCAAATTATTATATGTGCTTCTTATCTGGTCAAATTTTTGTGCCAAATTGCCTTTTGTTTTTGTATTTTATATTACAATAATTATATTGCATATCTTCCTTTTTTCTTTAAACAATATTTAGCATCTCCAAACGGTTGTGGAGAATGGGCCCACATCCACTTTAATTGAATGGGCTAAGCCCATTTTATTTGGGCTTTAAAAGTTACACAAATGAACCGGATCAGCTAATTCCCAATTTTTTGAACAATTCCTATGTAAGGGCCAGACCTATAATACACACACCTAAAATTTGTACTGATTGATAAAATCAGGACACCATACTGATTTCCCTCTACTAGATTGCAACTAAGTCAATTTTATCAAGATAAAAAAGCCCAACTCGACTCGACCCGACCCAAGTGTCCCGAGGGACATAATTGCAGCCTAAGAGCTAACATGATTACTTGAGATTTCAAGAACAGGAACATGTGTGTGTGTGTTTGTGCTATTGCAGATGTATTCATGGAAGTGAATTCTAAAGCAATGTGAGTTTCATAAGATAATTTGAAATAATAAGCGACTTACGGAATCACAAGTTATGCAAGCGCTGCTCCAGGAGGTCGTTTTCTTTTCTGATGGCGTCGAGATCAGCTTGCAGTTTGTCAACATTGAAGCTTCTGGCAGTAATGACAGAGAGTTTCGCCTCGTATTCAGCAGCCTCCCTTCGGCTTCTGTCAGCAGAAAGAATCTTTTCTGCGATATTTTCGAAGCTCTCATGGATGTCTGTGAGGAGCCTGTAAGCTTGCCGGGCAACGGGATCTTTCTTGGCTTCCCTGTGTTTATACATGGCAGCAAGTGGATAGGGAAAAAGGACTTTAGAACTAATGTTGTGCAGTTGAAATCTATTGTATAATGGTATCGTACCTGAAAATTGTCTCGTTAACTATTGCATATGTTCGATTAAGGCGCTCTTGGATTGTATTACTTTCCAATTGGAGCTCCCTTGTATCTTTCAGAATCTGCTGTATGTCATTGTCTTGTTTCCTGCTATTCTTTGTGATTTCGTTGATTCGCTCAATGTAAGATCTTCTTGACGCCTGCTGCTTCGGCTGTTTCTCAAGATCCATAGAGAGCTTAGAGAGCTCCTCCTCCCTGGCATGACATTAAAGACTCCATTTCAAATGACAAAATAAAATACAGTTTGAAGCAAGTAACCAAAAGACATTGATGATCACCTAAATGTCCATATCGATTCAACTCAACAGAAAATTCAGCATGTGAAGAATGCAGACATGGGTGCTTAAGCAATTGAATGGAATCAGTTAAGTTAGCAATACCAACGAATGATCATAGGTTTATCACACATTACATTTCAACTGGATTTGTTAAGTCTCCAATAAAGTAAGCTAATTGGATTAATGATTCCAAAACATTTGGAAAACAAGGTACAGCAGAAGGGCTATCCATGTATAGTTGCCAGTTAGGGGAAGAACAATAAGCAAGAAAATAAAGAATAAAAGGAATACCTTCTTTTGATTTCATCTTTGAGATATTCTGTTTCCGATTCCATTTCTCTTGTTCTGGCAAGCTTTCCACTCAACTCCGGATTAAGTTGTGAAAGCGATTGCTCAAGATCTCTCCTTTTCTCTCGCAGAGGTTTTTCTGTTTCATACCTGCAGTAATTGCTTGGAGTCATCCTCTTTATGAGAAACACTAACTATACTGTTTAGATCAAATCATCAAAATATCGATTCCTTAGTTTGGAAAGTTTAATGATAAAAAGGATCTAACTCAGATAAAAATTAGCATTTGTGAAGGCATCTCAAGTCTGTACCATTCAGATTCCAAATCCTTCAGTTTTTGTCTTTTGGCTTGCAATTGCTCGTTGAGCTGCTCGATTTGGTATTCAACAGTATGCTGTGTATCAAATACCATTTCTACTGCAGCTTTTAATAACTCCAGCTCATCAAGATTCGGCAATTCTGAAATTTTTGCTGCAATTGTCTTCTCAAGCACTTCAGGGTTCTATGCAATCATCATCAAGTGTTTCTTTCAAACATAAATACAACAACAATAAAATAAGCTTCTAAATTGCATTTCTGAAGGATCTAGATTGAACTGAACATCTACTCTTCTCAATTTTCGATTATAATGTTAAGCTACCATTAGATTGGACAGTATCATAGTTCTCTACCAAGTTTTCTTTCATGAGGGTTTAATTCTATTCTATTTCAATTGAAACAAAATTCAAGTGCCAAAATATGTATCCATAAACAGAATTTTTACCTGAGAATCTGCTTGCGAAATATTCATCCCCAGGTTTTCAACCCCTTCAATTGAAGGTTCCATCAGACTACATTTGTTCAGGGCAAGATCATCCGCTGTCACTGCAGATTCTTCTGGTAAAACTGCATTGCATTCAGCAGCCTTCTGATCTAAATCATCCTGAGTTTTCCTATAAGAGGATTCAATTGCCCGGGTCTTCAATTCATGATCGTTAAATTTTGTCAGAATCTCTTCGTTTCGCACAGCTTCTCCCTCATTACCAAATCTCTCCTTTGAGGTGCACCTTCCCTTGTTCTCAGTTCCTAAATCAGCTGTTATAGATCCAGAGTATTCAGACACCTTTCCGACCAGGAACCTCACCATTTTATACAAGTCCTCTTTGGATGGATATAGGAACTGCCTAACCAACACAAATGACTGCATCATTACAAATTATAGGAGAAACGGGAAATCAAGTGAATCAGAAGCCTAGAACTACAACGTTGCGTGCTCGAACATAAGCTGGAAATTAGCGAACCTTGTGAAAGCTGAGGTCCGGTTTGAATCCTAAGCTGTTGAAAGCGTTAGCAAGTTCAGAGCAGAGTTTGATCTGATCAGGCATGGAATCCTCCGGCAATGATGCGGGATACAATGAAGCATAGCGGGAGGCATCAATTAGTCGAAGTGCGTGCGAGCAGATGGAGAATAGAGATGCCGGAGTGAGGTCTTCGACGGAGGCGACGCCGTCGGGAATCGGAACTCCCGACTTGGACAGGGAGCTCAACAGAATTCCTTCCGAATCCGCCATGGCTTCCTGCTGCCGGTTCTGAATTCGGAGATTTGTATCTACACGACGTCGTATCTTGTGCACTGTAAATTCACTGCGACTTTCGCTTCGTCATTCTGCAATTTAACGCTTTATACCATAGAAACCCGACTCTTGTTTTGCTGCTTAATTATTTTTTGAATAGATCAATATTTATTTTAATTTTTTCGTAAAATATGCAACAATTTCAGAAAGACATTATTGGGGTTTGATTTTATTTCATAATGAATTTTCATTATATATTATTTATTTTGTATATTTATTAGATATTTATTAATAACTAAAAATATTGAATTATTAATTTATATTTATAGGAACCACAAAAGAAAACCTGTTTGCTATCCATTTTTAATAGATAAACTCAAATTTCATTTTATTAGTTTTACTTTATTTTATTTCATTTTTTTATATAATATCATAATCTTCTTTTAAAAAAATATATATTATTTCTAACTCTATTTAATAATTATTTTATAAAAAAAATTAAAATATAAATACAAGACAAATATTTCTATGATAGCATTAAAAAGTATATATTTTTGTATTAAAAATTTTAAATATTATACTTTTATGTTCCATTCGAATATATATACTTTTTTTATAGTAAATTAAAAGTTAATAATATATTATTGATTAATGAAATTATACAATAATTTTAATATTTTTATTCTTTGTATTTTATGTATAAATTAATTTTATATGTAGTAATCTATTTGTAATTTATATGTTAATGTATGATTGTTTTCATTCAAATAAAAAATGAATATTTTTAAGGGGGGGGGGGGGACAACTAATAATAATAAAAATAATACTCTTTTCGTCCGACTTTAAGGGTCTCATTTACTTTTTTATATCATTGTATTTAATATTAAAAATATTTTTATATTTGTATATATTTTTTTTTCACAAATATTATTATAATAGTATTATAAGACACTAGTAGAAATATTTTTTACTTTTTGTATTAATTTGTACTACATTTTCATATAATAATTAATATTAAAAAATGAACACGTAAAAAAAAATAAGACTCTTAAAGCCATGTAGTATTTTAAATTAAAACCGATGAAGCATTGTGTTTTCATACAATCTATATACAAATTAGATATACATGTTTTGTCTTCGTGCAAGAATAAAATGTTAAATGTGTTTTTTTTAGTATTTTTTCTATTATTTGGACGTTGTTCATTTGAAAGAAAAAACTATTCTTTTACAGCATATTATAATTTAATACTATTATTTAAATAAAAAATTAAAATTTTAAAGTCAATTCAAACTAAAAGGAAACACATTCTTAAGAAATTAGTATTAAAATTTGTATATATAATTAAAAAATTTCAATTTAATTGAATGTGATAATTATTAAATTAAGATTTCTTGCTATAAATATCGCTGTTGATCGGTCCTTTCATTTCATGCATCGCCTTCCCAAATTGCATAGAAGCAATTTCTTATTCTTGTTTTTCCTGCAACCTTATATGAAAACGAGAAGACTGTTCTATTACAGTGGTTGGTGGGCCCGGCCCGAGAGCCGTCAAATCCTAGCCGTTGATCTCTGCTCCGTCCAAAAAGGTTGTCGCAAACCGTGTGCCGACAACAAATAGCAAGGCACGTAGCGGAGCCCACGACAGGAGGGTAATTCAGTAATTTCACCGAAGATTCCACAGGACTAAAATGAAGTAATGATTGAGTCAAGGAAGACATTTTAGAACACAGCAATGACAGCATATGAATGACATGTCTGACACCAGAATGAATGAATGAAGTAATGAATCCATCTGAACCCCGAACACAGCCAATCACCCTTCCCCATTTCCGTCTATGGAATTCCTCTGCGTAATCTGAAACTCCATCCAAAAGCAGCAATTCGAATTATTCAACGTTGTTTGATCGAATCTGTTCAATTCAGACCGTTGATGGAGCTGGTGCCGTACGATTCCGACGCCAAATCGGAATCCAGCAGCGTCTCGCCGCCGTGGCAGGAGATGTTCCGATCCGCCTCCATCAGAAAACCGGCCGAGACTTACCCCGCCGCGCCGCCGGAGCAAAAGCCGCCGCCGCCGCCGCCGTCGAATAGAAACAACCTCGCCGACGACCAACAGGTACGCCTCGCTCTCTACATAACCATGGCCCACGCCGGCCTCGCCTTCACAATCTTCGTCCTCTACGGAGTCTGCAAGCTTCTAGAAGATTTCCTGCGCCCAATTTTATGGGCCGTCCTGTGTTCGATCCCCTTGCGCGGCGTTCAGCAAACCCTAGTCGGATTTTGGTCGGAGCCTCTAAAATTAGGTCTCACCGAGACAACCTTAGCCGTCCCCGTCGCGATATTCCGAGCCTTCGTCGGAACCCTAGCCGAAATCAAGGATTTATTTTTTCAAATCGCCCTTAGGAAGAAGAAGAAGAAGTCAAACAGCTCTGTAACTGTAAGAGCAAAAAAGACAGGATTTCACAAATTACTCAGATGGCTGGTGTCCTTTTGGTTATTTGTAATGGCATACGAGTACATCGGATTCCTAGGATCCATCTCCATCCTCGTACTCGGATTCATCTTCACAGCCACCGACATCGAATCGACGATGAGCAAAGTCTCCACTTTCAGGAGCAAGAGCTTCCGCAGGCTTCCAGTCAGTGCAATTTTCACCAGGGCGATACTGAAAAGGTTGAAAACATTTGTGGCCGTTGGATTAATTGTTGCGATGATCGTAGGGTCCCTGGCCGGACTGATATTCTTCTCCTATAAGATCGGGATGGAGGGCAAAGATGCAGTCTTTGCACTCAAATCGCACGTCGAGGAGAGCAATTACACAGAGAGAATTGGGGTCAAAAAATGGATGGACGAGAACGACGTTGCCGGAATGGTTGACATGTATTCGACGAAGCTCTACGAAACGGTCTCCGATCAGATCGATAGTTTGGCAATGCAGTACAACATGACGGAATTCGTTGCCGGAATTAAGCATTTCGTGATCACTCCGGCGGCAGGGAATTCGTCGTCGAAGTCTCAGGCATTGATGAGCCCTTCACCTTATGCAGAGAAGTTCTTGAGCTTGAAAAGGCGGATTCGAGAGCGCGAATGGGGGCTGATTTATTCGGAAGTCGACGCGATCTTCAGAGAAGTCGCGATTAGCCGAAAGGACTTGGTGGAGACGGCGAAAGGGTACGCATACCAGGGGGTGGATGTGATGCAGAGCATTGTCGTTAGCGGGACGTCGGTGCTCGGGGGGAGCGTAAAGCTCGTGTTCTTGATCGGGAGCTCGATCCTCTCCGGCGCAGCCGAGCTCTTCAACTTCGTGTCGCAGTCGATGGTGTTCTTTTGGGTTCTGTACTATCTGATCACGGCGGAGTCGGGCGGGGTTACGGAGCAGGCGATGGGGATGCTGCCGATCTCGGATTCGACCCGATCGAGGTGCGTCGAGATGCTCGACAACGCGATCTCCGGCGTGCTGCTGGCGACGGTGGAGATTGCTCTGTTTCAGGGGTGCATGACGTGGCTGCTGTTCAGGCTCTTTTCCATACATTTCGTGTACATGTCGACGGTGCTGGCTTTTGTTAGTTGTCTGCTGCCGGTGTTCCCGCCGGGGCTGGCGACGATTCCGGCGGCCCTGCAGCTGGTGCTGGAGGGGCGGTATGCGGTTGCAATTGTGCTTGCGGTGGTTCATTTGGTGATTATGGATTACGGGACGAGTGAGATTCAAGAGGACATTCCTGGGTACAGTGCTTATTTGACCGGGCTCAGCATCATCGGCGGGATGACGTTGTTCTCCTCTGCATTTGAGGTTAGTTTGTAGTTCCATTTATTTCTCTTGATATGCTTTGAATCTAGTTTGTTACTTCGCTGAATGATCAGCAAGTCAGGGGTTAAGGGGGCGAAGTGGGGTCTGGGGGCGCGGAGTGCCCCCGACCTAATTCTATTTATTTATGTTGATATGCATTAATCTAATTTATCACTTTACTGAATTTTTACGAAAGTTTCGCTGCCCGATCAGCAAGTCGGGGGTTCAAGGGGGCGAAGTGGGGTCCGGGGGCATGGAGTGGCGCCCGGCCTAGTTTCATTTATTTCTGTTGATATGCATTAAATTTAATTTGTTACTTCGCTGAGCTTTTACGAAAGTTTTGTTACCTGATCAGCGAGTCAGGGGTCAAGGGGATGAAGTGGGGTTTGGGGGCGCGGAGTGGCCCCCGACCGACGGTATGCACAATTGGTTGAGTCTGTCTGATGTATTTGCTTAGTTTATTTGAATAGAGTTAGAGACGCGCAATATAGATTAATTTGTAATTTCTACCATAGTCGTTCTCCGTAAATCTGATTTTTGTTTCTGTCCGTAGAGGTAGCCGACGCATTGTTTCTATTTGTTACAACAATTTGAGTGTCTTGTTCTAAGATTGTATGGATATGGAGGTTGAAGATGATATGTAATTAATGTTTGCAGGGAGCTATAATGGGGCCATTGATGACTACTGTTGTAATTGCTCTTAAGGATTTGTATGTGGAGTTTGTGTTGGAAGGGAACAAAGACAAAGACAAGAGTGTTTAACGATGCTGTAAAATTATTATTATTATTATTATTATTATTATTATTATTATGTACAGACAGTATTTTGTTGTTGTTTTGGTTTGATTTCTTCTCCCCTTCAGACAGGATTTTTGAGTGCATACAACATTTGTACACTTTAGATTTTTCATTTTATTTTTTGAGAAAGTGAAAATGATTTAATTATTTCGATTCTATTCTTGCTGTTGTAGCTACTAATGAATGAATTTATGCATGTCATTGAATGTGAATCTCAAATTTGTTATTTATTTATTTTTATGACGTGGCAACAGCAGCCGCTATCCGAAAGTACGCACTGGGTAAATGTCTGCTCGAACCTAATACCCTGCAAATTTGTTATTTTCATTCTCAAGAGCTGTGCATATTTGTAGTATAGAATGTCACAGATCTTGCCATTAAGATCAATATCATAATTATAATATATATATATATATATTCCTTCAATTCATTACTATGTATGCATTTATTTATTTTTATTTGACATTGATTAAAAAATATTAATATTTTATGTATAATAAATTTTGTGTAAGAATATATTAACTAAATATATATTTGAAAGAATCATTGATAAATTGTAAATAAAATAGCAACATACTAATAATTTTAATTGAAATATAAAAATATTTTATTATTGTACATGTCATATTTCTTTAAGTGAGAATATATTGGCAGGTTTGTCAGCAAATCCTTAGCAAATTATTAAATACAATACTCTATATGGTCAATAGATTCTACATTAATTATCCATATCAACTGAAATGATCAAACAGAAGTTTATTGTATGTATATGGTTATAAATAAGTTATACTCCATCCCTCGTTCAAATCTATATTCACTTTCTCATTCAAATTTATATTTACTTTCTTTTGGATTGTCATTGAAAAGTATTCTCATTTTTTTCTAAGTAAAAATTTATTATATTTTTGTATTTTTTTTTACTGTAAAAAGAAAAAGTAACAATTATTACTCACTTTTATTAAAACTCATACCCGATCAAATGAACACACATTTACATGACGAAGGGAATAGCATAAATTAGAATCCTGTTAGAACAAATTATCAAACGACCCCTCCCCCAAGACCTTCGTAGGGTCAAGTTAGAGCATCGTATATATATTATAAGTTATAGAAGACTGAGATAATCCAAAACCTCAAGAGTAAAAACAAAATCATCTATACTTTCTGATAACGACTACGGATTTTCATATCATCGAAAAAAATAAAAAATAACAAAATCATCTATGGGATTAAATTAAATAGAACTATTTATAGGGTAGCAAATTAAATTTAGTAAGTAGATATATATAAGGGGACTTGAGGCTAAGGCTCACTAATGATAGCAATGGATTTAGATAGCCTTCAAATCCGACTTACATGTAATCTATTTATTTTGGATCGAGTTTAATTATTCGGATATCAGATTAGGTTTTATATATCATATTCAATCATGGGTTGGATCTAAGAGTGAATTCGATCCTATATATATAAATACATTAATAATATTTTTAAACAAATTCTAACAATATAATTATATTTATAATATTTTTAGGTTTGATTTATTTCTATTATTAGTATTTTATTAATCATGTTTTTTAATAAAATGTATAAATTTCAATATATATTGGATTTAATTTTAAATTAAATTCTTTAGACTTACAAAAGTATTTTAGGTTCATCGGATTTTATTGGATATACCTCGAGTCTGAGCATAGTTAGATCTAGATATTATTAGATCTAATTAAGATATCAGGTCTAACTATGTATATTCGGGTTGAATATTAGATCGGGCTCAACCCATTCTTATCCCTAACACTAACTAATAAATAATAATACAAATAATACGTTTCAATATAAGGGTATGTTTGTTTTGATGAGTTTGAAAAAATTTTGGTTTGAATTTGATATTAAAATAATTTATGATAAGATATTTCGTGAGAAGAAAAAGTGTATTTTTTTAAAAAAAATGCAAAGTTAATAAAACTTGGGATTTTAATCAAAAGAAACAAACCCTAAATAATATAGGTAACAACCCCATTTGTAAAATGAAGGTTGCTCAATTTTTTCCGATCAAAAAAAAAAAAAAAAAAAAAAAGTTGCTCAATTTTTTTTATTCAAACAACAAGATTTAAAACATTTCATTCAAGTTATTTGCAAAATACTTAAATAATTAGGGTGCATATTTATGAACAATATTTTGTGTTTACTTTTGTAAGACAAGAAAATTTTATACAATAAATAAATAGTGAAGGAGGAGTATAAATATATATAGATATATACCCCTCTGTCCCACCACATTGACCCAATTTTTTTATTTTTTTTTTCTGTCCTGTAATAATGACACTTTTCTATTTTTGTAAAAATGATTAAATCAAAATATATTTAATAAATATAAATCAACTTAATTAACTATCTAATATACAACACCATAATAAATGACGTAGACTACTCAAAACCCTTTTATTTGTACCTCTCTCATAAAAAAAATAAATATTTTTATCTATATTTAAAACTACATTGTTTTTTTATAAAATTGATTTATGTTAATTATAAATAAACAAAAATATTTTTTAGTTACTTGTATTACAGAAGATTTTATTCTCTGTAAAATAATATCAATATTGCATATATTTTTTAATTGGTATATAATTTTTAAATATTTGAACATATATTTTAATTTTTTTAATCATATATATTAAATTTACTTTAAAACTATAAATATTATTAATTATACAAAAAATAATAATATAATAATATCATAACTAAGTATTATTAACTAATTAAATATTATCATCTTAAATACTGTGTCCCTAATCAAAGATTTCAATTCTGGTGGGACGGACGGAGTATTAATCTAGTGAAGAATTATTTTGATACAATTCAATTGAATTGAAGGTAATATATTACAACAACATAATTAAACAATTAAAATCATTTTATTATTCGCCATAATTGAGCGATGATAGGGATGCAATGTAATCAAATTAGCTATAGATATTTTAATATATTTGGGATCGTCATTTTTATTTTTATTTTTATTTTTATTTTTATTTTTGGCTGGGAATGAGATCACAAGGATGGATGCAGATAGAGATAGGGATCGAAATCGAAGGGGCCCATTGAAGACGACCATACTCCTTTCAAGATAATTCTCAACGTCTAATTTGGGTAATTAATATTAATTAATTAATTAATGTATGCAAAATAAAATTTAATTCAAATTTAAATCAAACCGACCCTCTTGGTAAGTAACAATTATATATGGTGTAAATTTTAATTTAAACAATATTTAATATAAAATACTACTTTCGTTCCACAATGAGTGACCGGTCACCGTAGAAACGAGAATTTAAGATAAGTATTATTAGTAAATAATTAAGAATATATTAATAAAAATAGTTAACATATGATATAAATTATTATAAATTAATATCAAGATAACTACAAATTTTTAAAGAAGATGAAAATGGATAATCATTTTTTTTTTAAAAAAAAGTAACATAAAATATGAGACGTACAAAAACGACAATATGAACATGATAAGTGGACGTGGGGAATAATATTTTATAAAAGATAATAATATATCTTTATTATATAATAATAATAATAATAATCATAAAAAATCGTCTTGAATAAACACACAATTAGAGTAAGAAATGTAGAGTCTCAAGTCACGACGGACAAAAAATAACACACGTGTATCCTATTCTCGGGCTACACTAGTCTACACCTGCACCGCCCTGGGCCCTACCCTACCCTACCCTACCCTACGTAGGATCTACAATGTTTTTATAAATATTAATCCACTTTTAAATCTAAAAATTCCATTCTTATTAGCATTTCGTTCGTGTAAGTAATCTTACAGGTATTTTTTTTTGGCGTGGGAACCCTTACAGGTAGTTCTTTTACATTGGTTAACGATGCCGTTTCAACATTAAATGATTTTTATTATTTGTAATTAAAAAAAAAAATTGAGAAAAAAAAAAAAAAATTTATTTTCTATCATTATTTACGAAGATCAATCAATTTAGGAAACATCAATGGTCTGAGTATTGAATATGTCGTTTATCCATAATGTAATGTATTCATAAGTAGAATAAAAAAATAATAATTATACATATATATATAAAAATAGTGTGTCAAAATAATTTGATTAACATATTATTGAAAATACAACTCATAAAAGATAATATGATCGTAATTTTAAGTAAACTATAATAATATTTATTAAATTAGGAAATAAATACGTTGATTTTGAACATGATGATCGGTTATGTGTACTAAGATGTCGAACATGAATGAATAACAAGGTATTCAACAACTTTTAAAATAAACTCAATAGAGTTTTGAATATTATGAGGAAAATGAAATTAATACTCCCTCCATTCAACTGATTGTATTTTTGTTATAAATTGACAAATTTATCTTTAATTGTATGATTGAGATTAAAAGTAATAAATGAATTAAGAGTAAAAATATAAAATTTGTATATTTAAAAAAAAAATTGAACAATAATTATTAAAACGTTTTAAATTAAAAAAATAAAAAATTAATTTGTGGACGTAGAAAATAATAATTAATTAGAGAGAGAAAAGGGAGAGAGAGAGAGAGAGAGGGGTCAGATAAGCATGGCGGCTGACCTTCAAAGGGACGCCACGTGTCATAGAAGGAGAGGGGCCCAAGAACAAATTGAATAGAATAGATATTGGCTTGGCCAACAACTGTACCCGCCACAACTCAATTTTAACATGTCATCAGTCAAATAAAACTAACTCAAACAAACAATTAATTAATACTAATAAATACAACTTATACTAATTGCTTCCTTAATCTTCCTTCTTCTTCGTCGTCGTCGTCTTCTTCTTCTTCCAACCCCCCCCCCACCCCCCCTCTATATATATATATATATATTTGTTTCTCTTTCTCTGTGGTTGATTGATTGCTTGGTGGTTAAACAACAGTTAGGCCAACCGTTTGTACCCATCCATGCTTGTGTACTTGTATTATATGTCTATGTGTTTTCATCTAGTATATCTTCCCAACTCAACTCGACTTCAATTCAATTCAATTGATTTGAATCAAAGCAAAGCAAAGCTGTTGGGTTATTGGTCGCCATCTCTCTCCTGATCATTTCACCCTCCAAGCTTTCCTTTCATCTTCTTCACTTGTAGTCTCTACAACTTTCTTCGACTCATCCCCTTTTTATTCCTTTCTCTACTGCTCTACATACAGATACATACATACATACATATATATATATAGATAGATAGATATACTTGTCTGTCTGGGGGAGATCAGTTAATTGATCGATCGATCGATCACGTGGATTATTCATTAATCTTCGATGAATCCAAGGTATCATGTCTTCACACACGACTCCCTCTGCGGCAACTCTGTTTCTTCTTCTCTTCCAGAGGACAGGATTTCTCTGACCACTACCGATTCAAGGCCTTTACCTCCTCCTCGGAGTTTGTCTCCTCCGCTGTTGGTTCGTGTGGCGATGAAGATATCGCGGTCGAGATGCTACGCCTTTTTGAGAAGAGTCTTCCATTACCAGAACGGATCCGGCTCCGACCTCGGCCCCAATCCCTTCGACTCCAAGAAATGGATGTTCGTCGAATTCATGGCCTTAATCACCCAAATATCTCTCACCGCCTACACTTTGATCACCTCCAAAACAGAAAAGCCCGTTTGGCCTATGCGAATATGGCTCTCCGGCTATGCCTTCGGATGCTTTCTTAGCGTCGCAATCCTCTTGTGGCGCTATCGCCTCGCTCATCATTCCCACGACGATATCGAGCAACAACACAACAACAACAACGAAGAATCGAGGTTAGCCTATATACTGATATCCCTACAAGTTTAAACTTTTAAATTATGAACTTCTTGGCTGATATCGAAATTTTTGTTGATCAGAAGCTTGCAGTGCATGCAGAGATGCAGGGCTTCGATCGAGCTGATATTCGCAATATGGTTCGTGATGGGTAACGTGTGGATATTCGATTCGCGATTCGGTTCATACCACCGCGCGCCAAAGCTCCACGTCCTCTGCATCTCCCTGCTGGCATGGAACGCCGTCAGCTACTCGTTCCCATTCATACTATTCGTGCTGCTCTGCTGCTGTGTGCCGTTGCTCAGCGCACTCCTAGGCTACAACATGAACACAGCCTCCATCCAACGAGGCGCATCCGAAGAGCAGCTCGCCGGCTTGCCTAGCTGGAAATACAAGGATGCCGACTACAGCGAAGATCCCGTACGAAATCGATCGAATATTCTCAGCCTATTTAGTGTTGTAGACAGGGGCTAATGAAGCTTGAATTTTTTTGTTGTTGGCAGGAATGCTGCATATGCTTGGCTAAGTACAAAGACAAAGAAGAAATCAGGCAGCTGCCATGTGATCATATTTTTCATCTCAAGTGTGTGGATCAATGGCTTAGGATTATCTCCTGCTGTCCTCTTTGCAAGCAAGGCATAGATAAATGATAATTATACATAAAAAATTGAATGCAAATAAATTTCAATACAAGTTTTTTTTTTTCTTCTTTCTTTATTTCTTTGTTCTGCCATTTTCAAGAAAAGGGTTTAGCTAGATTGTGCCCGCAAATGCATGAGTGGAGGAGATTCTGTATATTTTTGGCTCCCCGGAAAGTAGATACTGCATCTGGAGAGGATCTTTTATATATATAAATATATATATAATTTTTTTGGGTATATTTTGAAATGTTGTTGTGGCTGCTGATATGGTGGTTGTATTTACAGTTTGAGTAATTCATGGAGACAAAGTTTGAAGTGGAAGGAAACATTCTTGCAAAATTTCCTTTTGTGGTTGGGACAAAATAAGTTGGTAGATTGCTGTCCTAAGTTTTGTGTGACAGGACAACAATGCCAACATTAGGTAGCCTATCTTCCATCATGCTTTCGAAATAATGTTCACCAAATCTTTGTATGGTACCTCATCCATGTATGATGTTTATTGCAATATATATATATATATATAAATGTCAGGATTTTACTATATAAAGGGTGTATTTCAAGAATCAACCCCTTTAAGACACAGGATGATATCACAAACTCGTGACAAATTTCTGCAATGAAAAAAGCCATACCCCACCAAAGAATTCTAAGTCTAGCCCACCAAATAAAAAGAAAAAATGGAGACAAAATTACATTAAAACAACTAATCAGTCAGCAGGCCTAGTCCAGGTTGTCTCTGATGTCAAAACATTGCCATAGTAGACTTGTTTCGATGAATCATCCCAGTAAACCTGATAAAAAATGGGCACAAGAAAAGTTAATCCATCTTGAAAATGCCCTATGCTTTTGTATAGGAGAAAGGATGGGGGATTGAGTGAGAGGGAAGGGATTATGTTTTGTTGAAATGTCCTTACAATATACTGTGCAAGGATTGTGTAATTCTAAAGTGAAAAAGAACATGGGGTAGAGAAGTGAAGAAAGTACCTGCCATCCAGAAGGGAGGCCTTTTGACATTTCCACTAGATCAACCTGTTGTTGGTTTATGTCTGGTGAGGAGGCAATATTTGATGGGCTTTGTTTCTTTTCTTTCATCCTTTCGGCTCTCCTGCGCTTCACCCGCTCACGCCTTCATGACAGTAAGAAATTTGGTTACGAGGACAGTTTTTTCTAGTAACCATGAAATATATGGAAGGATCATGACAACAATGTTCATGTGGAGCTGGTTAATAAAAATATTGATTTTGACTGTATGAAGTTCAGATGAGTACCAATCACCACCAAGCGGCTGAAAATTAGCATTGTCTTTGGCCTCACCGCTTGCAATTTGTTGTGCTCGCCATTCCTGAATGGAAGAAGAATGTTTAGAGACACGAGAATGAAAGTAGACATTACATGTAAAAGTAAAAGCAACAGCTTAAACCTCTATTTCCCTTTGCCTCTTTCTCTCCAGCATTTCATAAGCATTTTCAGGTTCTTCTTCCTCTTCTTGCAACTCCTCCTTTGCAGCTTTCCACTGTTTTCAAAAGAGGAAAAGTCAATACTCAGAATCACATAACAAGTAAATATGACAACCATCTCATCAATCACAAAACATTGATGGCCACAACCTTGTCCACCAGCTTGGAGACTTTCTTGTTAGATCTCAACGAGGATACCGTTGCAACATTTCTTTTCTTGTTACGTGTAACTGAACATAATTAAACCGCATAAGATGCCAGTTAGTTGCAATCTACAAGTCCAATCAAGTTTCAGTTGCCTCCCTAAAAGAACTCAACAAGTTTCCTTTGTTGGAAATCAATATCATAAGCGTAAATTGGCAAAACCTCTTTGGTGAGGATCAGTAAAGAATGAAAGCTAAGTTTCAATTATACCCTTAGATTGAGGCTTAGAAGCTGCAGCTGCAGCCGCAGCTGCAGCAGCAGAAGCAGATGAAATGGTCTCAGATGTGGATGTTACAGAAACACCATTTGCCATTGAAGTCGAAGGAGCTCCAACTGCAGGCTGAGCTTCTGAACCCTCCACAGTAGACTTTCCAGTGCCATTGCCAGACTCACCAACAATAGAACTATGCGTAAGTAGGGAATCCAAATTGCCTTGTTTTGCAGAGTCAAGATTTTCAGGAGCAGGTTCACTATGAGCAATTGAAGCCTCAGAAGCACCAGTAATCAATGGAACATGACTTAAGGAAGCATTCTGAGGGGCATAATAAGCTGTGGAATCAATGGCAGTGACTCCCAAGGGTGTAACACCATATATACTCGGGACTGCTTCATAATAATGAGGTAACTGGGGTATGGGTAATTGTACCCCTCCATCAGGATGTGTATAAAGAGTACCGGTAGAAACTTCAAGGTTTGTTTGTCCATAATATTCAATGCCAGCACCAGGGTATGACGAAGCATACTGCTCAGGATAAGAAAAAGGTTGTACTGACCCCAGATGGGCAGGTGGAGGAAACGAAGTTTCTGGAGGTTCATCAGGAGGTGGAGGAGGAAATGGTTCATCATCTGGAGGTGGAGGAGGAAATGGTTCACTGTCAGGTGGTGGTGGAGGAATCCATTCTTCAGTAGGAGGGCCATTCACTGCAACTGATGATTCCTGCAATGCCTGGTTAGTTTGCAGGCTTGATAGTTCGGGTGATACATGATGATAAGCACCTGTTGCGTTGGCATGAGGGGGCTTGACTGTAGATGTATCCTCAACTTCCATGTCCACATCCATGTCTTCATCTTCATCAGAATGTACGGTTCCAGGAGGTAATACACTTTCCGTAAGAGTGACAATCATTTCACTTTTTCGGCCCACATCATCAACAGGATAGGAGCTGGTGTAGCACATGGAGGTCAAATGTTCTGTGGAAGTGGGAGCAACACCATGAGCCTCAAAATTTGATGACCTAGCAATGGGTACAGCCTGGTGTTCCAGACCAGCAAGTTCCTTTTTTCCACTTGAATCAACTTCAGCCTCTAGTCCACTAGGGGATCTAGAAGGATGATTCATTGCATCTTCTACTAAAGCCTCAAGTCGTTTTAGCTGATCCTCTGAGTGTAGCCAGAATGGAAGTAGAGATGATCCATGAGCTGCTAAAGCCTTAATGTCAGCAAGCCTGATCTCAATTTCCAGCATGCATTTCAATTTAAAATCTTTATCTTCCGCATGACAGTTAAAGCTGAAAAGCAGAAAGTACAAAGAATTAGCAACATTTTTGCTATAAATAAGAACTATATATTATTGCAAGAAGACATAGTCAAGTACCATTTCATAGAGTTCAATCTCTCTAACAGGCCTTCACACAGCTTTATCAGATGAGAAGGAAGTTCAATACCAGTTCTAATTTCTACAGAACATCCACCGAGTAGAGAACTGTCATCACTCTTGTTTGCTTCTTTTTTGCATTCATCACCATTTATAGTGTCACCTTTAAACCCTTCATGAGAATCATCCATTTTGGTGTCTTGTACAACACCTTCAGAGTTTTGGCAGTGGAAATTTGATTCAAAACTATCTTTTCTAGAGATATAATCTTCACCCATAACCAAAGGCGTATTTGATTTATCCAGCTCCACAGAAGCATCCACTTTTTCTTTAACATCACCATTGCCTCTCTCTATAGATGAAACGGTTTCCTGTGCAAATACACCCGGTACTTCCCATGAAGTTTCACCCGTCACAGTATTCCAATAATAGTATTGGTTACTTTCTTCGTGCAAAACCATCTTCCAACCAGAATTCACATCCCCAATAAGGTTGTCATCAGGAGCAGTAGCATCATATGTAGTTTCTTCTGTTCTAATATTTGTTTGTTTCTGATGTAAATCATGAGAATTAACTCCTGAGACATTTGCTTCCTCATGTTTTGTAGAAGGTTCCTGAGAAGAACCATCCTTTATCAGGAGTTGCTCCATTGTTTGATTATGCTCTTTCCCGCCATTATTTTCAATATGCCGAGTTTCTTCGCAAGCATAAACAATAGCCTGAAAAAAATAAAAAAATAAAAAAAAGTACTAAATTAGTTCAGAAAAGGAGAACAATCAACCAGCAATACAAGTAGAGTTAAATAAACCTTAATACCAGCTTAAGCAGCCACTATTAAGCTTGCGTAAAAGCAAGTAAAGCTATCAGGAGTTCACTGCACAGCAAAACTGCAAGTGCCCCAAGAATCTACATAACCTTGATTGGCCATTGCATGACAAATCAACAAATCTCATCCTTATATACAGGAAAAGCAGGGTGAATGTGGATCTCGAATTCAGCTTGCTTCCGGAACAAGACTTATTCATTATCATTATTACTTATTTATTTATTTTCACTATATATCAGAATATAGCTGAACTCAGACTATGGCTAATTTGGCAAAGCAGAACTTCTTGTTCATACAATTACCTCTTTGTCAGCACACACTGAAGATCCCTGGGAAACAGCTTGATTCAGCTGTTTAGATGAATCATCTTCTGAATCTTCATCACTGTATTGCTCAAGCAGAACAAGAGGATTTTGTGGCTGTTGCCCTGTTAACAAAAAACTACAATATTAAACACCTCAAAATTTTCAACAAATTTGCATGCATGTCTTATAATGTCTACAACTAACATAAATTGAAGTATAAAACTACTGAAGAACAGTAATAAATGAGAAGGAAACACAGCAGCTAAAGGATTAGAAAATTCAAGGTAACCAGCACACCTGTAGCAAAAGATCGAAATCATCAGTATCACAAAAATGGAAATAAAGCCAAAGACATACGAACCAATTGGGCAAAATTTCCTTGTGGATCTCCAAACATCCTTTGATGGCGCCGCAGAAAGGGCAAGACAGATGAAAAGTTTACAAGATAATGCACTGTGGCAGGAGGCAGATGTAGTCGGGGATAACCTTTTGACAGTTCCCAATACCACAGCCTTCCTATAGTCGGAAAACTATTTTCGGGGGATAGAAAACACATGTCTTGTACAAAAAAACCGAATAATTTCCACCAATATTATGCGGTCACATCATGTCTTCTCTACAAAGAGCAGTCCTTTGAAGAAAACTGATGGAACCCACCTGAAGAATGTGGTGAACTGGGTAACTCGGTCCGAGTTCTGGAGTCACCGTCCCGTCCAACTCCTTCCTGGACAGTGGAGTCACCCAAATCTCCTAATACAGGTACGCACCGAACACAAAAATAAGCCGCGAATATAAAGAAATAACTCGCACAAAATCCCCATACATACTGTAAACAATAAGAGTCCAACAGTAGCGATAACCAAAAAAAGTATACATACACAAAGAAATCAAACGAGAATCTCCTTTTTTTAAAAAAAAAAAAAAGCCTGTAATAAGCAATAATACATAGCGCCGGACAACTAAGCATGCATACTTCCGCGGAACAAAAACCTAGAAGCTACGAAAATTCCTAAATTCATTAATCCTACCGATGCAAACCACGATAGAAGGAATGGATTTTGTGTATACCAGATGGTTCCACGAATAGATCGAGCTTAACTCTACGCCCAGCAGCGCTCATGGCCGCTAGCCGACGCTCCTTCCGTCTCCCCATTCCAAATACAAGCAAATTGCAAAACCTTGAAATAACGAGAAGATTCACCCAAAGCAAAGCGGAGAGAAGGAAGATTCGATTGAATACGTAGCAGAAGCAGAGTATCGATGATCAGACGAAGCCCTAGATTACACGCTTGTGTCAATTCGTTTGCACACGAAGTCGAATGGAAGAAATCCAGCGGGTGTGGTCTTTATCTTTAAATTGTATTCGAGTGTATAGTTTATAGTGGCCCTGAAATTGGGCCGCCATTAGGCCCATTAAAATACTTTAAAGGATAGATTTTGGACTTTTAGTTTATCCATCCAATGGTTAATATCTTTTCGTGTGTTTGTTTGAGGATTTGAATTTTGAATTGAGATTTGAATAGAAAAATATTTAAATTTGATTAGTTGTATGATGTGATATAGACAGATGTTGATGTAATATTTTGAATGTAAAATTGATTTTTAGTATAATAAAAAAAAATAAGTATTTGATTTGATATTTTTAGAAAAAAAAGATGGGATGAATAGTCCTCCAAACAAACACACCTTTACGACGTTTCTTGAAACAAAGGGGCGTGCGTGTTTTATTTTATTTCAAATCCAAGTCAAAATTAATTATTTCCTATTATTTTTAATAACAATTAATTATTTTTTCAAAATCTACATATAAAAAAAAAAAAAAAAAAAAAAAACTCTTATTCTCTAATAAGTAATAACCACGATACATTGATTAATTATGAATCATTCATTCCCCGCAGACAGACTGCCAATACAATATTATTCCATTACCATGAAAATGATATATACATACTATAAGGTTGTTTGGAAACGGCAACCTTGAACATAGCTACTAACTAACTTAAATACATGATCACTCAACGTCCTTATAAAAATAGTATAAATATTTATTTATGATTTATTTTGATCCCAACAAATACGACATTATGTTATTGAATGCATGCCATCAACCACACGACTAGAGAGACAATAATATAATGCATCATAAATATGCAATTGGTAAATCCTGGAGCCGTTAGAGACGCTGCTATACATATATATATATATATATATTGCATGCAATATACATAAAAGCCATACCTACACAATTGAATGGCCACTACAACGTAACGTTGATTTGACAGATCAATATATACTATACTATACAGATAATCTCATCATATATTATGATATAAGATAGCATACTTCAACTTATAATATAATATATGTTGTATTATAAATATGATGCAATATATATAAATATATATTAGTCATCCCTGTAACATATATTGTCTAGTCAAACCAACACCTATGTATTATTATTATTATTATTATTGTTCATTAAAGCCTGCTAATTAACAACTGTGACATCCATGTGCCTATCGAACGTAACTCATCCATTCAAAATTTTAGACCATTATGTGTTTGTTTGCGGCTTTTCTCTTAAATACATTATTCATTCTATTTTTTCTTTCAAAAACATCAAATATCTATTTTTTATTTTTTATATTATACTAAAAATCAATTTTACATTCAAAACATCACATCAACCCCTATTTATATTACATTATACAACTATTCAAATTCAAATTTTTTACTATTCAAATCTCAAACTCAAAATTCAAACCCTCAAACAAAAACACCTGAAAAAAAGACTTCGAGGCTATATATGCTCATTAATTATTTAATAAATGGTGGTGGTGGTGGCACTTGTGCTAAGTAAGACATGTTTACTAGTGTTAGTATTATTCCTCCACACGGTACCATACGCTTATTTAAATTCAAAATAACATAGTTTTAAATTAAGATACATGTATGTATATATATGTATTTTTAATAGTATTATAATTTGGTATTTCAACTTTGCTTTGAAAATAATTAAAAGTTAAATAAAAATAGTAAGCATTTAATTAATATAAATTAAGTATTGAATACAATACTACAAATAAAAAATATACTCCTTTCGGCCCATAATAAAGTATTCATTTTTTTATTTTAGTCCGTCTCATAACAAAGTATCTATTTCATTTTTTTTTAGTAAATGTACTATGTACTAACATTACAAGTACTCTTACAATTTACAATATATTACACAAATGTCATTACCTTTATATCATACGTACTAATAAGGTTATTTTAGTTATTTATACTTTATTCTTACTATATTTCAATATAATATTAATATTTTAAAAACTATGTGAAAAAGCAAATGTATGTCTACTTTTGGGACGGAAAGGGTGTATATATAATCTTCTTTTATGAACTATTAAAAGAATATACAAATCTCTTAAATTATTCCAATAGAGTAATTACTAAGAGTCAGTTTGTATTTTAATTTTAATTTTATTTAATTGGATTTATATAAAAAATTGTATTATTAATATAAAAAATAATATTTTTATATTGAATATTAGTTTTTTTTTTTGAAAAAATAAAATATATATTGAGAATCTTATAAATTTTTTAAAATTAAAATTTTTAAAATAATAAAAAAATATATAATGTAATCTTTTATAGAAAAATATATTTTTTATAATAATTTTTTAAATGAAGTAAATATTGATAAAGAGTACTGACAATTTTAAAAATAATTATGTTAATCAAGCCTTAATTTTATTATATAATGATAGTTAAAATAGTTTCCCTCTGTCCAGGTAATTTGGGTGTGTTAGTGTAGACATATAATTTAATTTAAGTAAAGTATGATTAGTAAGTAATTAAAAAGTATATTAGTAAAAATAATTATTATATAGTAAAAATAATTATAAATTAAGATTAAAATAACTAAATACTTTAATTTAGATTAAAAAATTATAAAATATAATTTTTAAAATATAATTAAAGTGTATAATTATATTTAAAAAAAATAAATTATATGAGACAAACGAAAATATAAAATAAAGACAAAGGGAATAAGTAATAAAAAAATTTAATTAAATAATTAATTACTATTAATTAGTGGGAAATGCAATCTGATGATAGACAGGTTGGAGGGCCATATGTTGTCGATTCTGACTCTTGCGTTTTTAGGACAAACTTCATCCCAATTATTGGAACATGTATGTATCTATATGTATGTATGTATCCATACATACATACATCTGTACACAGTCATAAGTCATACACAATAGTAATATAAATACACTGATTTCGGTGTTTGCCCACTCTTTCTCTCTCTCTCTCCTTCGACGTTCTCAAAGTCTTCTCTTTTCCCTTTTTTCTTAATCATTCACTCCATACATTTTTGGAGAAGACACAGGACGTGGTCGTGGTCGTAGTGGTAGTGGTAGTGGCAGTGGAGGTGCCAATCTCTTGTTTTTCTCTCTCTACACTTCAGGTTCCATCTTTTTTCTCCTCCTCCATTCCATTCTCAAGAAAAGCAACCAAGCCTTGTAAACCCTGAAGTTTTTTTTTTTTTTTTTTGTGTGCGCGCCTCTTTTTTGTTGTGGACTTCTTTTTTTTTGGTTTACTTTTGAACTGCCCAATGGATTACTAGATGGATATATATATTTTTTTTTTTAATTTTTTTTTCCACTGGCATTCTCAGTTTTTGGGGTTTTAATGGATCTTTCTCGATAGGGTTTTTGCGGGTAAGAGATGGATCTCGTTTCAAGATCTGTTCTTTTCCTGGACGATTCACATCTTGTCGAAGTTTTTCTTGTCCTAAATTTCTCTATGCTGTAATTTGTGGATGTGGAAAGGGTTCGGAGGGGCTACATTTACTTTTTAAGCGTCGATTTAAACTGAATCTTTGCTCTTCCTGTCGATTTTTAGGGATAATTTGTGATTAGCAGAAGTTCTTCTCATAGCCAAAAGGCTTCATTTTTCAGAGAAAACACATGGAAAAATGCGATTGTTTCCATGGCAAATTTGATGATTTGTTTCTTTTCTGTCTGTCTGTCAGTAGTGTTAATGAGCACCTGCACTTAGAACCTCTCTTATTGTTTGTTTGTGTTTTCGATGAAATTGATAATTGAATTTATGTTTTGCTGCCCTCGACATTTTTGTTGTGTGTGATCTGTTTGGTAGTTATAAATGAAGACTATGATGCTTTACCTTCTGTTGGTTTGAGGAGATTGGCTGCTGGACGAGTTATTTTTATCTAATTATTTTACCTGGAAATTTGTTGAAAATACTCAAACTTGAGACTAACTGTGAACTTATATGGTTGCAGATGGTGGTATTCGACTTTGGTATCAAGCAGGCGGATTTATTTTATTCTTGATCTGATTACTCCACTGCTTGGATTCAAATGGAATCTGAATCTTGCGCCAAGTCATGCTCGGAAAAGAAGTATAGAAGTCACGGAGGGAAAGCACGTGAGCCTGGGAAATTGCAAATGTCCAAAAATGTCGAAAATTCTACCTCCAAGAAGGTTGCATTGCAAGCACCCGAAGAATCAAAATCAAATAATCATCAGCAAAGGGGAGCAGTTTGTTCTTTGACAAGGAAAATGGAAACAAGTTTACAATTAGGGAATTCGGACAAAAAAGAATCAACTTCCGACATTAATACCAATCCCGAAAAAAAACCAGACTGCAGAAACGACAACAAAGATAGTTCACCAGCTGCAAAACTTAGCGACGGCACAAGCAGCATTGCCAAGACCAGTGGAAGCGCCAAGATTAGCGATCGGGCAGAATTCGTCGAAAGTGGGAAGAGCAGTATGTGTAGGGCTAGCACGAGCACTGACATCAGCGACGAAAGCACTTGCAGCAGCTTGAGTAGCAGTGTGAACAAACCCCATAAAGCGAACGATCTCAGGTGGGAGGCAATACAGGCTGTTCGCGCGAAAGATGGGGCTTTAGATCTGAGGCACTTCAGACTGCTGAAGAAGCTGGGCTGCGGCGACATTGGAAGTGTCTATCTGTCGGAATTATGCGGGACAAAGTGTTATTTTGCTATGAAAGTTATGGATAAAGCGTCTCTAGCTAGCCGTAAGAAGCTTCTGCGTGCACAGACAGAACGGGAAATCTTGCAATCTTTGGATCATCCTTTCCTTCCAACTCTATACACTCATTTCGAAACTGAAAAGTTCTCTTGTTTGGTTATGGAGTTTTGTCCTGGAGGTGATTTGCACACTCTTCGACAGAGGCAGCCGGGAAAGCATTTCTCTGAGCAAGCTGTGAAGTACGGTGTTTTCTTTGCCCTAACTTTTTTATAGTTTTCGTTGGTTTATTGTTTGTTTCCCTTTAGGTCTTTGCAATTTACTGTTTTCAGAGCTCTTAGATTTTGATTATAGCGTCTAATATGTGGAATCCCGTGTGAAAATAACTTGAAGTAGGTGCTAGTATTTTTAAAATAATTAATGAAATTGCTCGGTCGAATTACTATATATAGGATTAGTTAATGCACTTTTTAACTCTATGTTGGAAGTACGTTTAGATCGATACTCCTTTAAGCTCATTTTAGGTGAAACATGATCCGTTTTTGGCTAATTTTCTCGATTTGCTTGTAGCGAATTCTCATCTGCATAATATAGCTAAAATATCCAATTCACGATTCTTGTGATTGACTAATGATTGCCTTTAATGTGATCTAAGCTTGCTAGATCACATACAAGTCAAATTTTCTCACACTTGCCTTCTGTTTCAATTTCGCATTTTAGTTTCTTCTTTTTATTTTTTTAGTTTGTATGTCCATTGTTCTATGCAACGGAAAACGTTGAACAAGAAATTAATGATAGAGCATCTTCTTGAACTACTTTTTGGCTCAATTAGCAATCTTTTCATTCCATAGTACATCCTACATAGTAACCTGAACAAACACATAAAAACAACCTCGATACTGTCGAACTTGATGAATTTTCTGTTGCAATGCTAGAGATGTTCCGTTTTTTAATTTTTATCCCTTTTTTGTACCTTGTCCATATCGTCATTTCTATTTGACCTTAACAGTGCACATGGGAAGCTCCATGATATTGATAGTTTAGGGGCATTGTTCGGATAAACAACTAAACTGGTTTTAGTTAGTGAGTTTAGTTTATATATTGAAATCTGTAATTTCCCCAAAATTTTACCCATTTCTCATCTGTCTTGAGCTGAAAGTTATTATCTTAGTTATTTAGAAATAAAGAACACAGTGATCGGTCGAACATTATAACATTTCAATAGAGATGAGGTTCATATTATAACTAGTTGTGCTCTTTCTTTATCGAGTTTTATGTTGTGATTTCAAGTTAATACGTATTCGGTTTCGCATTGTACCGAGTTGTGTCAATACTACACATTCGTTGAACGTTTGCTTGCAGGTTTTATGTGGCAGAGATACTTCTCGCCTTAGAGTATCTGCACATGCTCGGCATTGTCTACCGTGACCTCAAGCCTGAAAATGTCCTTGTGAGGGAAGATGGGCATATAATGCTGTCCGATTTCGATCTTTCCCTCCGATGCACTGTAAGTCCAACTCTGATAAAGTCTGCGTCGCTTGAGGCAGATCCCCTGCAGAAAAACACAGTGTATTGCGCCCAACCCGCCTGCATTGAGCCGTCTTGTATCCAGCCATCGTGTATCGGCCCGACCACATGTTTCGGCCCTCGCTTCTTTTTGAGTAAATCGAAGAAAGAGCGGAAACCCAAACTCAAAAATGAAATAGGCAACCAAGTCACCCCGTTGCCGGAGCTCATAGCCGAGCCAACAGACGCGCGCTCGATGTCCTTTGTCGGAACTCACGAATACTTAGCTCCTGAAATCATCAAAGGCGAGGGCCACGGCAGCGCGGTGGATTGGTGGACTTTCGGTATTTTCCTGTACGAGTTGTTGTTCGGTAAGACGCCGTTTAAGGGATCGGGAAACCGAGCTACACTCTTCAATGTCGTCGGACAACCTCTGAGATTTCCGGAGTCGCCTGTGGTCAGTTTTGCAGCCAGAGATCTCATCAGAGGTTTACTTGTGAAAGAACCGCAGCATCGATTGGCTTACAAGCGCGGCGCAACTGAAATCAAGCAGCACCCGTTCTTCGAAGGAGTGAATTGGGCATTGATTCGCTGCGCGAGCCCTCCGGAGATTCCGAGACCAGTTGAAATCGAGAGATTTCCTGCGCCGCCGCCGGCTTCGACTAGCGTAAAGGCTAATCCTGCTGCTGCGGTTCCTGGAACCCCAAACCCGGATAAGTATCTGGAATTTGATTTCTTTTAGAAGTTTTTTTCATTCTATGCTTTCTTATCACCGAGTTTGGTATATCGACTGTTTTTCAGACATTCAAAGGATCACAAAGAACAGGTTCAGGGCAGGGATTCATGCCCTTTTAGTACTGCTTGATTATGTTCGAACAGCCGAAGAAATTGTTTGTTTGTATTGCGAATATTATCTTGCTGTTGGTACTTGGTATCGATTCTTGTTGTTTATTACTTAACATGCTTTAACGAGATGCAGCGCAGCGAACACGGTTTTCGCCTGTAAGACAATGTCGAGATAGAAGCAGGTAAGCTTTGTACAATGTCATCTTTGTAAGAACAGGAAAATTGCAGATTCAATTTCTTTAATCCCGCCGAAAGAGTCTTGATAGGAAACTAGCTCAACTACTTGTAGCATTTACAGGCGAGGGCGACGGAGATTGCAGCTCCGATAACAGCAAGTACGGCTAATGTATCTTCGCGCTCCCAACTCTCGTACCATGTAGGCACGGCGCACATTTTGAAGCTGTTCTTTTCACCCAGGCTCGTTTCTTGCGATTCAGTGATCTCGCAGCAATTGAAATTTCCTTCGTCTACCTGATGACATTGTTCTGCGCTGCGGAAACTTAATTCCGGCGATGTTTTCTTGTGTTCTTCGGAAAATCCAATCCGTCCCCTGAAAAAAGGTACGGATTCATCAACACCGGCGAATGTTTAGGAAACAGTACAGGTACAGCAAGATATGCTTACTTCCATAAGAAATTTACGATTTCTCCTTTCTGAATATGACGATCGATCAACAGAGGTACGTGTTCGGGTAAAACATAACCGTACCTGAAGCAGAAGTCATAAAAAACATGAGAACTTTGATCGATTGTATCAAGAAAACATCGATCATTACTCACCGATGCCCTGTGACTTCCATATTGCTATCGCGTCCGAAAATAAGAACATTTCCGGGCGTGTATAAATTGCCTCCGATTTGCGAACATGGGCTAACGGATATTTTTCCCGTAAGGCCACGCAACTTTATCTCTTTCTTGAACTTTCTTACAACATTTGGCCCAGAAATACCACATCGGCGATGGCTACTGCCATGGCAGCATACAAAGATGTACCAGCCAGTAAGAGGCTTGGGGCTTCCCGGCAACCACTTGCCGTGCTTTACAAGCACTTCCTTGATGAATTTGTCGACATCAAAGTGTGTTAATTTCCTGCAATTGAGCAGACTTATGTTAATCAGATGCCGGGGAAATTTGACACAGTTTATGATCTTCTAACCTGTATCTGATCATGTCTGGAAAAATTAACACATCGCCGTTAGAATTCATAGTTCCATCGCGACCCTTGCATATAACAAAGTGTGTCTGCATCGAGGAAACAATGGAAAGTAAATATTACTCAAAGTGTGTCTGCATCGATGAAACAATGGAAAGTAAATATTACTCGGACAACCTTTGCAAATGTCTCAACAATTGGAACTAAACATGAAAAGGATCAAGGGAAGGGTACTTGTCGAGCTTTATAAGCCAAGATAAAGTTCATATTCTCCCCGTCCCAACTCCCACGCGCTTTCGCGCATACAATGTGGATTCTCCAAATCCATACAAGTTGCGTATATTCGATAATTAATGCAACGGTCTAATCGATCTCTAAAATTTTTTGTTTCCAAATAAAAAGGCGAGAATCTACTTTAGCTTAGGTGCTCGCGCTCATGCTCATACCCGTGATCTCATCGTGTTCTTAAGAATGAAAAACATACATACATATATATATTATGAAAAATAAGCATAATAACAATAATGCAGAAAAGGGTTTACTGTACTTATACCTCTGTGTTCATCTGAGGTTTCCCGGCGGCGAAAGCGGCGGCGAGGAGGCGGGGAAGACGATCGAATTCAGCAGCGTCGAATCGGGTAGGCCAAACCTTAGGGTCCTTATAGCACAGGAAAACGTAACGCTCCTGCTTTCCGGTTGTTTCTATGACCGGAATATCCTCGACTTCCGGCAGCTTATATCCGTATTCGCCGTCTCCGGCGAGGAGTCGGTTGTTGTCGTTAAGCTTGTAGATGATGATGCCGGGGATCGGAGGCGGCGAGGAGGGGAGGCGTAGGGAAGTCAAGAGTCGAAGAGGATCATCTAGTTTGGAGGTCAGCAATGGTCTCGGCATTGGCTACCGGCGGCGGACTGGTAATTGAGCTCAGTTGTTTTGTTCGCCGGAGAAACTCGACGACTAAGTGTGTGTGCAGTCGAACGTCTGGAGAGAGAGGGAGGTCTGGTTTACAGTTTAATTTATTTATTTATTTATGATATTATATATGTAAATATGCATGACATTTTATTTTATGGATTTTGTGTATATTATTACATGCCATATTACAGTGTTACACAAGTTGATGTAAGAATTAAATCATATGCACAAAATATGATGCTATATTTTAGTGTTTGGTTTTGTGTTTGATTTTGAATTTTGAATTTTTTGTTTTGTGAGATAAAATATGTATGTTTATATATATATAAAAAAAAATTAGTTGCATGTTAAAGAAATTAAAATCAATGTTTTCTTTTGAAGTTTTGATTTTAATTTTAATTTTGGTTTTGATTTTGATTACTAGTTTTATGAGATAAATAATATTTCTCTATCCACAATAACTATGTTTGTATGAGTTGAATATAAATTTCAATGAATATAGTATATATTGATTGGTTGTTACATAAAATAAAAATATTTTAAAAAGTATGTAGGTATATTAACAAGATGAGAAATTTTTTAAATAAATTAAATGTATATAGTCTGTCATATTTGACGGGTAGTTGCGATAAATAAAAAAAATATAGTTCCTTCTCTCCAGGTTAATTTGTCTCCTCATCTCAGTTTAGTTAGAGTTTTAAATATTATATAATTAGTAAATAATTAAAAAAAAATATATCAGTGAAAATAATTATAAATTAAAATTAAAATAATTTAAATAATATAACTAAAATTATAAATTATAAATTATAAATTTTAAAATGTAATTAGAGTGAATAATTATTTTTTTTTTTAAAAAAATGACAAATTATGTGTAACAAATGAAAAGAAATAGTTGACAAATTAAGTGGCACGAAGGAATCAGTATATTTTGTGAAAATATACATTTTGTGGATGGATAAAATAGATATTTATAAAAAGATATTGTTATAATTAAAGATTAAAATGTATAAAAAATTCAAAAAGATAGTCCAAATTTTTAAAGAAAACCTAATACTTTTTTTTATTAAATTTTTTATTTAAATAATATTTTGTGAGATAAAAGTAATATATTTTCTATTATATAAATAGTATTGATTGTGATTTAAAAAGTAATATTGAATAGATATATGTTTATATATTTATGTTATATGGAATTTTATTATTTGAAAAATAATACTATATTTTAACATACTTTCTGTCTTATCAAAGTTGTAATATTATTTTATTATTTTTTATACGAATAATGTTGTTAGTATTTTAAATATTTTTAAAATTATATTTTAATAAATATAATAAAAATTTTAAATATAAATAAAAATATTTATTTATTGAAAAAATATATAAATAAAAAGATTTTGAATTGGCTCCAAAAAAAATTAAAAATTTAATAAATTAATTTATACTTATCAATTATATTTTTAATAAATAAATTTACTAAAAAGTAAAAAATGGTATTTTTATTGGCCAGACAAAAGGATAATGAATCCTCTGTGGGACAAGGGAGTATATTTTAAATAAATTTGCTATTAAAATATATTACTATCCTATCTTGCATTTCATTCAAAATTATGTCATTATTTTGTTTTGTCATCTTAATTATATATAATTTATTTATAGTAAATAAATTTATTCACTTGTAATTTTATTATTTATTTTAATAGGTACAATAATAACTAATATGTCACTATTTTTTCGATTTATTTCATATTTTTTTATCAATTATTTTATAAAATGTGATAGTATATTCACTTTATTTTATGTCACTATTTTTAATTTTTTTTTATATCCAACCAAACTTACATAATTTACACGACGTAAAGAGTATGCACTTTTATAAATAGATACATATATTATTTTTTCCAGTAGGATAAATTTATAAGATTTTATTTGACTCAAATATTAAAAAAAATAGTTTATTGAAAAAACAACAAATTTTTAAAATAATATTATAAATTTATAGTATAAAAAATAATTTAATTAACTTTACAACATAGCATCATATATATATATACATATATACCATGTAATATCTATTTAAAATTCCTCTATTATTATTTTTTTCCTAAATAATAAATATTTTTATTTATATATAAAACTCTATATCTTTATAAAATTATTTTTTTCTTAATTATAGATAATAATATATATATTTATTTATTTTTATTATATAATTTTTTTTTCTATAAATTAATATTCATATATTTTATTATGACATAATTATTAAAATATTTAAACACATTATAATTTTCTTAATAACATATTTTTATTTTAAAATATTAAAAATCATATTCACATAAAAAATAATAAATAAATTCAGTATTATTAACTAATTAATTTATTGTTACTTCAAATATTATCACAAATCAAAAGGTCATTTGTTGTTACTTCTAATAAATGGGCCATAACAAACTTGGGCCGAGTCCAATATATAGAAGATTAGGCTTAAAGATCTAAACCCCAAGTTATTGTATTGGGCTCAGTGGAAGTAGTCTCAAATATAATAATTTTTTTTATAAAATATAATATTAAAATATTATTTAAATAAATATTTTATTTCAAATAAATTTTGAATTTTTTTAATATATTTATTTTTTATAAAAATAAGCAAATATCTACTTAGTAGAAATATTGCATTCGTTCATTCAATATATTTTAACACGATTTTTTGCAAATATCATAAAAAAAATACAATATATATTAATATTAACATAATATATATTATTTACTTATAAAAATTAATAATAAATATGTATATATTTTTTTTATATTAACGATACTATTTTTTATATTTTTTTTTATATCAAATGAAATAAGAAAACACATGTAAGTGAATAAACACATTATATATCCACAAATAATTGATGCTTTTAATGTACATTTATTTGTTTGTCTTGACCACAGCACACCCACACATTTCTTTAGGCCATCCACAAAAAGTGCGATCTTTTCTTTTGATAGAGTTTTTTAAAAAATTTTATTTTAATTTGATATTAAAATAATATATAATAATTTTTTTTAAAAAAATAAAATAATATAAGTATTTTAAAAAAAATAAAATAAAATTCAAATATTAAAAAACTAGAGTTTGAAAGGTAATGAAAACACACCCCATCATTTTCTTAATAAAAGAAATAATAATGATAGGAAAAAAAAAATTCAAAACACAAGAAATGGTCGACTATCAGGCTCCGTATCCTGTCATAATATGTGGGCCTATGCCTTTTTTTTTCTTCTTTTAATTTATAAATAAATTTAATAAATATGATAATTTATATAAACATAAATAAATATTATATTTATAAAAATTTATCTTATATAAATATTTGATTTACATTTTTTAACATAAATTTTTATCTAATATTTATATTTTTTATAAAATACTCTCTCCGTACCGCCATAGATGATCCATTTTTTTTTTAATACATCCCACAAAAGATACTTCTTTCCATTTTTGGTAACTTTATCAATCTTAAATATACTCAACAAATATAAATCAATTTAATTAAACTTCTAACATCTTACCCCTAAGATCCATTCAAAACCCCTTTATTTCAATCTCTTTTATCAATTAACATAATTATTTATATATATTTAAAATTCCTTATTTTTTTATAAAACTAATTTATGGTAATAATAAATAAATAAAATTTTATTATTTACAAAATGATATTCATACTGCATATATTTTTTCGAGATATAATTTTAAAATTTTTTAAAATACCAATAATATTATTCATATAAAAAATAATAAACTAATATCATAATTTATTATTAATAATTTACTAATTTACACTACCTAAAAAATCGTTTTCCTAATAAAAACGTTTATCCATCGCGAGACGGAAGGAGTAATAATTATAATTTTAAATATATCTATTTTTTTATTTTTATATCGGTTAATTAGTATTTGAATGTAATACTCTTTCTATATTGCCTATAAGACAAACTCAAGCAACACAGCAAACAATATCCTAACTGTCAAATTTCTCCGACTTTTTATTTTTATTTTTATTACTGTTTTAATCATAATTTTAATTTTAATTTAAATAATATTTTATGAAAGATCTTTTATATTTTTATAAAAATTAATAAGTTACACAGTAATAATTTTAATTTAAAATTAAAATCAAACAGACCTTAGATTGTTGTGTGGAATGTTATTTGGGCATAGTTTAATTTATTATTCTTTTTTATATAATGTGGGAACTGGTAGTCATTACCTGAAAATAAGCATTGGGTAAATTTTCGATCGAATTTAATATCATACAAACTAAATTTAACTAGACAAGTCACACTAGACGAAGCATGTGTGAGAAGATGACAATGTTGTGCAATTTGAAATTATTTAAATTTCTCAATTATTATTATTATTATTTTGAAAAAAAATTAAAATTGAAACAACTCAAAAAGACTAATATCCGTTAATTGGAATTGTAATTAAAACATGTGATTCAAATGGTCAAATTGCAGCACATGGGTGTGGCTGCCCATCCTAGTAAATGCTGACGAAATCTATAAATGCTTAGACAACAATATTGTCATCATCATTGCCACAACGGATCCAATTGTCGGATCCGAACCCGGATCATTTCCTATATATGGTTATTAATGTTTTATACTCCCACAGTCCCAAGTTGAATTTAGAATTAATATAATTTATAAATAATTAAAAATATATTAGTAAAAATAAGTATTTTATAATATAAATTATTATAGATTATAGATTAAGATAATTAATTATTTTAATTAAAATTTTTAAAAAATAAATTAGAAAATCTAAATGAGATTAAAGTGTGTAATCCTTTTTCAAAAAATGAAAGTAACATAAGACGTGAGACGAACAAAAAGGGCAATGTGGACATGATAAGTGAGACGGAGGGGAGTATTATTTTCGTTCGGCTTCAAAGATCTCGTTTACTTTTTGCATTTTGATATTTGAATATTAATTTATTATATCAAAATGTAGTACAAATTAAGAAAAAATTTAAAAAATATTTCAATTAGTGTCTTATAATACTAATATAATGACATTTGTAAAAAAAAATTTATACAAATATAAAAATATTTTTATTATTAAATAGACGGATTGAAGGAATATTAAAAACTTTCTCCACCATATTCTGTAAATCATAAATATGAAACTTTTAAAATGACAAAATTAGTATATAATTGAAAAATATAGTAGTAATATATTTACAATATAATATAAGTAAATTATAAATTTAAATTAAAATAATTAATTAATATAATTAAAATATTAAAATAATTATATATATATAAAATTAAAATATATATGATTGTATTTTTTAAATAATGATGTATCTGTATGAAATATCTATTTCGATGAAATATTTGGAATGAATTTTTTTTTTTATTTTAAAAAAAATGTCACATAAAATATTTATTTATTCTTCGTAAAATATTAAAGTAAATAGCAAAATTTTTATAGTTATTATTTAAAACTTCTAATTTTTAAAAACAGGTCAGTCGGGTCTAACCCGAAGTAGAACTGGTCATATTTCGGATAAGCGTGACGAAATAGAACTGGCTCATGTTGTCTGGACCACATTTCAAGCTCTTGTTTTATTTTATTTTATTTTATTTTAATTTATCTACAATTTTCCTATTAAAAAATATGGATGTATTCCTATTGCATTTTTAAACAAATGTATTTTTTTTTTATATTAAATATAATGAATTATGTCGGTAATATATAATTTTGTCCAAGTTAATTATGTCATGTTGCTCAGATATATAGACTAAAAAATAATAATATTTTAATATAAAATTAGAAGATGTAAAAAGTAAATAAGTGTATTATAAAAATTATTAAAAAATTAATAATAAAAACTAGTTACAAGTTAATTATTATTTGTTAAATAACGGTAATAAAATTATGAATAAATAAAATTATTTATTATAAATAAATTATGCATAAGATTGATGTATAATTAAAAAAAATAACATAATAATCCTGGACGAAGTGAGTAATTTTTTTTTTATTATTAAATTATTAATTTTTATAGGTAAAGAAAATATGTGTTATATATATTGCATTAATATTTATTGAAACTCGTATCATTTGAAAATTATTGGGTGAACAAAGTGATGACACACACATGTCAATTTCAAGCATTAATTAAAATATTTATTCTTACATAAATAATTTCATAACTAAAAACAATTAAAATATAAACTAATAATAATAATAATAATAATAATAACCACGACTTGATACGAGTAATATGTTTTTTAAAATTATAAATTTTTACGTTGTGAATCCCTAGTTGGTAATACAATTTTAAATTAAAATAATAGTTTAATTTGATATAAATAAATATTAGTATGATACTTAAAATTTAAAAATAAAATTTAAGTATAATATATAAATAAAAAATATATATTTAATTTCATATTTTTAATAAAATTATAAATATTAAAAATATTTAGAAATATCGTACTCGCTTCATCCTAGTCAATTAGTTTGATTAATGGATGTACTAAAGTGTTATACTCCCTCAGTCCCTAGTTAATTAGTATGATCAATGAATGTAATAAAGTGTTATACTCCCTCCGTTCACCGCCTATCTATCCGTTTACTTTTTGCACGTAGATTTTAGTATATTAGTATAATATTGATACTTAGTACATTTGATATACATAAAGAATATTATATCCCTTAACATTTATAATATTAAGTGGTATTATTTGATGACATTTGTGTAATATTATATAAATGGTGGGGTAATTTTATATTTTAGTGGAATATACATTTACTTAAAAAAAAAAAAAAAAAAAAGGAAATGAATACATTTGCGATGGACAGACTAAAATGGCGGATAGATCGACGGTGGACAGAGGGAGTATTAAATATTTTTTACTTGATAAAATGTTAAACTAAAAGTTAAAATATCTTTTTATTTTTAAATATTGAATTTTTTTTTACTCATATTATTAATAATAATTGTATTTATTGTAAATCAATTAATGCATTTAGATAAATAAATAAACATTTAATAACTTAAATGTAATTTATACAATAAAAATGTAATAAAAAAATTATATGAACAAATACATAAAATTTTTCGAATTTGGTTGTTGTCAGAGATAGTTCGTTATAACATACCAAATTTAATACCACATCGCATACATACGGTACAAAATTTTTGGTATGATATTTTACCGTAGTGTACAAATATTTTGGTATACCGAATTTGCAAATAAAAAATACTGAATTACGGAAATAACATGCATTCTCGTAAAAAAATACTGAAAATATTTCAAAATTTTGATACAATATGACTTTTTTTTTTGTATTTTAACGATATATAATAAGATATTTTCAGTATATATAAATAATTAAAAAATTGATATTTTTGTATATACTGATTATTTGATACAATATCGATATCTTTTTTTTTAATAAATTAAAAAATTTGGTATGGTATACAATATATTTCAATATTTTAGGTATATTATATCAAACTATTTTTAACTGAATTGTATACACGATATTAGAATATAATATTTTATGTCAAATACCGAAATTAAAAATCATCATCAAATCTCATTTTTAATTAATTTTTCAGCTATAAATTTTCAAATCAAACATCAAATTTTTATTATATATTACATAAAAAATTAATTTTAAAATTAAATAAATATTTATTTATATAATATTAAATATTTATTTTATTTTTATTATTCAAAATTTTAGCCCAACTTCTAAATTTACAATTAACAAATAATAAAACTAAATATATTAGTAAGTTAATAAAATATAGTTAAGTTTTTTTAATTAGAGTATTAGTACTATAATAGGAAAATGAACCAATTTTGTGGGACGGCTTAAAAAAAAAGGAGAAGTGAACTAATTTGGTGATCGGTAGGAGTAATATTTTTACTTATTTATTAATTTTATTTAAGAAAATATTCATTTAAGTATTAAAAAAAAAGTAATATAATTATAAAAACTACGGTTAAAAAAATTTTGTGAAAAGAAACAAACTTGTAATAAAAATAATGATAATTATAATAAATAAATACTAAATGGATTAAATGTAATAAATCAAAAAACAATATCCGTTAAATTTACTTCATTACTAATTTTAAAAAAAATCAACGAATCAACATTAATTATTATATTTTATTTAACACTTATTTATGACAAATATCATCATCTTTATTATATTCTCTCTTCATTTATTTTAACTTCTAACTAAATTTCAAAAAATACCCAAATTATCTTTTTACTTTTATATTTTTTAATATATTCTTTATTTTCTTTAATCTTTGTATCGGCCCAAATGAATTAATTTTAATAGACGAACAATAGTTTTTGGTAGTTAAACTCTAGGTACCAAACACACACTCAAGAGAATCACATTTAACTGTAATATTTTTATTTTTTTTAAAGAAAAACCATCCAAACACACCGGGTTTGAGAAGATTTGGTTTGAGTTTTGTTTGGATTTAAATTTTTTGATAGTTTTGAAAAAATGTGTTTTTTTTGGGTTAATAGATTCGAGGAGTTTTTATAGAAATTGATTTGATAGTCACTAACTATAATAATATAAATGTGTAATAAATTAAATTATAAAATTAATAATAGTGTGTCTTAAATATTAATTTATATTATTTATAAATACATATTTATATTTATATTATATAAAATTTTACCTAAAATGATATTATATTGTATATATTTTATTAAAATAATTAAACATATATTTTAAATATTTTTAATTTATATATTACATTATAAACCAAATATTATTTAGGGTGTGTTTATTTGGGGGATTGGATTAGATTTCCACTATTCATCCCATTTTTTCCTAAAAAAATATCAAATCAAACACCTATTTTTTATTTTTTATATTATACTAAAAATTAATTTTACATTCAAAACATCCTATCAACGTCCTATTTATATCACATCATACAACTATTCAAATTCAAAATTTTTACTATTCAAATCCCAATTCAAAATCCAAAACTCCAGACAAACACACCCTAAATAAATTACTTCTAATCCAATTGTTAATCTAATTTCTAATACAAAGAGACAAAATAGTTAATTTGATGCAGTGTTGTATGACCGCCCAATGCTGCCCGTGTTCTACTGTGATTGACATGTACAGATGATAGAACTTGTCTGGTAGAGTCTGGATTAGCGCTCAAATGACACTCTACGAGTACTTCCATGGTAGGCTGGTAGCCAAATAAACACATTCACAATAACTCTACCCAATCATTGATTGCATTAGTTAATTGGTGATTGGTAATGGTAGGCTAGCACGAGTACAAGTTTGGGACCAGTCTTCTGCATGCTCAAATAAATTGAAGACTATTTGTGCTACTTACTGCGTGCCACAGATTGAACAAGATTAACCAAGAAGAAGCAGCAGCAGCAGCTACTGTTGTCTGTTGCAGACCAAACATGGCGGGTGGAATTGGAGTCGGAGAAGAACAACAAATCAATGGCGGTAATAGTAATACTAATCTCCCTTTGTTCGAGACTAAGGCTGCAAGAGGACGACCTATCCACCGACTCTACTGCCTCACAATGGTCCTCGCCATCCTTTCCATGTGGACTTACAGACTGACCCACATCCCCGCCGCCGCCGGAAGATTCCCCTGGCTCGCCATGCTCTTCGCCGAGCTAGTTTTTGGCCTGTACTGGTTCATCGCTCAGACCGCCCGTTGGCGCGTCGTCTATCGTTATCCCTTCAAGGACAGGCTCTCTTCCAGGTAAATTTTCAAAAAATACACTTATGATTGCAGGCCTGGATGGATTAGATAATTTTGATTTTGATTTCCGCAAGGTACGAGGATGAGAAGTTGCCGGCGGTGGACATTTTCATCTGCACGGCAGATCCTACAATGGAACCGCCGTCTATGGTGATCGGCACGGTTCTCTCCGTCATGTCCTTCAACTATCCGCCGGAGAAGCTCAGCGTTTACCTCTCCGACGATGCTGGTTCGGACCTGACCTTCTACGGCCTTCTCGAGGCTTCCAAATTTGCCAAACGTTGGATACCTTTCTGTAAGAAGTACCATGTCGAGCCGAGGACTCCCCAACGCTATTTCTCCGACACGATTCCATTCGATGGATCTGAATTTTCGAAACAATGGAGCGATACGAAGGTGTTGTATGAGGACATGAAAAATCGGGTTGATTCTGCGGCGGCGAAAGGGTGCGTTTCGAAAGAATATAAGGATCAACATAGAGGTTTCTCCGAATGGAATTCGACAGCGACAAGACGGGATCACCAATCCATTGTTCAGGTAGTCGTCGGCAAATCAATCGAATTTAGTTTTGTCGAGATTAAGGAAGACAAGGTACAATTAAACATGTAGTTGTAATGTGCTTACAGATCTTGATCGAAGGATGGAATCCTACAGCTGTCGATGCCGAGGGAAACAGATTGCCGACGTTAGTTTACTTATCGCGCGAAAAGAGACCAAGAAAGCCTCACAACTTCAAGGCCGGAGCAATGAATGCATTGGTGAACTTCACTTCTTCTTGCTTGACTCAATAATCGCCGTCTTAATCTTAAGTGAATCGATACAATTATATATATGTCTATGTATGTGTACAGATAAGAGTGTCTTCCGAAATCAGCAATGCGCCCATCATACTCAACGTCGACTGCGATATGTACGCAAACGATCCTGATGCAGTCCGCGACGCATTGTGCTTCTTCCTCGACGAGAAGCACGGGCAGAGGATAGCATACGTGCAACATCCTCAATACTATTATAACATTGTCAAGAACGACGTCTACGCAAATTTCTACTTAGCTGTTATGGAAGTATGTCTCGGACATAATCCTCGCAACATTTCATACACCTCGTAACTTTGTCGACTGATCGATCTTTCCATTTGCTTTGCAAGATTGAGCTCTGCGGTATCGATGGCTTTGGCGGTCCTCTTTACATTGGCACCGGATGTTTCCACCGGCGGGAGAGCCTTTCAGGCAAAAAGTATTCGGGAAGCCACAAAATCGAATGCCACAACGTCGAAGACACCACGAAAGGCAGAGACATTCGAGAGCTGGAGGAAGCTTCGAAAGCATTAGCAGCTTGTAGCTATGAGAACAGCACACTATGGGGGACGGAAGTTCGATCAATTCCTTTACTACATTATCGATATCAGAGCCTTAGATTTTGAATTTCAGTCTCACTGTCCCCCATTTGTTGTCGTTTATGTGCAAATTTTGTTTGGTGACATTTATCTCCAAGCACGTGTGAGGGCGTGTTAGTCCTAAAAATTTAATTTTCGAGGTGAAACAGTCAATTACATCATCTAACAGCGGATGTAATGATTAACGATCTTGCAGATGGGATTGCTGTACGGATGTCCAGTCGAGGACATAGCCACGGGGTTAACGATAAAATGCAGGGGATGGAGGGCGGTGTACTACACTCCGACCAAGTATGGCTTCCTTGGCATGGCCCCGACATCCTTAGACGGATGTCTCGTTCAATACAAGAGATGGTCCGAGGGATTGTTTCAGATCTTCGTGTCGAAGTACTGCCCCTTCATCAACGGTCGCGGCAAAATTTCGTTGGGACTGAAAATCGCGTACTGCAACTTCCTCCTATGGCCTCTACTGTCGTTGCCTACATTTAGCTACGCCATCGTTCCCGCGATCTCTTTAATCCGAGGCACACCCATTTTCCCCGAGGCGTCGACCTCGTGGTTCTTCGTTTTTGCGTATGTTTACATTGCGAAGACGGGTTATACCTTATCCGAAGAATTGATACACGGCGGCACGTTGAGAGGATGGTATAACTTGCAGAGGATGACCGTTATAAGGCGATCGACTGCCTTCTTGTTCGGGCTTGTGGACAACGTTAAAAGGCATTTAGGCCTCAAGGAAACGTCGTTTGCGCTGACGAGCAAAGTGATGGACGGCGAGACGAGGAAGAGGTACGAGGAGGGAGTGATGGAGTTCGGGAGCGATTCGATCATGTTGTCGATTATTACGACGTTGGCGCTGCTCAACCTTTTCGGTTTCGGATGGGGAGTTTTTGTTCGGACAGCCTTGATGTCGTCGCGGCCGAGGCTTGTGCCCGAGGCCGTGATTTGCGCGGCGATGGTGGCGCTGAACTTGCCTGTTTATGAAGCGGTGTTCCTCCGGAGGGACGCCGGCAGCTTGCCGTCAGCCGTGAAGTTCAAGGCGGCCGTCGTGGCGTCGATTGCATGCGTGATTGCAGCTTGTTAGGGCGTGTTGTCTTAAAAACATTAAATTCAGCATGTGTGCTGATGTTTATAAAATATATTTAGATAATTATATTTATTATATTATTTAACGGAGTCAAATGAAAAAAATTAAATTGTGTATTGTTATTTTTCCATATATTTTGTAAGAGTGCGCGGGCTATGTGTAAAATTCAGTACTGTGTTTCACAGTGTGTTGTAGGGATAACACACGGTATTATAACAAATAGAACACATAGTTAATATTATATAAATACAAACACATCACTTAACAACACATATTATCTAACATCAAATATTTTGGATTATTTTTATTTGTCTCAAATTTGTTGTAATATGTTCAAATTTAAAAATAATTAATTACATATATATATAAATATATATATATATTTCATATCATCGTCACTCAAATTAAAAATAACTATATATTTTTCTTTTCAATCACACCCTCTAGTATTTAAATTATTTTAAATTGTCCTATTTAATACTAATCACATAAATTCTCGTGTCGAACTCAAATATTTGACGGTATTTGGGACAAAGTGAGTACTTATTTGTAGGTTTCCGTCATATATAACTATTTTTTCATTTTTGTCTGTTAATTCACATATATTCCTTTTATTTTTTTTAGTCAAAATATTTTTTTATTTTAATAAAAAATAATATTTTAGACAATATTACAAATAATACTATTAAAAAATTAAATGAATTAATGAAAAAAGTTGCATTTTTATTTTCTGTTATGCTATTATCTCTAGAATATTAATATATTAAAATCCATGTATAAAAAAATAAATGAATATATATAACTCGAATGAAGGGGGTATTATAAAATCAAAGATGGGATGACGGTCCGGCACTCTAATTGCAACAACGAGTGGTCGAGGAAGTTAATTTCACAACTGGGTTTCACTTCATGGATTGGAATGAATATTGAAACAAGACTAATAATTATTTTTGCCACGGCGACGGACGGTGATAGCAACGGCGGTGGCCTGGCGATAGTGGCGACAACGATGGCAGCGGGTGATTCCGGCGAATGACCCAGATTGCTGGTGGGGGAAAAATAAGAAATGAAAATTTTGCGAGATAATAGAAATTGTAATAATTAGGATTTTAGGATATTAATTAATATACTTACATAAATATGATAAATAATAAAATAAATATATATTTATTTTTATTTTTATGACGTGGAAATTCGCCGCCGTTATTTAAAAATGTGCATTAGGTAAACCCCGTCGAAGCTAATACCCTGCAAACTATAATTAAAATATATGGAAAGTGTTTATAATATTTATATATATATATATAAAATATTTTACTATATATAATACATATAATAAAATTTAATACAGTAAATAGCTATACAGTATTCCTCTTCCTCCTGGTACCCTTTCAGGTAGGGAGACATGTATTTACACAATGTATATTAATAAATTATTAATAATAAATTATAATTTTATTTTATTATTTTATATATGAATAATATATTTTGAATATTTCTATTATTATATCTTAATAAAATATATACGATATAGTTTATGAACGTCATTTGCCAGATAATAAAATTTTATAATATAAATAAATAAATAATATATATTTATTTATACTTAATTTAAAATTATTTTTTATTAAAAATGAGAAACTTTAAATATAGATAAAAATATTTATTATTGAGTAGATATATAAAAATAAAAGGATTTTGAGTTGATTTAATTAAATTGATTTTTATTGATTACATATGTTTAAGATAAATAAATTTATTAAAAATAAAAATATCATCTTTTATGAGACGGATTAAAAAAAATAAAAATGATTCATTTGCTAGATAAAGAATGTAATATATACTATATAGATGGAATACATATAATTCAATTACTGACAAAATATATAATTCAATTAAGCAAATCATAAATACTGTCTATACCACAATGTAATATAAGGAATCACATAAGATTTAAATGGATTTTTTTTTAATAATGGTCACATTTTTAATTAATATAATAGTTAATTTTTGACTAAATTAAATTACTTGCTTAATTTAAAATTACTAAAATAAATATTTAAATCTTAAATTACAATTTTAATTTTTTTTTATTAATATCCGTTGGATCGATCAAAAATTACAATCCTACGGCTATAGATAAATGAGAGCTTTTTAATTCTTTTCCACTTTGACATTAATTGTTTGCTTTCAATTAAATAAATGATTAATTAAACCAAACACCATAATCGATCTACCCAATTATTGATTGCATTGGTGAATTGTTCGATTCGAAGGCTAGCCCGAGTAGAAGTTTGGAACCAGGCTTCTGCAATCTGCTTTGTGCCACAGATTGAAGAAGAAGAAGCAGCTACTGTTACTGTTGCGGACCAAACATGGTGGATGGGGTTGAAGAAGAACCACAGATCAATGGCGGTAATACTAATAGTAATACTAATCTCCCTTTGTTCGAGACAACGGCTGCAAGAGGACGACCTATCCACCGACTCTACTGCCTCACAATGCTCGTCGCCATCCTTTCCATGTGGGTTTACAGACTGACCCACATCCCCACCGCCGCCGGAAGATTCCCCTGGCTCGCCATGCTCTTCGCCGAGGTAGTTTTTGGTCTGTACTGGTTTATCTCTCAGGCCACCCGTTGGCGCGTTGTCTATCGTTATCCCTTCAAGGACAGGCTCTCTTCCAGGTAAATTATAAAAATATAATTACAGGCCTGGATTAGATAATTTTGATTTTGATTTTGATTTCGATTCCCCAGGTATAAGGATGAGAAGTTGCCGGCGGTGGACATTTTCATCTGCACGGCGGATCCTACGATGGAGCCGCCGTCTATGGTGATCGGCACGGTTCTATCCGTCATGTCCTTCAACTATCCGCCGGAGAAGCTCAGCGTTTACCTCTCCGACGATGCTGGTTCGGACCTCACCTTCTACGGCCTTCTCGAGGCCTCTCAATTTGCCACACGTTGGATACCTTTCTGTAAGAAATATCATGTCGAGCCGAGGACTCCCCAACGCTATTTCTCCGACACGATTCCATTCGATGGATCTGAATTTTCGAAACAATGGAACGATATGAAGGTGCTGTATGATGACATAAAAAATCGGGTCGATTCTGCGGCAGCGAGAGGGAGCGTTTCGAAAGAAGTTAAGGATCAACATAGAGGTTTCTCCGAATGGAATTCGACAGCGACGAGACAGGATCATCAACCCATTGTTCAGGTTGTTGTTGGCGAATCAATCGAATTTAGTTTTGTAGAGATTAAGGAAGACGAGGTATAATTGAACTTGTAGTTGTAATGTGCTTACAGATCTTGATCGATGGATGGAATCCTGCGGCAGTCGATGCCGAGGGAAACAGATTGCCGACGTTAGTTTACTTATCGCGCGAAAAGAGACCAAGAAAGCCTCACAACTTCAAGGCTGGAGCAATGAATGCATTGGTGATCTTCACTCGTCTAGCTCGACTCAATAATCGTCGTCTTAACTGAATCTAGACAATTATATATGTCTATGTATGTGTACAGATAAGAGTGTCTTCTGAAATCAGCAACGCGCCGATCATACTCAACGTCGACTGCGATATGTACGCGAACGATCCTGAAGCAGTCCGCGACGCATTGTGCTTCTTCCTCGACGAGAAGCACGGGCAGAGGATATCCTACGTGCAGCATCCTCAATACTTTTATAACATCGTCAAGGATGACGTCTACGCGAATGTCAGCTTAGCTCTTAATGAAGTATGCCCTGACATATTTATCGCAACATTTCATAACTCTGTCGACTGATCGATCTTTCCCTTTGATTCACAAGATTGAGCTCTGCGGTATCGATGGCTTTGGCGGCGCTCTTTACATTGGCACCGGATGTTTCCACCGGCGCGAGAGCCTTTCAGGCAAAAAGTACTTGGGAAGCCACAAAATCGAATGCCACAACGTTGAAGACACAACAAAAGGCAGAGGCGTTCGAGAGCTAGAGGAAGCTTCGAAAGCATTAGCAGCTTGTAGCTATGAGAACGGCACGCTGTGGGGGAAGGAGGTTCGATCGAATCCTTTACTACATCATTCGATATCGTGCGCATGTAATGATTAACGATCTTGCAGATGGGATTGGTGTACGGATGTCCGGTCGAAGACATGGCCACGGGGCTAACGATACATTGCAGGGGGTGGAGGCCGGTGTTCTACAATCCGAGGAAGCATGGCTTCCTCGGCATAGCCCCGACATCCTTAGACGTATGTCTCGTTCAATACAAGCGATGGTCCGAGGGACTGTTTCAGATCTTCGTGTCGAAGTACTCCCCCTTCATCAACGGTCGCGGCAAGATTTCGTTGGGACTGCAAATCGGGTACTGCAACTTCCTCCTATGGCCTCCCCTGTCATTGCCTACGTTTTGCTACGCCATCGTTCCCGCGATTTCTTTGATCCGAGGCACGCCCATTTTCCCCGAGGCGTCGACCTCGTGGTTCTTCGTTTTCACGTACGTTTACATTGCTAAGACGGGTTATACCTTAGCCGAGGATTTGTTGCTCGGGGACACGTTGAGAGGATGGTGTAACTTGCAGAGGATGACGGTTATAAGGCGAACGACTGCGGTCTTTTTCGCGCTTTTGGACAACATCAAGAAGCAGCTAGGCCTCAAGGAAACGTCGTTTGCGCTGACAAGCAAAGTGGTCGACGATGAGGCGAGGAAGAGGTACGAGAAGGGAGTGATGGAGTTCGGGAGCGATTCGATCATGTTGTCGATTATTACGACGTTGGCGTTGCTCAACCTTTTCGGTTTTGGATGGGGAGTTTTTGTTCAGACAGCCTTGATGTCGTCACGGCCGAGGCTCGTGCCCGAGGTTGTGATTTGCGCGGCGATGGTGGCGCTGAACTTGCCTGTTTATGAAGCGGTGTTCCTCCGGAGGGACGCCGGCAGCGTGCCGCCGGCGGTGAAGTTCAAGGCGGCCATCGTGGCGTCGATTGCATGCGTGATTGCAGCTAGTTAGGGTGCGTTGTCTAACTACAGCGGGCGAGCTTAAATCGAACCGAATTGAGTCAAATTCACAAATGAATTTGTTTAACCGCTCTATAGCCAATGTATTAAGGTCAACTTCCATTTAACTTTCTAGTTTCAAAATCAGATTTTCATTTATTCCCTTTTATTACTTTTAAAACCATATTTTTACTCTTGAAAATATAAATGAAACAAAATATATTTTTATAAAAGTTAATGTTATTTGTTACGTAGATATGATTAATTTTCACTATAATTGAAAATTAAAGCAAAATTTTTTTAGGGTGTGTTTGTTTGGGGGTTTGGATTTTGAGTTGGGATTTAAATAGTAAAAATTTTGAATTTGAATAGTTGTATGATGTGATATAAATAGGATTTGATGTGATGTTTTGAATGTAAAATTGATTTTTAGTATAATATAAAAAATAAAAAATAGGTGTTTGATTTGATGTTTTTGGGGGAAAAAAATTGGATGAATAGTGGAAATCCACCAAAATCCTTCAAACAAACACACCCTTAACAGAATTAACGAAAATAGTAAAAAATAATAAGTTTAGTTGAAATGGAAAAATATACTCTCTTCATATCAAAATTGAGTGTCATGTTTCTTCAATTGTTATTCAAATGGAGAAAATTAAAATAAATATTTCGTATTTATTGTCAATTATCATTCGTGTCTTTAAATTGTTATCGTGACAAAATATATTCTACTTTGTATCATTTTTTTGCAATTTTCGTAATATGTAGCACAATTTCACATGCACCGACACCGTCATAAATCAAATGAAAATCCTTCTGTTTTCCATTACAGAGCAACCTCCTGCCTTCCTTGAGGTTTGAGTTGAGTTAAGACTTGATGGGTGACTAGAGTACAAAAAATCATAAAATGTGAAACATGTGAGACATATTTTACGTGACAATTAAAAATAAAGACCCACAATTATTCAATTCAAAGTCTAAAATTTAGTTATGTCTTTTTAGCGTGGCGGGAGGAGAAAAAATTGCGAAAAAATGACACATCTGATATATATTTTGCCAATGTGAAAATTAAAAAGAAAAACTCGTAATTATTCAATTTCACGTTTAAAATTTAGTTATGATTTTTTAACATTTTGGCTTTTATGGACTCTAAACAACTTTGGACTTACAAAAAATTTTGTTGGTTGATTCATATTCTCATTTTGGAAGAACAATATGAATTTCTTTCAATTCCTTGTCTAAAAATTAGTTCAAATATTTTTAGCGTTTTGAGTTTTTAGGACCAATATCACCTCAGATTGATAAAAAAAATCTTGTTGGTTAGTTCGTTTGAGCATTTTGGATTAATCATACAAATTTTGTCTAATTACAAGTCTACAAATTAGTTTAACACTTCATTTGGTGTAAGTTCCGTTCAATTCAAACTCTAAAAAAGAGTTAATATTTTTTTGCGTTTAGAGTTTTTAAGGTCCTTAACGACTTCGAATAAACAAAATAATATCGTTGGTTGGTTCGTTTGATCGTTTTACATTAAAGATGCAAATTTCCTTAAATTACAAGTCTAAAAATGATTTTATATTTTTTAGTGTTTATGGTTTTTAGGCCCTAAATAGTTTCGAATTGACAAAACAATATAATTGATTGGTTTGTTTAGTCGTTTCCGGTTAACTGTGTAAGTTTTGTGTAATTTCGAATCGTATACATTGTTTCAGTGTTCGAGATTTTTAAAACTCTCAATTTGTTAGTATATATGTAATATTAAAAATCGAGATTCTTCAATTCGGAATCAAATAACAGATCTGATTAAGAACATATTCGAGTTTCGCGTTGCACGCGATCTCTTTGAAGCAAATTCGCTCCGCCACCGATTGCTTCCCAGGGTAAAATGAATCGATTAGGGATTTACGATCCCACCACGAACCGAACCAAGAAACTATAGAAGTTTTTGTAAGAGAAATTAAAAGGAAAAAGGAAAACAGAGAGTAGAGAAGTGTTCTTTAATCTGAGAAGAGGAAGATTAAATCACGTGGCCACTAAAACCGTAACCACTACCACCTCCACACATTCCAATTTTTGTTGTAACACTTTTATTTTTTCGATTAAAATTTGAAATAATCAAAATTAATTAATTAAATAAAATAAAATTTATAATAATTGGAACTTTTCTTCAATTGCGCCCGGCTCAAGGTCCAATCTTGACTATATATATCTATATATATATGCCCAATCGTCCAATTCAAAGCCTCCAATCCATTTCTAATTGAACAATAAAGGAGAGTGAATGCATATATAAGAAGGCGGTGGTTTGTTTGATCTCCCGCGAGGAACAAGGTCAGTTTTTTATTTTTTTCTTTTTTTTTTTCTTCTCTTTCACACGTCAACAAAATTATCTCTCACGAAACAATATAGTTGGTCGGTCGTATATTAACAAATGGGGGGCAAAAATTTTAAATTTACAAAACAAATTTTTTATTTGTAAAATAATACTACTATCATCCACTTAATAATTTTATATTTATTTTTTCATACTAATATTAAATATTAATTATTACATAAAATATAGTTCAAATAAAAAAAATAATTTTTTTATTAGTAAATATTGATATATTATATTTTGAAAAAAAAAATTAATACATATTCTTATTAAAAAAAATCAACGCTTCAATGTTTTTATTATTTTTTTATTTATTTTAAATATTTTCTATAGATTATATATATATATATATATTATTCTTTTAAAAATAAAAATATTTAATAAAATAGAGTAAAAGTAGAGTTGGTATGGGCTAAAGTCCACCCTGCCTCTTAATAGTCGGCCACTGATATCAACGGTACCGGCTTAGTCTTTTTAGGTCCTACAAATTTGATTTTAGAATTAAAAAGTTAAATGGAAGTTGTCCTTATACCTTGGCCATAATTAGACGACACTCCCTAAGAAGCTGCAATCATGCATGCAATCGACGCCACAACGGCCGCCTTGAACTTCACCCCCGGCGGCAAGCTGCCGGCGTCCCTCCGGAGGAAAACCGCTTCATAAACAGGCAAGTTCAGCGCCACCATCGCCGCGCAAATCACGACCTCCGACACGAGCCTCGGCCTTGACGACATCAAGGCTGTCCGAACAAACACTCCCCATCCTAAACCGAAAAGGTTGAGCAACGCCAACGTCGTAATAATCAATAACATGATCGAATCGCTTCCGAACTCCATCACTCCCTTCTCGTACCTCTTCCTCGCCTCGTCGTCGACCACTTTGCTCGTCAGCGCAAACGACGTTTCCTTAAGGCCTAAATGCCTTTTGACGTTGTCCAAAAGCCCGAAGAAGAGCGCAGTCGAACGCCTTATAAAGGTCATCCTCTGCAAGTTGCACCATCCTCTCAACGTGTCACCGAGCAACAAATCCTCGGCTAAGGTATAACCCGTCTTAGCAATGTAAACGTACGCGAAAACGAAGAACCACGAGGTCGACGCCTCGGGGAAAATGGGCGTGCCTCGGATCAAAGAAATCGCGGGAACGATGGCATAGCAAAACGTAGGCAACGACAGGGGAGGCCATAGGAGGTAGTTGCAGTAGCCGATTTGAGCTCCCAACGAAATCTTGCCGCGGCCGTAGACGAAGGGGCAGTACTTGGACAAAAAGATCTGAAACATTCCCTCGGACCATCTCTTGTACTGAACGAGACATACGTCTAAGGATGTCGGGGCAATGCCGAGGAAGGCATGTTTCCTCGGAGTGTAGAACACCGGCCTCCATCCCCTGCATTGTATCGTTAGCCCCGTGGCAATGTCTTCGACCGGACATCCGTACACCAATCCCATCTGCAAGATCGGTAATCGTTACAAGCTCGATATCGCTGATGTAGTAAAGGATTCGATCGAACCTCTTTCCCCCACAGCGTGCCGTTCTCATAGCCACAAGCTGCTAATGCTTTCGAAGCTTCCTCTAGCTCTCGAACGCCTCTGCCTTTTGTGGTGTCTTCGACGTTGTGGCATTCGATTTTGTGGCTTCCCGAGTACTTCTTGCCTGAAAGGCTCTCCCGCTGGTGGAAACATCCGGTGCCAATGTAAAGAGCGCTGCCAAAGCCATCGAGACCGCAGAGCTCAATCTTGCGAAGCAAAGGGAAAGATCGATCAGTCAACAGATTTATGAAATGCTGCGATAGTTTTGTCGGGGCATACTTCATTAACAGCTAAGTTGACATTCGCGTAGACGTCGTCCTTGACGACGTTATAATAGTATTGAGGATGCTGCACGTAGGATATCCTCTGCCCCTGCTTCTCGTCGAGGAAGAAGCACAATGCGTCGCGGACTGCATCAGGATCGTTTGCGTACATATCGCAGTCGACATTGAGTATGACTGGCGCGTTGCTGATTTCGGAAGACACTCTTATCTGTACACATACATAGACATTTATAATTGTATCGATTCAGTTAAAACGACGATTATTGAGTCGAGCTAGACGAGTGAAGATCACCAATGCATTCATTGCTCCAGCCTTGAAGTTGTGAGGCTTTCCCGGTCTCTTTTCACGCGATAAGTAAACTAAAGTCGGCAATCTGTTTCCCTCGGCATCGACTGCCGCAGGATTCCATCCACCGATCAAGATCTGTAAGCACATTACAACTACAAGTTTAATTATACCTCGTTTTCCTTAATCTCTACGAAAATAAATTCGACTGATTCGCCAACAACAACCTGAACAATGGATTGATGATCCTGTCTCGTCGCTGTCGAATTCCATTCGGAGAAACCTCTATGTTGATCCCTAACTTCTTTCGAAACGCTCCCTCTCGCCGCCGCAGAATCGACCCGATTTTTCATGTCATCATACAGCACCTTCATATCGCTCCATTGTTTCGAAAATTCAGATCCATCGAATGGAATCGTGTCGGAGAAATAGCGTTGGGGAGTCCTCGGCTCGACATGATATTTCTTACAGAAAGGTATCCAACGTTTGGCAAATTGAGAGGCCTCGAGAAGGCCGTAGAAGGTCAGCTCCGAACCAGCATCGTCGGAGAGGTAAACGCTGAGCTTCTCCGGCGGATAGTTGAAAGACATGACGGATAAAACCGTGCCGATCACCATAGACGGCGGCTCCATCGTAGGATCCGCCGTGCAGATAAAAATGTCCACCGCCGGCAACTTCTCATCCTTATACCTGCGGAATCAAAATCAAAATCAAAATCATCTAATCCATCCAGGCCTGTAATTATATTTTTTCAATTTACCTGGAAGAGAGCCTGTCCTTGAAGGGATAACGATAGACAACGTGCCAACGGGCGACCTGAGAGATGAACCAGTACAGACCAAAAACTACCTCGGCGAAGAGCATGGCGAGCCAGGGGAATCTTCCGGCGGCGGCGGGGATGTGGGTCAGTCTGTAAGCCCACATGGAAAGGATGGCGACAACCATTGTGAGGCAGTAGAGTCGGTGGATAGGTCGTCCTCTTGCAGCCTTTGTCTCGAACAAAGGGAGATTAGTGTTACCTCGATTAACTCCACCCGCCATGTTTGGTCTGCAACAGTAACAGTAGCTGCTGCTTCTTCTTCAATCTGTGGCAGGCAGTAGCACAAAGAAGTCTTCTTGGGTCTGAGGCTTCAATTTATTTGGATATACAGAAGACTGGCCCCATACTACCCAATCACCAATTCACCAAAGCAATTAATAATTGGGTAGAGTTACTTTACTAGTGGTAAGAACTAAGAAGCTGAATGAGAGACAACTAACACAATATCCCGTTTGCGGTAGGTTTAGGTATTTGTCTTTTTTAGGTTTTTAAATTTTGGTTTTTGATTTTTCTATTTTAATTTTTTTTTCTTAAAGAATATCATGTTAAACGCTTAAGTTCTACTTAGAATATTACAAATTTAATTTTATATTTTTAAAATATAACATTATCGTATATTTATATCCTATCGAAGAAATATTTCAATTATAAATTTTATCACTAAAAATCAAAATCCAAACAAACCCTAAGTTAACATTTTATTAAATAAATTTTAAAATGATAAACATATTTAAAAATAACAAACAAATGAATAATCTCCCAAATCTTATCAACTCTTCATAAACAAAATAACAATTCTCAGCCTATCTTATTCATCCATATCAATCAATTTCTATATATATATTTGGATTTTAACAATCCTACATGTTCATTCCAGTTACAATATAATTGTTATATTTGCAGAATTGGTGCCTAAACAAACCTAAACGACTCTCAAAACCCAATCCAACCCACTCTGTGTTATCCAGAACAAAAAACCCTAAAATTTTCAACAATATGTGGATATAGGTTAGGATTATATTTTATATCCAATTAGCATGAATTTCATTTTTATTGTTACAGAAGCATATTTTCTTTTCGATCCTATATATGCAATAGGGAATTTCTACGTAAAGTAAACTTCTTTGAATCACACAAAATATCATTATGGCTTCTCTTCGTTTCTACAAATTCATCATCTTTGCTTCCCTTTGCCTAATTATATCTTCTTCACCCCGATGCTCCAACGCGAATCCTCTTAAAACCTGCAAGTTTGATCAGATATATCAACTCGGCGATTCAATTTCCGACGCCGGAAACATGATCCGCACCGCTCCCGGCGGAGCTGCCACCGCCTACGCCAGGCTACCGTACGGCCAGACATTCTTCCAGAATCCGACGGGGCGTTGTTCTGATGGCCTACTGATGATCGATTATATCGGTACCATAATTTTCATATATATATATATTGATTTGGTAAGTTTAATATCTTGAATTAAATCATCGTGACAGCAATCGCTGCTGGGCTTCCTCTTCTTCCACCGTATAAAAACACCGGAGCAGACTTGACGCGAGGGGTGAACTTTGCGGTGGCTGGCGCCACTGCATTGCCGGCGGGGGCCTTGGCTGCAAGAGGCATAGTTTCTCCGGCGACGGCGGCTTCTCTTAGTGTCCAATTGGATTGGATGTCTTCTTATTTCAATTCCACTTGCTTCGACGAAAGTGGTATATAAAATATTACATTCAATAACTATTTCACTTTTCGCGCTCTTTTGGTGTTTTTTTTTTTTTTGAAAATAAGTGTTAGATATGATATTTTTTGTCGAAATCTGAATAACAGATTGTACCGATAGGCTTGAAACAGCCCTGTTCATGGTCGGTGAAATAGGCGGGAACGATTACAACTACGCAATCTTTCAAGGGAAGTCGATGGACGAAGTTAGGAGCATGGTGCCGGAAGTTGTCGCGGCGATCCTAAAGGCTGCTAAGGTAACTTTATTCGCCATTTAAACTTGTAGCAAGTACATATCAAAATCGAGCGATCAAGAACTACATTATAGTAACTTCATGACGGCGATCTTTCTTTTAGAAAGTGATTGAATTCGGGGCGACAAGAATAGTGATCCCCGGAAACTTCCCCATCGGGTGTTTCCCGATATACAAAACTGCGTTCCAAAGCAACATCCCGGAAGCATACGACGAGAAGCAATGCCTAAAGCATTTGAACAAATTTGCAATGTACCACAACGAAGAGCTGCGGAAAGGCATCGCGGAGCTCAGACAAGAATACATCTATGATCAAATTGTCTATGGAGATTACTACAACGCCTTCGAATATGTCCTTGAAGTGGCCGGGCAGCGCGGTTCGTAATCTAACCTAATCTCATCTCAATATTCCCATCCACATCATAGTGTTCTTTTTCCAGAATGATCAAATAAATATTTTATATTCAAAACATTATATTATATTGCTGTAGGATTGGATACACAACGAGCGTGTTGTGGGCAAGGAGGAATGTATAATTTCGAAATGGGAAGGATGTGTGGAGCCGTTGGTGTTCCAGTTTGTCCGAATCCGGAGAAATACGTGAGTTGGGATGGAGTGCATTTGACACAAGAAGCCTACAAGATCATGGCTCAATGGTTGCTTAGTGACATCTTCGCCAACCTTCGTTGCACTCGTTAACTGCGTTTCAAAAGTTTTCAAAAAAATCTATGTAAATAAAATCTTGATTTCTCCATGTTTCTTATAGTACATTTATGGCATTTTTTATAACGAGTTAGACGTGGTGTGAAGATGATGAACTCGTGACTGTGTGAGTCGAACTTAGTTTGCAAACTATTAGATTCGGCAACGGATTCTCACGTTATCCCAAAGAAATACTACTATGCGGGTAAATAATGTAAAAAATTCAAGACTTTTGAATGGACAAAAATTTGCAAATTTGAAGCTTTAGTTTATTATCTGTGTATAAAATTTTAGCAAAAGTGATCAATCGGATCGGATGAAAATGTAACAACCGTCGCCAAAATTAGCAAAAAAAATTCTTCCATTGTGTCCGACGGAAAAATAAAAAAAAAAATTGTAAATTCTTCCATTCTAATGTCAACCTGAACCTGAGACCAAGTTGTTCAAGGTACACCTCATTCTAGAATGCATAGCTAAAACAAGCAGGGGACAAGGTTTAGGGTCCATGGAGTCTAAAACAGAAACAAACACGATTGATACTACTCCACATCACAAGTATAGGTCATCGCATGATCGCACCAACTGAACTTATCGTTAATTGTCCTAAAAAAATGCAACGTTCATGAAATGGAAATAAACTTCTGAAACATAATCAAGCAGAATGAGAAAAGTGAACACAGAAGTATGATCAAGCAGAGTGAACTCAGCTTTTGCATTATCCAATCGATAAAAAGTCATGAAATTCAAGCCCCATTAAAGAAGTACCGTACAGTGCTTAAACAAAATTACTACCCCAACATGGTAAGTCCAGATGATTTAACAAGGCCCCGATTGGAACTGAGATGAGTGTGAAAATCAACCTCTTTCAGTTTTGGATTAGCCCAATCTGATGCTTATTTAAAAAGTTCTGGATTCAGCCAGTCCCTACGAAAACATTATAATTCAAGCCATTAGATTTCATAGGAAAACAGGGGCCTTTAGCTACTGATCAATGGGAGAAACCAGTCGATTATTCTTACTTGCTAACATCATTTAGATGGTCGTCAAAGTCTACTATATCCTTCCATTTCCCAGATGAGATGTAATCCAAAAGCAATATATTCGCCGTCGGTTCCTTGAGAACAAGAGGATTACTTCCCTCCGAGCCAGCTAGCTTCCAACTACTGGATGCATCCTTTGTATAAAGCTGAGAAATGGATGGTACGAATTAGATTGAATGCCCAAACAAAATTTAGCCATGGAAATTGCTTCCAACATCAGTGGCATTCCTTTTAACATTTATATAAATTTACAATAGACAATATTTTCTAGAATTTTAACTCTTCTGGCTAGATACTCATATTTTGTATGCTTATTGAGCCCAATGGATGGATTCAAGAGAGTTATCAAAAAAGGTTTGCAAAACTCTGAAAAGCTGTAGATTCAATAGGTTAATGAATCGAAAGATTGAACATAGAATTGTTGAGAATTCTAAAAAGATACCTGCATCACAGGGCTGCGAGCTTTTTCCTTAGATAGAGAATCAAGCTTTCGATTGTCCAACTGAAAATTCACAAACAGATTAACCACAAATGTACAGTTCAATTCCAACGAAGTATCAAAGGAATTCAACCAAATTAACCATACCAATAGCAAGGCCGCCTGGGGAAAATACCGAGTTATGTGATCTCCAATATTCTTGGCAACAGTGGCTAGATCGAAATCATCGTATCTCTCATTAGCGTGATAGTAACCTACGATGCTCAAACCTTTCTCTGCGTAGTACTCCTCTATCTATTGATTTCCACCCCCAAACTTTCATATTCGAAATTAAAAACCAAATTAACTTAATAAACAACATGTGAAAAGTGTACGGTAGCGAAGAACTAACCATAATAAGCGCAATTTCGAGGGGAGGAAGAAGGCCGATCTGGGAGTGAAAGAGAGGCACAGATTCGACTATCTCAACTGCCGCGCCTCCACCAGCGGACCGGCCAATGACGACGGCGTTGACGGCTGATGTACGGTGCTTTAGAGCGTGGAGAACCAACTTCATGTAGGCATTCTGATGGATCTCGAACCGCGATTCGCCGCCCATGACTCGACGTCGGAATCAAAATTACGTGGTCCGAAACCACAAAATTGAGGAAGCAATCGAGCGTAGGGCGGAAGGGGCTTAGGGTTTCTCGCCGATGATTTGTGATCTGGTGATTTGTTAATATTCAATTATCTGCGGTAGCTTCCATTTCCATTAAAATCGCTATCTTTGTTTCTAAATCGCGTTTTTAACCAATTATTCTTTATGAGTAAAAACATATCAAAAAAAAAAAAAGAAAAAAAAAATTATAAATGTGCATATATATTCATATAAAAGGCTGTTTCGTAGATTTTGCATCCAATTTTTATTACTTATAAAAAAGAAATCTCTAAAACATTAGCATAATAGTTGTGTTTTTATTGTTTATATTAATACTTACAAAAAAATATATTATATTAAATAATATTTTAAAATTTTATTATTCAAAATTTCAAATCAAACTTAAATTTACACTAAACAGGATATAAATAAATAAAAATTTTATAAATTTGTTTAGTTTGTATTTGTATTATATTGCAAAGCAATCTATATTTGATTTTAAAATTCAAATTCAAATTGATATTATTGATGTCTTAAGGGATAATCAGTTAGTGTAAAAATAAACGTGTGATGGACTCATGACCTTGTCCATACCTTGTCAGACCTAATAACCTGAAAATTAAAATAGTTACGAATCCCTTTTATAAACATAATGACAAAATACAAGGGTGTGTTTGTTTGGAAAGTGGATCAATCATTTATTTTTTATTTTTTTTATTATACTACAATTATTCGAATTCAAAATTATTAATATTCAAATTTCAAATTCAAAATTCAAACTCCCAGACAAACACACACTGATATAAAGACTATTGACTTGTTTGCTTTTTATGTCAAATGAAATTTTTTTCTATTTTATACTTCATTCTCACTATTTAAAGTACTATTTTTACCATTTACGTTTGTTCTTATTAATTTTCTATTTTAGAAAAAACAATTATACATTAATATAAAAAATACTCTTGATTTTTACATAAATTAAAAATATGCTAAAATAAAAATATCAAAATTATTTGTTGATCAAAACTCCAAAGATCCATTAACAAAGGACATGGGCATAATTTTCGATGAAAATATAATATATATATATTTACATTTATAAAATATTATTTAAAACTAAATACATTCTATAAATTAATTAACTAAAATTATACTCTTCCTTTCGGCCCTATAAATTAATTAATTAAAATTATATATAATAAATTTATTCATTTTAAATACATTTAATAAATATAAATTAATTTAATAATATTTTATTATTCAAACCTTTTTATTTATATTTACTTTTTAAATAAACAATAATAAAAATATTTAAAATACTTACCATATTATTAATATAAATTTATTTTATAAATTTTTCAAAGTAAATTTGAATTTGTATCTCAAAAATAACAAAAAATTAATAAAAATAAAAAATTTGTATACTATGTATAATAAATAGTAATCCTTCTAATATTGAAAGTAGATATGTGAATTAAGATAAATATAATTAGTAAATAATTAATAATGTATTAATAAAAATAATTAATTTATAAATAAATTATTATAAATTAAAATTAAGATAATTAATGAGTTTAATTAAAATAAATAAAATTAAGATATGTAATTAGTTTTGTTTTTTTCTTCAATGACATGTGAGACGAATAGACATACTAGGTGGGAGGTGGGACGTAATAAAAAGAAAAGCGATGAATTAGTAAAAGTTATCAGTATTATTCATAATTATTGGATAAAATCTCAAGAAAAATGGCTGCTGCAGTTTATTCTCGTCTTCCATATGTTCTTTGGTTCCATAATTTGGATTGCCAATGGAACCAGGGGCTCTTCTTCCTCACTCGCGCTCTCCCGTCTCGGTATTCCGCAGTTGTAAAGGAATTTCAATTTTGATGCAATGTCCACTTTCAGCTTCGGTGCGAATGGCGTCTCAAGGTGTGCATCCTGTCATCTGCTCTACTTCTGAAAGGCATAGCAAGGAGAGGATTTCAAGAGATAACGCGGTTAAAAACCACGGCGCTAGAGCAAAAGCAGGTGCAGTGCTTTGATTGTTTTCCAGAAATCTTAAGATAACGGATAAATGCATTTGAAATTCTTCAATAGAAGTTAATGGATTCAAATATTACTTTTATTGGATGAACTGGAGTGTCTTCGTTTATTCGTGTCGCAGGTCAATCGCAAGCGTCCACTGCTGGAAGTAGAACAGGTTCTTTTGGCTTGCTCGAAACTACAGTGTCTTCTACTTTCAGTATTTGGTGATTGAATTTGTATACTGTACTAGATATTTCCGTGTCTTTGGTGATTGAATTTGTATGGTGCTAGCTACAGGTAACCTCAATGGTGCTAGGAATCCGCAGAAGGTGAATTTGGAAGTATCACCTCATAGAGCTGGTACTCAGCCTTTTTTTGTCAATACGTCTCTGTTCATGGTTAAATGATATTCTAAGTGTTTTCTTGATTTTAGCATTTCACTATAAAATGGCTAATTCAGCAGTCAGCACTTCTCCTTATTTGGATAAGATGATTTAGAAAACGTGAAAGTCATCAGCATCTCTGAAATCCAAAATGTAGAGCAAGTGTTCTATTTGATAGAGGAGTCAGGAGATGCTATCTATAATTGATATCCAGGAAAGCAAACATATTTCTGAGAGATTGTCTCTGCCATTGTTAATGACACATCACAAAAAATGAGAGATTTTCAATATTATTATAGACATCTGATGTAATGGCACATAAAAATTTAAATAGTAACTATGATAAATCAATGGAAAGTTCTCTCTGTGTTCTACCTTACTGTCCTTAAACAGTGTCTGCTGTGAGGTTGATGCGCATTCAACTCGGTGGAGCATTTGCTGATCTGTTGAATGAGCAAGGAAAAGGTTCAGGAGATAACGAGATGGGATATGTTGAGAGAACTCTTGGTTTTCGTACTCGTGTTCTTGATGACAGAGATCTACGACTAGTATTCCTCTTAACTCTTACATGTGAGTAATTTTGATAGTGAACTATAAAAGAAGCATAAAATGATCTTACATTGGTTTTGTTCAATTCAGGTAACTGAAATTGTGGGGGGTACCATCCGGTGGAGAAGATACCTTGACTATTTGATTCTGTCACTGTGTCACAATGAAAACACCTTCAGCAGCATGGAACCTCTCCTATTGCAGGTAGAATTGTCAGCTATTTTTCGTAATTTGGACGATGAAATACTATATAGAGTGTTTGTTGTTCTTTAAATGATTATTTATATTGTTTTCAGATTCTACGAATTGGTTCTTATGAGATTGTCAAGCTTGAAATGCCTTCATATGCAGTGGTTGATGAGGTAAGAAAATGCATAAAACTCTGAGACTAAAGTTTCTTTTCCTTCTCTCTTTTCTGCCATAGTTTTTTATTCACACTAATAATTGTGAATATAATTGTTTCGAAGGTTTTGCTTAACGGGTCAACTTGCCATCGAGAGAATAATTTCAGTTTAGGGATATGGTTGATTCATGACTGTAAAAAATAGCACTTATGCTGGTCATTTGTTGTAGGCCAAGCTCACATGAACATGATCTTCTTGTTGAGCTGCTCTAACATGCTAAAGTGGCAGATGTGGCTATTTTCATGTTCCATACACGTTTCATAATTTCTTGGGTCTCTAATTAACTGTATATTCACATAATTTCTTCCTTCTCCCAGATGTAAGTTTGTATTTCGAAATTAGCTTGCTGTGGATGTTGTAGCAGAAGTATAAAAGATGTATATAGATACGTCCATGCATGTGTAGATAGTGTGCTGAAGATTCTCCTTTGATTTTCAATAAGTCGCTAAATACTTATTACTTGTTTTCTGATCCTTTATTCAAATACGATAGAACGTAAAGCTAGCAAAGGCTGCACTAAGGCTTGGAGCTGGTAATTTGGTTAACGCAATTTTGAGGAAGCTTGTGCTGCTAAAGGTTAACATATGTTTAATTTGGCTTCACCCAACTTGGAGCTACAATATTTTACTTATTTTCTTTGTCTTGAGTCTTTTCAGGAAAACAACTCACTTCCTGTTCCAAAAGTCGATGGTGATGACAGGCAGCAAGCACGTGCTCTAGCCACTATTCATTCTCATCCTGTTGTAAGCTTTTCTTTCATGTTCTAGCTTTTTACCAACCATTTTAAAATTTTGATAATGTTTCTTATCCATTGCCAGTGAAGATTACTAGTGTTTTACTTTCTCTATGGTACTGTTGTATCTGAATGTTCGGACTCTCAAAAGTGAAAAATATTAAGTCTTATAATTTACCTACATATAATACGCTCAACAAGCTTTAATTTGCATGCTTACAATATAATTATCTACTTTACTTTATGCTTGCATCTAGGATTTACAATGTTCAGTCTCACATATGCCCTGCTTTTTGTTTCCATTTATATAGTGGATGGTGAGACGATGGACTAATTACCTTGGTCTTGAAGATGCTATAAAGTTAATGGTCTGGAATAATACAGATCCTTGTTTTAGCATCAGGTTTTGTTCTTCTGTGAGCTCCAATCTTCTTATTTTATTTGATTTTATTCTATTTTATTTATTTTTGTGTAATTTCCGAATTCGTGTGCCTCTGGATTGCTCAACATATTTTTTAGTAACAATTTCAGGGCAAACACAAATAAAGGATTCACAAGAGCAGATCTAGTTGCAGAACTTCAAAACTTAAAGGTTATTGTCCTCTGTCTTTCACTCACTCACAACCAAATGACCAAACTCTAACTTAATTTCGGAAGATGAAAGTACACTGCCATTAGATTTTTTGCATGTAATCGTTATTTCTACTGTACCTGGCAAAAGGATCAGAACTAACATGCCAATGTTCTCATTTTGATTTTAATTTCTTGAAGTGTAGGTTCCATATGAACTTTCTCTGCACCTGGATGATTTTGTCAGAATAGAGAAAGGAATGCAGGTAATATCATTCTCTATCTTATTGGAAACATTGGCTTTAGCAGCTGTTTGGCCATGGATATAGTGATATAAAGAATGTATAACATAATAATTTTGCTTGTGGTAGTAAATCTGATAAATGGTTTAAGATGATTTTGGGCTCTTTCTGATGAACTTGCTTGTTGCTGATTTGAATAAATAAGTGTTGTCTATGAGGAGAAGCATATATCATATTTAGTATAAAATTAAGTTATATCATCTTTATTGGTTGTTACACTAGTGAGCTGCAGTTAAAAGGCCTTCTAATGTTGAGTCGTGAATAATTCATTTCTTCTTCAGCTTATCATTCAAGCTGGATTGCTAAAAAGAGGTTTATGTTCAGTTCAGGATGAGAGTGCAGGTAATCTCCCCAGGTTATAACATTTGTGGTGTGGAATTGATATACACTTTTCCATTATTATCCTATCTGATTCTAACTTGTTTTCATTTGGCTTAAAAAATAAAATGATATAGTATAGCCCATCCTTTTTGTCCCTCTGCAAAAAATTATTTGTGGTTGATAAAATATTATATCATTGGGTTGAACAGTATGTACAGCTGAATTTTGATGCCTTGTTGACATTCTATAATGATTGAATTACATGACTTTAAATATAGATAATACTAAGTTGTTATGGATAAATGCCTGGGTATGTTGATAATTAGTAATTTCAAGCAAGATGATTACTGCACTTTGGACATTGGTGGGTATGCATATAAGAGAGCAACATTTTTTTAGCTATTTGAGAGTCATAATTTCATTGTAACAGTTTTCACAGTTGAAATTTGATGGCTTGATGACATTTTATAATGATTAAACTGTGTGCTTTAAATCTTAATACTACTAAGTTGTCACAGAGTAACACAAATGTGTGAGTATGTTGGTAATAATTAAATTTGAGCAGAGATGATTAGTGGACTTTGGTCATTGGTGCGCATGCATGTAAGAGAGCAAGATTTTTTTTATCTATTTGGAGTTATCACCACTATCATCATTATGTGTTTATATTTTTTATTTGAAAATTGGTATAAGAATCAGGCTTCATTGCTTATACGATCGCACCCGATGCCACATCAATCCTGTTGTCATTTTGTTTAATGAGAACTTTTAGTGCAGGATTGGTGGTTATGGTTGTGGATCCAAAACCTGGTGAGAGTATTATTGACTGCTGTGCTGCACCAGGAGGAAAAACACTTTTCATGGCTTCACATCTGAATGGCAATGGTACCTAAATGCTATAGTAGTAATCACTTTTGTACTGAGTTGTTAAGAGTTGGAGTTATGTCTCTGCTGTTGTAACTTTCCTTTGAATTATGAGTTATGACTACCATAATATACCAAATTCTCCAAGAATAATAAAAAATTGGGAATCCCTGTGAAATAAATAAAATTATATCATTTCATAATTAATTTTGTTCCCTGATCCCTATCCTGTTGGATAGACAGTTTATAGTGGTGATGTTATAGCAACATTGACACTGCATGCTTATCAGGGAACATATATGCCATTGACATAAACAAAGGCCGATTAAGAATCCTCAAAGAGACGGCCATGTTGCAGGAAGTTAGTCATGTCATTACTACTATACAAGCTGATCTTCATGTTTTTGCTGTAAGGAGTTTTCTTGATAAGTGGAGTTATTTTCTATTGAAGAAGGACAACTAAGTCTCTTTATTCACTGTATGATCAGGAGAAAAACGATGTGAAGGCTGATAAAGTTTTGTTGGATGCACCTTGTTCTGGATTAGGTGTTCTTTCTAAGGTATATTCTAGAAAAAGACTGTCTTTTTGGGAACACTTTTGCTATTTTTTATCTTTTTTTTTTTCGCTCTTAAGGATAATATTTTCTGCAGAATCTAATCCTTTGTTGTTTTTGACACGTTTGCTGCCTATATTAAGGACAATTTTCTTGTTGGTTATTTAACTAAACTATTTGAGTGTCATTAAACAGAGAGCAGATTTGCGCTGGAATAGGAAACTTGAGGACATGGAGCAACTTAAAAAATTGCAAGATACACTTCTTGATTCAGCTTCCACGTGAGTTGCAAATGATACTTTGAGAACTAATTAACCCATATTTCCTTAAGACAGAGTGTGCAATAGTTCACTTCAATTTTTGTGATATAATTTCCTGCACCTGATTGTTTTTTGCTTTTCATCTACAGTTTGGTAAAGCCTGGTGGAGTACTGATATACAGCACCTGTTCAATTGATCCTGATGAGAATGAGGAAAGAATTGCTGCTTTTCTCCAGAGACATCCAGTAAGTTTTGAATGCTGTGTATTTTTTTCTTCACTTATATTTTCATCCAAGTGTAGACATCTATTCACTTTGAATTTGTTCTTTTGTTTACTTCAAGTTCTCTACTATGCAACCTCACAATTCCCGTAAAAACATATATATCTATGCCAAACATTGCGTCCAACAACTATTTCACCCAAAAACCCAAATCACAAAACCAATACCAATTTGAAATACAATTTTTTACTTGAATACATATTGTTGTTGGGCAATCAAATATAATTATTCAAATCTGTTTACTTCTGCCTGATTTAAAAGAGAATTTGCTGATCACGGCTGGTCTTCACATAGAAAAAAAGAATTTACTGTGCTTGTGAGTTCATAGCATGGTGTTTCATGATTTCTATTTGCAGGAATTCTGCATAGATCCAGTACACAAATATGTACCCTCCTGTTTCATAACATCAGATGGATTCTATCGCTCAAGTCCTATCAAACACTCAATGGATGGAGCCTTTGCAGCCCGACTGTTTAGATCCAGATGAGTTTTTAAGTAAGTTGAGTCTCTCTTCTTGAATCAGTTAGATGCTTGTAGGATGATGTAATTTGACAAGCTCTTGCTTTTCTGTTTGTCAGGATAATCATTTCAGCAGTTCTTTTCTGCTCTACTCTTCAGTGCATTCATTTTGTCACAGTAAACTACAATCTGGCTTCAAGGAATATGCGGAGGCTCGAAGGTGATTGGAGTTGTCATGCTATGAAGAATGCACGACCCAAGGTATGAAGAACACAGTGATGATGATTCCTGAAATATGAGCATTAATCTAAAGGAATCATCAAGGTTGTATTAGCAGACCTGATGCATAAAAAACTGCTCGCAACTCAGGTATGCTGTAATATAGCTAGAATCAGAGGAGATATGTAATGATGTATGGCCTTTAAACCTGGCCACAATGGTTTGTGTACGTAAAAATAGGCACGGTGTTCCTAAATGTTGCTCAAGTTTTGTAATGTTGTTCTGTCTGGCATTTGGAATGATTTTGGATCCATATTGTCCATCCCAATAACTAACTTATTACCCAGAGTCGACATATTTGTTTGCTTACAATATTCTGTTTGAAGCGAAGATCTTGAAAACAGGATCACAGGTGACAATCAAAGAACCATCCATTTATGATTCATGTATGCACACAAGCACAGTCAATTCCATCAGTTCATTTAACTATAATCTGAAGCTGAATGTTTTGCAGGTCAGGTTGTCACCAAATCAGCCTCAAACTCCGAAACAATGTCACTGATGCTGATGGGAACACTATCGGAGAAGCTAAGTCTCGGCTTCACCTTGGGCACGAGCACTAGCTCCGCCTCATCATTGAGAATCTGGAACACTCTCCTCATCGATGGCCTCTCCGCACTGTCCGGATTGGCGCAGCTCAGCCCTACAAGCAGCATTTTCTTCATCCCCGCCTCGTCGAACTCACCTTCCATCCGTGGGTCAGCTGCAGCCATCAGATTCCCTTCAGTGTACAGCTTCCACACCCAGTCCACCAAGTTCACCATTCTCTGAGTGTCGCCTTCTCTCTCGATGGGCCTCCTCCCACAGGCCAGTTCCAGTATGACCACACCATAGCTGAACACATCAGTTTTCTCGGTGGCTTTGCCAAACTGAAGGTACTCAGGGGCGAGATATCCCATGGTTCCTGCCGTGAGAGTAGAAACAGGGCTCTGGCCGTGATCCATGAGCCGTGCAAGTCCAAAATCACCTAGCTTGGGGTTGTAGCTTCCATCCAGCATTATGTTACTAGCTTTAACATCTCTATGAATTACTTGCTGCTCACATTCTTGATGCAGGTAAGACAGGGCAGATGCCAGCCCGACCGCAATGTTGTATCTGTAAGGCCATTTCAAGGGATTGCCAGCCTCAGTTTCAGGATCCGGGTACAGCACCTTGTCGAGGCTCCCATTCGGCATAAACTCATAGACGAGCAACAATTCACCCTTCTCAGCACACCATCCTTGAAGCTGTACCAAATTCTTGTGCCTCAGGTAAGCTATGATCGATAACTCCGCGAGGAACTCAGCTTTCCCCTGGTGGGAATGCTTCGACTTCTTCACAGCAGATATGATTCCCATTTCAAGGGAGAACGCCTTGTAGACAGTGCCGAATGCTCCATGGCCAAGAATTCTGCTAGGATGGAATCCTTCAGTTGCAGCCTTCAGTTCTTTGTAAGTAAAATGCCTTGGCCCTGTGACGAGCTCCGCCTCCAAAGCCCTCTTCGATTTGATGGCCTTCAACTTAACTATGGCGAGCCAACCGAGCACAACGACGACGGCAGAAAACAAGGTTGGAACGCCGATCCTGAAGCCGAATCGAACAATCCGATGATGTCTCCGGTCCCATGACGAGCCATAATATGGAGCAGGGGTCTTCAAAGACACAGAACTATCGGATACATTGTAAGGATGAGTTCTTGTCCTGACGCGGCGAAGGCCGGCGGTCTGAAAGATCCAGTTCTGCACGAAATGCTGCTCGGTGCTTCTGTTGGTGGAAGCAGAAAAGCCGACGAACATGAAGTCCTTAAGATAATCGGCGAGATCGATTCCGACGGATAAGAGAGGGTCTCCGGGCTTGAAGCTGGAATAGCTCAAGAAAACGTCAACCTTCTTCTGGTCATTGTGGTAATCAATCCAGGCGGTGATGAGATTCCCGCTCTTCAAATTAATGGCGCGGGAGATTGGATTGGCGGTCTTGATGGAGACAAGGCTGTCAATGTCGAAGCCGACATGGTTGTCGTCGGGATCGTCGAAGGCGAGGTCCATCTTGGTGTCGAATTCGACGGCAAGAAACCTGTTCTTGGTGAGCTTGGAGGAGTTGACGAGGCCCAAGTAGCCGCCGTGGGTGTGGTTGTTGGGGGAGAGGAAGAAGGCGAGGCCGTCGCCGAAGGAGGAGGGGTCGTTGTTGTCGATGGAGAAGGAGAACTTGGTGGAGAAGGAGGCGATGGCGCCGGAGTCGGGGTCGAAGAGGGTGATGGGGTTGGTGTAGACGGCGGAGCCGGAGCTGGAGGAAGGCAGGTGGAGCTCCCGGGTGAGGCCGACGACGCCGTTTTGGAGATAGGAGTCTCCGAGGAGGGTCAGGTTTGAGAATGTGAAGAATGGGAATTCAAGATTGACATTCTCGGTGGCCGCCGCGGGCAAGATCAAGAACGATAGCAAGAGTAGGAGGAGGAGATTTGTGGGCATGGCTTGAAGTTCTTAATTGATCGGAAACGGGAATTTGGGAAGAAGGGTGTTGGTGGTGTTCATCATTTCTTGAACGGAACGGGACGGCTTCTACTTCCACTGGTTCGACGACGAGGACTGAGTAGTAAGTAGAACCGTAGAAGGAGGTCGTTTCCTGATTGAAACATGCAGAGCGGTGGCGTAACGGTCAGTTATGTTTCCAATTTTCTTTTACTCAATTATTTATCATATCTATAAAATTTAATTATATGCACGGTGTTGGCGTCAAAATCAAACGCAAAAAATAAAAATAAAATTCTAAGGTTCAATTTATATAAATATCTCTTTTTTGGAATTTTTTTATATTATTTATCAACGTTCTTTTTTTTAAAAAAAAAAAAATATCAAATTAAATCCTATTTAAATTTCAAATAAAAAACTAAACACACCCTATTTTTAAATATTGTACTCTGTCTGTCCAAAGAATTTTTTTTTACTAATTTAGTTACTTTTATAAAAATAAATTTTCTTATATTTATATAAATAAAAATATCAAAATTTTTTACTATTTTTTTAAGTGTGCTTTGATTATATATATAAAAAATTAAAAATGTTATAAGATAAATAAATAAATAATGTTTATTAAATAATAGCATCATAATTTATTTATTTTTTTGATAGGATAGTTAAAAATAGTATAGACCAATCGGTAAAAATAGATACTGCCATGATCGTGGTTCAACACTGTCAATATTTATGCACAGAGATCAATCATAATGATTAGATGGACATTAGTTTAGCGCAAGTAAATGGGAGATTGAGTGGCCACAAAACAAACAATCAGTGTTAACTGATGCTGACGGACGGACTGACTGATTTGATTTGAAATTTGTAAAGATAGATCAGTAGTAGCATAGCACTACCGTATATCTGTTGATTTTCATGGCTATATTTATTGTTGATTTTCAACCGCCGGCTGGCTGCTGTTTCTGCGTTCATATGAAAACTCAATTCAATTGCCGACACACGCAAGTTTGTTCTGACGCAATTGTTGCGTACAACAGGCGTCACCGCCACTTGCTCAGACTATTTCTCTCTGTATGATATAATTATCTACATCAATCATGAATGTGAATCTCTGAAGGCCACCGGGTTTCTTGTCCCAAGGTATGAATTTCATGAACTCAAATAGCCTATCTGTGCGTGTTAGTTTAATTTTCCTGGTGTTCACGAAGAATCTGTGCTCACTATCATTTCTGAGTTTCTCGATCGCTGACTTCAGTTGGATCCGAGATTCAGGTTTTCTGCCGCGAAATGGATCAACCAATTCCTGCAAACGGAGTTGAAGAAGTTCCGCTGCTTCCATCGTGTGCCAACGAGCACGGAGGTGTCATTGTGGAAATGGCGGAGCCTATGGATCCGAATGATTTTAGAGCTGTTCTTAGACGTTCACTTTCCCAGTGGAAGCTGCAGGTATCAGTTAGCATCCTTCTTGGCATCACGACATTCGAATGTGCTTGTGTCTCCAGTTCCTTCTTATATGATCCAAAATCTGCTATTAGACATCATAATTGGATGTTAATCGAAATTAGGGATTCTCAATCTCCAATTTTAGGTGTTCCTTATATCATGGCAATATGATTACTGTAGGCTGAAATTCATTTATATGATTTTTTGGGATGACGGATAGTGCAGTTCATTTCTTTTCAGCGAATTGTTTCGTGTTGCCCTCTAACTTGTTGGTAGCTTTTCCTCTTGAATTTTACTCAATGATCTAATGTTCATGAGATTTTTTTTTGTCTGAGAGGTATTTGGTCCTTAACTCAATACATGAACTGATCATAAACTTCTTGGCAAAGTTAGAAATATTCCATGGCATTTCTTTGCTCTACAATATCCATTTATGAACTGCATTTACCCGCGATCACGTCTTGTTGTTGATTCCTGCTAGAAAACTGAGTTGCCTCACAATATTATACACTATACATTCTTTCTTACAGGGAATAAAAGGAGTGTGGATCAAGATACCGGTTGAGTTTGTCAATCTTGTTGAAACCACAGTCAAGGTTTGCTTTATGATATAAAAAAGGCTTTTTGCATCTTCACATAGTTCAATCTATGCCCAAATTCTGCTACTTCTATTTTAGATGTTTCTGAGCCTTAATTCGATTATTCTATTGACCTTATATCATGGAGGATAGTTTATGTATCTGTAATTTGTGTGTAAGTTCGTATTGTCTGGTAGTCGACACTGTCCAGAAGGTTTCATTTCAATGAGTTTTCATAATACTTATGATTGTCATAATTCACCTGTTGAGATAAAATATTGCGAAAGAAACAGAAGTTCCAGGAGTTGTTCATTAGCTATGAGGCATTTTTTCGATAATATTTCATTTTCTGGATTTGGAAAGGCTGATATGCTTATTACTTTTTTTGAGCCATTCTAAATTCTGCTTCTATGGACGATTTTTCTTGTTGAATATTGTCCCATAATGGATATGATGTGAGAACTCTCTTGGTTTATAAGGTGACCTATAACTAATTGGTTTTTGGTTGAAAGTCCGGATTCCTTCTTAACATAGTTTATGAGTCATGGTGCTCGTATCGTGTGTTGATCATATAGATTTTCAAGATTATTATCTCGAAGGAGGAATGTTAAATATTGTTCCACATTGGATATAATGTAAAAACTCTCTTGGCTTATAAGGATGAATGGCACTCCGCCTATAACTAATTGGTTTTAGGGTGGAAGCCCATATCCTTTCTTAAGATTGCTAACTTAAAACTGAGAATGCTAAACGATGCAGGAGGGATTTTTGTATCACCATGCTGAACCTCAATACTTGATGCTTGTGAACTGGATATCCGAAACCCCGAGCACCATCCCAGCCAATGCAACTCACCAGCTCCGGATCGGTGCTGTTATTATGAATGAAAACAGAGAGGTACTTCGATATCTCATCACTACATTCTAGTAGGTGTTCTGCTCAGCACATTCGATATCTATCTTAGCATAGCCATTCCTCACTTTTAATTTAAAGTTTATCTTTTTAATTCCACACTTTCTACATTTCTGAATTAGATCTTCAAACAAAAAGCAAACTGAAACATTTATGACTATTTACATAACAACTTGAGTCATGATCCAGTTTGTAACACTTGAAATTCTCTTGCATAGTTGCTCGTCGTTCAGGAAAAGCACGGCCGGTTTAAAGGAACTGGTATTTGGAAAATCCCCACAGGAATTATCGAAGAGGTTTGTTTGTGACTCAACTAAAGTTTCGATTTCAAGAGCATCTCTCCAATCTCTTTTACAAATGTTAATTTCCAGGCGGAAGATATCTTTTCAGGCGCGCAACGGGAAGTGAAAGAGGAAACGGGAGTAAGCATTTCCCACTTTTGTGGTTAAGATGACAGCATACTGTCTATACATAAATTCGAGCTAACGATTATCCATATCTGCAGATCGACACAGAATTCATCGACGTGCTGGCATTCAGACAAACGCACGAGTCGTTTTTCAAGAAGTCGGATCTATTATTCCTATGCATGCTGCGCCCTCTGTCGTTCGAGATTCATAAGCAGGACTCAGAGATCGATGCAGCTCAGGTACAACGTCAAATTTATTATTATTTTTTTTTTTTTGCCTAACTTGTTAGCCTGGATTCATGATCATTGATCGATGATAAACTTTGTCTGCGGATCCAGTGGATGGCTATTGCAGAATACTCTGCGCAACCATTTGCCGATGGACATTGGATCTTCAAGTGCGCGGCCGATGTCTGTCTGGCGAAGGTCGACAAGGGCTGTGCGGGATTCACACCACACCAAATCTCTTCGACAAGCTATCTTTACATGAACAAAGATGGTCTGAACCTGTGAGATTCCTTGTATAACTTATCTGTGTGTGATAGTTTCGACAGTTTTAAGGAAGTTGTGTGCAATGATACTAGATTAGATTAGATAATGTATGGCTGGTCGAGTTGAAAATGTGTAGAGATGGAATAAAGGCAAATTTCTCAGCTTTTTTTTTTTTTTCATGAGTATTTGTAGCAGCAATTCTAAAAATTAGATTCGACGAAAACAAATCATATATCGTATTCGAAAACCCAACTTTCATAATATTAAGTTAACCATGTGTGACACACAATACGTAAGAAATTCGAAAATTTGAACCCATGACATTATGCTCAAATAGCCTAAAGAGTTGGGTAAAAACTGTGTAACAATTGGACAAAAGAAAATTGTTAATTTGTTTTAAATTATTTAATAATCCTTCCGTTTCAAAATTATAGTCTTGAATTGGACACGACATTCTTATATTGGTAGTAAATAATGGCAGAAAATAATTAAAGTTTATTAGTTGGATTATTGAATTGAAAGTTAACTTAAAATAATTTATTTAATTAATATTTAATTTATAATGTAATAAAAAATTAAAATTTGAAAATATATGTTTATTAATTTTAATAATTATTATATTTTAATAATATATATATCTATATAGATATTATTTTATAAAAAATAAAATTTTATATAATACAAATAAAAAATATATAAATATTTATTTATAAGTAATGTAGATTAATATAAAAGTAAATGAAATGTTTTAAATATATATATAAATATATTTATTTATTGGAAAAATAAAGAAATAAAATTTTTGAATAAAATTTAAATAAATCATATGAATATTTCGATAAAATAAAATAAAATATTGAAACGTAGTGTTAAAAAAATAAAAAATTGAAGCATATTGTTAATTTTGGCCAGAAGCCAACCAAACACACCATAAATAAATAAAGAAAATTATGGTTATTTTAATAGGTTAATAATACCAAAGGAATAAAATATTTTCGAAATATACAAAATCGAATGAATTATGCAAATTGGTTGGACAATAATATTATTATAATATCTCATAAATAAATAAATAAAGAATTAAAATAAAACAATAGTAGCATCTATTACTAACGTGTCACTACAATACAATGTATGTAAGAAAGGAGCAGTCGTCGGTAATCCTTTAGCAAAATCTCATCCGCCATTTTCGTGTTATGTCTTTTCATTATTTTATTTATTACTAATAATCATTTTATATAATATCGCAGTGACAACAAATGCTACAGCTTTCCAGATTAGGGTTTCTTCACTTCAAGATTGCGACGAAAAGGGGGCCAGCTTCTGGTATGATCTTTCACGATTCCATCCAATTTCTGTTTTTTCTAATCGTTTCGCGGTGCCTCCGGTGATCTCAATTTTCGTTTCACTTGAAGAATATTGAAGGCTCCTTCCTGATCCTAATTTTGGGTTTTCAGTGTTGTCTTAGAGTCATGGATGAGAGTGCAGCTGGAGGTGGAGATCCGAGCGAGCAGTTCCACAGGAACGAAGCGATCTCTGCCGTGGCTGACGAGGGTTTCCTCGGCGAGGAGGAGGATGATGATTACGAGGATCTTTATAACGACGTGAATGTTGGTGAGAACTTTCTGCAGTCGCTTCACCGGAACGAGGATAACTTGGGGCAGACGACTGAGGAAGTGAAGGAAAACAAGGCGAGCCTCGCCCCGCCTCCTCCGCCGCAACCGCCGCAGCAGCCGGTGGTAGAAGGTGGAGGTGCAGCTTTGCAGAGTGAAGGGGCTACAGCTAGGATTCCAGGGGGAGTAGAGGGGTATCAGCAGAATATGGGGTTCAGGGGAAATAGTAATGCGAGTGATGCTGGAGTTGTTGGAGGAGTAGCTCTAGGGCCACAGGGAGATGGTGGGGGTGGGGGTGGGGGGTTTAGGGTTGAGCTGGGGCAATCATCTAATAAGGTTTCTGAAATAGAAGAGCGGATGGTAAACAACACTCTCCCAACTAACCAGCAAATGGTGCATCAGCAGCTGCAGCCACATGTTGCTGCTAATGTGGGGGTTATTGAGAATGATAGAAATGTGCGGAATGCTAATGGGACTGGGGGAAATGTGTATGTGGCTGATGGTGGTGGTGGTGGTGGTGGTGGTGGTGCTGATGTTGCAGTTGGAGGTGTGGTTGGGAATGTGGGTGGTGGTGGAGCTGGAGGTGGAGGTGGAGGGACAGTTCTTTTTGTAGGAGACCTGCATTGGTGGACGACAGATGTTGAGCTTGAGTCTGAGCTATGCAAGTATGGGCCAGTAAAGGAGGTGAAGTTCTTCGATGAAAGGGCCAGTGGGAAGTCGAAAGGTTATTGTCAGGTTGAGTTCTTTGATCCTTCTGCCGCCACTGCTTGCAAAGAAGGGATGAATGGGCATATTTTCAACGGGCGGCCTTGTGTTGTTGCGTATGCATCTCCGTACACTGTTAAAAGAATGGGTGAAGCACAGGTGAATAGGAACCAACAGCCGGTGGGGACGCCACCTGTTAATCAACCTAGGAGAGGACCTGCAGATTTGCCTAATAAACCTGCTGGTGTTGGTGGCAGTATTCCTGCTTCTGGGAATCATCAAGCAGGTGGTGATAATAATGGTAGAGGCTTTGGTAGAGGAAATTGGGGCAGAGGCAACTCTCAAGGAGGGATGGGAAATAGGGGCCCTCTTGGGCCCATGAGAAATAGAGGTGGTGGAATAGGTGTGCGTGGATTATCGGGAACTGGTAATGGATTTGGACAGGGGATTGGTGCTGGCCCCCCAATGATGCATCCACAGGCTATGATGGGTCAAGGCTTTGATCCTGCTTTTGGAGGTCCCATGGGCAGAATGGGGGGCTATGGTGGGTTCCCGGGTGCTCCTGCAGCACCCTTTTCAGGAATGCTGTCTTCATTTGGACATGTTGGTAATGTTGGTTTACCCGGTGTAGCTCCACATGTTAATCCAGCATTTTTCGGCAGGGGACTGCCAATGAATGGTATGGGAATGATGCCAAATCCGGGAGTTGAAAATCCGAATATGGGAATGTGGTCTGAGGCTAATATGGGAGGATGGGCAGGTGAAGAACATGGAGGGAGAGCAGGGGAGTCTAGCTATGGGGAGGAAGCTGCCTCAGAACATCAATATGGGGAAGGGAGTCAAGAGAGAGGGCCATGGCCAAATGCTGCAACAAAGGAAAAAGATCGAGGGTCTGAGAGAGACTGGTCTGGATCTTCTGAGAAAAGGCACCGAGATGATAGAGCAGCTGCTTATGATAGGGATGCTCCTAGGGAAAAAGATGAGGGGCGTCGCGAACATGATTGGTCTGAGAGGAGACATCGTGATGACAGAGATGCTGGAAGAGACAGGGAAAGGGAGCGCGACAGGGAACGTGAGCGTTCCCTGGACCGTGACCGCAATCGCGAACGCCACAGGGATGACAGGGACAGGTATGCTGATCATCATAGGCACAAGAGCCGTGATGCAGAACATGATGATGAGTATGATAGGGGAAGGTCTTCTAGGACTCATAGCAAGTCAAGGCTATCTCATGAGGATGAACATAGATCAAGATCTCGGGATGCTGATTATGGAAAAAGGCGACGCTTAACCTCCGAGTAAATTGTGCCACAGAGTGTATTAGGGTTTAGATCAGAAAGAAATTGATTAGACACTAAATAAATGGCGTTGCCCATGATCCTTCAGAGTCTACTGCTAGCTGCTCTATCGGTTACCTGGCGAATAGGAACAGTTTTGCTTTATGAGTTTGTTTGTGGCTTCAGCCTGCCGGTGACACCTTGAAGATGCTGCTTTGCTTCTGTGTGATTTCAGTAAGTTGCTAGACTTTGCTACTCTCTTTGATTTTATGAGTACCGTTATGTGTGATATTTGCAATTTGGTTTATTTATTTATATTTTGTGCCACTTAGTAATATTTTGGTTCTTGTACTATGTGATTATAGTCTTCACAATGGGTGCTTTTGATTCTTCCTGCTTTTGCCCTCAGATTAGTACTATATATATGTATGCGTTGCCTTGTTTTTCCCTATTACGTATGAGTGGATCATTGCATATCAGTGATACAAGGTCTGATTGTTCACATAGATCAGTAGGTTCTCTTAAAAAACAAGGATCCATTTAGATGGAGATTTTTGGAATTTGGAGTTTTAGAAAATTTTGAAAATAGTAAGTTGGGTATTTGATAAGATGTTTTGTGAGTGAAAGTAAGTATTTGACGTGATGATTTTGAAAAAGGTTATTGTTGATGAATAGTGTCAGAACTTCCGAAAAGGACAGAGCTCTTAACCTCTAGTTTATTAGTTATTGCCGGTATGGTGATAAAACCTTTACAAGTTGAACAGGATAATGCCCCATTCTTAGGTTTCGCACCTGTTGGGTATTAGCTTTTTTTTCGTCTTTATTTTTTAAAGTTTTCGAGTCTTTTTGCATCTCATTTCTGATTAACCCCTGTATGCAAAAGCCACAGGCTAAATAAGGACTGAGCTGCATTGGACCATAAACTTAAAGTAGGTTGATTCAAACTATTTTTAACATGTGGAAGTGTCTGAAATCGGCTATCACCATTCTTATGGTTATGATAGACACTATGCTAATCTGAATGGCCTAGTTGGCTGCATTAATTTGAGTGTTAAGTTGGTAGTACTACTTCCTACTGTTGGAACATGAGACTTGTCTGTAGTTATTGTGTCTCAAATTAATCACAGATGTTTGTTTTATTTCTTCGTAAACGTTTAAAATTTAAAGATGTGTAGTGAGACATGTAAATTTACCTCAAATGTGTACAATCTCTGCTGGGGGTCTTACAATTTAGTCTAGGTTCTTTCTGACTATAGTTTTGTCACTCATAGGGAGATAGTGCCTGAGTATCTTTTATAGTTTAATGAATTCTACTTTATGTCTCAAATTAAACTGCGCAAGCTTTTTGTTAGTTCGTGAAATTTGGTGTAGGTTAGCTAAATGACATTGTAGAATTTTCTCAAATTTCAATGAGCTAAATTGCTGATTACATAATGAAATTTAATATTTAGATAAACAATAAAAATGAGATGCGGTTGTGTCTGCAGTTTGCCTATGTACTTTTGGTTATCATTTCGTGTCGTGGTTTCATAAATGGAATCTCAATTGAATTTTTCTCATCGCCCTCCTTTTTATAGAATTATGTTACCCTCTTTTACCTCAGAGCTCCCATCCAGAATCTACCATCACCAAGTGGTTTGTATCTTACCGATGATCTCTATTATGTCAATGTTGTTGCAAATATGTGTGTGAGTGTGAAGTTAAGTGGTTATGTGTACCTTATGATTTACTAACTGCGGGCATAATTTAAACTTGATTATAATTATGCTGCAATATTTATCTCATGTAATGCCTTCATTTGTAGCCGGAAGACTGGTTATTTATGCAAAGCTGTTCTGCTGAATTCAAGATTCTTCAAATGGAGGTACAATAAAAGTTCTAGTAAAGAGAGGATGAGATGGCATGGAAACACCTGGTAGCTTTTGTTAGTGGAACCTTTTATTCCCTTATCAGACATTTCGTTTATATTAAGTTTTAAGATGGCTTTGAGAAACCTCTGAATATGGATGATGGGTTAAAATGCTCAAGTCTGAGATCTGGTGGATATTTAAGTTTGTGTACTGTATGAATGTGATGTAGTAGATTAAACAGGATTTTACTTTTTGTCGTGCCCCCATTTTTTGTTTCCAATCGTGTTGTAGCTCCTTAACCCCCCCTGTTTTTTTGTCGGGTATATCATGTTTTATCGCCTGAAGCTTTACATTTTACTCACTGTGTTGTGATCATCTGTACATAGAATGCTAACTAGACTTTGAAATGTAACCATAGGGCTCCTCTTTGTTTTGCATTTTCTTGTAAATCCAGTGTAAGTGTATAGCAACAATCACCTGTATGTATGTGTATGTACATATCACTTGACAAGAGATTGGCTTGTACATTGATGTTGTAAAAATCATTCTTTTATGCAGTCATGGGATTAGTCGATTTTCGATTTGTTCTTGCTCATTTGAACTTGAACCTCATTGTTCATAGTAGACACTTTTGAAGTAAAATCTTTGGTAGGAATTATTTTCATGGAGACATTGGACAGCACCAAAGTTCATTTCATCATTTTATGCATTCATTCATTTCATTTCATTATAGCAAAACTAGGGAAGAAGTCAGTCTTGATCATCACTGAGTGCATATCATCAAAAGTAGAGTGAGAGAGAGAGAGAAATGAAAAATGGAGATGTGGATGGCAAGTATGCATTCAATCAATCATCACAAAGTTGCTTTGGGAGTTGATTCCTTTGTGGTCTTGTCAGGCTTTGGTTGGACAATAGAAGTTCTAATCAATGGTAGAACCTTCATCTTTTTTTACCCTATCTTTGACCTTCATATTGCCATTCAACCTTTCTGTTATTCACTTTCACTTTCTTCAATATGAATTCAAATCTGCACTTTGTTTTTTCAATATATTCTAAGAATCCCACATCTTTTTCTTTTTCTTTTTTTTTTAATTTCAACTCTTGGTATTCCTTTCCTTGCAAAATATGCCATTTTGTTTACATTCAGATTATTTAAAACATAATCCAACAGCAAAGTTCAAAATTAAACTTCAAAAAGTATTAAAGACTTTTGTACAGATTATAATTTGTGTACTTGGTTTTTTAAAAAAAAAATAAAAAATAAATGATATTTTAGTAAAACTGCTAGTAGATGTGATACCTTGTATTTGAAAAAATAAAAAAAAATAAATTTGTTTTGTTACAGAATTCAATTCAATGTTATTGTGTTGTACAGCTTCTTTACTAAAAAGCCAATGGAGCTTCACCTTTAGGTGGTGTATTAGTTGTCCAGTCTTGTCGATTTTTTTATTTTTTATTTTTAAGGTTTGAATGTATTTCTTTAGAATTTCCAAAAGTTCTGGGTATATATATATATATATATATTCAACAATCTATGAGTTTAATATTTTTTTTTTCTTTAAATCTTTTTAAAAAGTATAAATAAATTCTACTTTCAAAGTATCTCCTAACAAATATTAATTTTTATTTAATTCTTTTTATAGAACTCTTAATAGTATTATTTTCGAACTTAAAAATATATTATCAATTTTTAACTTCTACTATTTTGTTGGTTAGTCTTCTCTATAAAATGTTTTTTTGGCATTTTCTCTTATAAATTTTATATATAAAATAATTATATTTATAATTTAGATGGAAATTAAAGGTATTTAATAGTAGTGTACGATTAATTTTACTAAAATAAAAAATAATATTTTTTAGTGTGATAGACGAAATAATAGATTAATTAGAACAAAAAAAAAGTATATTTCTTTTTATTTTATAATCTCAATTTTATTATAAAAATAAACTGTCAATTCTGTTTTTATTTTATGTATATATGTTTTGTAAAAATTATAACTATACTGCTAATATGAAGTCCACCCCTATAGGATGCATTCAATTGAATTTGTTGCAGTTAAAAGAATTTGTGGATTTGAAAATTTTATAGGTCTGTTTTTGGTCGCGGTTAAAATTAATTTTAAATAAGAGTGTTGACTTAAATTTTTATTTAAATAATAAAAATTTAAATAATATTTTGATTAAATATTTTATGAAAACATAATATTATATTTTTTGGTATGGATTTGGTGCTGATGTGACCATTTGACCAAATTAGCCTGTGTTATAAAGGTAAAAATATTAACTTTTACATAATACAACATATGATGTGTTATGAAAAATCATATGCTAAGTTATACTCCCTTCGTCCCAGATACTATGTCTACGTTGCCGTTTCTGTCCGTCCCACGTACCATGTCACTTTCTTTTTTAAAAAATGATTACACACTTTAATCTCATTTTAAATTTTTTTAATTTTATTTTTTTAAAATTCTAATTAAACTAATTAGTTATCTTAATCTTAATTTATAATTATTTATATTATAGGATAATCACTAATACATTTTTAATTATCTACTAATTACACCCCCTCCTAAAATACCGTGTCTACGGTGTAGCAGACACGGACGGAGGGAGTAACATATTTGTATCATAAATACGTTGTTATCTTCGTAACACATGCTAAGATCAAGATGGGTTATCTTCATTACATATGTTAATTTGATCGGATCAACATGGGTTGGTTGCGTGTCCAATATCTTTTATTTGGAAACAAACACAGCACATATATTCATGTGTTGTAGTCTATGAAAGTTCATTGTAAATCAATAAATTTCTTTTGAATACACCTTTACATTGCACAAAAATAAATAAATAAAATAATAATAATAACTTTTTCTTGATCAAAGCAGATTGGCCATATTTCAAAACTTTTTGTTGCTTCAAACTTAAGTTAAAAAAAAAATTATATCAATTATCCTGATAATTACTGTGTCGAAATAAGTAGCTTTTAAAATACTAAAATGTCTCTATATATATTGTACTGTAGATTTAACATTGATAATCACTATATTAAAAAATAATAATAAATTTGTTAAGCACAAAAAAAAAAAATAATAATAATAAATAATGGCAGTGGGATTCTGGACGGGTCTGGATATAATTTAAATGACCCAGAAGTCGGGTGCAATCGGACAGATGCAAAGATCGGGAAGGAAGAAAGGTCGGGCGGAGTCTGAAAAAAGGTGTACCCAAGTCGGGTAAACCGTAGATCGGGTGAAAGACGAAGTCGGGCAGACGCGAAGGTTTGTCAAGAGAAAGGTCGGGCAAGGAAGAGGTACGGACAGATGTGGAGGTCTGTCCAGAGGACAGTCTGTCCTTCTAAAGAGATAAGGCAAATAGAGCCGGTCGGTTGGTCCGTGGTAGGGACCACATTTGGTTGGTCCATGGTCGAACCAATTAAAGTCGGTCAAAGACGGAGGGCGGCTGATGCGGAGGTCGGCCCAAATGATGTCGGGCGAAGAAGCAGGTCGGGCATTGAGGTCAGGACATGATACGAAGTTCGGACCAAATGAAGTAGCATGTGCAGGTCGGGTGAGAGAGCAGTTCTGGGGCGGTTAGAGGAAGTTGCAACTGGCGAACGGTTTTTTGAAGGTCGGACGTAGTAGAACGGTTGACACACGTGTCAATAGAAGAGAACTTTTGGGGCGGTTAACAACGGTTATGGTAACTGACCAGACGACGGTTCTGAACGTTTTCTTCAAAGAATATTTAAGGATTTGGATCATCATTTGGCAAGACATCTTCAATCAACTTCAACAAAGCAAAGTCAGATTTGGGGATCACCACTTTAAATTTCAGTCTTTTATTTTCCAGTTTATTTTCTGTACCATACAGTGTTTAGAGATTCCTAATCTCAGGCACTAATTAATCAAGTTTAAGGATATTTTCTATATCTTTGAATTTTACTTTATTTTTGTTGAAAAAAATACATCAACAAAATTATTATGCTAAAATTATAATATATTATATTGTATGTAATTATATAATATGCTATCAAAATATGTATTATATATTAGATTAATATATATTCTATTTTTTATAAATATATATTGATTATATCAAATACACTTTAACCCAATAGCACAGTAACTAAAGCTCTTCTAGAATCAATGTGTCTGTTTCTTTACTTCAGTTTCTCCAAATTTTACTATTTGAACTCTCCATTTTTCGAAAAAAAAATATATTTTTTTCTCTCACAAACCTTCTCATAAAACATTATTTTTACATCAAATAAAAACTAAATTTTTTCCAAACTCATCAAAATAAACACATCCATTAATCTATTTGTTTTGATACATAAAATATATATATATATATGTATATGATATTATGTTACATTTCAAATTTTAGAATTGAGTTGGTAGACTACAACAATTATAATTTAATCTAATAAATATTTAAATTAAATTATAAATTAAATATTTTAAATATTTTAACATCCAAAATGTAATACTAATGTAACTAGTGTGATTTGTATTGTCGAATCTACTTTGTTAGTCACTATATTCGATCGAAAATTTATCTAGAGAACACTCGGAAAATAGAAAATACAGTTCATAAGGGTATTTCTATCCCAGCGCCAAAGTTGGTCGATTTCGTGTAAATTGGCTCCAATGCTAAATTCCACACTATTTTTTACGTTGGTTTTTTTTTTTTAAAAAAAATAAAACTATTATTTATATTTTAAAATTTTTTAAAATATTTTGTTGTATTATAAATATAAAAATTGTTTAAAATAATACTCCTTCCGTCTTAAATAATATAGATAGAATAATTTAGATAAAATATAATTAGTAAATAATTAAAAAGTATTAAAGTGTATAATTAATTTTTCAAATAAAGAAACTACAAATTATGTGGGACATAAAAAATAGAAAATAGAGACAAATTATACAAAATAAAGAATATAAAATAGAATATTTTATAGTAAATTAAAATATATTAATATTTTATTAGTCAATAGTGATTTTAAATTTTTTTATCTTTTGATATATTTCTTACCATGGAAGTAAACATGTGAGGTCAACCAAACACTATCCATTCTAGCCAATCTTCTTTGGTTTCTAGGGCTTTAAACTTGTGTAAATTTATTGGATATATAATGGTAAATTTGTAAATTAAGTAAAATTAAAAGTATTATGATACAATTATATTTATTAAAATAAAAAAAATAAGTGAAATAAATAAAAATAATAAAATAATACTTAAATTGTGACATAGATAATAATAATAATCATAAAGGGAATGAAGCGTGAGCCACGTCACCTGAAAGATCAATCCCTATTGGGCAACTAAAGACCAATCACAAGAAACCACGTGCCCGCATTCATGAAAGAACGGATGAGATCTATTCCTCAACAAATCGAACGGTAGATATTTCATCTCAGCCAACCCACAGTTATCGGCATGCAACGGTCCACAATCGTCCACGTGTCACCCAAATCGCCTTATTATAGATAGCCTTCGATTCAACAATCTTCACTCGCATTCCCTCTTCACAAACTCCGAACTCCCAAACCCTCCTTTTCCCTCAAACCGCTCCAACAGCCGCGATCATATTTTCCGGCGCCGGAATATTCTCCGGATCCACTCTCAGGCAGTATCCTCATATCTATTCATCTTTAACTTCTTCCTGTCTCCCCCGGATACGTCGGAATATTCGTTTCCCTAAGCTTCCGAGCAGTAATTTGAATATAGCTGATCGCGATTTAATTTGTAGGAATTTAGATATTTTTTGTTTTGATTCTTCGAGTTGGAAGTAGAAATATATAAAATTCATATCCGCCGGAACTTCAGCCTTTAATTTGTCCTTTTTCCTTTTCCTCATAAACCCTAATTTTCGCTGGAAAGTAACAGCATCTCTCCAACTGTAATATTCTCTGGGCTTTCCTTCTGTAATATTTTGTGAAAAGAAGAAATAGAGTGTTGAATTGTACGTCGGAAGACTCAAATGGCGGATTCCGATAACGAATCGGGCGGGAATCGGGACCAGAGCTCCCTTCGGGAGCAAGACAGGTTTCTCCCAATCGCCAACGTCAGTAGAATCATGAAGAAAGCACTGCCGGCGAACGCCAAAATATCCAAAGACGCCAAGGAGACGGTGCAGGAATGCGTGTCGGAGTTCATCAGCTTCGTCACCGGCGAGGCGTCGGACAAGTGCCAGCGCGAGAAGAGGAAGACGATAAACGGCGACGATTTGTTGTGGGCGATGACTACCCTGGGATTCGAGGAGTACGTGGAGCCTCTGAAGATCTATCTGCAGCGCTTCAGGGATATCGAGGGGGAGAAGAGCGCCATGATAGGGAGAGGAGAGAAGGATTCCTCCGCCGCTTCCACTGCCACCGGCGGGATGAACATTGGAAGCAGTTACGACGGGATGTACGGAATGAACTTGATTGGTCATCAGGCGGGTCCCACATACGGCTACGGGTCCGGATCCGGGAAACCCGGTTCGGGCTCCTCATCAGGCAGGCCAAGATAGCAGGCCAGCTAGTGCTCGGGCTAGGCTACCTCACTTTGCTAGACACGTGTTAGTGAATGATTAATTGGATTGATTGATGGTGGGGTCATCTATGCTTACGCAGCATATTCAACTATGTAATTATTTAAAAATGTTATTTACGTAATACTCCCAACAATTTTAGCTAATAATTTATGTAAAATATAATTAATAAATAATTAAAAGAATATAAATAAAATACAATTAGTAATTAATTAAAAATTTTATTAGTAAAAATAATTATAAATTAAAATTAACATAATTAAATAATTTAATTAAAATAAAAAAATTTAAAATTTAAAATGTAATTAAAGTGTATAAATATATTTTTTTAAAGAAAAATAAATGATGTAGAATGAAAGAAAATAAAAAATATGGAAAAATGATGTAGAGTAGAAGGACTAATTAGACATTATATTATATTATTACTCAATATATTTTTATTTGAATTTAAATTAAATTTTTTATTTAAATATAATTTTAAAATGATATTTGTAAAAGTAAAATAGAATATTTTTAAACATCTATAATTATATATATTATTAATTTATAAAAATATTGTAAATAAAAAATAAAAATAAATACTCCACATCTTCCGTCAACATTTATAAAAATATATAAATTAGTTATTATCATCCGAATATAGTAAACTTTGAGACAATTAAATTAACTCTGCGAAATAAATCAATGTTGTCTATACACCATCTTCTGGCTTTTGACCGCATCAACATTCATTTCGAAAAGATTCACTCGGACTCAATGGAGAGGCCATACTATTCAAAGAAAATATACCAATAAATTATTCACAGTTTTCTAACTAAAACCCAACAGATACTATATATAAACACGACTTTACTAACTTTTTAAGTTAAACATAGTGTCAGGATGTATCAATTATAGCCGCTCACCTTAGTTGAATTTGAGAACTATGGCCAACAATGGCTTCAAGCATATGTACAAGACGTTAGCACCATCGAAACTTACAGTGTGCCGCGGACTATGACATATGACATATGCTCCAACACTCGTATATAATGGTAAGCCATATTTGCAAGCTGCTCCTCAATAGCATAACACTCCGTCATACTATAATATTCTTCAAGCCATACTCTATATCTAACAATTACAAGCATCTAACGGTTCACAGATCCATTGTTATTTTGCAAGAATATATAGACATAGTTCATAGTACCATACTCGAGACTATACTCGCATATCTTATGAAACAAATAAGAATTTGAAGTATCGATCACATCCTTTATAAAAAAAAAATTCAGATTGATTAAATCTAAATCATGTAAAAAATTAGTGAAAATAAATAATTTATTGAAAAAATAATTAAAAAAATAATTGTAGTTATTTTTAAAAATTTAATTAGAAATTAAAAAAAATATTAATTAATGATATTTATTATAAATAAATATTGAATAAAGATAAATTAAATATTAATTTTTTAATTTTTTTTTTTAAAAAAAATAATAGGTAAATTTTACATAAACGAAAGTCGCATTTCAAAGCCGCGGTTACCGTCATTTTCGGCGCTGGTATAAATACCGGAAATATTGGATTTCATTTTCACCCGAAACGGCTGCATCTTTGGAGATGGGCGGAAAGGGCTGCAGTTACCATCGCCTTGACTTGCTAAAGAAAATCGGAGGTCATATTTGTGATTTATGATTTCAGTAGAAATATCTTCAGTTCGTGCTGTAATCAGTTTGATTAAAGAAGACAAATTACTCAAGGATGAGCGCATTTTGGTTTAATTTCATGGTTATTTATTTTGTGTAGAGCTTACGCGATCGATCGTAGAAGATTTATGTAATGATCGATCCCCAACCCTATGTATCGATCAGTACCTCGCCTATTGCACCGACGTTTCTGGAAACTGGTTGGATGTTTCACATTTTCGTACCTCTTTTTAGTTGAATTCTTCGTAGTATCGGGCTTATACTTCATTCATTTTACGTTTTGTGGTAAATGATCAAAGTCTCAGTTCTTTTGCGGATAAGAAAATGTACGGCTTCATTTTAGCTGTGTTTGCGCAGCTGTTGCAACTATGATTTACCGAAAGGGAAGGAAATTCTCGTTCTGGGTAGAGAGAGTCAAGCACGTAGGCTGGGTGAGTTGCTTTTGTTGTAAATAATTTGGACAACAGGGAACTTGCTCTTAAGAAAATATTTGATTTTCTTATTTGTTATGCTGGTTGTATACTCTAGCTAGGTTACCTTCTGTTTTTCAGATGTGCTGTTAAGAGTATTGTTAATAGTTCAGCAACTGCTCCAAGAAAACAAGCATGGATCAAAAAGAGACATTTATTACATGCACCCTTCAGTGTTCAAAGGTGAGAATGCGAGATTTTATACCCTATTTAGAAAGCTGCCAAAGGGCAAATAATATTCAATACCATCAAAGTTTTGTAATAGACTATCATGATTCTTGGTGGTTGTTCGTTTCTAGAAACTAACTTGATTCTACCTCAACTGTGAAGCAGAACAATCTGTTGTTGACCAGGCAATAAATGACATCTGCATCCTTTTGGGATGTAGTCGCCACAACTTGAATGTGGTATGCTTTTGCTTCTAGAACTACTATTACTGAATTGGTTGTGATATGAAGGCACTTTTCATGCAAACATGTTGAAAATGGTTATTATTATGATACTTATGAGCATATGTTTTGCATGTACCATCTCTTTCCAGGTTTCTGTTGGAAATGGGTAGGTATCAACCAAATACCCACAAAACCAAAATAAATGAAGTCCTGGAGATTGAGGTCATTGCATTACTTAGTTTATTTTATGACAATGCTATGAAAATTTTATACTTTGCTAAGTGAATAGAAACTGATTCCATTCTCTTAACAAGAATCTGGCAGTTTGTTTTTCAAATGTCATGAGTGGAGTATAATGTTAAAAAACTAGCATAACAACACAGAACATCAATTTCAATTCAATTATATGCTATATATAATTGGTGTTTATCTTTCTAGTGATTTCACGGCATCATTCTCTATTTTGAGCAAAAGAAAAATTGCTTCTCTGAGGATAATAATCACGGCAGCATTAATTGCTTATGGAATAGAACTACTTTAGTTGGCTTCTGAAAAATTAATTTAGGATCTTCCACCCTTCGGCTTACAATGGTGGCACAGTTGGCACTATCATTCGAAAATTGAATTATTTATTCATTTCATGAGGAAAGGCATAATGCTGACAGCCAAATGCTTTATACCTGGATCTGGGTCAGTTTCAGTTCAATTTTAATGGTTCTCATTGAATGTCCCTATTTTGTGTATATGTGATCATTTATTTTCAAGAACAACATTCTTGGAGACTTTCTATTTTATTACATCATGTTTAGTAGCTATTTCCTCTGATCTATATGTGTGTGTGTTTGATTGATGAACTGATGATTGCCATATCGTTATATACCACTTATTGCTTCACCCCCTATCAGTTTGGTAATGGGCTGGCTGAAATTTGCTGAGGCTGGGAGGATATTTGATTGCATTAACTGCCCTAATACGGTATGAGAAAGAACAGAATTCTCTGATGAAAATCTATTGCTCAATAACATAATTCGAGTTAATTGTGTCTGTAGGCTCACAATATCCCTGTCCATGTGGAAGATGTGGAAGGTATTGAGACAGCACATTTTTATTAGATGGAACTGTAGATTTCTTTTGTCATTAGGTGATGAATTCAATTTATGGCAACCAGTGCAACTGGAGAAACATTTTTTTTTAACCAAAGTATCTGGTGTATCAAGAATATGTAGTGCTAGTTTTGCATTAGAGTGCCAATTGTTTGTGCTGTTCTTCAATTTCCTTAACAAGATGATCATGTTTCCTGATACTAGGTATAGTCAGTGTGTCCGAGTACATCTTAATAGTGGAGAAAGAATCAGGTATTGCATTTTCCCCTTAAGTTCAATTAGTTGTTTTCTTTAATTTTCCCACCTGAAGGACCATTTGGTTGACTTTAATGTCCAGTGTTTCAGCGGCTAGCAAATGATCAGTTCTGCAGTAAAAACCGCTGCATCGTTATCACTGTATGAGCATCTTCCTGTCTTTTCATGTTATTGATTAGTAGCATCAGTGATTCTAGTAACTACATATTCACAGGGAAGAGGATACCCGGATGTCCCAACAAGGAGGTAACGGAATATGTTTAATAACATATTGGCTTTATGCAACTATTGATTTAAGCATGTTAATATGTTCTTGGAATGATTTTACTCAGATTTCTGCATCTTCTTGTTGAAACATTGCACCTGCCCGTTTATTGCCTGATAGATTATGACCCTTATGGTGTTGACATCTTGACAACTTACCGGTTTGGTTCTATGGTTAGACATTCTGCTGCTGAATCTATCTTCAATATCTTTATATTTTGTCAAAGAAGCTAATTTGTGTGGTTTTGAAAAAACAGCTACAATTTTGAGTACATGTAGATAGGCTTCTTTAACATTAAATTTGGTGTGTCTCTATTTCAAGCAAATGGCTTATGATGCTGAATCTCTTCGCCTCCCTGATATCCGCTGGCTTGGTGCTTTCTTATCCGACTGCGAAAGACATCAGTTCCCACAGCAGTGCCTCCTACCTTTGACTGACAAAGGTGCAATATGATAAAGATAAAGAACTAATGTATGATATCCATTAAATCTGATATGGTCTTTCAAAATATCAAATGTCTCTGCAGATAAGCAGAGAGCTGAGAGCATGCTAAATCGGTGTTACATGAAGCAAGTTCCACATTGGAGGTTAACCCTTGTGCCTTATGTTTTCTTTTAGTTTGCTACATTGTCCTCTATACTAGATTATTTTTTTCTTTTTTATACCTCATTTTCTATTTAACATTGTTTTGCAAGGTCCCAACTCCAGTTGATGCTAGAACGAGCAGTCAAATTCGAGATTGAGGCGCTGTCGGCAGAGTCATTGACATTTTTGTCAGAGAAGTATCTGCCATCCAAGATCCAAGGAGGAGCCTACATATAACTTGCTGGCTCTTCTGTATTAATACTGTAAGTAGTTCAATTTTAACTTTTGGTTCACTTTGTTGGTATTTGCACTTCACCATGCTTAAGAATGTCCTTTGAACTACAAGCAAGCATAATGAGACAAGAAGATTTGCAAGAGAAGAAGAAAGCATTGGAACATAGTGGGTAAGTTTGTTTATGTACTCTTTTACTCAAGATGGCAATTCCCATATCAATATTATGTCATAAATAAATTTTTATACAATATTTCTTTGTTAAAAAATAACTGATTGGATAGTTTTGAGTAAAAATAATTAATAATGCGGAGATCAGGTTAAAAAACTTAAACAAACAGATGAATAATTAGTTTTGGTTTGAATCAAATAGAACAATCCTATTGCTAAAGAGATCACACTTTAGATGTTTCCTTTTCTTGTATAACTACTTGCGAACCAATTATGATTTTTTTTTGAAATTTTCATGAATCGATGATTAATCATATATAAATTAAAATTATTAGTTTACTTGTGTTTATTAATTTTATTTTAATATTTTTAGATGAAAATAAGTATTTAATTTTTTTGAATATAAAATAATAACTGAATGTTATTTTTATAAAATACTATCTGTTGTATTTTGAATCCATTTTAGGCCACCTGTCAAATCTTTGTCAATGTTTCTTGCCTTTATTTGAAAGAATGATAAATCGTAAGGGCATGGATAATTTAACATTCAGCACCTGTCTTGATGTTTTAAGAAATAATTCGTCTAATTTACTTCGTCAAACATGCATGATTAATATAATCTATATAATAAGTCGTATTCCTTCAGTGTCAGAAAATATGTTTATTTTACTGAATGATATGTAAAATAATTAAGAAATGTATTAATAAAAATAATTATTAAATAATAATAAAATTAATTATATAATTTACATTAAAATTAAGACATAATAAATAATTATATTTAAAAAAAAAATAAATTATGTGGGACTAAAAAAAAAATAGAGAAGAGTATCATTTAAGGGTATGTTTGTCGGTGGATTTTAGTTTTTGGGTTTGAATTTTTTAATAATAAAAAGTTGAATTGAAACAGTTGTTTGATGTGATATAAACATATATTTTGAATGTAAAATAAATTTGTAATATAACATTAAAAATAAATTATTTGATGTGATATTTTTTAAATGAAAAAATAATCAAAATACTCAATATTTGGGGGAGAACCCAACACAAAAGTCTTACTTACCATCCCATTAGCCATGACTTAATGTAATGTGTTGACCTATTTGCTGGTATAATTGTCCCATTGAATCATAACGAAACGACTGTGATATTTTTTGGAAAGAAACAAAATTCAAAAAAAAATAAATATAATAAGATCGTTGAATAGTATCAAAATTTATGTAAGCAGTGAGTATGATTTAAAATGCTACTTTTTGTATAATGAAATTATAAAAATTATCATAAACCTACAATGTTGTCACTTGTCAGTGACAACGAAATCTATTTATTCTCATTATACCTTATATATTGACTTTTAATAATAATAGCAATAATAATAAAAATAATAATGATTGGGAGAGGGTGATTGGTGACGGAGAGGCTGAATCGGTAAGCTGCCCTATTACCGTTGTTTTGTTTGTTTGTACTACACTGCACTGCACCTTCACCTTCACCTTCACCTTTAACTAATTAAGAATAGGAATCCAACCCCACTGGCTGCCCCAAATTCCGATGTACGATTCCCCAATATCGTTTTGGCAGTACACACCCAGAATCGACAATCACCATCCATGGCCATACCCACCCTCCTTGTCTCCATCTCTCTCCTCTCTTCTCTTGTACGATTCAATTTCCTCTCTAATCATCTTCCTATATAGCATTAGTACGATTCAAACCATGGCCCTAGAACTGAACTGCCATGGCACGTTCCCTCTTGTCGACCACTTTCATCCTCCTATTATTCCTCATCGTCGCCTCCGGCGACTCGGATTCCGAATCAGGGCCGGCGAGGCCGAATCTGAGGTCTAGGTCGCTGGTTCTGGTGAAAATATGGTGCCTATTGTTGGTGTTTGTGGGGACTTTTGCGGGGGGGATGTCTCCCTACTTCCTCAAGTGGAACGAAGGGTTTTTGATATTGGGGACGCAGTTCGCGGGAGGTGTGTTTCTAGGAACTGCGCTGATGCATTTTTTGAGCGATTCGAATGAGACTTTTGGGGAATTGAGCAGTAGTGAGTACCCCTTTGCGTTCATGCTTGCGAGCGCTGGCTATCTGCTCACTATGATGGCTGATTGTGTTGTTTCTTATGTTTATGGGAAACGTCGTGGGGATCATGGCTCCCGTTCATCTTCTTCTGCTTCTAATGATGATGTCGAGCTCGCAGGTATATATGGTTTGATGATGTCTGAGCTTGAATTAGATGTGTTGGTATACAATCGTGTAACTGAATTTGTTGTGATTTTACTTTGTTGATTTAATGGTTGAATCTTTTGCTTTAAGGTCAAGCTGTGTTGGATCTATTGTTAATTTGAGTGTGATCGGGATTTATTCCAAACCAAAAGAAACACTATAGGAGATTTAGATTTTGGAATGCATGCTAGCCTAGATCGAAATGATGACAAACATGAATTTGATGGGGTTGAGGGCAGCTCTCCTCATCGCCATCCTGCTGCAAATCAACAGGGTGGAGATAAGGAGGAGCCACCCCTTTCGGGGGCTCGGGACAATCTAAAGGCTCTTATTGACATATTTTGAATGAATACACCCTTAGCTGCCAAAGCTACCATGTATCATGTTAGAAATTAAGGATTTTGGTTATTTGTCGAATATCAAGAAACATAATCTTGATTTTAGACTCATCTGCAAGCTGGGCTTTGTCTTTTGTTATGTAAGTATGGTACCATATAACCATTTCACTTCTTGCTTTTGTTAATTGAATAAGTTCCTTTGTCATTTGGAATGTTTTGGCTTAGATCAGTAGAAACTTTTATGCAACATAGGTATTAAATACAACGTTTTCAATGAAAAAATATGCATTGAACTCGAGGAAAAGAGAAAGGGATTTTAGAATGAGCAGAGAGAAAACCATTTTGAAAACACACATTTGTATTGGAAATGGTTAAGGTACTAATTATGATTAAGATGTTGTTAGTTCATGCATTGTTTTTGTGCTATGTTAACATATATATTATGTTGTCGGTATATAACTCATGTCGTAGCAAACATCATTGGTTACAATCCTTGACATTTCCATGATCCAAATTTTCTTTCCATGTCAGATCCCGACAACGGCGTCGTGCAATCTCTAGATTCAAACCTAAAGGTAAATCGACAAATACACAGTTACAGTATCACCATTTCTTAGTAGAACCTACATCATCACAGCAGCTTCTTTGTCATGTCAGGATGCAAACACCGACGCCAAAAACCAGCAGTTCACAAAATCCTCCCTCGCAACAGCCACCTCGCTCGGGGACAGCATCCTGCTGATCGCGGCGCTGTGTTTTCATTCGGTGTTCGAGGGAATCGCCATTGGGGTCGCCGAGACTCAGGCAGATGCTTGGCGGGCGCTGTGGACGGTCTGCCTTCACAAAATATTTGCCGCCATTGCCATGGGAATCGCACTCCTGCGGATGATCCCCGACCGGCCCCTCCTGTCCTGCACAGCCTATGCTTTTGCATTTGCAATATCGAGTCCAGTGGGCGTCGCCATCGGCATTGTGATCGACGCGACAACGCAGGGCGAGATTGCTGACTGGATATTTGCAGTGTCTATGGGTCTGGCCTGTGGAGTTTTCGTCTATGTGTCGATCAATCATCTGCTCTCTAAGGGATATACGGCGAAGATGAAGGTGGCAGTGGACACCGCCGGCCACCGTTTTCTTGCGGTGGCGCTGGGTGTCGTCGTCATTGCAGTGGTCATGATGTGGGACACATAGTAAACAAAAGCCTTTGTAGAATGAACACTTATATAACTTGTTTTTGTGTTTTCAAAATTTTTTTCCTCCCTTAGTATATACTTTGTAAAACAAACAATTTTTTTGCTCTCTAAGTTCAAAAAGTATCTTTTAACAATATAATTATACATTAATATTAAAATACTGAATATGGTCATACTTTACCATATCAAAATTCTTCTCCTCAAAATATGATTTATATATATATATACATATAAGATGTTCATATTCCAAGGAATAATTACATTAACATTTTATTTTTTTTTGTTGAATTCTCATACGCTAAAGAATAAATACATGGAATTACAAAATCTAATTGATTATAGGTACCTTTACCAAGAAATATGTCACAATATGCAAGAAAATAAATAGAATGAGAGTATAACGAAAAATATTCTACACAAACAATCATATGCAATATCATCATATTATTATTTTTTAAAAAAATAAAAAATGTGAAAAATTATGGGCAGCCGCACCCACTGACCCTAATCGGTGTTGGTGTAGGTGGGGATTGCCGCACCCTAACATTCCTCCTTTCAAATATCCTCTTCCTCTTCCAGCTTAACCCTTTTCTTCTCTACCCTCTCTCTGCCTCCCTGCCTATTTGCTCCTTCACCTTCTCCTCTATTTTTCAGCTCTATTCTGCTCTGCTGCTGATTCCTGCTTCTGATTCTCTTCTTCGATTGCCACGGTTCACCAATCTTGTTCTTGTCTAACCTTTTTTTTCATTTTTTGGTGAGAAGAAAATAATAGAGTGCAGTTGCAGGTGCTCTTTATTTCTTGGGCATATTATCCTCTGGGGTTTACTGAACTCAAAACACAGCTCAAAACTTACTTCAAGTTTGTTCAGTGCTGTTTCGTTGTATGCCCGTTTGGATTTGGAACGATATATGTGATTTTTATTTTATTTTTTTGATGGTAGCTTATGTGAAATCATGTAGCTTTAGCTGTTTTTTTATCTGGATCGGTTTAGGGAAAAAATTTCAGAGATCTAAAGCCCTGGGTTTAGCTGAAATTTCTGTAGCGGCTGTGTTCATCTTGGAGGCTTTCTAGAATTTTTAGGGTTTAATATCGTTGAATTTGTTCAATTAGTTTTTAGCCGATGGTTTCTAGAGGTTTGATTTTGTGGAGTGTTCGTTAGTAGTCAACCATGGCTGGGAATGAACATTTTAGGGTTTAATTTCGTCCATTGGTGTAGATTTTCCAATAAGTTCTCAGCTTCTTGTAGGCTTTCAATTAGTTTTCCATTGATGGTATCTCAAGGTTAGATTTTGTGAAGGGTTCTTTAGTTGTCAACTATGGCCGGTAATGAACACTATTTTGTGGAGTGGAAAGAACAATATGTATCTAAAGAGAGGGGCAATCGTGTGGTTCACTATTTTCTGAAGGATAATTCGGGGGAATCTATACTGGCTGTTGTCGGTACCGAGAGGAGTGTCAGACACATGTTCTATGTTGTGTCTGAGGAGTTCCTAAATGCCTATGGATCTGAAAACCATGCTGGATTCAGATGGCGATCGAGAAGAGAGGTTGTGAACTGGCTTACTTCTATGTTGTCAAAACAACATAGGCATGGAGATTATGGATGTACGTTATTCTATTCGTCTAGTTGTTTGATTACTGCTTAGTTCTTTGTGGTAGCACTTTTGATTTTTTTTTCTATACTGTATTGTCCCTATATTTAGGCATCGATTGTATTCATTTGGCTTGAATTTTTGTTGTCATGTTGCTTAGTTTTGATTGAAGTATTTCTGAATCTACATTTCATAGAGTAGCATTGACTCATTTATCCACTTCCAAGCACAGAGGCCTTGTGAAAATTATTTTTCTTCTATGAATATGAATTTTGTTTTGGCATGTTTATTCTCCCAAGAATTGCGGAAATGTATAGTATTGTGTTTGACTTGATGTAATATATTCACCTTATGTGTAAATTGTCGTGCTGTCACTGGCGATCAATTTTAGTTCAAAAGTTAAAAAAGATGCTGACATTTCCTGAAAATATCTTTTGTTTGATTAACTAAACTGTGGCAATTGACATACCGACATTAATGTGGTGTTTTTTCTACCCTCCCCAATTAATTGTAATTCATATTATTATCTGATGGTCACCATTTTAGTGACAGGTCTGGACTGACTTTGTTTTTTTTGAATTTTACATTAAAAACTTGAATTTAATCAGAAAAGGATTGTTGTATTACTGTTTACAGCATTTTTTTTATGACTAAACAAATTTGGGGCACAATTTTTGTTACTCTTGTGCATTATATTTGCACTTATATGCATTTTTTTGCTTTCTTTTTGTAGTCTGCGCTAAAGACGACTCAGCTTCTGAGTTAAATGCTTTGAAGATCCATATGCTACCTCACAAGGTCTGTGTTTATTTCCAAGCTATTCTTTTGTAGCATATTGAGGACCTATTAATTTGAGCCCTGTTTATTGACATATTTTACTTATGCACAGGGACTTTTGGCAAGGAATCCGAAGGGTCGTCATTTAGATATCTCGTGGTCAGGTACTGCATGGACTTGTGGTAAACAACTAAAGCATTATCCTGCATTTCAGAGGAATGGAATTTCAATAGCAGTAAGTTTATTTAACATCCTTTTGTTTTTAAATTTCTCTAGATTAGAGCATATTATCTTGCTTTTGTTTTAACTTTCCCTGTTGTGTAGGTACAATCATTTGTTTTTGTAATGGCTGAAAAGGAGAACCGGTGTATTGCATATTTGGAAGATATGTATGAAGACCGAAAATGCCAGAAAAAGGTCAGAGTGAGATGGTTTCATCTCAATAAAGAAGTAAAGGGAGTCGTTTCGCTACGGAATCCTCATCCAAAAGAAGTGTTCATCACTCCATATGTACAGGTTATCAGCGCTGAATGTGTTGATGGTCCAGCCATAGTATTAACTCGAAAACATTTTGAGAAATGCATGGCAGTTTTTCCTTCTAGTTTGCTGGGAGGATTTCATTTTTGTTTCAGACAATACAAGAGCAACAGAATAAAACCTTTCAAATTGTGTAAATTGCGTGGGTATTTTGATCAACCAATTTTTGCATCCTTCAGCCCGGATTTTTTTGAGGAGGAAGAGTTTGACTCTGAGGAAGATGTGAAAATTGGGGCTAAAAGGAACAGAAGTCTCAGAGAGCACCATAAATATGATCTATTATGCAAGAAATCTGATGTACTAAGTGGGGAGCCAAATTTTCTTAAGCATGTCGAAGGCCACCTCCGGAATAACTCTGCTTTCTCCATGAATGATAAGGTTGAATTTCTTTGCCAAGACAGTGGTATTTGTGGCTGTTGGTTCAGATGCACAGTGATAGAGATCTCCAGGAGGCATATAAAACTCATATATGATGATCTAACCGATGAAGATAGTGGCACCAACCTCGAGGTATAAATTTAATTTCCTCCAGTACTTTAGTGTAAACTTCATGATTCTATATTACTAAGAGATTATGATCTTGGTAAAGGGATTGGTAATGATCTTATTTATCTTTGAATGAATGAAATAGTGCCTTTTTGATAGAGGAAGACACTGAAATTGAGATTAAAGGGAAAACTTTGCTGCAGTTATGTTAGTGCTGTTTTGATTAAATGACAGCCTGATTTAAAGCTTAATTTGTTAGAAGGTAGAACCCTATGATCTTGCATTAGTATGCTCTAGAACATGCCTGTTGATTTCTTCAGTCGCACTTAGTGTGTGATTCAAGTTTTTATACAGCAGCATAATTGTATAAGATATGCTAAAATTTCTAATAATATTTTGTTAATACCCTGCTAATGATAGTTTGGTTGTTTTTCAATATCAAAATGACCTTTGTGCATATGCTCTTTCTCTTTTTGACTAGATGTTTCGTGCATTTTGTTTAACCATTCTGTTTTTGGAAAGTTACTTTCGGTTAGTCATAAATATACTTCCTTTGTGACGACCTGCAGGAATGGGTTCCTGCATTTAGAGTGGCCAAGGCTGATAAGCTCGGGATGAGGCAAAATGGCCGCCCAACTGTCCGGCCTGCCTATCCTATGAATGAAAAAAGCCTCATCTTTGAGGTTGGAGATCCAGCCGATGCCTGGTGGAGTGATGGCTGGTGGGAAGGCGTTATCTGTGGTACTGGTGACTGTAAAAATGGAGCCTATCAGATCTATATTCCAGGTTTATACTCATAGAATTTTGTGCTGAATCTTCATCGGCATTATTTCAGAATATCCTTTCCCAATAGAATTTCTTCTGTGTAACGATTACTTCTTATTTGATATCAGGGGAAAATTTGCATTTAAATGTCGAGCAAAAAGACCTGAGAATTTCAAAGGATTGGGTTGGTGATCGGTGGGTAGATGTCGAACCCAATCCTAACATTCTTTCTCTTATATCTTCAACCAGTATGGATACGAAGCTCTCGACGTCGTCAGCAGCTGCTCTGAAAGAAGTCAAATCCGATCATTCCCCAACATCCTGTCACAAAGTCTTCACAAGTCCGAAGCTCAGCGCTGTCGAAGAGGAGATTGAAGACTTAGAAGGTATGACGCTGACAAATGTCCCTCTTAAAGATGACTGCACTGACGAGGCCCCAAAGCGAACCCTTGAAGCTAAAGAAAGTGAATATTGCTCTGATGAAGCAGAGGAAGAAAATGCAGATTACGGCTCTAATGGTGGTACCCTTAATAGCAGAAATGGGGATGACGACAATAATAATAATGATAGTGATGATAATAAGCGACGCCGCATTGAAGATGACACTGAAGATAACAACTTGGTGGAGTGCGAAATTGCTGAGATGAAATGCGACGTAGGGACAATGATGGACATGCTGACTGAATCTTAAAAAGGTAAGTTTTCCACGCCTTTACATGTCCGGTAATTTGAGCGTTGTCGTTACAGTTGTGTTGTAGATGAAGAAGATAAGTCCTCAAGTAAAACTTGCTGAAGTTGCTTGGCTATCTATCACTAGGTGTACATGAACAAGAATAGGTTTATATCTTCGGGACTAATTGCACATTTGCCAGAAAAAAAAGGCTCGATTTCTCTCTGTAATCGAGAGATGCTATTGTATCTGTGTCTCCCATTGTAGTTAGTTGTAGCCATATGAACTTATAAAACTCCTCTTTTTTTTTATATATGCTGTTGTGTTGTGATATTTGTCGTTTATGATACGTAGATACAGAATCTTGAGTGCCAATTAATATTCTTGGCATGTGGAGAATGCTGTTTATCTTTCTTCGATTCGATTCTATCCTATAATACATATATATATATGTGTGTATATGTATGTATATGTGCTATAGTCTTAGCCACAGGTGCCCTTGAATGTAGGTGGTGTTTAGATAAGGTAATGCTTGTGAAAGATTTAGGTTTTGTGACCATGGCACTCTCCTGCTCCTGTCTGCCCCTACCCCTTTGCACTCATGTTCTCCGAAAGTGACAAGACTGAAACCCAAAAAAAAGAAACCCTAAAATTACACAGAGTATAGTAATGGAGGATATGTGATTTTCTTCTTCTTGTTGTTTGTTGTACCTACCTGTGTCTGGATGGGACTTTCCAGTCGTCCCAACCTCCCGGCCGGACATGGAGGTCAAATTCGGAGTAGGAATATACTGTGGTGGAGTAATTCCCCCAAGCTCTCCCCAGGAACACTGCTCCATCGCCATAGCCATAACCATAGCCAGTCCCTGTGATTGTACAGTTGACAAAGGAGAAGCCTGTGGCTTCGCTCGGTGAGTTTCGATGGTGAGCTGCTATGGCGTACCCATCCTTTACTACTGAGATGCTGCATTCCTGCAGTTGTATGTGTTTTGTGATTTTGTTCTTTAATAATTGGATATGTGTTTGGGGATTTTGGTTGCAGGGGAATTGAATTGAACCTGGTAGAGAGATCTTGCGTTGCCGAAGATGAAATCGACGGAGCCCTGGATGAAGCACTGGTAGAAGTAATGGGATCCAGTCTCGTCGTTTAGGGTGTCCTGTGACCCCAAAAACCTTGCCTTGTAGAACATCGCCTTCTCGCCGGAAATTCTCAGCGCCACAGCCTGGTAACCGTTCTCGCCGTCGCCTGGCTCCACCACTGTGTTCTGCCATTAAAATGGAGGTTAGGTTAGGTTTAATTGGATTTGTAATGGCTGCTGCTTTTTTAGAGTTTGGATTAGTACCTCGAAGGTGACTCCCATTGCGCAGAAGTAATCGGATAAAACGGTGACGGAGGCGGACATCACCGTCCCCAAGGCTCCGCCATGGCCGTCGCTATCTGAAGCTTTGTCGTGCCAGCTTATTACCGTCTCCGGCGAGCGGTTCTCGTCGCCGATGAAGGAAATGTACGGCTTGCTTTTGGGAACCACCACTTTTTCTCTGAACCATCACAGAGGTAAATTAAAAATAATAATAATAATAATGAAATTTGAAATTGAAATGCAACTCCCCCACAAACACAAAAACACCATAACTGCTCTCCAACGCACCTCCATAAATAAATTTTAAAAAAATAATAAAATATTCTAAGAATAGGGAGGTAGAAGAAGAAGCTGCTGTAGCTACCTGTATAGTCCAGGAAGAATATGAATCTTGACTCTCTCTGTATTGTTCTCAGCCACTAGGTCGACGGCTCCTTGCACTGTTGCTGAATCTCCGGCGCCGGTCCAATCCACCACAATTATCTTCTGAGTTTGATTTTGGTTTGAATTTTGATTTTTTTCCGCATCACTAATTGACATCCTCGAATCATTTTGAATTTTCAAATCATTCCAAGTGATGTAATAATTGATTCCATCCCCGTCGCTCGACTGAGCTCCTCCTCGTCTTCCCCGGCAGATGAGCAGCAGCACCACCATAAAGCAAGCCCAGAAGCAACTACGGCACTGCTTCATTGAAAGAGTGCTAATTCTTCCTCGTAAAAAAAATGCAGAGAAGAAGATAATAATAATAATATTATTTGTTATTCTTGGCAAGCTTAATTTGATTGGGCGTTTGAAAATGGAGGATGAAGATGAGTTTTTTTGCGGTTCTTGGAGATTAATTAAGGAGAATACAAAGATTGGGTGTGTAGTGAATAAATAAATGAATTAATCAAGAAATTGGAAAAAGGGTTTTGGTGTCGAAGAAGTTCTTGCATGACTGGGGATGAGATACCTTTTTCAAGTGATCAAAATTACACTAAAGATGGATTGTTGAGCAGTTAATATTTGGCAGTTATTATTATTATTATTATTATTATCTATGTGTACACTCGTATTATCGTATATCCTTCACTTAAAAAAAAACACTGTTACATTTATCGTTTTTATTATATTATGGTGGGGAATTTCGACCAAATCTACTTTTTAAGGTTTTGGGTGTGGATTAATACTGTTTAGATAATATGGGTTCATGTTCATAATTCTAGATTTGGGGTAGGTACTGATTTTTCAAAGATTTTAAGTCTTCCATGTTCTTGTCTACAACGCATTGTTTATTTTACAAAGTGTGAAATTTAGGAGATTTGATACTCTTATAATAGTTTGCTTTTAATTTTTTTTAATATATAATTTTTAGGATACCATATAAAAATATATCATTTCGATATAACATCACACTAAGAAATTAAAAAAAAAAAAAAGAAAAAAGGTAAGAGAGAGAGAATAGAACATATAATGTTGATTTAATTCCGTCAATACAAATTAATAAGTTGAATAACATATATTTTTATAGAATATCATAACACAATATACAAGATATAATATAATTTTATGTAGTACAATATATTATTGATTCAACCAAATAAACATATACATACAATATATAAATTGCACTAATGACTATTTTTACGTGACATAATATTGCCTTATTGATATCTAAAGTTAATAAATATCTAAATTAAAAATAACTATAGGTGCTAAAAATAAATATTGAATAGTCTAATAAATTAAATAATAAATAAAATATTAAATGAAATATTTTTTAAAAAATATTAATAAAAGCATTTTAATGTAAAATGAATAGTATAAAAACAAAATCAATAAAATAAAAAATTAATATATATTATATTTTTATATTAATAAAACATATGTCTCTCATACTTAATATTATAGTAACTAAAAATACTAAACATTCTTTGATTTTGATTTTTTTACTTATTTACTATATATTTTATATAAATTTTGTTTTATAGAATTTGTAATAAAATATTTTCTATTAAAATAATATATTTATCAATGAAAAGCTTAATTAGAGATCTTTTTTTATACATTTGAAAAATCTGTAAGTCAAACCATAAAGAGCATGATCTCCGAAGTTCTTCGCACGTAAAGATTATGTGCATGAATCTCTGCATCATGGGTACGTGTGTCATATAATTCATTTTAGATTTTTTCAGAAAAAAAATTAAATAATAATAATAATAATAATAATAATAATAATAATAATAATAATAATAATAATAGATATTTATACTTGTGTTTAAAAATAATAACAATAAATAATTCAGTTAAAAAAAAAAAAAATGTTATTACAAAAGCATTCATTATCATTTGGGATTTTCTATGATGGTTGGTTTGTTTAGGGGTTTTAACTCAAGTTTATAAATATTAAAAATTAAAATTTAAAATAAAAAAGTAAAATTGCATCATTATTTTTTTTAAACTTTTTATTTAAATAATAAATATACATATTTGTGGAATATGAAGTTCAATTGGTTAGAGAATAGTAGGATATCTTACCTACTTAGTTCATACACAAAGTTCAATCACAAATTAAGCTTTTCACTCAAAATTCCACACAAACAAACCAAAAGATACCGAAGCTGTGTTGTCGCCGTCGTCTTCTTCTAAGCGTTGGAAAGATCTTCGAAGCTAGAACTGGATCGCATGGCGTACTCTGCAACAAGCTTCGAGAAAGACGACGACTTGTCCGCCAGCAGCTTCTCCGGCGTGTCGTATTCAGCAAGCAGCCCTGCAACCCCAAATCATCAATCAACAATTAAAGACAACAGACAACACAATGCTCGATTCCTACGTACCGTTGGCTAACAGCAGCACCATATCGCTGTCGATAACAGACGTTATCCGGTGAGCAATCGTAATCACCGTCGAATCCGCAAAATGCTGCTTCAGCGTCTGCTGGATTAGATTATCCGTCGCCGTGTCCACAGAAGCCGTCGCCTCGTCGAGCACCAGAACCTTACTCTTCTTCAACAGTACGCGCCCAAGGCACACCAGCTGCCTCTGCCCGACGCTCCAATTTTCGCCGTTCTCCGAAACTGAAACCACAATTGAAATTAATTCAACGGTTTTGATGAAATAACATCAAGTTCGCAAGCAAGACAAAAAAACCTGCAGAGTCGAGCTTCCCCGGCTTTTTCCGAACCTCATCTCCCAGCTGGCATTTGTCGAGAGCCTAAAGCAGAGGAAGAAAATCGATCAACATAAGATTAATAGAAGCTCGTCGAATGGTTTTCGATAGGACAACACTGTACCTCCCATATCTGCTCGTCGCTGTACTCTTCGAGAGGGTCGAGGTTGCTCCGAACTGTGCCCTCGAACATCGTTGGATCCTGCGGGATTATGCTTAACCTCGAACGTAGATCGTGAAGCCCAATCGACAAGATATTGATGCCGTCGATCAATATTTCTCCCACGGCAGGTTCGACAATCCGGAAGAGCGTCTGAATAAGCGTCGATTTGCCACTGCCTGTCCTCCCTACGATCCCGGTCCTCTTACCCCCGAAGAACGTACATGTAAGGCCGCGTAGCACATATGGCAGGTGCGGAGCATATTGAACCTACAATCGACGCGCAGATTATTCTAATCAATACACGATCATCATGCTATGGAATGAAGTTCGGCGCACAGTTACCTGAAGATCTTTGATAGCAACTTCGCCGTGCGCCGGCCAGTGGCTCTCCGGTCTGTTCGACTCCACGACGAGAGGAGGTTCGGCGGGAATCGAAGTGTACTGAAGAATTCTTTCGACAGATATGATCCTGTTTTCCATGGTGCAGAGATTCCAAACCACCCATGCCTGTAACATGTTTAAGTTCAGGCCATAGGTGACGGCGAGCCCGGCGATACCTGCGCGTGATATGCAAGGAAAACGATTTAGATGTTGTCGAATTTCATAAAGTTAATGATGCACGTCAAAAGTACACTTACTTGGATCGATTGTTCCTTCCGGAATCAGAATCAGGAAGATCAAGGAGAAGGCAAACGTCACGAGAGACAGCACGTCCAAACGAAGGCATAGCCACTCCATTGCAGCGGAAGTGTGAAACTTTGGTCTCGAATATGCGTCGATAAGTGTCATGTTTATGTCGCGGAATCTGTGTTCTTGATCGAAGCTTCTAATCGTGCTCGATCCTGAAAGCGTCTCCGAGAAGTGCTGTATCACAGGAGCTTTGCACACACCGCAGAGTCGGGCGAGCTCTCGCGCCGCAGCTATGTAATACCTCTGCAAATTCATCGAAGCACAACAAAGTCGTTAACACAAACACAGATTCGATTCGACCCCTTATAGGAAAAAGCAGCAGCAACGAAGTTTACCTGCAGCAATATGCAAATCGCAATCACAGGAATGAAAACGACGAAGACCTGCCACGCAATCTGCGACATGACGGCAATGATTCCAAGAAGTTGTATTATGGCGAAAGCAAAGAGCGCAACGATGGATGCCATGTTCAAGTCCACCGTGCTTTGATCTGTCGACGCCTGTAAAAGAACGTAAAGCTCAACTCAAGAAACTTCTTCGATCTCTACAAGACTACACGATAACTATCGAAAAAATGGAATCTTTGCTTACCCTGTTTAGAATTCTCCCGCTTGGAGTGGCATCGAAGAACGACATTGGTGCGCGGAATATGCAGAGATGCATATTGTTGAAGAGCATGTTTGCAGTCGTGTAGCCAATCGTCACAACGACTAAGGATCTACCCAAAATGCAAAAGGAACTTCCAATTGACAGAGCGACATAAACAAGTATAAGCGTAGAGCCACCAACGGGCGCTGCCATGTCTTTCGACACCGGAGTTGCCCAAGCCATCCAATAATTGCTTCCAATCTGGAGTACCTGAAACAGAATCTGTGCGAGCAATGCAAATGGAACCAGAAATCCTCCGTAGGCAGTCGTGATATATTTCCAATAAACCGATAATCCAACGTTTCCTTTCTCCCGCTCTTCCTCTTGGACAAGCTGTGCCAATATCTCCTCATTAAGGTCGACTTGATCGTTTCTACCATTTCGAGATTCCTGTTTCTCCAGAACAGGTTTAGAATTTAATGAATTACGGTCCTTATCTTCAGACCGCGAAGTTTTCACATCAATCGTATCAAATGCTTGTAACGCCTCCTCATGTGCGCCAACAAGCTCCATGAAGTCGCTTCCCGACTTTAGAATGTCATTGTACTTCCCACCCTGTTTAATTACTCCATCCTTCATAACCTGATCATTTCCCAAACAAATTTTCATTACTTCCGAAGATCAGGACAACAAACCGAACAATTCGAAGATTAACATAACAGCTCACCAAGATGAGGTCTGCAGCTGGAAGAAACTCCACCTGATGTGTGACGTAGATAACAGTTTTGGAGTTCAAGAGCCCCAGAATGCACTCCTGCCATTAGTTAAATTCAGTGTTAAAACATGCCAATCGAATCAATTTACAGAATCAGGCACAAAAGCTTCAAGCTTAATGAAAAATCATCGATACGAACTACTTCACATATAACACAAAATATGAAGAGTTTTGATGCTGCTACGATCACTTACATTGAAGAGATGAGTTCCCGTATGCGCATCCACGGCACTGAATGGATCGTCAAACAAATAAATGTCCGCATCTTGATACAAGGCACGAGCAATCTGTATCCTCTGCTTCTGTCCACCGCTAAGGTTAATTCC